GTAGCCAGGCAGGCTATAGTTAAGAATTTGAGGACGCCCATAGCTGCAGACGAGTATCTCAGGATAAGGAACTGCTTGAGAAGATCACGTTGAGAATACCTACAATATAAGGGGGGATATTGGGTGGTTAATGTACTTAACCCGACGCACCGAGCAGTTACTTGACCGCTATTAAATTTCTCCGGCTCGTCTTAAGGGGTCGTGGGGCATTAACCCACCGCCGTGGCATGTTAAGACGGTGCCGCTGTCAAGATTGGGTAGAACGGCCGGGGTGAGTCGCATGCGCATGCATTGAGCGGACCCCTGGCTCCGGTGCAGGCTAAACTTGTACCACTTATACGAGATTGAAGGGCGATGCCACCGGAACTAAACGCGAGAAAACAGCCATGTAGTTAGTAACAACTTGAGACCTCTTTAATTAGCTGGCTTCTATTTCGAAATTCTCTACTTGGGCCACAATATAAACCCGTAAGACCTTTTTACCATCTCGTTGAGGCATCGTAGCTCTCATTAAAACAGAAGTCATGGCAACGATCAACTTTCAAGTCCTTGAATTAGGAAAGTCTTCTTTATTATACCTCCTTTCTATCATTACGTCGCCCAATATTTATTGTCCACAATGGGGTATCTATCATCATTAAGAAAACGAAAAATTAGGTACTCGTGAAATGCGTCCAGATCATCTACCCTGGTATCGAATGGAAAATGTCCCCGGTCAGCCATGTCATGTCATAAAATAACAAAGGAAAACAGCAAAGGTAATTATATCTCGTGGCTGCAACCTAATATATCGCCTTTACATCTCGTCCTCGAAGAATTTAATCAGCGTCCTAGCGCCGGAAACTCCCAGGCCCATGAATGGGTAGCAGATGTAAACCGGGTCGTGCTTCACGCCGAACTTTTCTCTGAATTCGCTCTTCGCCACTAGTTTTAGCTGCTGCGCGACTGTCTTGTACGTACGGCTTAGTAGCTTGGCTTTGATACCGTTTAGGTTGCTTCCGATGAGAAGCTCATCCATAGCACCAGCACCGAAGGTCACGCTGCTAACCCCTGTAGCTGTTAAACTTTGGATGGCGTGGGAGATGAGCGCCTCGATGCTGCCGGATGGAGAGCCGGGGAAGTCAAGCGCAAACTTGATTTGGTATCCGTGCTCGGGGGAAAGACGGTGCAAGATGACAAGGCCAACGATTTCGCCAGTCTTGTCTTCGGCCCACACATAGCGCCGGTGCGCCATCGATATCCAGGGTTGGACTTCGGTAATATGGACCTGCTTTCGGCCTTTGCGGCTCTCCTTCCAGTCGATAATGCGCTTGTCGCATTTTTCCCTTACGTCGTCAGGGACCGGCTGACCGAGTCCTGTTTCGTGTATCTTGATTTCAGCTTTCTGGGCCTGGCGCTCTTTCTTAGTCACCTTGCCTGCATTTTCCATATCCACGCGCTCTTCGGCCACACATGTTAGTGTCCTCCATCCGAGCTTCGCGCCAAGGATCTCTTCGACCTGTGCAGAGACCAGGATCCAGATAGGTCGTAGATCCTCGCTCTTTTTCAAGTATTTAAGAAAAGAGCTGATGACGATAGGATACTGGCGTGGATCGCAAAGTGGGTTGCCCATTATCATTGCGTATCCGTTCTCCTCGGCGTATCCAACAGCTGCTCCGGTATCCGTATCCCGCCAGACCTTGTACCTTTCGTCAAGCCAGGAAGTATTCGTAGCATCACCATAGTTTACGATAAGCTTGTCCAAATCAGGTAGATGAAGGTGGTTATGCTCTCCTTCGAATGCGTATCGGATGGTGTCGGCCTCGGGGAACGGGAGCTTGCCATTATGATCATGCCTCTTCGCAGGAAGAGATTTCGGATCTCTTGGGAATAAGGTGGCGTTCCGGACGTCTCCCAGGTTTAGCAGCAAGAATATCACGCGCTCAAGACCAATACCACACCCCGCGTGCGGCGGCGCGCCCCATTCGAAGGCCTGCATGTACTCTTCCATCCCCTCTGGGTCTACTCCGGCTTTCTTCATTCTCTCGGCTAAGACTTTTGGGTTGTTGATTCTTTGACCTCCTGTTGTAATTTCTTGACCACGAAGGAATATGTCGAATGAGTTGGTTAATGTCTCATCGTTCGGGTCTAAATGCGTATAGAATGGCCGTGCCGATGCTGGGAATTTATCAAGTATGAAGTAGTCGGTTCCATATTGCTCTTTAACTAACTGGCCGAGTCGGATCTCTGCACGAGTCCCGAGGTCCTCATTCTCAGAAGCTGGCTTTCCATCATCATCCGTCCACCCAGCCGAATTTAGCAATTGAACTCCCTCCTTGAATGTAAGACGAGGTGTCTGTTCTAGCCAGACTAAATCCTCGTGGGGAAACCTCGTCTTGATATTCTCAAGCTCCTTGCGGTACCGTGAATAAATACCTTTGAAGATGGCCTTCAACATTTCATCGATCACATCCATCGCTTCGTGATAGTCCTTTTGAATTGCCATTTCCAGATCTAAACCGGTATACTCTGTCAGGTGTCGATGGGTATTGCTGTCTTCAGCTCGGAAAACAGGCCCAATCTCGAAGACCCGGCCAAAATCAGCGGAAATTGCCGTCTGCTTCGCCAATTGCGGGCTCTGCGCCAAGAATGCGGTTCTTCCAAAGTAGTTAACTCTGAAAACTTCCGCACCAGACTCGGTCGCGGCGGGTTGGAGTTTGGGGGTTTGAATCTCAATGAATCCTTGATCCTCCAGAAAAGATCGAAATATATTACAAACACCTGATCGGATGCGAAAGACGCTCTGCATAACGGGCGTTCGGAGGAAAACTAATCGGTTCGCAACGCGGACACGATTTGAGACGGCTAACTGCTTCTCATGGCTGTTTTCATCTTCCTCCACTTGCTCCATGTTGTAGACATCGATGGGTATAGGCTCCTCGACTGGTACAATGACGTGCATGCTATCGATGAGGATCTCAAGATTATGTATACTGCAGGTTTTAATCTGCTCCGGTGGTTCGCGTACAGTACCTCGAATGTGTACTACAGACTCGGTATTAAGGTGCTCGGCCCATCGTACGAACTTCTCGGACACAACTCCCTCACGGGCTTGCAGAACACCTTGTATGGTATCGACCTGTTGGCGTAGCAATATGAAAGCCAACTTTGAACTTATGGATCGTATATGGTGAAGTCGGGCATTGAAGCTGATAGTCTGCCCAATATGGTCGATCGACAAATGCTCGAGTAGAAAAGAAGGCGGTATGCTCTCTTCGGCGAGTGTGCCATAGCTTGATTGTAACTCTGGTGGCTCACTAGATAATGCTGCCAGCTCCTCCTCCTTACGCCTTTGTTGTAGCGATCGCCGATTTTCCTCTTGTAACTCTTTCTTGGCTCGTTTTTCATACAAGGCTCTTAAATGCTTCTTATCCGTTTCTTCATCTAACGCGTCTGTGTCGCCGAGATGGATTTTAGTGATATGATTCTTGGCCGACGTATGCCCAATAACCCTATTCAATAAGAGAAGAGGTTTCTTCATCCTAATTGAAGGCATATTGTTACCTCGATTGGGTATCTCTGTGGAGAAGTTTCTGGGCGGGGATAAGGGATGGAAAATTGTATAGTTGTCTGTGGAGATGCAGCGCTGATTATGAGGGCGCTTAGAGGAGAAAATAATATATGATGAGGTCAGTGGCACACAGTGGATGTTAGATCTAACGGAAAATCTGTTGGGTGTGCTTCTTAAGAAGCAATGGACTCTGGTAAATAACGTGTACATATAACAAATATCTTGGCAGAAACCTGGTTGATAATAGATGGTCTATTGCTTCTGATCTCTGGCCTAGGTTACTTGATAGATTCTTCTAGGGGTTACTGGCTAGATATTGAGGAAGTTGTTTGAATGACCAATGACCACAGGTATGGGGCATGTTATGGTAGTATTTTTTTGCCGCCATGTATGGACGCTGGGGACGTTGCTGAAAATATGAAATTCCCAGCTCTGTCTACAAAGTGTACATATCCCCACTCGGAGCAAATAGACCGGATCTGCACGGATAGTGATAGCCAATTAAAGATTGTGTTGCCCTCTACATCTATCCCTATTTGGCGATTTTGCTATTCGTAGGCGCATTAGTGCAGGGGTTGGTGCCAGCGAAGGTGCCATTAGTAATCTAAGTTCACGGCATGTTTTATGGGTCTATGAGAATCATGACATCATGACACCAAATATTCGGATTCGACAATTCGATGTAAAAAGCCTCTTTGAAACGTTGGTTGAAAGTTATGCCGAGGTGTCTTGTGGCATTTACTAGGTACCTAAGGTATCTAAGGTTATCTAAGGTAGGTACCTATAAGTCTATTTGCAGACTTGCCACATTACGCGCCACAGGCTGAATGGACTGACAGATCAGGTACCGAAGGTTCGAGCAAGGGTTAAGGGTCGATGGTCAAAGTATCAAGTGACAAACGTCATACAACCCACTAGGATGTTCAATGTTATTTAGTGGGGCGCCAAGCCGCCAGGCACATCTTTTGAATACGGCTAGTATGTATTCCCACATACAAATTACTATGAGGAGGTACAAAAACAGCGACTTTGCCGAAAGCCCCTTTTTCAATATATACTATTATTTCTCGTCAAGCGATTCCTGAATAGCCTCCCCGTACGTACAGTTTTTTAACACGACAACGCTCCCTCCTATACAGCTAAAAGGACCTTGAAATGCCTGACGATCTCGAGATTTTTACGATTGAATGGCCCCCGGACAGCCCTGATTTAAATCTTATTGAAAACGTGTGGGCTTAGGTGAAAGACTGGCTAAATAGTAATTACGATTTAAAGTCGTTGACGTTACGGGAATTAAAACAGGCTATTGAGGCTGTTTGGGAGGCTGTTTTTAAAGACTTTAGTGTATAATAGGGCTTTAAAATACCGTAACTCTGGGGGAGACAATTGAAAAATTAGATTATATTAAATATGAGGCTATTCTTAAGTTATGTATCTTACAGTAGTAATTTGTATGAGAGGTTACATGCTAGCTATGTTGGGAGATGTTGATGCCTTGATGCCTGAGACCCACTAAATAACATTGAACATCCTAGTGGGTTGTATGTATTGGCAAGACGGTGCACTCCGAAATACTATCACTGTATTTCCCATCCTGCCTTGTTTATGCAAATCCTGACATATCGTTTCAGATAACTTGCAGCTGAAGACTTCTACCATGGCACCTAAATTCAATACCACATCAAATCTGATGTCTACAATATTTGAAGATCCCAATGTTGTATCACTTGCCAGCAACAACACGGCGAATTACCATCGACCCCCGTCAACCTACCTTATCTTACTTACACCAAATTCTTCTTCGTGTGATGAGAAAATAATTAAATCAATCCAGAAGTATCCCCAAAATGCAAACGGTTGAAGGGATACCAGTTCCCTCGAGGAGTGACCCGGAAGATAAAGTACCTGAAGTCCCGTTACCTCCCAATCAGAAACCGCGCAAAGCAAAGGATAAGACAGGAGCACCGCCCTCACGTTTCTCTCTCCGGGTTACCGCCGGCTGGTGGAGGTCTTTACAATGTATTGGAATGAGTTTACACTTCCTCGCTTCTCCGAGACCACCAAATCCAGACTTCATCAAGTCTATTCCTTCTACTATATCAACCACCAAAGGCCAATTCAATCTCCAATTCTATCTACCCGAAGGTTACAACAAGGACCCAAAGAGTGACAAATGGCCAGTCGTTGTAAATTTTCATGGCGGAGGATTCACGTTGGGTAGCGCATCAGACGACGCAAGATTCGCTCGCTTTGTACTCGAGAAATGCCACGCGGTTTTCGTATCAGTAGACTACCGATTAGCGCCAGAATTCCCCTTTCCTACCGCCGTTGACGACGGAGCAGATGCATTATTATATATCATCAATAATGCAGCGAAGCTTCGACTTGATAGCAACAGGATAGCAACATCGGGGTTTTCAGCAGGCGGCAACATCGCCCTTACGGCACCGATCCGTTTATTCGAACATCGAAAAAATATAGAACTTCCCGAGTATCGTATTCTCGCCGTCGCAACCTGGTATCCAATCACCGACTATACACTAACTCGTGCCGAACGCCGGGCGTCTGCACTCCGTCCCGAAGCCACTCTCCCGCCGACCTTGACGAATCTATTCGACGCGTCGTACCTATTTCCCCCAGAATTAGACCTTGCTCATCCATGTTTATCACCCTCGAAAGCGTCGGATGAGATGCTGATCGAAGGCCTGCCTCATAATATTATATTCTACACGTGCGAATGGGACATGCTCCTACACGAAGGCGAAGAGCTTGCTCAGCGATTACAGAAGCCGCCTATCTCGAAGAACGTCTTTTATACTATGATACCTGGCGTAGCACATGGATGGGATAAAGGGCCGAACCCAATGAAACCCCCACAGAAGTCTGAGAAGTTATATGGTGAATGCTGTCGCAAGCTCAAGAACATCTTTGAAGAAGAAGAAGACGACGAGCCGCATTCGATCCTTCGTCTCCCTTTAAAATTACCCCCTTTACTACATCCCAAACCCAAGGATAGGAGCAGCACAGACTAAAAGAAGCAGAATGTCTTGATGCTTTACATACCGTCTAGTTTTAATGAGCCACTAAGGAGCTGCTGATGGGAAGGTATATTATCAACATTATTAATAAACGACGCCTAACTCTACTAAACTAGATATCCTACAGTAATGAATCGTCATTACGCGAAGACTGCCGACAAGGTACTAATCCTCGTAGTTAATATAACAAACTATATCTATTGTATCTAGATAATCCCAAGAAATATAATAAATTACGACGAGCATTTGAGTGGCCATTAAATCAATGCATGAAATCATGAAGGTGTGCAATGTCAGATCTAGGACAAGATATCTTGAATTCCGTCGTAATGGGCCAAATCCCAAGGGTCTAGATACGTCATCCCGTAGCTTTGGGTGTGGGGCGGCACTAGGGTTTAAGGCTGGCGCTAGGTACCTCTCATACAGTACAGGGGTACACGCGTAAGTTAATAGATGCTTTTGTTGCATACAAAGTGCAAATGTCAATGAGATACACCTTTAGATCTTCTCATTAATAGCATGTATATACTCCTATTTGTATAATCCCGTGGCGTTTTGCTGACTACAGCATCCGGATTGTGCATATTATGCCGAGCCATTCGGAGTTTATCTTTAGGACCGGTCAGCTAAAAGGTCCTAAAGGATTATCCCTGCCCAGAGGCTCAGAATCAACAACGTCATCGCTGTCCTCTGGGCTTTCGTCAGTCTTCGTGTCGTTTCTTGGGATCGGTCGATAATACAATGTCTACACCCGACCCCATCAAAATCATGGTACCATTCAAAAATTCTTCAGAAATGGGATCAACAACTTCCCATAGAATTGGGACTCTTTTCACTAGTAAATTATCAAATGATTGTGTCAGTTCGGCTACAGACATAATAAACTAATAACTTGACAACATTTATTGCCCTTTTTCTAGATTTCCGGAACTGATGAGTCGCGATATGGCGAGCAATGACTTGGAAAATGGGAACGCTGAATTAGACCCGCCTCCAGCGTTCCCCGGTCCGGACGAGCCTCCGGATTCATCCACTTCGTCTACGACCGCGAGCAAGGATCCAAGCGAGGAGCTGCCCGGCCTACCGCGACTGAACTATAAGCTTTTAGAGCACAAGAAGAAACTCTTTTTAGTTGGAGGACTTTTAGTCCTCGAAGGAAGTATATTGCCGATTGTTCTGTTTTATCCGTTATGGTACTACACGACGCTGAGACATGGCATTCGTAAGTAACCTCTACTGAGTTGCCTTATCTCCCTACATCTCTATCTAGCGCTTCTATGAACGGGACACGGTCGCGAGCTTACACGTCGAACTAGTTTTCGCAATTATTACTTCATTCTTTGGCATTGTCTCGGGTCTCGAGTTTGCCCATCGTTCATGGCGACTGATCCAAAAAGATGATACGTACCGGCCGCTGGACGGCAAGCGCTGGCGCTTTGACTTCACACACACGACACTGTCTATAGGCTATACAGTTATGACGGGAATTCTAATCGGCGCATCCATTCCCCATGAACCATTGGTCCGCCCGCTGGCTATGCCGTTACCTTTATTTTTCATCGAAGTGGGCGCTCTCGCCCTCGCTACGGGTTGGATGGAAGCCAGGAATATGCCCACCACGTGCAAGGTCAGCTCCACTCCAAAAGGAGCGCCGACACCACCTGTGCTATTGACATTCATAGAAGATGTTGTAGCCGTCGACGGCGGCGCGGGGAAGACGTATAGACAGAGAATACTGCGCAGATATAAAGTCAGTAAATATTTCAGGACGCTGATTAGGGGCCTGAACTGGTTCTGGGGTGTTGGCTCCATGATTATCGGAGTTGGTTCTTTGGCGGTCGTGTGGACTATTCCCCAAGAAATAGCGTACGGCATAGGTGAGTGACAACGTCCCCCAATCTCTCGTAACCCCTTACTGACATGAAGTTCATAGGTTGGGGAGCACCATTAGCTTTTACCATTATCTGGACATTCATCACGATAATATGGACGCGTAGGAGCCTGAGGATAGAAAAGAAACGTTGGTTAGATGACTTGCGGCGGAGCAAGCAGGAAAGTGAGAAGCCGTTGGAATCATGAGATATGAACATATATTATTAGATTGTACTGTTATTATACATGCGTGGAATCGGGTTACGAACATAGACAAGACAAGGTAAAGCAACGGGGATATATCTATTCGTCATGAATTATTTTCAATACCTACCTTAAGTATGACGGGGTGTTTAAGGATGTTAATCAAGTGGATACCGACGTGAGTATACGGTAATGGCACCTATTCAGCTTATGGGACCTCCTATTTAAGCTCGAATTATAATATTTTGGTACGGTCGGGGGGGCCTCAATTTAAAAGATGTTCCCGTTCCATCGTTGGACGCATCAAGATACCGCAGGTCATACATGTAAAGCGGCTATACAAAAAGATATCATATGGATGTAAAAATTATATTTTACGTCTAAGTAATATTAACTGATTATAGAATTAAAAATAAGTGCAGTCCCCCCAAATCCTGGTAAAGGAGCGTGATTCATATGCAGATGCCATCTAAAACGCCAACGCTAATGCATGATCGTGAATGAGTGAGTCGTCCGAATCCCGTACCGGTATAATGCAAATACCCCCAATTTTCTTCCTTTTCATTTAGCACGTGTAGTCAATGTGGAAGCCGTTCTTCGTGTCCTGGTCCATGAAGACGTGGCCGAAGCCGACGCTGGTGTCGATGGCGAGCCGGAAGTAGATCTCCGAGCTGCAGTTAACGGGGCCGATCAAGTGAGGCCAGGCGGTATCAGACTGCTTGTCCCAGAAGGTGAAGTCGGCGTGCACGGGCTTGCCACCCGCAGGCTCGAAGGCGGCTACGCTGGATGAGGAGACGGGCACGCCGTAGGGGAAACCGTTTAACTGTAGGAGGGAGACGTAGCCGCTGTCGTCGACGGTGAAGTTGCGCTCCGACTCAGCGGCTTGGTCCCAGTTGATGTTGCACGTCTTGGCCCCGAATGGGATACCCCGGAAGACGATCGCCTGTTCTACCGACGATTTGTTCTCTCGGTTGGAGACATTTATGAAAGAGACGGACGGCTCGGAATGGTCAGGGTCTTCCGGGAATAGGTTGTACATAGACGGTTGCCAGACGCTACCCTTAGTCCCGTTCGCGCAAGCAGCAGCAACGTAAGAAGTGCTGGAGCTGGCGGTGGAGGAGGTGGTAGTGCTAGGAGAGGCGAGAGAGGTTGTAGCAACTGGAGGCAGAGCGCAAGGGTCCTTTTCGAAGCACCCGGCATATCCATTGGAGCATGAGTAGAAAACCTTGCCCGTTGGGCAGTCCCATTCGCTTCGCTTCATAAGGGGAGTCGCCATCGTGACCGCCGCGAGGCAGGCCAGAGAGGCGGCAGTCTTGGCAAATGACGACATCCTTGATAGTATTATAGATTAGAAGAAGAAGAAGCTAACTCGGGGCTTGAAAGGTGTTTTTATAAGCAGTAGGTGAGCTTCTAGGAGGAGGTGACGAGGTTATGAGTAAGGTAGATAGATGGTGAATATATTATTAAAGATGTAGAATGCGTCAGAGATGGTGATAGTAAGTCATATTGAATTGACAACCGATCAGAGATTTATATCTACAAGATCAACAGGCCTCGTCATGTTGGTCCCCGCAGCAAATAAAGCTCCCACAAGGCTCGGTTGCCGAAGGAGCCATAGTCGAGCCTTGGCTGCTTGACCGCAAAGCGCGGCTGGGCGCAGGTTGGTGCGAGCTTGCACATCATGGCCCGATGATGGGGTCGACAAGGGACAATAAGATTAGCAGAGATGCTGGGGAGATGGGGCTAATATTACGGCTTACCAACAGATTCTTCTCAGTGGTCACGATAACGATGCCGAGTGGGACTTGAACGTAGGCCCCGGATTCTACGTGGCTGTGCGGATATACCCCCTCAGCTGGGCTCGCAGTCGTCCCGTCGACGTGGCTGCAAACGCCAAGGCTATTTGTTCTTGGCACGGTCTATTAATAAATTCACCACGTGTGACCTGTTGTTATCCGTTATAGTGAATGCTTTGGGGGCTTGATATTCAATAACGTCTTCTCCTCGTATCCTTCGCAAACGCGCCTCCGCAGGTTGGCTTGGTATGCCGATAGCCAAGACTTGTTAGGTGAAGTCTACCTATCTAGCTCGATATCACGTTGCGCTCTAGGACTTTCAGCAAGCTATTTTTTTTCTTAAGCTTGCTATTATGTACTGTTTGCCTAATCTAAGGAAACCATACACAGCGACAACCAGATAGTCTTCGATAATACACCCTATATTCAATCTTTACCTAGATCCTCGACGTGGGACTTAGTGACTACTAGGACGTAGATGGATGGTTCACTGTTCACTTAGTGAATGTCTTAGAAATGCCTCATGATAGTCACCTTGGCACCAATAGTCTCGTATGACGATGTAGTACGAAAACGGGCTACACAAATAGATACGATGTTTGTCTGCGCCACGGGGCCGGTAAACGTTAAATTTTTAGTTGGTCCCGAGCGTCCGGAAATACGATTACGGTGCTACGGTACTCCTGGGCTGGGGTCCCCTGTTGGGACACAATATTCGAAAAATTCGCTCTTGTCTTCATTCACTGAGAAATTTATTCCATATTCTAATTATTCCTATTGCACATCCGTCCCGTCTAAGCCAACAAGAATTCCATACCTAAGAGTAGCGATGCCCATTCTGTTCAATAACAGGACTCTCCCAAACAATTTGCGAATAAATCAGATGAAAATGATTCGGCAAGTTAGCATAATAGCACCTAAACGATCCGATAGTCTAAGGAGAACCAGGCTCCGCTTGTTGTTGAGACTTTGAGACCCGGCTGCGAGTCCTTGAGGATATAGGGTCGGGGATATCTTCACCAAGATCTTCATTATTGGTAGGCCGGTGGTTTCTTCTATCGCCCCAATACTCATGATTGACGACAGCGTCGATATCAATACGTTCCTTCGGGTCGTGTTTAAACATGCTTAATAGAAGGTCCGATAGCAGCAGCACTTCCTCTTTAGGCATGCGAACTGCTCTCTCGACTAGCTTACCTCTCTCTTGTGATGAGCCTTCGCCTGTACGTTGACGCTTCGCTACCCTTTCCTCACTAGATTCGCCGCCCCTTTTCTCTAAGGACTCTAAAGGACTTAATGGAGATTCAATTTGATGAGCCCCATTTTCATCGGTGTCGTTATTTGGAGACACCTCTCTTACTTCAATCAGCGATTCCGCTTCTGGGGAACCTTTCTCGTCTCGTGATTGCTCTATTGGATCCACGGGATTAATAGGTATTCGTGATGGCGAAGAACTTGGCTCTTCCTGCTCTTTTTCATCCGAATACTGTGACATACGCTCTTCTGGGCTCTCGATCTCCCAGAGATATAATTCTGATTGAACATATACGTCCACGCCAGAACCTGCATCCGAAGACGAATCTTGACTTGCAGTATCTGAATCGCTAAGAATGGAATCCGTTTCATCTGATGAAGTATATCCTGTATAGCTTTTTTCGTGGATATAACACCTCTGCTCCTCACCCAAGGCTGCTTGTAAAGGATTTGACCAACTAGTTCCCCCTATAATCAAGTCCCTCGCCCGCTGTTCTTCATCCGGTGCTAGCGAAAGCGGTTGACTTGAGTCGGATAATTTGTCTTCGGATATCAGTGATTTGCTGCTTGAAGATGACTTCTCATCAGATAATATCAAATGCCGCTTCCTATCTCTCTCTAAGTGACCGCTTGCAATCTGCCGATATGCTACTGGTAAAGGACCAAACCATGTTTCCATCTGGCGTATCAGGGAACTGTAATCCTCGTATTCACTGAAAAGTGGTGTTTGAAGCTTAATCTCATATATAGTACAAGCTAACCCCCATATATCCTGGGGGAATCCACTCAAGGTTTTCGTAAATAGGAGTTCCGGGCCAGCATACTGTCTATGCCACCGGGAAGATACTGGAGGGGTTGAATTGCAGAAGCTATGGCTGAAGTCAATAAGCGCTACCTGGTTGGTTCGACATTTTGCTTCTAATTTGTCTAACGAAGCGGGTAGCGCTAAATACTTGGGCCCATGGGGCATAGGATTTGCCCCGGACCGTGTTTGAAGAGGTTCATATTCCCTTGGCCCAAGATATCTATCAAGTTGACTATCAGATATTTCCAGCAAGCTATATTGATGCAACTGCATAAGTACGTTGCCTGGCCTCAGGTCTTGTTACGTTAATCGTTACTGTCTACAAGCCAGTTCTCGGAGACCAAATGCTTACCTCCGTGACAAATTCCTTTCTTATGAAGGTATTGTAGTCCCTTACTGACCTGAAACGCTAAGTCTGTTAAAACCTTTGGAGTATAGATTCCGACGCCGAGGGGTGAATTCCTGAATAAACTTGGGCCAAGAATGTCGGAAACAAGACAAAGATGTCGACCATTAGGCCCTTGGAGCCAGAAGTATTCATGGGGTATAGTGATATAATTATCTTCGAGCTCCTGGCGGCTAACGTCACTTAGAATCTCCATTATCCGAAGTTCTGGACAGCTCTCTATCGATTCTTCTGCAGTCATAACCTTGACTGACTTGTAGTACCTGGACTTCTTGTCAAGACACAGCCACACAGTAGAGCTCGTACCCCACCCAAGCTTATGGATAACGTTGAATCGTTGATCTGAATCAAGGTAATCGTTAAAATGGATTGGGTGATATCCGCCCGGACGGTACTTCTCTCTATCTTCTACCTCCCCAGTGTCCTCCACAGCTGGGAGGTATAAACGCTGAGAGGATGCCATAATGCCTAGAGATAGTGGTTTAGTCTATATCATAATACGATTTAATGATAAGGGAACAACTTTGCAGTTGTTCAAAGGACTACAAAAATAATTTCCGGGGCCGTGTGTAAACATACGTATGACCTTCCTTTGTCTACGATGTCTCGGAGTAATGCCGGGTTAGACACCATATTAGCGGATAAAGACTCTAGGAAGATGGTAGCTAGCCCAACGACAAATTCAAGAAAGTCACACCACACCGCCCTGTGTTGCACGTATGAGCATCCAACCCCAGCACATGATTTTGTTTAAGCAGATCACGGCTCTACAGACTACGATTTGAAATACTTTAGGTATGCGGAAGTGCAAACCCCTCATTAGGACTAGCTATCAGTGATGTCTTGACCTTTTGTTTAGGATAAACTACCTAGGGTACTAACTAATCCTTTGTTTACATAGCGCCTAATATCGGAAAAGGTGCTATTCTCATTAGGAATATATCTTTATCCCTATATAGTTTATCCAAAGCTATGTCTCAGATACTAACAAATTCTTGTCTAAGAACTTGGCTACTTGTTGGGTCATGAAAGAACTTAGCACGTTACGCTTTGTAGTCCGAAATTATATGAAATAATAAGTGATGAGTTACAAGGTCTATAAAGGAAACATTATAAAAATAAGTCAAGAATTGATACAATTGTATTCGAAGCATAATAGTCTTTGAGAACTTATTTACTTTGTACACTTCAAGCTGCAACATAGGACAACTTAGGAGAGTGTGTTTTCTGTAGATATCATGAAAGAAAAACGCTGAACCCCTTTTTCATAGTAAGACAATAAAACAATAACTTGGTTTCTAAAAACCGGTGGAATATGATGTATAGATCATAGTTTTGTTGTTGAGTTTCATTCATTCACTGTTGCTACCTTTCTTTTCATTACTTAGGTAGGTAGGTATATATCTCTGGGAGGGATACTATCCCTAAGTAGTTTTTTCGATTTCAAGTCACAGAACCTATAGTAAGGATATTATAACAGGATATTAATTTCGAGATGACATTCGATATAGCTAATGGAAGTTTTAACCGGAAATGGGAACCTGGTATGGATCTCCCACGAGGAAGTGCGCCAAGACTACGAATGAAGCCAGATGACCTTATAGAGTGCCCTAGAGAAGGAGACGGAACACTTGAAAACCCTATGGTAATCTGGGCAGCTCGCTTGACGAAAAAACAACGGGAGGAACTAACAATTCCTGAATTTGAGGACGAAGCAGATCTATACCGTGCGATCGATGCTAACACCGATATAGCAAAGACAGTAGCTGTGAGGTCTGGATGCACAGTTGTTTGGATAATCTGTCCCGTTCACGAGAGTAAATACGTTTTTGAAAATGGCGAAAGAGTACCAACAAAGTGGAACAATGCTGGCGAACCCACCGATTACCTTGTCGTAGATGCGGATCCACACATGACTTTAAGACTGGGTACGAGCGAGGATTTATGTCAGCTCCATGGCCATGTCAACGTACTCAAGGACGAGAGGGGATTTCCAACCACATTTATGACCAAGTTTCAAAGGCATTGTAGCGGACATGTTACCGACGGCGACGAGAGGCCGCTTGAGCTTTTCGAATGGAATGAGAAGGGCACTGCAGCTGAAGAACGTCTCCGGCAGGCAGCTGCAGACTACGAGCTCTTTAAAACATTAACTGTACGGAGCGAAGGATGGGAATTTGACGAAGGGAACAGGGACACCGACTATAAGCCACCTGATCACTTGGAAGCCATATTGGATAACGATGCCAAGTATTCACCCTTAGTAAATGAAGAAGATGAATGTATTGACCCTGCATTCGAGGATTATATCATCCGTAAGTGGAGCCCTTATCGAATACATTCTAAAGAACCAAGGCTTCGAAACTCCATTTCTACCCGTAATTTTGGTTATAATATTCGCCAATCTAGATACAAACTTCCTGGCCCACCTCAATATTTTCGTCGGCATTCCCAGGTTTTTTAATATTTGGAGGAATATCGAACTTTAAGGGCGCGATACACAGGATGATATTTTTATAGAAGGATGTAAATAGCTGGGGATTTAACTTATGTTTGTAGTTATATCTGTTGTTTTAAGAAAATAAATTTACTACTGCCTATATTCTAATATGAGCCCGAATATTGTATCTTATATTATATCTGAGGTATCTTTGACATAATTAGCATGACTTGAGACGATAAAATGGGGTTCATTCATATCTTAGGTACCTGGTAGGTAAATAAGATACCTTTAAGCGGCTGTTAACTGCAAACATACTAAGTTGTGAATCCGCTGAATCGACTGCATCTGTTGTTAGAACCGGAAGCACTGCTTCATTATCGTGAAATAGTCATCTCGCGTAACCAATAAACACCCATTCCGTAATAGATCGAAAACTCCGGCCGGCATCGGAAAGAATTCGTAGTTCTTACGTGACGTGGCTTCAATCTCGATTCTCACGATCTTGTATCTCCTCGGAGTTGGAGTGGTTGGTTGGCAATGACTACCAGATGACCGCATGAAATGAAACTATATAGTACTATTGAAGCCTTACAGAAATAACCGAAGGACCCGAGGTGATATCTTCGCAAGTGGTTGCCCCTTTTATTTTATTCTTCCCCTTGAGTGGATAGATGGCATATTAACGAACGGCCGAGACAAGAAAGCTAATATGACTCACTCGATCCCCATAGCCTGCCGAGCTTTATTACCGAAGCTCTAGTGCTTGACATGAAGACCCCTGCTTGGAACATTAATAGATGAACTAAATATGAATATAAAAGGAGCGAGAATCCCAAGAGCCTCCTCGAGGTATTACATGCTTGAACAGAACCAATTCATTATCCATTATGCCTGACTTTCCCGAGATCGAGACAACGCTAGCCTCCATAGAGGCCAGTCCTCAAATCCTCCAGGTCCTTCGTGACTTGCATACACAAGCCCTTTCCGAAACCCCCTTTTTAGGTGGTAATGGGCCGACAACAGGGGCTTTGGACAAGTTTGTGGCTCTTGATCCCGACAAGTGCGCATTGGTTTATCTTCTTCTCCGATCTACCCAGGCGCGTTTCGTTGTTGAGGCTGGCACATCTTTTGGCTTGAGCACGATATATCTCGCGTTGGCTGTAGGACAGAATGCTGAACTACAGGGCTCTGATGGAAAGGTTATCGCGACGGAGAATGAGCCCATCAAGGCAGCAAAAGCTCGAGAGCATTGGAAGGCCGCTGGAGACGAGATCGAGAAGCGGATTGAACTAAGAGAGGGCGACCTTCGTGAAACTCTCAAGACGGATTTGCCTGAGCAAATTGACTTCCTACTGCTGGACAGTGAGTTTTCTCGTCACTCTAAGATGGTGCTATCCGCTTTACGACGAGACGAGCTAATATGAAGAAGTCTGGACTCCCCTAGCGCTGCCAACCTTGGTCCTTGTGCACCCACGATTGAAGATCGGTGCAATGGTCGTCGCTGATAATACTATTGTGGCGGCGGATGGATACAAGGACTTGACGAATTACCTAGAAGACCCTGCTAACGGATTTAAGATGACGACAGCCCCTTATTCCGGGGGTCTTCTCATTGCGGTATACGTCGGGAAGAGAAACCCGTAATTAGTTGTGGTTGCTTTAAATATTATGTCTAGCTTTACCAGTTATATACTTCAGCAGCCAATATATCCTAAGGTTGTTGGCGATGAGAAGCGATTTGATTGAACTAGTTATTCTCACCCTGGCTAGCCTAGGAAGAGGCAATCACTGAATTATCTTTTTTTTACTTCTTGCTCATATCCTCATAGCAATGGCTTCCGTAAATACGAGTTGTCTAGTATGCATTGAAAGGTTAATATTAGCCTCATGTTATGTCGTCGTAGCGCCTATCATGTTTCGATATATACAGCGTCGAGGCTAGCCATAATGTATGGTAAAAATAACCTCATCACAATCCAACTTGGCGCTGCCTTTTAAATCCATAACGCCACGTGGAAAACTTATCCCAAGGACACCGCAGGAAACCAAAACTCCTAGCCACGTTCCGAGGTTCTTCAAATTGAGATAATTTACCTACCAGCCGCATAATCCATATATAATCGTCACCACTCAACCTATACAAGGTAACCAATCATTACCCGCAACTTTATGAAATGCCTTATTCATATCCACGTCGCCGCCCACGGGAGTTCGCGTCTTGGCTTCGTCTTTCTTGACTACGTCTTTGCCTTCGTGCTTCCCTCGCTCTATGTTCTTCGTATCGTGGAAGAGGCGGAGTTATTACATCGTATTCGCCCGACGAAGATTCGACTCGTCCATCTTCATAGTCCATAAGGTGATGGTTGTTCCGTAAAGGTGGTGGGGTCTCAAGCCCTTTAGGACCCCTTGACACTTGAACTGCTTTATATGTCCCTTTTCTAAAGCTTCCCAGCCAGAATCCGGACGGGTGTGGCAGGTGCGTTAAAACAAGAACAACGAAATAGCTGATTGTAATCGTTGGCAACATCCAGGAGCTTCCGTAGAATGCTGTGCTTCTGTCGCCCCTGGATACGGCATCCTGATTGGCTACCACTAGAGTAAGAAGTGCTAGGACGATGGAAATCGAAATGCAGATGGCGGTTCTGAGAATATTAAAGGGTGTCCATCCACGTCGTTTAGAGATGATGTGCATAATAGTTAAAATGAGCAGGACAATGCCAGCGCATGCGAAAGCATAGATATACTGATATACATCACGTCAGCCGCCTTAATATAGAAGGGAGGTGATACTAGCAAGGTAGAAAATAACTTACGACTAATCTAAACCTTTTAGCGACGGCGCCCGCTGCTTCAGATTGCCAATACTCGGACTTAGTACCATCTTCTACCTCTTCAGATGGATCGATTTCAAACGCATTATATACGGCATTGAGCATCGTGTTCATTAACTCTATCAGATCGTTTTGATAATGAACCAGCGTCGAATTATCCGGATGAGAATCTTCTTTCCAGAATGAGTTGGGCATATCAGCAATGTGCTCCAGGGTTTCATTCACGGATTCCATCGTTTCAATGACCTCGGCCGGTTGGTATTTCTCGAGGAATGGTTCAATCACGCTCGCAAGCTTTTCGGAAACCTCTTCGGACGTCATGTTTACGAACTGGGTCTGAAGATCGACTACCTTCGAGAGAGCTGCGTTGGAAGTTTCGAGGATGCGGGCCCAGACAATAAACTGGTTTGCGCCTTCAACGAGAAGGGTGAGGGCGATATGAAAGGGCAGATGTACCGCCGTCCTGTAAGATCATGGGCGTTAGGAAATGTCGAAAGGTAAATTGAATTATAGCAGAATGCTTACCACATGACTTGATGCCGTCTAGACATGGAATGTTCGTCATGCATCCAGTCAAAGTAAAGCTGAAAAATGATGTATATCAATGCAGTACCGGCGGTAACGAGACCGATGAGAGTCGAACCTTGGCATGTTAGTTATAGAAAAAGTATCTAAGTAGGGTAATAACACGTACTCCACATCGAATAACTGGAATCCTTGAGGTAAGTATCCTTCACTAAGAGAGTGATACTCTTGGCCAGAATTATACAACCTGCCGTGTACATTAGCGTCGCTCTCGTTCAGGGGGCGGGTGACCATACCTTCTCCGAGAATGACCAATGTAAGGAGGTTCAAGCGCTCGCCCAAATGTGTACCAAGGAATGTTAGAACATGGGACAGCTGGGAGATACGTAGGTGCAGAGCCATCTCGACACCACCACCAATATACCAGACGAGAAAAACCCGACTCGTCTTGCCTAAGTTATACCTAAACGAGACACCAAAGTATATCGCAGAAGCAATTAAATGGAGAATGGCGGTGATGAACATGGCGCGTTTGCCGTGGGCATACTTGCGAATCTGGAACGTGACCATCCCGTACTGCAAAGCAAGGATGAGACGAGAAACGGCAAGGAACAGCGACATCGCCCTAAATACCGATACTATCTGGTCATTTGGATCAAAGGCGGCACCAATTTCGGCAAACCCTATCATGACCCCTAAGTGAACGGCCTTGCAGCAGCGTTCCCACACGCTGTCGGCTGTGAACCGTACGTCGTAGAGAGTAGTTAATAGCCATGTTGTCCATAAGAGACTAGAAGTTGTGTGAGATGAGGTTCCGAAGTGCGAACTACCAAGCTAACTTACACGATGTATCCGATAAAAGATGAGAACTTCGATATATCCGAGATGTCATGTTTCTATGCCGATAATTAATACGGCAACGTGGGTTGAGATATATGAAAACCTACGCTAGTGAAGACATTCAGATTGGCTACAAACCACAAGTCGTAGAATAACTAGGTCAAATGTCAATAATACGTAGAAAACTAATGGGAGCACGGGCCCAAGCGAACCTCGAAATTTGTAGCCGAGTGAGTCTAATATCTGTTAGTCCAGAGCTCAAGCAGAAAAGACGTATACGCCAAGAATGCTCACCTTAAGGAATTTCGGTGTATGGTGCCTCCCCGTTTCAGGACTTGACACTTCCGCGTCGTCGAAAGAGCTAGAATGAGAATGGTGATGGTGATGATGATGTTGATGCTGCATAGGAATAACTCGGTGACCAGCGTCCTCGGCCTCCACCACTCGAGAACCCACCAACTGCACCCGCCGGCCGGCGTAGTCGAGATCGTGATGGGACATCTCGGAATTGCAGTAGTTAAGCTTTTTACCTAGATCCTACTCGGCTATTTTGACGATCGTCTCCCACGATCGCAGAAAACAGAAATGCTGTGGATGCACAAACCAAGTCGAAGCCAAGTCGAAGCCAAGAACGGCGGCTCTCCGCAAGTTATATGTTCAGACCAACGACCCAGCTCTGCGCTGGTGCCCAGCCTATGGGGCAGTGTTCCGCCTGCGTCTCGCCCCATCCGAGTTGAGTATCCAGTTTTCCAGCATACCTAGCCCTTGTAGGTATTATGCTGCGTTGTCGTCCTCATCCTTCAGTAAAGACTAGGAGCCTCATAAAAGAAAATTCTTCACGCGGCTTATTAGAGCCCATGCATGCCTAGCCACCTATGTTATAACATTATACCCCAACACAACTCACACGAAGGAGGGAGTACGGATTACATACCTATTGTACAATACAGTAGCAAGATTAACATAGCTGGCATATAGGGCTGATAGTTGGGCTCGGCATGGCTTGGCTAAACCCATGTCCACGCATGTTTTCATGACAAGGGTTTACGCGTTTCCGTGGTGATAGCTGGCGCCACTGGTTGGCCAATTCTGACATTGGCTAGAGTGAACTGACCTATCAACTCGAATCCACGGGTTGCACACGCAACATCAAGACTTTTTTGGGCAATACAACCATGTATTTGGGTATGAAGAAAAAGTTAAAAAGAAATCGTCTACAGGCTGGCGTTTGATCCTACGAAACCCACCGCTTGCCTGCTGATGCAAGCCGAGGTGAACTCAGTCTAGTTTCATTGGCGGTGTAAGATATCACATATTCGTAAGGGCTAGCATTTACATGGTACAATACTCTCATGTTCTCAGCATTTTAACCTAACGACGCAACTTCATTATCTACCAACAACCCCTCCCATTGCCATCTACCTATGCGAATCTATGGTTTCTCGGATATGAATTCATGGTAGACTCTCATTGTCCGATGGCAAGAGAGGAGGCATCCAACGCAGAACATAACCAATAACAGTTCTTCGACCAGCGCTCGAGAATCGGCCGTACGGATTCGAGATGATAAAGTGATATCGTATCAAGAATTGCATGCGATTAAAAGACTGACGGGCCTGCGGGCGCGCCGAATCCTACGACATCTCCATCTTATTGGCCTGTCCGCTCAACCATAAGCTGGGCAGTGCGGATCGTCGCAGTATGTGTCTTTGGCAAAGATCGGCAGCGCTACTTCGAGTTTCGCACAGGGCTTCTGTCTCTTCTTAGCTTTGTCGCATAGCTCGATTTCGTACTTCCATTCGCCGGTGCTCTCTTCGACGAACCGGCATCCGCACATATAGAAAAGGTCGTGACTCTTGCACATGTTGACTTTAGTTTAATTATCTGAGTGGCGATAGTGGTTTTATGTCGACTCTTTAGAATGGGTTGATGTCGATTTGTACTCGGTCTTCCTTTATTACTTAGACTGAACTCGTGAATGCATCAGTTAACGGCTTGAGAAAGAAGGGGTCCGTGTCGGTATGTAGGTATGCATGATCTAAAACCTTTCCACAAAGGACATTCTCGCTTTGTACTGTCCGAAGTATCAAGCCACTTAGTCACAAGGTTGACGAAGCGTAAAGTCAATTTTATTTTGGTTTCATCAACATGCAGTTATAAACTCTAAGTATATAGGTACTTATTATCATGAACATTGCTACCACAGCCTTGATAGACGACGGGGATTGGGATATAGGAAATACAACTGATAGTTGCTCGAAACACTTCATAGGGACAATGAGAAGTAGACTCAAGTTGTAGATCCCTCACTTACTTAGGCCATAGCTACCTACCTAATAATAGCGTCAGCAGTTAAATATCACCTATATAAATCATTAAATTTAGTCGTCTGAAACATCCCATAATAGAAAACAAAGACAATCATACCTAGGTTAACCAAGTTAAGTATAACACGGCATAAGCATTACATTTGTTTGCTAACACAGATATAGCGTTTCTAAGGCTTTTCTTTGAATACCATAATCCAGACATGCTTTTTATTGTACAAGCCCACACGCAAGCCCTGAGTGACTAGAATGTCTTTGTATCATGCTTTTTTAATGCTATTTCCGGAACAATCTTTGAAGTAATAGAACCATTTATCGTTCTGGATATAAGCAAGGATGTATATTAAATCTGTTGAGCAAGCTTGATTTATAGAAAGCCGCAAGCATCATAAGAGAGAGGGAGAGAGAGAAAAGAAAATAGCTATCTTTTTCATATCATTATTAACACATACAACACTCAACATGTGTCGTCAGACTACGGTAAACTTAACATGCGGCTGCAGGATGAAGTCGGACTCCATCAGCTGTGCCTACGATGAAGGACGAACTTGTAGAGGCTGTGGGATAGCTGAATATGCACTGCTTCATTGGTACCTTAACGGTGCATATCAATAAAGCACCTGTAAAAGCTTTTAATATTGTTCAAGATATTCAGAAGGACAAGGAGTGATCACGGGAAGTCTACCTTTTAACTCATTAACTTTCGCCGATCCAACTCTAACACATTCATCCTTGAAATATCATCGACAGTACTAGCAAGGCCTGGGCTACATAGCAGGGGCGCCCGAATAGAACATTTCATAGGCTCTACATAATTATCTATCTAATTATACATAATAAAAAAGTACACCATAACATATTACAATAAGAGGCTTCCCAGTAATACTGATCCTAAGAGGGCAAGACCTACGCTGGCCTTCGTTCCCGCACTGCCGTGAGTCTCATCGCTAGAAGTGTTCCCCTGCGAATCTCCGTTTTCACTTCCGCTACTATTACTACTACCGCTACCGCTACCGGCGCTGCTATTGCCCCCTGAGACCTGCTCTACCACCGGCAGGATGCTCACCAAGGCACTTAACATATTCATCTGCTGGGCTGCCCCCGTACTGCCGTCGAATTCGCCAGTGCTCCAGACGAACCCACACAACCGACCGTTGCTGCCGCCGGTGCACTCGGCCGCGGCCTTCTTAGCGCTCGACTTGAGGCTAGGCTGAATCTTGCTAGCGGTGTGCGGCGCGACTCGCACGGTCGACGCGAGCGCCCTGTGCAGTATTCCTTTGTAGAAGTGCATGTCCGAGGTACAAGAATTCTTTTCGCACGCGATCTCGGTTGCGACGCCATCCGGGAAGAAGAGCTCGAGAGTTCGATCGACAAGGCCATCCACACGCGCTTTCCAGGTGTCGTTTCCGGTCTACATTCGGTCAGCGTCTAAGGATAATATATACCTAGGTAGGTAGGAAGGACGAATGAATTATATAGGTTAGGTAGGTAATGTACTTACAATATTATAGATGAACGCGGAGCCCTCCAAGAGATACGCAGCATTCAATGAGAACTGCAGCTTGTTAATATCCTTACAGTCGTCCGCATGTGCCCCGTCGTAGACATCGAAGTTTTTGGTGATAAATCCGATACGCGTGAGTATATCGTATGTAGAAGCGGCCGCATCCGCATAGGATTGTTCACCGGTCAAATGTGCCAGTTGGGCAGCCAGATTCAAGTATATAATGTTCGAAGAAGCTAGGATCGAGTTAGTGATCGGAGACCAGATCATAGGGGATGCCGCAGATAATTGCTAATATGGTAGGGTCACCAACAGTCAATATAATTATAGCCCGCATTCATCGTGTATAACTGCCACCTCAAGGCCCCAGCGCAGCCACCTTCTTCGACTCGTCTATCCTCGCTGCTTAAGTCATCAAAGACGTTCTTAGCCAGCGTAAACCACTGTGGAGAGTCTTTCTCTAATTGCAAGCTGGTTTCATTGGCTGTGATAGCGGACAGAGCCCATATGCCTTGATCCGAGTTGGCCACTGTCGCGGACCAATTAGCAGGGAGGAAGTCGTCATTCTGCCCAACCTGCCATTGGATACCACGCGAGATAGTTTCGTCGTACTTGGACTCTCCGGAGCGAGTTTTGTAGTCCAGCAGAGTGTCCCATAGAACACCTCCTGTCCACCAGCCAATATCTCCATCGTCAACGCCAGGCAAAATGCCAGGAATATTACCCGGTTTTTCGCCATCGTAGAGTCCCATAAGATCCTCCGCTACGAGAGCCGCTGCGGCCTTGATAGAGTCTGGTGACTTGTATGAGCTGTGAATATTCATTCGGGAAAAGCATCTTCTCGTCGGGAGTACCAACCTGTATTTTCAACGTCAACTGTCAAACCCGCAAGCGCGCCATGGGCGGCTAGAAACCAGACTAGTGGATTAGACACGATCCTTGCCATTTTCTTCTTTTCTCTTTTTTTCTTTTTAATGCTATAATATATGCCAAATTGCGTAAATACCCAGGGCTGATATCAACGGCACAGCTAAATGACTGTTCTAAACGAATGAATGCCAATTATTGCTAGATCAGGACCACGATGACGATAACAACCAAGGTAAAATAGATGCTGCCATTATTTTCTGTCAATGGAACTACGCCTTAGATATATATGTATCAGCTGAAAGTCGGAAATTACCCCTATGCGCTTACATAGGTACTTTTGTTAAAAGCCGAATATGGGTACTATATTATTATCTCTCCTGCATGATATTGACCAATTAGACTCTAGGAACTACTTAATATAGCATTCCGCACAGTCGTTTTCGACCCGGTCAGCCCTACCAACAACTCCAACAACCCCTACGTACAGAGGATCGCTTCACAATACAAACCTGAAGATCTTGGCGTTCTTGGCACTAGGCTCCAGTCCCATAATTTACAAGTCGAAGTTTGTAGTATCACGAGGATGATGGAACATGGTCATATCGCCTTAAGGGTATCAATAAATATTTACTGCTAGACTTACCGAGCCTTGACCTTCCTGATGACAACCTTCCCACCATCTAGTTCCCAACCGACGCCGTCTTCTGCCGTGAGGCTTCCCCATTTAGAGTCTGCGCATGACTCCAAAAATTCCAGGTCCACGCTCAAATACGCCCTCCCGAAGCACTTGAGTAGGTGTTTCCGCATGCCTTGGTCAGCGTATTCGAGTAGCTTTACCTTGTGTCCATCAACCCTTTTCTTCAGGCGATTAAATTCTATATAATTGTCGTGTGCTAGCGCATCGAGAACCATGTCAACCTTTGCGTCCCTCAGCCGATACTTGTGTCGCACGGCGAACGCCTCGGCTAAGTCGTTTCTCCTACACGCCGTGTCGAGGACAAGATAACCGACCACTTCGCTCATCTCGACCGACGTCATACTATGCAGCGGCTGGATTCGGCGCAGTAGGTGAAGGATGGCTGGATGATATGACTCGGGATGCCTGACCAAAACGGAAAGTCGAATACAAAAGAGGTAGACTTGAATAGCAAAGTCGTCGACACGCTTAGAGGCTACAATGCCCTCTCGTAACTTTCTCAACGCTGATAAGACATCGGATAAGCCTTTCGTATTAGTCGGTATAGTAGCTGGTGCCATTGAAAGCCGATTCGAAACTAGAGAGGAGGAGGAACTAGGGACAGGTTTCGCGACAGGGCTCTCGTGCTTAGAGTTAGACGATAGCTCTAGTGATGCGAAGCGGCGGAGGAGCTCATCACGTTCGCCGGCATCAGAGCAAAAAGTCATGTAGCGTTCGACAATCTTGGTATAGTAACGTTCTTGAGTCTTAAAATCGAGCAATCTGCCCGTATTTTGTCAGAGCTACGTTAATTCTTTATTCTGGAATAGACCAAGACGATGAAATAGATTAATCACCAACCTACTATCACCTTTGGACGGCAAGCCTATCGACTCTAACGGGTCCAAATCTACCGGTTTAAGACGACTCCATGGTGCAGAAGGTGTTCTGCTTCCTCGGGCGCCCCCGCGTCCGCGCATTTTAGGTCATATCAAGCAATGGCCAAAGCGAATGGTGGAGCGAAAAACACACGTCCAGGACAAAATGTCCTGAGAAGTTGATAGGTTTTGGGATTGGTTTGGGATTTAATTTTATTAAATGCCAATCAATTGTTAAAAGGTTGAAGTAGTAAAAGTACCTAGGTACCTAGGTAGGCACCTAACCTAACCTATCTAAAACTAACCTGCGATAAGGCGATAAGGCGATAAGGCGATAAAAGGATTAGCGGGGTGACAACCCTTAGAGGGTATAAGCTTATACCTAGGTACCTGTAGGTACAATACCTCCTACATGTATTGTACTTATATGGCTTCCACGCTTCCCAATAAATTGTCCCTTTAACAATCATAAATATCACAAAGACCTTGAGAACAATTGATTAACTATATTCAGGCCATAATTCTTTTAAAACTAAACAACTAACATCGAGGACGTAAGAAGAAAGTTATTGTACAATAGAGCTATTAAACAATTTTTTTGTATTTGTAAAAGGTGACCAAGAAGTTAAATACGCTGACGATCCGGTAGGTAGGTAGTTGCAAAGTCGAGCCTATTTCTTCATCTCTATAGGTGTTCAGCTAATCCAATAACCCTAAACCAATCAACTTATCATAAAGTACCTAAGCAAGTTACCTAGCCACTTGAAAGGAATCTTGTAATAATGGGAGAACGAAGGTTCGAGGGAAGAAGGATTACATGGAACCCTAGGCCAAATTCTAGCCTGTTCAGGCGACCTTATCGAGAAAGAAAGGGCAGAAAAATACAAGATAGAATAGAAAGGTATTATACCCGCCATCCCACTCCCACAAACATTACGACGGTAGGTGTTGAGTTTGAGTTTCTGCTCGCCGTGAAAACAAACGAGTTCGGAGATCCGCATCCGAAAGATCGTCGATGGCTGGCACGCAGAATGGGAACCTTGGAGGAGTCCGATCCCCGGCTCAGAATTACCGCTCGTAATGAAATTATCGATAGACTTAGGAACAACAAAGTGCTGGCAGTGAAAACGGCTGATACGGGGCTTGAGGCAGGATTCGAACCCAGCCCACAATTCGGCTGGACATCTAGCATGGAACAAGATGTAATTGGAAATTCTACTAGCCTCAATGAATGGAAACCTAGTCCTTTCAGATGGGATTATAGTAGTAACCTCGAGAGCATCAAAAATGCCTCTGAACTCTGGGCAAAAGAGTTTGTGGATTTCCATGAACAGAATTCACTAGAATTACATCGTACTTTGGACAGCGACATAGATCATATTCCAGATGAGATTCTTAAAGTTCTTTGGAGAGGAGAGGGACGCCGTAAAAGAGAACGCCGGTTCCAGGAAGCACGAGATGCATTTAGAGAACTTGCTAAGAATCGAACGCGAGAAGCCTTGAGGGAGTATCAGAAAAAGGTGGAAAGCGAGATCGACGGACTTTCTGTTAAGATCGCCGGAGCTGACCCTTTATTTAGTGCTTGGACGTGCGGTGTAGATGTAAGCATAAAACCATACATCAGAAACCAAAATCATGTTCAATATCAAAGATGTATGAGTCTTTATCGGGTTCCGGGGGGCTCGAGATCTGTTCACAATTCGTTCCTATCCTTGGACGAAGATGGGAAGCCAGTCTTAGACGGAGATGGACGCCACGTATTGATCAAGAACCCCCTAGAACTTTATGCTTGGTATCCGGGAGAGCTGCGGACACCCATTCTAAATTATAACCAACCAGCTTCTCTTAATACTATCCGGATGGCTGTAAGTATTATCCCCGAGTCTAATGCAACTCCTATTTTCCATATTTATTTTTAGCTAAAGATGACTGACTTTTAAATATATTATATAGTGCGCTGCTCTCCGAAACAACTTCCGTATTCATAAACCGACGTCGGCCATACAAAGTGGCCTCCATATCCACTTCGGACAGGATAAGGGATATGGGTTGTTACATCTTAAGAAGGTAAGTTGAAACATTTGCTTTATACATATACCTAGTGTATTGCCTTGCCATGAATGAGCGAGGATGTCAGCAGGCCGCCGAATAACAGTCGATCAAATCTCATAACGTTACGCTCTATATGATAAACCGATGCTAACTCTAGGACGTAGTTCTCGACGCTCTGGCTTATTCTTGAGGAGAGCCTGGAAAGACTTCACCGACGCGATCGGTCTAACGAATCCAACCGTTATTGCTTACCTAACAGGGTAAGGTCCCCAATCGCCGTGTCATTGAAAGCTAACACCAGGGACGACTTGTCGGCCATCGAAGAAGAAGACCCCGAAGCTTACAAAGAGAATATGGCCGAGATGAATAATCATGTACCATTTACACCAGATGAAGGGGATACTTTTAACCTCGGGCAGATCCGAAATATAATTCATGAGGTTTGGAAGTACCAAACTGTCTCGGAGGTAACTGATGGCATGTCTGGCGTTAATAGTCCTTATGTAAAATACCACATTTCTGGCAAGGATGTATCAAAGGTCCAAGAGTATTTAAAAGGGACGTTAGAGATAAGGCTCATGCAGGGGACGTTAGACGCCGAACACATATTGTAAGTCATATTCCTGCCCCAGTCTCTATAAAACCGAACTAACCCATCTTTCATAGGCGCTGGATGAAGATATGCGAACGTATCATCATTTATTCTCGAGACACGACGGCTCGACAATTCCGGAACGGAATACTCAGAATACTCAGTTTAGAACCCTTCAACAAAGTAATTGGAATTCCTGACGGAATCATGGAATGGTTTCGAGAACAACAGGGAATATCGGGATATTTTGAATACCCTGATGAGGACAGGGTCGATGTATGTACCAAATTCCCCCAAACTCATCAATTCAAGTACTGATTGCTAACTTATTGCCATAGTGGGAGGACCCTTTCATGGTTCCCGGACACGGTGCCACTCATAGGTAGTGAGCTTTAACTTCGAGAAGACGGTAGCTTATTGAGCTTCTGCAGTCTCAGAGACGTTTGAATCCGAGGACTACCGAGAATGCATAGTAGGTGGGAAAATATGAACTTTGTGAGTAATTTATCCTCCCCTACCATTCGTTCTCGAACTGTAGTTCTCGTGAAGAGATGCGGCATACAGTTGGGGCCGTGCGAGGAAAGCGATGCCTTTTCTCTTACTACCTATTTTGCCATTTTGGCTGTTAGGATCGTACTGGTAGATGTTCCGCTGTTTAATTTTTCATTAGTTCGTAGTTTCGTAAAAGTAATAAAAGGTTTGTTTCTTATTGCAATATTAGATAAAGGGTGTTGTCGTATCCATGTGTCTGCTTAAAGATATAAAAGTTCCATAGCAGTTAAATAAATAATAAGAAAACAGCCGCTTCGAAAATAGCTTACAAGAAACTCCCTGCCGAGCTTCACATTCTACTAGAAACAGCCATATTAGTTATTAGGATAGTCGTAGCGTTTGTTACGTCTAAACAATTGATCGGGCACGCATAGATATCACAATATATCACCTGCTTTAACTACGTCATGAGCATTAAAAATACATACATAGATCAAACCATCTAGCCAGAGGCCAAGCCGAATCAATTGCTTTACCTCTTGCCCATATAGCCGGGGTATATCTTCCACCTCAAACCTTCAACCACAAGCTCAGCACGCCCTTCGCATACTCGACGATCTCATCACCACCGAGCTTCGACTCGCCGTAGAGGCGGTCGACAAAAGTAATGGGAACTTCGGCAACACTGAAGCCCATAGCCTTGGCGCGCACCATCATCTCCATCTGGAAGGTATAGCCCTTGCTTTCGGTGCTCTCGATGACCTTCTGCAGGACGGACTTCTTGTAGAGGCGGAAACTGCCCGTCAGGTCGCTGACGCCGGGGCGCAGGACGGTATCGGCGAACAGGTTGGCGCCGCGGCTCACAAACTTGCGCTTGAGGTCCCAGCCGTACACGCCGCCGTTGCCCGCGTACCGGGTCCCCGTAACAATGTCGAAGTTGCCGGCCCGTTGGCGCGCGATCATCTGCGGGATGAACTTGGGGTGGTGGCTGAAGTCGGCGTCCATGATGATGACGAAGTTGCCCGCCACAAACTGCAGCCCGTGTACGTATGCGGTCCCTAGCCCGAGCTTGCCCGATCGCGTCTTCAGCACTACGTGCGGCGAGTAGGCCTTGACTAGCTGTTCCGCTACGACCTGCGTTCCGTCGGGTGAGCCGTCGTCGACGATGATGAGTTCCCAGTCGAGGTTGCTATACCGCAGTTAGCTCCTAATCATACCCAGTGAGTGAATAAAAAAAGGGGGGAAATGTAATATTTGGGACGTACTTCTCGGTGAAGGTGCGGTTGAGAAGCCAGGTAATGATGGGTAGGTTTCGGCGCTCGTTGTACGTCGGCAGGATAACCGAGTACTTGTCCTTAGTTGCGGTCGCTTTTGTCGGAGCCATTGTGATTGCAACCTTGATTATTTGGAATGTAAGGGTTAAAAAAATAAGAGGAATTGTAATTAGTATATGATGTAGAAACTAAAGTAAAGTTACAGATATGAGGCAAAGGAGCGGACTGAAGTTGGGTGATGTGAAGTTGGAATTCGGCGCGTAGCTTCGATAATTGGGTTAAGGAACAATTGACAAGGGACAATTAACAATTAGCAATTGAACACGATAAAAGATCTGGGGCGTGGGGCCGTGCTAGGTACATTGCTACAAGTGTTAGGTACATGCTACGGATTAGATGACTCAGCACAATTTAGCCCCTTTTCGATTTTCGACTTTCATCACCCCTTTTCATTTTTTACAATGATGTATTCCGTAGAATGGATTGATAAAGATCAAGGTCAAAATTAAATATTCAAAGAGTTCTCATATATGAATATATCTGATTGTGGATATATCAAATTCAAATTTACACCAAGGCTATCTCTTCATTCTGGCCACATCGTATAGAGGTAGTTAATTGAGGTAATATGGAAAGCAAGGCGTAGCCTTGATCAGCGTGGAATCTATAGCAATTATACGACAACTACACCATCTGGTATCCTTCGTGTATCCTAGCCGAGAAGCATTTCCTCGACTTTCTAAACAATAAACGGTTACTGGGTAAATACCGTCTCCATTTCATCATGTCAAATTTTCAACCCCGGAGAGGGCATATTTATCGCCTTTCATCCAGCCAACAAATTATGTCCTATCCAAGACGTACGACTTTATACAGGACTTGTGTCCTTCTTCTCCTTCGTGCTAGCCCGGGTATCATCAGTGGTATGGGTTCGCCCGATACTCCGCCAACTCTTTAAACTACTAAAGCTGAACGTGCGGTTGAACTTACGACCACCTTCCTCGCTACCTTGGGCGAACGGACCTCTCACGACAGCAGCATCCTCGAGTAATCTGAAGTGACGCTTAGTCATCTTCCAGAGTTCTACGCCAACAACGAATACAATGGTCGCGGCGAAAACAAGACTCCATTCCCAACCGATACCGATGTGCTTGAAGACTTGGGTATTTATTGTAGGGATGTGCACAACGGGAAACACGCTAAGAGCGCCCAAGACAACGGCCCAGAACAAGAACCTATTCTCGTAGACGTCTTTGAATAGCGGGAACTTGGAGCTGGAATCTGGGTTGAGACGGAACATAGATCGGCGAATGTCCTTGAACTCCCAGGCGCTGATAAGGATCAGCCACGTCAGCTCTGCGAACACGGTAGCTCGCGCCCGGAACACAGGTCCGCAAGTTTCATTATACTCTCTGTTGCAATTTACGCCCAGCTCCCCACCGTTCGCTCCGTAGATGACGATGACAAATGTCATAAGTGACAGGGTGCCCATTAGCAGTCCGTAAACAAGCATATCGACTAGGATCTGGTTCGTGAATACACCTCGCTTCCTATCGTTCGGAGGTTTACGCATCACTTCACGAGAAGCAGGCTCACGACCGAGGCCGAAGGCAGGGAACGACGAAGTCACCATGTTGATCCAAAGGATTTCAAGAGGCGAGATGGGGAATACCGAATAACCTGACTCGTCCTGGAATCCAAGACCGCATATTAAAAGTATAACTTCTCCCACGTTCGAGGTAAGTAGATGCAGGATGAATTTCTGGATGTTGTCGAACATTCGACGACCCTCGCGGATGGCGGCGACGATGGAATTGAATTTATCGTCAGTCAACACGATTTTCGCCGCAGACTTGGCTACATCAGACCCTGAGCCCATTGCGATACCGACATCAGCCCGGGATAACGACGGGGCATCATTGACACCGTCGCCGGTCATAGCCATAAAAGCACGTCGGCGGCGGAGAGCCTCTATCATACGGGTCTTTGTGTCCGGAGCGCAACGTGCAAGAACAAGTGGTAGTTCCGGTAAGGCGTCGATCTCCTCATCAGTAAGTTTATCGAAGTCAGTTGCCTTTTGCACAATCGCATTGGCGACATCCTGGCCGAGAACGCTTAGATTTCTGGGGATAATACCAACTTCCTTAGCAATCGCTTCGGCCGTTGCAGGATGGTCGCCCGTCAACATGTGTACCTGCGATATAGTAGGTTAGTACCTAGCTATCATGCCTCAAGAGGTGTGTTAACGAAAGAAAAAAATAAAATAAAATAAAAGACCTACCTTGATACCAGCAGAAGAACATTCGGCGATCGCCGGCGTCGTCTCTTTCCGCGGCGGATCATATATCCCCGCCAGTCCCAGGAGTGTAAGGTTACTCTCCACTTTCTGACGCAGAGAATCGTCTTCGTTATTATCATGTGTACTCTTTTCCGCATATTTCCCTTCCCACGGTCGATAAGCGATGGCGAGGACACGCTGCCCCTGGCTAGCAAAGGCGTTCATCTGTCTTAGAACCCGCTCCTTATACTCCTCGGTCATTGGCTCTTGTGAGTCTCCAACGCCGACGGTAGTACAAAGGTCAATGACTCGCTCGACAGCACCCTTGGTGAATACCATACTATGATCGAGGTGTGGAGCATTGTAAACAACAGACATACGCTTGATACTACTGTCGAAGGGAAATTCGGCAACTTGCTTCCAACCTTCTGCTTCCAGCATCTTCTTCCCTTTCTGAAAACGATACGCAAATACTTGTAGAGCAATCTCGGTCGGTTCACCGGTAACTTGCCATTCGGGACGACCTTCCTTAGGTTCTTTTTCGTGCCTAACTGTAGCAAGGTTACAAAGCGCTGCAGCAAGAAGGAACGCTTCTAGTTTAGGGTTCATCGTGGCCTCTTTCTCGTCTTCCTTCTTAGGTCTAGGAGGATTGAGCTTCTCGTCTGGGACGTCAAACTTAAGAACTGCCGCGCTACGCTCCTGGTCAAAGTCTCTTTTTTCAGGCTCTTCCTCTTGATCGTCAATCTCAGTGACCGTGACTCTCCCCTCAGTTGGGTTACTCGGATGCTTGGAGTCTTCAACCGAATAAACTTCTTTAGCGGGAATCCATACCTTCCGCACTATCATTGCTCCTTGAGTCAGGGTACCTGTTTTGTCGGAGCAGATATTGGTAACGCCACCAAGGGCTTCTAGGGCGGACAGGTTTCGGACCACTACATTAGCCTTACGCATAACAGTAACGGCAACGACCATGGTGATGGTTAAGACCCTGGAAAATAGATTAGTGTTAGTGGTAGTGGAACAAGAATAGATTTGTACCGAGAACTTACGCAACAAGGGATTCTGGTATGATAGCAATACCAGTGCTTATAGCATAAATGACAACTTCCCTGTCAACAGAAAACTGATTGACAGCGAAGACGATGACGGCAAGCAAGAGAGCACAGCCAAAAAGTACGTAGGCCAACTTCGACAGCTTGATCTGCAGCGGTGTTCCTTCAGTCAGTCCGAGGAACTTACCGACGAAATCGTAGATGCGCCTTGCAAGACCAATAACTGGCTGTCGCTTTCCGTACTTCTTGTAGTTCATAGAGCGACCGGATTTGCGATGTTTCTTTGAGGTCGAAGCAGCAATCTTGCCAACCTCAGTCTCCATACCGGTAGCGATAACAATACCCCTACCACGCCCCTTCCGAATAGTTGTTGTGCCGTAGGCAATGTTTATCCGGTCGCCAATGCCGAGGTCCTCATCTTCCAGGTGTTCGACTATCTTCTCAACGGGAACTGACTCTCCGGTAAGAGATTGTTCGTCGGCGGCCAGGTTCATGGCTTCGAAAAGACGGACGTCGGCAGGGACTGTGTCACCCATTTTCAGGATGACAATATCTCCAGGCACAACCTCAGCACTATGAATGAGTACGTTAGTATTGTCGGGAAGCTAATGGAATTACATGAATGATAATGCGGGCTTACTTAGGAATAACTGAAGTCCTACCATCACGAAGTACCGTAGCACTAGGAGCGGAGAGTGCTCTGAGAGCATCCAACTTCTTTTCTGCACCATACTCCTGGTAGAACCCAATTGAAACATTAAGTACAATAACGAAAAGGAGGACACCTCCTTCAACCCAATCTCTCATGCCGAAGCTTAACCCCATAGCAAGGAACAAAATCTATTATCCAGGATTAGCTCTATGGTGATTTATCGGCTATGACATAAGTGACTTACCAATATCATAGCATTGAATAGTTGCTTAAGAAATATTTTATACCAGGGAATAGCTCCGCCGACATCTAACTCATTAGGGGGATACTTCTTCTGTAGCTCCGCGACTTGGGCAGAAGACAGACCTCTTTCGAGGTCTGTCCCGAGTGCCTTGGCAACATCTTGGACAGGTAAGAGGAATGGATGCCGCTCAAATTGGCCAGCCATCGCATCGGGCTTGGTGTTTACACGAATATCGTCGGCTTAGGACTCGATTTAGAACTCGGCTCCTCATAGATGAATACAGTTATAAGCACAAACGTCTAAGGACTTCAAACTTTTTTGTCTTGGCTTAAAATCTTTCTATATAACATAGAAAAAGATGTTAGTTAGAAGAAAAGAAACCACACAAGTCTTTTCGAAGCCCAGACGGACAGGGCCGGGATATGGATCTCTTTTATAAACTCGAATAGGAGCAAACAGTTCACCTGGGAGCGGGGATCTAGGCTGCTGGAGATACCAAGTTTTGCGATTCCATCATCAGCGCCAAGTAAACCAAGAGGACTTATCACCACCATGATGGATTCTAGTAGGCTCGAGAAGTTGATAAGTCACCGAGGACGGTGTTTAGCGTGGGTATTGTGCTTGGGAAGGTTTCTAATTGGCTAGTACGGGCACAAAAAATTGGCATCTAGTCGGTCCCAAGAACCTAAAACGTCAGAGATGGCACCAGATCACACATAAAGGATGGATGAGGCTCCTAAGCAAGAGATAGTCGCGGGGTTCGGCACAGCACGCGAAGAATCAACATTCGTAATTGGTAACACAAGGCTTGGGCCCATTGTAACCCAAGGCTTGGCCTCTTAGCGCTAAGACTTGGCTTCTAGAAACGCCTTTGTTATAAGAGGCTCGCAAGGCTGGGTGTTGGTGGTGCGGTGGTGCGCGACTCGTAGCTGAGTCTTGTGAGGATAAGAGGAGAGCTTAGAGTGGAGCCAACCTTTTGGATTTGGGCGAAGAGGGTTTGCACGTGACGAAATGACTAGGTAGGTGCATATTCCTTTAATACTTGGTGGCAGAATATCGGCTAAGTCGGCATAAATTTTGGATCGGAATTTTGTGGAATTGTTCAATCATCATGTCGTATGCATTAAAAAATAAGATTTCAACCTTTTACCAATGGGGATCGTCAATCTCCATCTCTCAAAACCCGCCTATCACGCTGTTTTCTACGAGAGCCTCAGCTTACGGTAAATGTATAATATTAAGTTTGCTAATGGAACTCGCCTTACGACATCGAAGCTTAACATGATCGAATAGTTATATTATTCGTCAAGTCTATTTAAGTTATTCCTCTTACATATTAGACTGTGCGAATATAATATTAAATACTATGTCCTCTGAAAACAGATAGTTATGTCCGACGCAAACGTCATCCCACAAGCTGACAAATGAAAATTCACATTCACATTCAAAATGGTTTCCGTCCTCCCATAATATTTGAAGCAGGTAGTTACCTAACATCGGTCCATCTTCTCTCTACTTTTATTATGTAGTTAGTTACAATTTATAGTCAACTAATAACTATATAGGTAATGAACATCATGTTCGATACTCGTAAGTACGTTACAGTATCATTACAGTATATGCCGTACTGTTGGGTACAGATGTGGTCTGATAATTCTCTTGGGTAAATTCTATAAATCCGCAAATCCTCATGGTCGACTAGATCTCCCCCGGTTCCAGCTTTCACAATTATTCTGCAGCTTCCCCTCATTGGCCCCGTCGGCCCTGTTAGGCCCTATTTCTGGTCTTTCATTGGTCGTCGGATGCAAGTGTTCCCTACATAGCTCTTCGTGCTTCCATGATCCTCCCCTGTCTCCCCCCTGCTCGATTTATTCTACGTACATACATATGCATGTTTGTGTCTCGGTTGCGTAAGGATCTGAGAGTAAACGGATGTGGAATGGAAGCTTCCTCGTCTTTAATAGTTTTCCCGGTCCGTCGATGTTTCTGATTGGTTCGTGCTACTGAACCGTGAGATGGATCAAGAAGCTTGGTCGACCTCAAACCTCGATTTTCCTCCGTTTCTATTCCTTTTTTCTCTTCTTCTCATGTCAGCTTCTAGTAACTCTCTGTAAAAGCCTTATAACACTCAACACCAAATTTCCATCGAAACTTTTAAATCGCTATACTTTCTAGCTTGCGCATTCTTTTCGCCCCGATCCCCTTAAACAAATTATCGCACACTGTGCATCTTCTTCAGCTACCTCTTCTGACGTCATCAACATGGCCGACATCACTACCAACGGCATCGAAAAAGGTATTATTTCTATTAACTCTACGGTCTATATATCGTAGATGCTTTTGCGACCCTTATTCGAGCCCAATTGAGCCATTTTAAAAGCTCATGCGCATTTATACGGTTATGCGACTGGGTGCGACTGGGTCGCAATATATTCAACACAGTGCACTAACTGTATTAAACTAGGCGCGAATAGCGAAGCAGCAACATCTGCGTCGCAACCCAGTATCCCTCCTGTTGCGAAGACTCCCATAAATGCTGGAGAAGAATCTATGGAGCCATCAATCGCGACCAATACCGCAGCTCCCGGGGCGGCGACCGCACCTGACTCCGAAACCCCGGCGCAAAACGATGTTGCTACCACTGGTTCAAAGGAATTGATCGAGAAGATGGACGCTGCTGATACATTGGCTTCGCAGCCGGAGAAGTCGGCCGAAACGGTGCCTGCAGAGTCTACTACTACGGAGATAGCAACTGACACACCATCACTTACAAATGGTGAAGCTAAAGAGCCTCCTAAGCCCGTTACTATCGAAGAGGTTCGCGATGAAGATACGCCGGCCGCAGCTGAATCCCAGCCTGCTGAGATGACTGGGGCACTGCCCGTCCAAGAACCGGCAAATGACACTCCGAAAGCCGAACCAGCACCAGTTACTGCCGAGCCTGATAAATCAGAAGCAAATACTGGAGAGAAGCGCAAGCCAAGTGAATCCAAAGCATCTAATGGCGACGCTACGCAGGAGGAGTCTCCGGAAGAACCGCCGGCCGAGAAAAAGCAAAAGACCAATGGAGCTAATACTAACGGTACGTCCAAGAAAGTTGGTCGACCAAAGAAAGAGTCAAAGAAGGATAAAAAGGCACCAGTCCCCGTTGGCAGGACGGCAAGGAAGACTAGAAGCCAAGGAGCTGCGGATCAAATCGTCTAAACTAAAATGATGAATGAATTTGGTTCGTTCTAACCCCTTCCTATGCATCGATTCGATTATCTTAAAAGACTTTGGACTGGGAATATGGGAGGCGCCGGTGGGAGTTTCTGTTCGCAGGCCTGTGAGGCATAATGCTTTACGTTCGTCCTATTTTGTACATATTGATACTCGAATGATCGAGGATATGGATCGATTCGCTTTTTTGTCGTTGGATACTTGGAAGGAAAACCAGAGGCCTGTGCGATGGGAATGTGTGTAGTGCGACGCAATACAATGTAGCGTTAGCTAGCCGACGATAGGACAAGTTAGTATCCTACAAAAAGGGTTAATAGAATCGTAAAATAAATCTTGCGTAGAAGATAAATAACCGAAATATATGGCCTTGACACGATATGCTTATTCACCACGGCTAGACGGAGAGTGAAGCAAGGCTAACTTCCCTTCTAACATACTCCAGGTCCATAACTACCTGGCCAAACCGCCAGAGATGCGCCGCTGTATCTACGTAGGTAGGTAGCACATACATAGCAGACCAAGAGACGTAAACGTTATCATCATCATCATCATCCAGGTCCATAACTACGAGCCAGTATCTAATTCAATTGATGTTTCTCCAAGGCCGTATAATAGTTAATGATGTATACCGCCGTATTCAATCGTATCCTCCCAACTAATAGAAGTCTCGAACGAACTGTTGGGTCTACCGCTTAGGGATACTGTTTGTTATGAATTGCCTGGATATATTAGTAGACATGATGTTTCAACTTCAGATAATTCTACCACAATTCTATCGTGCTTCTTATAAATTACGCCCCTCTCCAAGCTACTCTAGTTCCAATATTTAACTCGGCGCTTAGTTATAAGAGAGCTTGAGAGCTTAGCTAGATATCTGATAATACTGTATTCAAGCGTACGCTCGTTCTGAAAGTCACTATTTACGCATTAGTTTAGGTACCTACCCAAGTTGTTAAATTTCATCAGGTGTTTTCAAACGAGTAACTGAGGGCTTAGAATCCCGGATCATGGTTGAAATCCGCAGACATCTTATTAAGAGATATATTCGAGTAACTTGGGTAACTTTGCACTTTGAAGCAGTATTGAGGAGGCGAAGGTCGCCTTATAAGCATGGATTGTGTAACATGCCTCTATATAAGTGGCCTTTTGTAGATAGGAATAAATGGTAAAGAGCATTACCAACGTGCATTTTCCGGTCAGTAGTAGTGGCCTTTGATATAAATTTGATCTAAGTTTCCTACGGGGTATCATAGACGGGGTACCTTGGCGTCAGTCCTCCCAATACCAAATACTGTCTTGTAAGGTAATCGGTCAGCCCTACTTGTGTAAGTGCAACTCAACACCAGAGCTTGATTTTCTGTGAGAAATTATTAATAATATGCCGAACATGTATTGGGCGCTATAACTATTATGTTGCACTTCGTCGCGCTTGGCCAATATCGCTGATTAAGGTTCTCCAAGACTCTTAACGTACGTAGACTTAGGTGTCCAAAAACGAATAGCCACTAGGAACAGCAGATTTCATTTTCGGTCTAAACGCTGTAAAATCAATCCTGGAGGAAATTAAAGTCAGCTTTAGAGTGAAGGAATTCATGAGTGAATATGAAGATTATGCGCGAGGGACTTCTTATAATGCAAGCAGAAATCTTCACTGAAAAGGCCTTATCTTTCACTCGGCTATTGCGGCGCATTTCTGGGGATAGGCCTCTAGTGTAGGAACGACCAATTCATAATTTGGTACGCGTTTATATCATCGATTAGGAGCCACCTTTCCCACCTTTCCCACGAGTAGTTAATTGTTGGTACTGATATCTTTCGTCACGTGGGGTCGCCCACATGGACCCTAACGGATACGCGGAAGAGATATTGGGATATCCGCACATGCATTTGTGAATGCACCGTTGTTTTGAGCCGCGCGAGAGATTTTGCCGTAGTACAATACCGTCTTGCGGTATAGCGGGATATCCGAAGCATGGTAGCACTAAGCCGGCCGAGCGTATCGGCTTCTTAGCCTAAGGCCTCCGGCCGCAACATCTTACCGACTAAATGCCGTATATACGTACATGTGTGTACGTGTAATGAGTGAATTCTTGAAGACTCTATTGGCTGTCGTTTAGTAGTTTAGGAACCTCTAAAGCTAGATTCACGCATTGCCAAGGAGGAGGTTCTTACATAGTGGATTATAAGCCCCAATTCCCGAGACCCTGGTTCGGGGGATCGGCGGCGACCTTTACTAGGTACGTTACAGATATGTAGTTAGGTACTGGACCTTGTACATACGTCGAATGTATAATGGTTGATCAGTTCGAGTATTCTAAATCCGTACTATATCAAGCGATTTATTTTTATATTCACGCGTCTGTAAGCGCGTGATACATAAGACAAAATGACCTGCGCGCAAGGCCATTTAAAAACAACGTTGAGGCCAACAATGTCTTGCATACATACACTAGCTGGCGGTCGAGCTCGTATTCTACTATGGTTACAGGCTTAAGTTTAACGAGTGGGTCAGGTATTCGTGGGGCGAGCTAGTCAAAGGACTATACCAATTCAGTGCTGATTTACCATACTAAACCTACAGGTACAAAGTGAAATGGACCCGTTTAAGCATAAAAATATGCAAATGCTGACTTTTTTATATATTATCATTCCCGAAAATATACTCCATGTCTAGTGCGATACTCGGCCCACTTGTTAAACTTACCCATATAACCATAGTAGAATGACCCCACCGAGACACCCCCCGGATCTTACGGTCTCATTGGCTATGCGGCAGTATGGCACCTAGGGATAGACCAGTCAAAAATAGAACTTGTGAGTGGGGATTGAGTGGTTTCGTTATGTGATTGGACACAAATGTTTGGCTTTAAGTTTCATTTGAAGCTTCTTTAAGGGTGAGATGGCAGGATGTTTCGATATTTGCACAGACTATGTACATGTTTAACGTTTAAGCATTGTGTATGTATTTATTAGGTGTTAACACGCGGGTATTTAAAAATGCTCTTGCTCGTAAAAGTTGAAAATTCTTGTATTAACTATACGACGTATGATTGCAAGTGAGGGATCATCTGTATGTAGCTTGATATGTGGAAGCAAGGAGACCTTGGAAGTGGAATAGGCTATTAATTGCAGGAACAGACCTAAACTTCCAATAGCTGTAACCTGCCAATCTTCCAATCTATCGATCTATATCTGATAAATGCTTATTTTGTGGTAATTCATTAAATGAAAACTGCTCGTCACGACTCGGAATTGGAAGCCGTCGAAACAGGTACGATCTTAGCGGATTTGATAATTGCATAGTTAGCACTCACTAAAGTCGCCCTAAATTTTGCTTAGTTTGGGGCCAGAGCGGGCTAGTCTCCCAGCCGGCAATGCGGCCTTTCGTCATTCCATCAATGTAGTGTACGAAGTAGGTACAAGACAAATATCCCCTGGGTCTAAAAGGTTCAGAAGGGATCCTGACTCAAGTTATCAGTGCAACGTTCCTGAAATTTCCAAAATTTCTCAAATAACCTTAGGCATTCGTTTTCTTCATTGTATATGACGATACCTTCTTTTCTACATACACGCATACCGGGTTCGATAGAACCCAAGTACATACATACCTATTACATACCTAGGTACATGTTCAACTACCAGGTAGATACATACCTATCTACATTAACCTATCGCTACCTATTATCTTGTCGTTATCCCCACGCCGCTATCAGATCTTGATAGGCGCGATCTTGGCTCTCCTCCATCTTCTCTTCCCTACCAACAACCAACAACACCAACTACGTACCTTCATCTACGATACCTCAAGTCTACCTACGTAATATAGGATATCTCTTTCACCCTTCGCTCGTGTTACTTGTTCGACCCTCAATTTATTCCTGCGGTCGCGTCGCTCGTTTGCAGCCGCTTTGTGCATTTCGACCTAAGTAGCGTCTCGACTATAACGAACGCCTTTGTTAGAGAATAAGGGAATAAGAGCTTGTATTCTGTCGTCAAGGAAGGCTACAAGACGCCGAGATACTTTCACCACCGAGCTCGACGATAACATATATATCACTATAAGATATTGGGCTATCAGATGCTCTATAGACGCCGCGGATGAACCCTATACGAATTTACGAATTTGAATACATTTCTTAAATAATTGGCCGCCGAAGTTGCCTCTTCAGGCCCCAAACCGACTTTTTTGGAACCCACTTCCGCCACTGGCCACAGAAGGCTACTCAAACAGACTTCGGCAGTAGGATGGAGGTCTGGGCTCATGCGCGGTTCCTGCTACCCAGGGACGATCCAAGTCCGGTTGAGGAGTTGTTAGACTTGCTGCGGAACCCCTTTAAACAAACGGTAATTAGATCGAACTGCTTACATACGTATCTCAATCCCGGAATATATAGCTAACTTAACTTCATCGTAGCTTACGGATGGTGCTATTTGGTCTGCCTTGGGCACATCAGTAGGATTCACACTCTTTATCGCCATCGCCTTCTCGTTTGTTCGACCGTATAATTCCGTTGTCTATGCACCGAAGCTAAAACATGCTGACGAAGAGCATGCGCCACCTCCGATTGGCAAGGGATATCTTGCGTGGATCCCGCCGTTATGGAAGACGAGTGAGAAAGATATGATATCCCACGCCGGCATGGACGCCGCCATATTTATAAGATTCACAACCATGTGTCGCAACATATTTCTCGTGCTTGCTGTCGTTGGATGTGGAATTCTCCTCCCCGTCTATTACACTCTTAACAGCGACAAGACAGGCAACCAGAGATGGTTCATGAGATTGACGCCTTCCAATGTCAACGATCAACCCATCTGGGCGGTTGTGGTAACAGGCTATATATTTAACTTCGTCATCATCGGGTTTCTGTGGTGGAACTATAGGGAAGTTTTGAAGCTCAGACGGGTGTATTTTGAAACCAAAGAGTACCAGCAAAGTTTATCCGCCCGGACTCTAATGGTAAGTCCTCGTTTCCCGTATATCGTTTATATTAAAACTTACCAGGAATAGTTGAATGATATTCCCCGGAAATATGCCAGTGATGAAGGTATTGCAAGGATTATCGACGATGTTATTCCGCACGCTTCATTTGCTAGGACAGCCGCTGCTCGCAACGTTAGGGATTTACCTAATTTAATCCAGCAACACGACCATACCGTTCGGAAGCTCGAGAAGGTGTTGGCCATATATCTCAAAGACCCCCAAAACTTGCCACCTGCTCGGCCAGTGTGCTATCCTTCCAAGAAGGACCCATCATACAGCACTTATCCGAAGGGACAGAAAGTCGATGCTATTGAATACCTCACCCAGCGAATAAGAGAACTCGAAATAGAAGTCAAGGAGGCCCGGGCCAACATTGATAAACGCAGTAGTTTATCTTACGGTTTTGCCAGCTACGACGACATTTCCGAAGCCCACAGTATCGCATACGCCCTGCGCAAGAAGAAACCTCATGGTGCTACCGTCGTCTTAGCTCCCAGACCGAATGACATCATATGGGATAACATGCCCCTTACCCCGGCGACGCGAAGCTGGAGAAGGATAATTATCAACCTCTGGATTGCTCTACTAACGATGGTCTGGATTGCGCCTAGTGCCATGATTGCTATTTTCTTAGTCAATCTAAGTAACTTGGGTTTGGTTTGGCACGACTTTCAGGTCCAGTTGTCCAGTAATACTGGGTTCTGGTCCATCGTTCAGGGTGTGGCATCTCCGGCCATCTTATCTTTGGTCTACCTGGTGCTTCCTATTATCTTCCGTCGACTTGCAATTAGAGCTGGTGATCGCACGAAGACCGGACGTGAGCGTCATGTCGTTGCTAAGTTGTATGCTTTCTTCGTCTTCAACAACCTAATTGTCTTCTGTCTTTTCAGCACTATCTGGAATCTGGTTTCGTCTGTTGCCAGCGACCCGCAGAAGGCTTGGGATACGCTGTCAAATTTCGGCATAACCCTCTTTATATCGTTGTGTGATATCTCGTCATTCTGGGTTACTTGGCTATTGCAGAGGAACTTGGGTGCTGCTATCGATTTAGCCCAACTGTGGACCTTCATCTACAGCTTCTTTATGCGCAAATTTTCGAGTCCCACGCCGAGGGAGATGATCGAACTGACGGCACCTCCGTCCTTCGATTATGCCAGCTACTACAATTACTTTCTGTTCTACTCCACCGTAGCTTTGGGTTTTAGCTGCCTCCAACCCCTTGTTCTTCCGGCTGCAGCATTATACTTTTCTATCGATGTATGGCTGAAGAAGTACCTGTTGCTTTACATCTTTGTGACCAAGACAGAGTCTGGCGGGATGTTTTGGCGAGTCCTGTTCAATCGCTTCGTCTTTGGCACCGTACTTTCCAATCTGGTGGTCTTCTTAACGGCTTGGGTGCATGGTGACGGACTCCACACAATGGCGTTTGCATCCATTCCTCTACCATTTATTATGGTAATCTTCAAGGTATACTGTTCTCGAACATTTGATGCCAAGGTCCATTTCTATTCGACTCGCAACATTCAAAAACATCCCGAAGGGACTATGCAGAAGGATCCATTACGCTCAGCTGGACTAGCTCATCGCTTTGGTCATCCCGCTCTTTACAAGCCTCTCATTACACCAATGGTACATGCAAAGGCTCAGAATATCCTAGCTTCTATATATAAAGGGCGTCTAACGGATGGTCGCGAAGCTTATTCCGGAGATACCATGTCTACATCTGGCTATTCCGATGCCTACGTCTTGAATCCAATGAATGCTGGTAAACCCGGGAAAATGGCGGGCCTGCCGGGATTTGAAATAGTGCCAGAGTCAAGGCTTGACTTCGAGTATTATAAGACGCGTTCCGAATTTGCAGCCGAACATGGTGGCGGCGATATTTTCGGTCGTTCCAATGATGTTATGCGCCCCGGGACGCCTGGTAGTTTATGGAATGGGAGCGAGCCAACGTCTAGATCGGGGAGTCCGACGATTCCAAGCATTCCCAGGCTAGATAGCCCGGGATTAATGACCAGAGCACTTTCACCTGGTTCTGACGCAGGTATGACTTATCCAAGCGGATACAACCAACCCTTGGGCAACCCTTACGCCCCTGAGCCCAGTATCAGTCGATCACGTAGCCCATTGTATGCGCATGCAAACGATAGTGGGTCTAACCTGGTAGGAAATGCAGCAGCGATGCCAATGGCTGCTCCTGTCAGAGCACCAGGTGGTGCAGGAATGTTGGGCGGTGGCCCGCGGGGTTACGGTGGTCTCCCGCAGGAAGAGGACTTCGGGCCGCCCGAACAGGATCCTATGCAATATAATTACTTCCGAGAAGCAAGAACTTCACGCAGGTATTAGGAGTAATTGATTTCCGACGAGAACGACTGTATATACAACTCGTCGCAAGAAAAGGCGGATTTGGCTATAGAGGCTTTCGGCGACTCGGGTGCGGCGTTTCTGGCTGAAGAAAGTTGGCCACGGTGACGGCGACCCACGACGACTTTTCTGATATCGAGTTATAGGCTATAATAGAAAGGGATGCATGATAACGACTTGATCTTTTTGGATAGATGGGACTTGGGCCTCATTTATAGCGGCTAACTTGGCTTATAATATGCAAGCAGGAAGAGTAGCCGACGTGCCCTGAGGGCCGTCTTAAATATTATACTAATATGCTATAAATACTAACGTAAATGTCCTTTTCGGATCATAGTGGAGTTGGTTGAGGATGTAAATACGAGGCAGAATTTGTGGCTGAGTCGTGTGTACCTAGGCTGACAGGCATCCGGGTAGTTTTTCTACTTATGCAGTCTTCCGATGTTACCAGTGCTCGTCTGCTGCTCGCAATTAGGGGGCAGGCATGCCTTTGAGCGTTACCTTATGCTGTGTTCCAGTGGTTAGGTACCTGGTTATATGATAGACCTGGGGAGCTGGCCTATCCTAGGACTCAAAGTCAACTTTGTTTTGAATATCACATTGCGATGTCCAGTTAATAGCCCATCGCCTTCGTAGCGTTGCACGGCTTTCTGCAGGTTTACGGCCTGCTACAGAACCCCGCAGCCCGAGCCTTGCGTACAAACGAGGTATCCCGCCTCACTCTTCAATATCAAAATACTAATCCGTCCTTGAAGTAATATTCAAATTCTCTCAGATGATTATTTATTTCTAGAACTATCTTGTCCAAGTATTGAAAATGGCAAGCGTCCCATATGAAATGTAAGACTAGCGCAGTTTAAAGGGGTCAATCCTACCATAGAAACCAACTTACAATACTCTCCAGTATCGCCGCTTCCAAGCCATTCCGATTCCTCGTCGGGCCGGACAAGAAAGAGTTCTCAATGCATGCCGAGCTGGTTGCACGGATGTCTAAACCCCTCTGGACTTTGGTCAATGGTGAATGGAAGGAAAGCAAGGAGAGATTCACGGAATGGCCCGACGTCGACGAGGGAACGTTTGTCCGGTTCTGCGAGTTTGCGTATACAGGGGATTATAAAGCTGCGGAACCGTTCGAAGATACGCCTGAAGTACTGAATGGGGAAAAGAGTATGCCATTAGAACCTATCTGACATAAATATACTCACAAGGACAGGCAGTGAAGCAACAGCTTCTACGCCGGGACCAACGGTCAACGGGGAACGAATTATCGAGGAAGCTTCAGCGTATGACGAACCATCACCAGAGGATCCCTGGGACACCCTTCGTATAACAAAAAAAAGTAAAGCAAGGAAATACTCGCCCTACCCAGGCGAATCGCCGTCGCCACCGTCAAACAAGGACATCATGTGGCGTAAATTTCAGGAGGAAATTAATGATGAGCCAGATAGGAGAGTGAAGGAAACTTCAAATACAGACCCTTCGAAAAACTACTCCGAGGTGCTCCTCTCACACGCACGCCTTTACGCCCTTGCAGATTGCTACGATATTGATACGCTTATGGGGCTCAGCATACGCAAATTACACCGGACGCTGAAAGTATTCAACCTCCACAAGGGGGCGAGAGTGACCGACGTAGCCCAGCTCGTCGATTACTCGTACAAAAACACGATGAATAAAGGGGACGAGCCAGACAAGCTAAGGAGCCTACTTGCGACCTATGTGGCGTGTAATATCGAGGAGATGTGGCCAAACGTCTATTTCCAGGATGTTCTAGAGTCGGCTGATGCTTCGAAGGCTATTATCGGGGAGCTACTCAGGAGATTGAACTAGTCACACTCAAGATACGTGGTGTATGGGATCGGTATTATTTATACCGGAACACTGTTCAATTGTATCGTAAGTAGTCGTCGAAAAGGTGAATAGGAAGAACCGATACACAGCCTTCATGACAAGTTCATTAGTGATACTGTTCTGAATGTCTTAAGTATAGGTACCTTGGCTATCTACCTAGGCACTTAAGGTATTCAATGTACTGAAACCCGTAAGGCTCTGTGAAAAAGCGTGTGTAAGTGTGCTATGCAACAATAAATATGGGTGATATTGAAGCTACCTTGCCTAATCATTAAGTTGATGCCTTAGTTGTGACTGAAACCGTATTCGCCATTGGGCAAGAGGCTTCGTCTCCGATGCCGAAGCCGTAAAGCACGGAGAATCGAACAATCTGTCTTCAGAGGTGCGAGTCTATTTCGTTTACTCTATTTGCTGTATCAAGCTCATAACATCTCAACATATCACCACCGTATAGAACCTGACAGCATAGTAGGGGTCGCTGCGGCGACGCTACAATTCACTGAAATTACTATTGAAATCACAAAGAGAATAGCTAGTTTTACAGTGCGACGAGATGTACTAGAATGTGTCAAGGGTCCGAAAGATTTTATCAATCGTTTAGGTAACCGACTAGGTGTTCTTAATAATACCATTCGACGGGTTGAGAAAGGGCTCAAGACTCTCGAGACGATGAACTCCTGGTTTTATCACCGCGGTCTTCCGATCCGAGATGTCCTAGAATGAGAGAGGATTCAAGCTCGTGATAAATTTAATAATGTAGTGTCTGGAAATGCGTGTTGGTGGGAAAGCGTATCGTCACACTTGCTATAATTCATTAACCCCCCTGAGAGCCACTCAAGATATCAATGTGATAATTCAGACGTGTACTTTGCTTTCAAAAATTAGTTCCTATTAAGAAAAAAAATTCTAAATCCATTCAAATGGCGTTTCATGGAAGTGTCTAATGCAGGCTGAAAAGCTGCTGTGTTATGGTAAAACGAGAGCCCGCCTAACCTAGCGGTCGTGAGTCTTTTCTTCGTTAATTATAGATCTAATCTAATACGTATATCGTGTCGTATCTTTACTATTATCATTAATATTAAACAACATCTAAAGGCGTTGCGACCCCTATTAGCATTATCATATACCCTCCCATATCCTGATCAATATATTCCTGAAGTATAATATCCTATCATTTGAGAGGCCCGCTGTCGCCAAGCTAAGCTGGTAGACCTTCCATAGCTCGACTTAGGCCACTTTCAATCGCGTAGCGGTAAATCATGTTTCAAAGTGTTGTCGTCCGCGTTCCGTCCTTTGGAGACTCAACTCTTCCGTCAACAGAGATGTCACAAGACCAAGGCCAGAGAAACCGATCATTGCGTAAAATACGCCGCGCATGGCCGACAAATATGCTTGTAAGACGGGTGCTATGTCCTCTATCGGAAGATTTACAGCCCGTATTATTGGGATAAAGGCGATGGCATTGTGCGGATCCCTGAGAAGACTAAGGGAGTCAGGCAATTCCCCAACCGTAGCAATCGCGGACGCAAAGGTGCTGCTGAATATTGTCGAACCAATAGCGAGTCCGACTAGACCACCCAAACACCGAAAGGTTAATAATAGGGCGATTGCATGCCCGGTGTCATCGACGCTCGATACGCTTGCCTGCATAGGAAGATGAAGAAGACGGAGTAGAGCGCCAACCCCTGCACCCCATATGATAGGGATTCCGTACCGCATACCAGCTGATGAGTACGGATCTAATAGAATTAACAAGCCAGTCCCCAGAATCACCAAGCCCCAGGATAGCCAAATCCTCCTCTGGTACCCCATTCCAGCCTTCCCGATTCCAATTACCGAAGCAATAGCACCTAGGACACTGGTGACGCTAGTAGGAAGTAATGATACCGCGGCTCCGATTCGTGTGTCAAGCATGACGGCTTGATAGGACAACGGAATATATTGTAGAAGTGTGTATAATGTCATACCGTGGATAAAAGCGCCACATAAGGTAACCGCCGCGGTTCGGGAGCGGAAGATTCGAAGTGGGATAACGGGGGCCTCGGGTTTCGTTTCGTAAAACACAAATAGTGCTATGACCGCCGCGCCCAGGAGCAGGGGAACGAGTGTTTGATAAGAATCCCATGGATACAAGGCATCAGCCCAGCTCAAGGGGAGCACAAACACGGTACATCCTATCGTAAGCAGCAACATGCCATTCCAATCCAATCGCTTCAGCTTGGCATCGAATGATGAACCGAGTGACCGAAGACGAAGAAAGAAAGCTAGTAAGGGAAATGCGACGCCCAAAAGCGGTAGGTTGATCCAACCAATCCACCGCCAAGTAACGTAGTCGCTGAAAAGCGCACCGACAGTTGGCCCAAGGATACTACCAATAGCAATGGGCAAGGCCATAATCCCGAGGTACAGAGGCCGCTCTTTTAGAGTGGTCATATCGGAAACGATGATCTCGCCAAGGACATCAAGACCGCCGCCACCTAGGCCTTGGACGACCCTGCCGGCGACGACGGCAGCCATGTTTTGGGCAAGGGAGAAGGAGAGAGAACCGGCGGTAAAGAGCAGGAAGGCTACGTAAAGCGGGGGTTTCCGGCCAAAGACGTCGGAAATACTCGCAAATAGGGGTAGACTGACAACGAGGCCGAGATAGTAAGCAATTCCGGCCCAAAACGATTCCAACGTACTGCCATGGAGTTCTTGCGCGATGCCCTAAGTGATGTTAGTACGGTCATCTCCGCCGTCATCTCCGACTTGATTCTCATAAAGCCAGTCGAGAAATCGAGTAGAGGGGAGTAAAAAGGGGTAAACCAATTACTTACGGGAATAGCCACTGCGAGAGTAGTAGCGTCTAGAGAAAATAGAAAGACGAGGATATTGATAGCCAAGAAAGAGAGATAGAACCCCAAAGGCTTCTTCTGCGTAGTGCCATCACCTGCTGCTTCGGCGTCGGTGTCGGTGCCAACCTCGACGGCTTCAGGCTGATCGATCTCAACAGACAGGTTCTCTGGTTTGTCCGTGCTGGTACCCGAGGTTTTGGGTTCGGTCGTAAAAGACTCCCTCGCGCCGGGCTCTGCGCTGACGTGCGTCATAATTAAATATTACAAAAATCCACCTGATGTTTGCTTGTCTATGTAAGTCAAGTCATACGGTTGGGGTATAAATGTAAGGAGATAGATATGTTGATGTCCAAGGGCTAAATTATCACGACCTAGAAGCCGCGCAATAGATAGATATTAAACCGCAGTAGTTGATCACGCCAAGATAAACATCGTTATATAGATAGGTACCTAGGTAGGTAGCTTTCCGTTTATGCGAAGCAAGAGGAATGAGGCTACAAAATCAAGAAGGTTGGTTTTGCGGATTTGAAATCTTATAGGCGGCCTCTGAGTTCCAATTGACTGATTGGTTCGGGTACCTGAATCCACAGATACCCCTTGAAGATCAAGTGGCCTATCATAGCGATTGTAGACCTGAAACAGCGGGTTATAATGGGACTTCAGCCCTACATGGCGCTACTATGTAGCTATGCCTTTAGCGAAATTAGGTACCTAAGACGGCAGGATTAATCGGTGATCGGGTAGTTGTATAAGGTCTAGGACTTTACGAATCTCGCTCATTAAATCCGACAATGTCTTCATCAACATCTCATTTATATTTGATATAGGTATTCTAATACAGGTAGCTTGAAAAGTCATAAGCTAGCTCGTTGTAAATTGACATGTACCAGCGTTTAGTACTTAGGTAACTTCTATAAGCACACACTATGCGGTAATGAACATTACATCTCAAATAGATTACGATTCAAATTTTTGCCAAACAGCTTATGGCCTTGTTCAAGAGAGAGGAAACAAGCCGGGTTTCCTAAAAAAGATAAGCCGTTAGGCAGCAGTATTTGGAAGATCATAATGCAACCAAACACCGGCAAGAGAATAAACATTTCCAGCCGCTGTTACCTTAGATACTTCTCAAGGTAGGCGATGTCTTTAGCTGAAACACAAATCGACCATATGGTCATTATTTAAATAACAGCTCTTTACATAGGTATTTATTAGAAATATAGACTTTAGTATTAGTTCTAGCCCATATCGTCTGTTCATCTTGTTGGGTAAATTTGCCAAGAATAACTATACTAAGAGACGGTCACTATAAGGCCTTCTTAGCTGGTGCCGATAAATGTGCTCGAGGCGAGGTAGGCACTAATATTATATTTCACATCAGGTGATATTACAACAAATGATCATTGAATTTGAGCAGTCATAGAAAAGTTTCGAATTATAAGCTTCCTCTATGATAAGAATAGCCATATTAATATTTCTTAAGGGCTGTGGAATAATACGGAATATTGACAATATCATGTCGGTTAAGAGTAAACAAAATATCCGAGGCGCAGCGATTTCCTATTAATCCATTCATTGCCTGTTATTCATGAATAGAGACCAACCAAAGTTATACAGTATGACCTCTTTAACAATTTAGTCTGATGGGAATGGGTGGCGGGAAAGAAAGGCCTGGAAACCTATTTGGACGTACGGGAATAACGGGGAGTAAAACAGGTACCTATCAAAACTAGGTAAACTTAAGCCCCTTTCTCGCCTGTATCTTTCTCCTTTCTAGGGCACATGTGCTCCAATATGGATTTCATACCATCGTTACAGGGATTTGGCGGACCCCTGAAATATACATCATCGACAAAGATCTCAACAACGAGACCAACACTCGATTCTTCGAATTTCTGCCCCCAAGAATACTCAAACTTCGTACCTTGAATAAGCGATTCGATGGTAGTGGTCACCTTTTGCATCTGGGTTAGGTATTCCTGTGGATACGCATCCCATAGCTCCTTAGGCAGTAGATTTGTTCGTACTGATCCAGGACAGATGGCGTAGGTTCTTATACCGTCCTCTTCATAGAAGGTAGGGGCAATCGAGCGCATAAAATTTATTATGCCCGCTTTGGCGGCCGAGTAGAGAGGGGTGATGGATTGAGGATACTGGATATATATGAGGTGCGGGTATTACCACAAGTATTCAATCAAAACTTACTATGCCAGCAATACTAGATGTCATAATGAGGACGCAATCCTTGCCGCTGTTCGCATTTGCCCTGAAGTAATGTTGAGCAAGGTAACTTGTCTTAGTTACTCCTTTCAGATTGACATCGATAGATAGTTCTTCTGGTTCTGGTGGCGGCGAGGACGGGTTGTGCCTCGCGAAGAACTTCCCCTTTTCCATGACACCAGCATTCGCGAAGACAAAGTCGAGTTGACCTTCGGTCTTGAAAACAGCATGGAACGCGGATGAGAGCGAATCCCACGAGGCGACGTCAACTTGGTGGAAAGCGCAGTTACCTAGACCAAGCTCTAAGACATCTTCCCCAATTACGTTCAAGTCGAAGACGTGTACTCGCCAACCCTTTTGAGATAAAGATCTGGCAATAGCCAGTCCCAATCCTGATGCACCACCAGTTATGATAGCTACTTTGGACTTTGCCATTGCTCACATATGATACCTACGACAGGCAATTTCTTTTAGGATAGCGTATAATAATAAAAGATTTCGAAGCTTTCTGGTACTGGCTGCTGTCATAACGATACCTAGGTTAATTTTGTTTAGGTAGGGGTTCCCCGCACCGGCATTTCGTGAGGTTGTTAAAATGTGCACCTTTACAATGTGGGAATATCAACGATCGGCATCTCAAATGTCGTAGGAGAGAAGAGCCGCATCGTGGTTGGTACTGACACTAAGGTGACGTGTAATATATTCAATGGAGAATAGAGGTTGACACGCTGCTAGAACTGACACTTGTCACGAGCAGCAATGCGATAAATGTGATAAAGTAGGCAGTCTGCCACGCTCTTAAAAACGCGTGGACATATGATGATGCTCTGTTGATATGGTGCTGTCTCTATAACAGTATTGCGGTTCTTACTTGATGATATTAAAACGAACGATATTCTTTTCGTCCCGTATCTCATTTAGAGTTGAAAATGACTTGTCATATGCAGTAGGCAATGGTAGGATGATGATGAGTTGCTCAGTCTGCTAAATTATTATCTTCACAAAGTTCATAGAAAGGTACATCAGTCCTAAGGTACGTACCAATGCGTATACTAATCGGTCAATCCAATCAAATACTGGGAAGCTAAGCGAGAGGGTCCAGATTGGTGGAAAGTTCAGCTAGACCGCTGCACCTAGTTCACCGCTTTCTATTTTGGGTAGTCGGAATCAACGTGGGTCCCTCGCCGCGAGTCGCGACGCCAATTTTAAGTGCAGCAGAGCTCTCTAGGTGATGAGAGCATAACAGCTTCCTATTCTCTTTTAATTCACTTCTAGTTCTTGCCCTTTTCACTACGCTCTCTATTTGCTCAAATTGATGTAACTCTAAGAACAATTGTTAATAAATACTTACTCTAATACTCTTTTTTTTTTTTTTTCGAGTCTATTGTTTCTTCCTTATTTTGATTTTTTTTTTTTTATCTGGCGTGAATTATTACATGTCATGCATGTATATATCACCTAAACGACTATGCTCTTCTCTGCTTGACTTTGACCCCGGTTACTGTCGTTACTCGAGATAATGGATCGCGGTCGACTGAATTCTCCGGGCGTCTTGGCCGCAAAACCCAACGGACATACAAACGGTTTTAGTCACGGCGACGGTCGCGCTAGCAAGAACGCGACACAGTTCTTCGGTCAGCGACGAGCATCGAAAAACACCAGCAAACCCGAGTCAAAAGAGAACAATATTACATCCGACGGCGAGACTAGCACCAGTAGCGGTTCTCGTCATCCGCTATACACAGGTCCCAAGTATATTCCGAATACTCGCAGATTCAGTCCATCCCCACGCAAAAACTCCGAATCGCCGCGCGAGACGCGAATACCTCTCCCCATGAGTCCAACACCTTTTACGACCTCGCCTAGCCCCCGAGACAAGCAAGGAAACTCTCAGAAGCAAACCCTCGATATGCGCCAACCCATGAGCTTCAGATCAGCCTTTGAGCTGGCTAAGAAGCAGGAAGTGGATGACCAGCTCGACGACGACGATACCTTTAGCATTAAACACGCCTTTAATATAGCCAGCGCCGAGATGAACGGGCGTATCGACGGCTCCCCTAGTCCTGCTCCACGAAAATCGCAACTGAATCGTCAATCACACGGCGCACTTCCACGAAGAACAGCGACAAGTAGTCCGAACACCGACCTAGGGCGTCATCTCCAACGGTTTGACCGAAATCACCAACTTAGCACAGGTAACGGGCCACTTAACGGGTTGTTTGGTAAAACTCGAGTAGGGTCCAACGTGTCAGAAGCTGGTAACGTCCTCGCCAAAAAAGTGAGCGACGGCAATCTCAGAGGTTCCCCAGCGCGTCGCAGAGAAAGTCAATGGGAAACTAGGTTAGCAAAGCAAGATCCTGCTAATGCGCCTGTACCTATCCCGTCAATCGAGTATGAACCTGCTAGCGATGACCGAGCTTCTCCGATCGACGAACTTGTCCCTCGATCACCCGAAAAAAGCTTTAATTGGCATTTAGATGCCGATTTTACGGCCGGAGATCTCCAAATCTCCGATAGTCCTCGCATCCGGGCCGGTCAGTCTAACGAGCAACCTACCCGACGGTCGCCAAGTGTGACGAGTTCTCCGGTTAGGAATACACCCAATATGCGTCGCAGCAATAATCGGATAGACCAAATTCGGCAGAAAGAAATTGAGGTTGCGAATGCTGTCTTGCCGGAAGAAGATATATCTTCATCTATGCGAGCAAACAGCCGACTCGACGAAATAAGGGCACGAGAAAGAGAAGCGCTATCTAAACGGGCGATGGCTACGAGTAAGCTTGAAGAAATCCGAATGAGAAATTCCGAAGCACGTTCGGAATCGCCGGAGGCCGGAAGGAAATCCTACAGAGAAGATTTACGTAGGACCTCGCTCCAGTCTGAAGAAGCCACAAAGACGCCAGATAGTAAACCAGGGCTAGGGGCGAAAGAAGATCAAGTTCTGAGCACCCCCGCCACCGCTTTCCGAAGCCCAAATAAACAGAAACCCAACGAGTCTCCGAAACAGAAGGAGAAAGAAAATGAAACTAAGGTGGAAGAGGACAGAAAGGGTGCCCGACTCCCACGAAATGATTCACAGGACTTGCTTCGGCGTCTCGCGCGAGCGACAAGTGCCAGCCCGCCTGCTGAAAAGACTGAACAACCTGTCATTCTAGATAATCCCCCACCAAAGGTACCATCTGAGAGTAGGGAAAGCAGTCGCCCACGTCCAACACGAGAGGAAAGGAGATCCGGGAATCTGGAAGTTAAGAGCTCCAGAGAAAGGCCAACAGTCGGATTTACGGGCTTGCCAAGGGATTCGTCTATCGACTCTGTTCGGGAAAAGAAGACTAGTCGTTCCAGCTCTGAAGTAGATCCCACGGACCGCATTGAAGCCGAGATGAAACTATTCGCGCCGCTCGACAATTACTCCGAGAAAGGCTCCGTCCGAGCGCCATCACCCATTCCGCCAGAGCCAATTGATGAAGAGACACCACGCCCGAGTAAGATTGACCCATTGACACAACCGACCCCTCGCGTCACCGGGGCGTATATTGAAACACCGGCCACCGTTAGAGTTAAGCAAGAGGAACGCCTAGAGAATAAAAGGGCGTTAGATGACTCTAATCGATCTCTGAAAATGGATTCCGAAGTTCGTGCTAGAAGCTCTAGCGACCCCTCGAACGTTGGCCACGTTAAATCTGAAGATGGTGATACTCAAGATCTGAGAAAGGCATCAATACCACGATCTTCTTCGGTCCCCGCGACTTCTCGTCGCGCTAGATCCGCTTCCAGACGCCGTCGGCCTCGTCGTCCCCTGATCAATACTGCTAAACCACCGTCGGTCAAAGATGATATTCGTGCGATACTACGCATGAACCAGATAGACGATTCCACGCTTGAAGATTTTGACAACATTCTTGCCGACCAGGAAATTGATGATGAAGAACTCGAGAAAATGGTGAACGACACCATGGACAAGATTGACAATGATCTTGAATTTCCGGAACTCTCGGAACGGGACCGTGAGCTTCAGGTTTACGACAGGATGAGCAAGTCGCTGAAGACTGGTCTTCTAGGCATTCGATCCGCGAAGAAAGGGATCGAACGCCTAGAAGATAAGGTTATGCATACCGAGCTTAAGAAAAGTTCAGCTCATACCGTTCCAACCGCCCCCATCCCCAAACCCGAAACGAACATATCCGTTCCTAATGCTGCCTCTGTTATACTCCCTGTCCCTGCCCTGTACCGAAGATCCCCCAAATTCAGACTCACGAAGTTGGGCGTATTAACACTTGTCGTGCTCATATGGTACGTTATCGAGTCAGTTTTCTGTTTCCTATACACGCCTCATTACGAGTGTACACCGGAGTTACCATGTGATTGGTCACCAAACGAACCATACTTTCCATATGCGATGCCTTTCATGCTGGATGAATGGGCCACAGGCGGCAAAGGGAGAGCGTTGACATGGAAGGTTGGGGAAGAAATCGGAGACGTGGTTGCCGATGTCTCGGACTGGATTACAAAGACGGATTTTACTCAATTTGACGAGAAGTTTATGAACGTCTGGGAGCGGAAGAGACATAGGAGGCGACTACGGAAACGTGGCTTAATTCCAAAATGGGTGGCACCTCCTGATTATACACCCAAATATGCAGAATGGAATGCTGCCCGGTTGGCCAGGGAAGCTGCTGAAGAAGATGGATATGAAGTGGGATATGAAGTGGAAGATGAGACCATGAGCGCAGACGAGAGAATTAGGTGAGACACGCCAGCAATCACGATAGGGCTTTGGGTCCTAGTGAAGAAGTCATCTTGGCGAACATTACAGTATATAATTTTGGGACGGCTACGGCTATGCTCATTCGAGTGTCAACTGTGTGTAGGGTATCCAAGGTGTAATTTTATTTTTGCATTTGCAACTGGTGGACTGTTTACGGAGTATTCACTGGCTTGGGCGTTGCGGTCTCGTCAGAACAAGTTTTAACAGACAAGGAATACTTGACGCTTATACCAACTTACAGCACATAGTACTAAAATTACGTAGGCTACAGTCATAATAATGGAAAAGAGATCTCCCAGCGGTTATGGGGTCTAGTGTATTCTTAGAAGCTGTCGGATTCCCGCATTCCATGCATCCCTTGGATCCTCAGCTTGTTCTAGCCCATGATGATCCTCCCATTGCCAAGATTTATGTTTCCGCCTCGAGCCGCAACTTCAACTCAGATATATACCAGTGTAAACTAGAGGTCATATGAACTAACACCACCTACGCAATCAAGCTTATTAAATAGGAAGTGATCTAGATCCAGCCACAAAACTAGAGGCATTGGTGAGTCGGGGCCAACTGACGGGCAGACGGGGAACCCCGATGACGAAATTGATCTTCAAGTCTATGACGGTTCGACACCAGCCTCTTAGTTCACGACAGCCCAATTTCTGATTGGACAACGGAAACGGACTGAGACAAAGCCACCAAAGTGTCCAACTTGATCGCTGTCAACGTCTGATGTCATGACTACCTGAATTGCTATGTAGTATCGAGTAAGACGGCAAAGCTGAAGCATACCTGCGAAAGCACTGCAAGATATTGGAGCTGTGGCGTAATTTATCCAAGCTGTATATTATGGGCTGGTTTCTCTGTTGAGCTTGCATAATATTGGATATATATAAGATTGGTGAATCATCTCCTCATGTTGTTGCAATAACAATAAATTGATATCATCTATACTTCTACCTGATACAAGATACCCTCTAATTATATTCAGTAGCCGAATATATCAATCAATACTTAACACACCTCACGCAACTCTCACAATGGCTTCCTACACCGTTCCGCAAGAATCTGAACCCCATCCACCAGGATCCTTCCCGACAGACGACACGGTTGGCACACAGGATTCCAGCTTAACTTCCTCGGGCTCACGTCATCAACACAATAAGCTACACAAACGAGAAGACCCAAGGGGATGGAGTGAGGAAGAGAAGGCAACGTGGGGACATCAACATACGGACTCGGGTATTGGTTTAACAGATCCGAGCCTTTCATCAAACCCCAATATTCGTGGCCAAGTGGACGAAGGAACTTTCCAATCGAATAATGCTACTACTACAACGAGGTCGCCTAACTACCAAGGAAACGAGGGCAAGCCTGGCGTCATGACTGGCGCCTATGGTCACAACAATGTTAATAGCGGTGGCAACTACTATCCAAAGTCGACCGCGGAAGATACGTCTTCTCAAAACCAAACCAGCGCAAGGGGTATCGGTGCTGTCGGGCCCGCAACGGGGTTAGCTACTGCTACTGGACAAAATACAGAGTCAAGGCAAATGCCTGAGGATCGTAACACCATTCGGAATGGCTTACGTCAAACCAGCAACGTTGAGCACGAGGATCCATATTGGGGTGACGTTCCCCACGGTACTGGCATCTATAACACAGTTACTGGACATGGTAGCTCTGAGACAGCTACTGAAGGTTCCCTTCATTCGCATGATCCTCTGAGTCACGAGCAGCAGCGTGCATTCCCACTTGCAACTTCTAACAACGCTCCCCACGACGAGACCGGTCACCGTACAGATTCACGGTTTAAGGAGAACCTAGGCGAATCCACTACAGGTGCAGCTGCTGGTCTCACCACCTACGAACTTGCTGAAAGGCGGCGAGACCATCAACATGAGGACGATCTGAAAGAGCCTACCGCCCGCAAGCACCACGGAGCAGATACCAAAAAGGAGAGTAAAATCGGTGGCTTATTCCATCGGGATCACAAGGACGAGAAGGAAACCAAGTCTGAGAAGCTCAAGGAACCAGTTCCTAGTAAAGATGACAGATCGTTAAGAGAAAGGGACGCCGGCGTAGCTCTCGCAGCCGCTACTGGAGCATATGGTGCGAAGAACCACGCCGACAAGCATGACAAGAAAACTAGAGAATCTGAGCATGATGTTGCAGACGAAAAGGCGAATGCACTTTATCAGCATCCTAATGAGAAGATTGACTCGAAGGATCCTTTTATCGCGGCTGGATACAAAGAGCCTGGCAGTCAGGGTTCTACAAAGATTACGAACAACGCTTATCCCCCTTCTGAAGATGTGACCACGAGAGATCACCCCTTTACTACCTCTCAGACCACAGAGAAGCTTAACGAAAGAAATGATTCAAAGCTTGGCTACGGCCTCGCAGCTGCTGGTGTAGGAGCCGGTGCTGGGTATGCTGCCCAGGAGCACAGCCACAGGGACAGCGACAAGAATAAGGTGCATCCCAACCAGCAAGCATTCCACGATTCGACGACGGCGTCAAAGGCAACTACGCAACCATCGGACGCAGGGTACACTATCGGCAAGCCTCAACTCGCAGTATTTTCTGGCACCGGAGAGGCCACCGCTCCCCATGACAAGACGCAGGGTCTACCACAGACGAGTTCCGGCGCTAACCGCTCTATCGATGACCCTAGCCATCATGGCGAGTATAACGTCCTGCAAGACGGTACTCCCTCCGGCGTTAACATTGGAGATCATCATTACGGCGACAAGAAGAATGTGGCATTTTCGTCACAGGATGCTACGCGCGGCGCCGTGACGAAGGATAACCACACTGGTGCTAAAGCAGCGGTAGCCGGTGCTGGTGTTGCTGGCGCGGGCACTGCGGCTCACTACACTGGCGAGCGTAACAGCAACACTTCATCCGCGCCCTATGAGGTCTCTGGCGCCAACGGTCGCGCACCTACGCACTTGATCCATGACAGCACTTACAAAACCCTGCCGACCGGCACTCCCTCCGGTATTAACGTCGACGACGGCCAACAATATGACAAGCACAATGTCGCTACGTCGTCTCCTACCAGTGCTACACGAGGCGCTGTAGATGACAACAACCACAGCCGAGCCAAAGCTGCTGCTGCTGGTGCCGCCGGTGTAGTTGGTGCCGGAGCCGCTGCAAAGCACCACTCCCAGCGCGACACTAACAATACCACCGCCGTCCCATCCACCACCACATCTCACGACCGCCAGTCCCCCACCACCAGGTCCAACCGCGCATCGAGCCACTCCAGCCACGGCGGACAATACAACGTCCTCCCATCCGGCACACCCTCAGGCATCAACATCGGCGAGCGCGACGGCCTCGGCCGCAAGAGCCTCGATAACACTACCAGCAAGGCCAAGACACCCGCAACCGCATCTCATCCCACTGCTACGAGCGCGGTCCCCGCTTCGAAGAAGGATGCCACTACTAGTACGTCGGCGGCAGTCATCCCCGCACGTTTGAATCCCGCGGACAAGGTGCTGCATCGGTGCAGGAAGTGCGGCGAGGAGAATGATATCACGGGGTACTTCCGCGTATAAGAGGGAGAATGATGGGTATGAATAATGAGAGAGTATATGCTATGACTACTTGGGCTGGGACTAGGACTGGGATATGAACTGTATAAGACACTGGTCAGGATTGGAAACGATGGGTGTGTGATTATGTGGGAATGAGATTTAGCTATAACGAGAATACGAAAATAACTATCTGATAACTATATCAGGTGTGTAGTCAGTCAGTGATGTTTTCTCGCAATAGTGTTTGTAAGATGAAGTGGATTGAATACCCTCCCTGATCTGAAATTGGTATCGAAAGACGAACACCATTAAATTGACACTAGGTATTCCATATCATAATACACTTGGACATAATTAATGCTTACTACATACACAGTGTGGTTATAGTATATATAGTTTCTGCTGCTTGAATTCGTTATTAGCGTCCAAGGGGGCTAACAAGATCCACCCACCACTGGGGAAAAAATCACCAAAATACTCCAGACTCCACTTTGGCGTAGCGGAGTCGAAAAAAATTGCAAAAGTAAATGCATGAACGGGGAGTCGAACCCCGAGCTCAACCTTGCACTGGATAATGGAAGGGTTGAATGTTACCGCTACACCATTCATGCTTATGATTCTGGCCATACATTTAGTATTATATCACCCAGTCTTCAGTCAGTCAAGCTACCATCTAGTGTAGCAGAAGATTGCTAGTTTCGAGATTGCCTGATTACCCAACTTTCAGTTCCAATCGTACTCTTTTCTTCAAGGCTTATTTATTATTTAGAGAGTTCATTCACTACTTCCAATTTATCTACTATGTAGGGAACTTATCACAGGGTGGTTAGCACGCATGGAATAAAGGAGTTGTGTGAATGTGAACTAATACTCAGCCCTATGTTAGAAGGCAGCTCCTAGATCTTTACCACGACAAAGTGGTTATTGCTCAGTGCTTGCTCGCATTGAAGAAATATCAAATGTATGGCTTGCATATAATAATTAGTACCTACCTAGGCTTAAGATATCCAACTGCCATGGCGATCGTGAACAGGTGAGTGTACCGTAAATCCAAATCGCCAGGGACGACATCGCCGGGGGCGACACAAGTTTAGTCAAAATACTTGACAGCAATTTCACTTTTAGCAAGATCTTAGACTTGCCTTCTTTCATCGCAGCCTAAGTCAAAGATCGATCGAACAACACCCCAGTGAATCAACAGTGACATCCCTACTCATAGGCTATCCTCAACTCGTGCCACCCATCACATCTCCCCCTTCATCGTATCTCTACCATAAGAAAGCTGAGCTCCGCGCCCTTGACGATTCAAACCATGGATCAAGATCAAGATCAAAACCAGCAGATTCAAGTCATGGATCAAGATCAGGATCAAAACCAGCAGCTCGACGTGACGGACCCTCAGGAGGAGCTTCGAGAATGGTCGCCTCCTTTTTTTGATTTTGGTTTCAATATTACCAAACAGGGACTCGCATGTGTCCCACAGGAGCTCCTCGACGCTGAGTGCTCAAAGCTCTACATCGAGTTCTTGTTACAGTTTCTGGAGCCAGAAACCGAAGGCCCTGAATCAGAAAAAATCCCCGTTACTGCACACACCGTTTTAAAGGCCGATTTCATGACTCCTCTTGGCCATTACAAAGGAGTTCGAATAGCCATGGATTTAGATAGGCAGGCATTGTGTGAAGAATCCGGGGTGCTGGGCGTAAAGTTTCGCACATACTCGGGAAAAACTACGTCTTCGATCCGTACTTTCGCTTTTCCTGTGATTGGTTCTGTGACAATTGGCCAGATGCTCGAAACCATGACTAGCAAGAAGATGGAGCATTTCGAGTTTGATTATGATGACGATGACCATATCCATGGATGCTCCGACTTTATGTAAGCTCAACTATCCACAGCGCTACCAAGCATCAGTCTTTGAATGCTAACGAAATTTGTTCCTAGTGTCCAAGCATTCTATCAGCTCGAAACCCAGGGCTTTGTTAGTCCTCAAGTCGAAAGTGTTCTTCCAGAGAAGCCTCAGATGCCTGACGGGCTGACCGCGTACGATGTTCTGGCTATGAAGTTCAATCGCCAGAGGGCGCATATGGAATACTCTATCGGCAAAGGTAAATTCTTGTGCTACACGCGTGTCAATGAACCCTACATGAAATACGCCGAGTAAAGCCTCGATGGAGGCCAACCGAAATCACCTGGATCCCTGTTTCTTGGTTTGTGTTTTTTTCCTGGTTGCTTTTGACGGATTCTCGATGATACCCAAGGGCGTGAATTAGGATGAGTGAATATTGGCGAGGAGAATACCCATGCAGGCGGAATTGTATTTAATCATGGAGTAGGCTGTAAGTTCGTTGGAATGTTGTTTGAAGCTGGTCTGAAGTGGCCATAATAGTCTACAGACCAGGCTATAATCATAGTCCTTGTTTCGTGTTTCTGATTTGCAGATGCCGGGAGCATGAATTGCATATTCGAGGGGCTCTCATAGCTTAATTATAGTCGTGATATCGCATCTCTATATAGCTGAATGAATTGAGAGAACCCTACCTCTTACCCTCCTCGAAAATAGCAACTTGCTTAAAATTTAAGAAAACGCATGCACTCGCAAGCTCGCGCAAGCGTTTTCACGTGCTCGCAGGCTCGCACGTGAAAATCCGTCGAAAACATCAAATCTCTTATCAATTTTCTTATCATTTATTAATAAATTACTTATCAATTACTTATCATTTCCTTATCAATTTCGCATAATAATTTCCAAGAGTTCCAGCGTAAAAAATGTCTCCGACGGATAATGCTTTTGTTTACGGGATCTGCGTAGATTGCGATCTAAGAAAATACTAACGTGACCTTCGCATTAGTGGTAATATGCTTACTTTGTACATACTTGAAAAAATGTGGTGTAAGAATTTGGTGGTGGTTTAATACCGCTACCTACCTAGAAGTTCTCCTATCTACTAAAAGATCCTTTTTTTTTTTTTTTTTCAACTACCTATTGCTGAGCGGCTTTTCAAGGATGGTACATCATCGGAATTAGAACCACTATTCTAATTCATATGTATTCTGTAAAGGTGCAAAGGCGTCTCGTTTTGTTTCATATGGGCTAAACTAGATCAGTAATGTGTTCCTGACGACTTGCTATATTTAGCCCGGCTACGTCAGGAGGGTAGTATTGCGGAGCTAGCCCTGTGAAACGAGAATAACAAGGTATCTAGGTAGCTAGCTAGGTACTTGGATATTCCTTCAAATCTTAAAGATAATTATACAAAGGCAATCCAATGCTGTTATCATAGATTCTTTAGACTTTTATGATAATACTGTTGCTAATTACTTGTTTTTTTTTCTATATTTCCTTATGGTGAGAAGCATTCTTGCGCACGGCATTACATATCTCGCATTAATAATGTACCGACATCGCGAAGCTCACGCTAAGATCAACAGATCTACGGTCGAACTGCTCTATCAGTCTATGAGAATGGGGTATTGCCCCGTAGGGTTCACTCGCATTCGCCTGGGGGTCCAGGTAGGGGTTAGTACATACACCCATGTCTAAGCTCTGCCTTACGCCGCAAATTTAACCCTGGTTTTGGGGGCTGAATAGGGACTTTTTTCTCTTTCTGTAGCGGATGAGCGGGCGTAGCAAGCGGTCAGCCAACTTATTTTTATCAGCCCATAACGCTGATTCGATAGAGCCCGACGATTACCTAGCATAGATTTCATCGTCATGTCCGTGCTATCGATTCCTATCATGAGATGATTTTCATTCACAGCCAACAGCTCGGTAGACTGACTATCTTTAGGTAGGATTATGGCGTTGCTGGCGGAGTACCTACCTATACACAACTCATTCAGCCGCAGCTTGCCACAACCAGACTCGATTGTGGATCCTAGATAGGTAATGTGATGGGATGAGATGGGTGTTTCGTCAGGAGATGAATCCTTTATTACCTGGGTATAGGTACATCGTGTCTAAGCTGCCAGGGTTCGTTCGATTATTAATCTTGAGTAACTTCGCTGAATATTTACAAAGGTTTTGTCTTTTATTTCTTCATCTAATATTTCCTCGATCTTTCTCCTAGCTAGCCAATCTCTGGTATTATTCCATTACAATTCCTGTAATCAGTGTAAGACGAACGCAGACAAAGAAGCCAATTAGTTCAACATTGTCCCTGTTATAACCTTCGACGAGTCGGTCCATTTGCGAATATCACGATAATGGACAGCAGCCAAGAGAAATACGTCTACACTGGACCTGAGTATCCCCAAGGCACCGATCCCCAATACCAAATGCAAGCTCATCCGCAAGCACAACCGCAAGCACAACCGCAAGCCCACCCGCAGGTAGGAGCTTATGTGCACCCTCACGCGCCCCAGCAACCGCAAGCGATTCCCCGAGAAGCCTACGGCCAGCAAGGTGGTGAATGGCAAGCGAGTCTATGCGATTGCTCGCCATGCTCGAGCTGCCTACTAGCCTGGTGTCTACCATGTCTCCGTAAGTGCCTCGATTTCAATCCACCATAGGGATATAAGTCGATTGGCTAACATGATCTCTTTTCCTTCGTAGTGCTCGGTCAAACCTCCGAGCGAATTCGGGATCCCTCGATGCAGACGGCCGACATGATGAACAGCGATTGCATGATTCACGGTTTGATAAATGTTTTCACCGGCTGCGGATGGATGTACGTTTCCCCCTTCTAATTGGTTTACGTCGATCCCAGTGTTGATCTTTATCTCAGCTACGGCATGCTCAAGCGAACCGAGATCCGCGAGCGCTACAACATCGAGGGAAGCGGATTTAACGACTGCTGCGTATCGTTCTGGTGCTCGTGCTGCGCTCTCATCCAGCAAGATAACGAAGTCAAGATTCGCCAACAAAAAGCTCAACCTATTGCTCAAGGCTACCAGCCGCAACCAGGCATGCAAATGCCGGCGCCCGCCTACGCGCCGCAACACTGATCCTTCGGCACCGGATCTTTGATTCTTAATTTGAAACCACCAATTTTACCAATATATAATGATTTCTGAGAGTTTTTGTAAATTTAAGGGGCGATTGGAAATTGCTTCGACCCAGCTTGGATATAGTTATGAACGGACTTTTAGGGCTGTGGGCAAAGATGCATGTCGGAATCGATGACGCCGTGTGCTATTGAGATATGTAGGTGGAATGTATTTGAGAGAGGTATACCCAGGACGAAGAGGAATGAAAATGTTAACTCGGAACGAGTTTATACACGGAATTATACCTGTTTGGCTAAATGTAGGAACCACACAAATGGAATCGCGACCATTCTAGATGTGTCTTTTATTAGACCATGATATGTTCACTATACGGAGTGTGTATAGTTTTCGAACATGATTGCACTTCGTTGAATTCCAATTTAACTATTACTTTGCTCCTAAGGTGCTAACCATACCTATCGTCGTATGAAACTATAAACTTCGCCGTCTAGGTCGATGGGATGGGACCAACTAATGTTAAATTAAAACTCCAATTTCTACAAGGGTATTCATATCTAATGTCACAAGGCGCCTATTCTACACTATCCATTCCCACGAATAGTGCTTTGATCCTTTAGGCCGAGTTTCCCATTTCGTGGCTTCATACATGTTTCGGTCCTGAATTTTGTAACCGTGAATAACTTCAGCCATGAGTGGGGTCTGTAGATGGGCGATGAACTGTGCTTTCTCGCCCTCCGTGAAATCGATCCAGCTTTCGCCCTCTCCATTTTCACGCAATATTTTAGTAGCACCTACAGACGTCGGAGCAATACCTACAGTGCCACGCCAATGTGTATAGTATCTAGTACATCCCTCGGGAACCGCTGGTATATCTGACCGCATGCGCTTGGGGATTTGGGAGCTTCCATCGATTCTACCTTGTTCCACACTCTCATTCGGCCCCCTCTTCCTCTTCGAACCTGGCTGGCACCCGCTCGAACTCTTATCAATGCTTTCGACCGCTGGTGCTGGCACTTTGCGTAATGGTTCGACTAAACGGATATACCTATCAATGTCGTCGGCATTTTGTGCAAGGATTATTACGCCTTCGGCTGCAGGCATGAAGTTGAAAGTCGCCTCAAATACATTGTTCAACATAGTCTTCCTGATCTCTATCCAACTGCTGCCAGCTTCGCGTTGGACTCCCAGAAGGGTAGCCTCAACTATGTAGGAGCCTTCGAGTCCGCGGTTGCGCACAACATTAGCCACGTACTCTTGGTGAGGTCGTAACCGCGACGCCGTCTTCTTCTCGAGCTTTTTCTCGTGTGCGAGGATGGTATGCTGCTTTTTCAATTGACGCCGCACGGCAGCATTTTCTTTGGCCAGCGTTGCATATTCCTTGCACGCCTGCTTAACGGCTTTTTTATCCCATCCAACCCAAAGCATCTTCTGAAAATCATTACCTACTTTTTGACAGTACAATCCCTTGATTTGCTCTATAGCTGTCATGACGACGTCGAAGTTGATCCCGCGGAAGGGCATGGGATCTGGAAGGATATCTGGATCACTGTAATAAGTTTCCAGGAACATATCGATGTCAAAATTGAGCTTCTCCTCCAAGGTAGCTAAATTATCAAAGTCTGCTTGTCGACGGCCGGAGAAGCATGACTCTTTGTAGGCCGAGGATTGTGCTTCCCAGTCCGCCTTCATCTTTTCGAGCTGACCTGGCATAAACGCCTGATATTGTCTCTTGATATCGTCGAACTGAGATCTTTTGGTTAGTAGAGCCATAAGGTTAATGTCTAGCAGTATATATGAATATATATATATCAACGTACATCAGGTTTGAGAGATTCTCTGCGGAAGAGTTCTCGTAATTCATCCCTCGAATAACTGTCTGCGGGTCCTAGCACCATGCCATAGTGTCGGCTCTGAGCTTCGAGCCAAGTTTTCGTCACTACTCGGAACGTCTCTGTACGCCATTCACGGCGTTGGTCTTCATTGGCCCCCTCCGGCTCGAAGAGGAGCCTCTTTATCTCCGAAGGCTCCACGCGAGGTATGCCTTTCACGGTAAGCCTACCATTATACTTAAAGCCTTGACCGAACACCGGCTGGGGTTTAGGGGCCAAAGGCTCATACTCCATCTTTGGTGATGGATACCTATGTATTAGGGACTATGAGGTTGTATGTAGTATATATTGAATAAGAAATAGTTAAATCCCAACCCGGTGGGTATATCTTAAAAGCACATTACAATTTCCGCATACTTGATTTTTAAGTACTCATATAAGGTTAGGTAGGTATGGATGGTGAAGTGGAAGTCGCCAATTGATGACGAAGAGATCAAAATTCCATTGAAACTGCTGTGATTGTATTGTACAACTAGCTGAACGGGGTTGAGATTACCTATGTATCCCGGCCCGTTAAAGATATGGAAATCGGTTAAATCTTTTGCCGATATTGCGTTTTAATCTAAATGACTTATCGATAAAGTCTTACATAATTAGGTATCGATAACATCAATCTTATGTAATACAATCGATGTTAGTTACAGGAGACTCTAATTTTAGTCACTTTTTAAACCATCAACGGTATCGTAACTAAGATTCGAATCTTTTCAACTAAATAGCTCAACGCGCGTTTGCTTTAGAATAAAAACAACGTCTTATTTTGAGTCCTTACGTTACAAGGATTCGAAACATATCGAATATATTTAATAATAGCTTATTGCGGCTGTTTATTTCAGGTAAAGGCCTTTCGAGAATTCACAGGACTCCTGAGATTGCGTATACACGTGACCTCGTGAAACCATTCACAATCTTATCAGATCTGTTATCGATCTAAAACGCTAATTATCATTGCCTAAAGGTCCCGATATTTCATTATCGATAATGGCTCGTACTTGTAACCAAAATAAGCGTCGCGCTGATGAGGATAAGGATGAGGCTGGCGGTCTCAATTGGGACCTTGTTGCCATGCTTGATCAAGATCCTAAAGGAAAACCTCATTTCCCAGTCCCGTACGATGATAATACTGCCGACGATGACGATCTTCCTGAAACCTTTGTAACTGACACGTTGAACGATGCCGATTGCCAACGTTATACAGCTTGGTGTCTCAAACGTATTCAAACGATGCGAGTCAGCAATAGTGTCGCAAGTATGCTTGACGATCCAGCAGTAAGATCGATGCCTTTAAGTCTTAGTTAATAGTTAATTCTTGGTCGTTAACATAGTAAATAGCTTACCGTTAAATGGTCTTTGCCTCTTCAAACATATTATAAGGACCGAGCCCAACGCCTCCGGGGACTTGAATTAAATGCTACCCCATCTACAAATCATGAGGGTTTGTTTTAAGCCCCCTTTTATCCCGGTTATTTTTTATCCCGATTATTACTTTTAACAAGTTTTTAGCTGTTTATGGCGCTATGGTCGGTATCGTTCTCCCTCCAGAGATGTATTGCGAGTATTGTAAAAAATAATGTAAGTTACTGTAGGGTTACCCGACTGCCCGGTCGCCTATGTACAAGCCCCTGTCCAGGGGCAGAACTGGAAATAAAATATGTGATACCCCACCAGCCCCTTTTATACACAGGTATTAGGTACCCTTACCCTTTTAACTGATAGTGTACATAGTAAGTTCTGAATGCCTTCTTTATTTAAAGCAAGTAACTTGGCACTCAATGTACTTAAAAGCATAAGTTGAATTAAAGTGGTATAGTTTTCATCTTAGAGCTATAAATATAGGTTATAATACCTCATATTAGCATCATATATGCACATGTATGGTAAGTAAGAAATAACAGGCATTTCTAACAATAAATGCGTTGCCCCTAAATCGTATGTATTATTGTCGGTAGACAAGGTCTAGTCTATATTGTACGTATGGTCTAGGGGGGTAGGGGGGTAAGAAAAAAGACACGATGCAGCAAGGTAGACCTTCTATTCTATGATGCATTCTCGTAAGATCGAGATAGATGCGGTCTCGAGGGAGAGACGCATCTATATACTCGTGCGGGACGGATTGTCATCTAATCCGAGTAGGGATAGGTCCACAGGTCATCCCGAGAAGTATCCCGCCATTCTTTTTTCCAGAGCCAGAAATATCCGATGGCGCGCGATGCCGACGTTTGAGGTTCAGTAGGTATATAATTATAGCAGCCACCACAAATACCCAGCGGCGTAACTAATCCTCGCCATTCCATTGTAGTTGATGGGTACTGCATCCGTAAACGAACGGTGCACGCCATGGGAGAGGTATTCACTTCACCGAGCAAGGAAAATGGTCCGATATCATCTACCCCATCAGATGCCTCCAGTGAGTATGTATCGCCGTCGGTGTTAGTCTTGCGAAAACATATTGTAATGGGACGGCCCATTCGAGCTCTCGGCCGTAGGCTATATGCGAAGGACCCGCACCATTCACCCACGACTTCATTTGCCAGGTCGCGCACTCGTGTGGTATACCAGGACCACCATCCATCACCGGCGAAGGGATAGAAGTAACGGCCTTTTTTTCCTCGGACAGATATAAGACTAGGCGTAGGAAGTGGGAATCGTGCTCGTAGAGACGTAGCCCTCATCCATGTACCATGTTCAACATCTTCTTCTTCTTCTTGGCCGCTTTCAAAATACCAGGAACCAATGAATTCAATGTTCCTTGGGTTTGGGATCTCTATTAACGTTCGGGTACCTTTTGTTAACAATCTGATTTCCAGCAAGCACGAGATATAGGGCTCCTCACCTAATCCATCCCAGTAAATATTCCGCGCAATGAGTTCTATTAGAAGAAGCGCATGTGTCTGTCTACCTATCCACGAATTCTGAAATTTGTCATATCCTTTATTAAGTGTGTTGCCGTCGTATATTTTCTTGATAATAGCAATATAACTGTTCGTTACTGGAAGATTAATACTTAGATCATGGGCTCTGGACTGGCACCACTTTTCGAGTTTACTTAAGACCAAACAGAAAGCGAATTGTAGTGGATTCTCGCCGCCGATGCACTGATCAATTCTATTGGTATTCAAGTCTTTGGATCGAGAAAAGAGACTAGGACATAGATTGTCAAGTATAGCAGCGACACCAGAATTGCAGGCCGTTGTGTCTATGCAAGCCATCAGTGAGACAATCCTAAAGAGAGAGCAGGGTTATAACGTGAATATAACACTCACATCCCCATATAGGTAACGTAGAAAGTAAAGCTATTAAGCCTTGGAGAGCTGCTTTCGTGTCTTCGCTTAGTTGCGGCGGTCTTCTCATAGTCAGCGCGAGTTTCCCGCAAACCTTGACAGTTGATGCTATTGGTTCGGCTAATTTTTCCAAATCTGCCTCGACACCTGGAAGCCGGGCTACAGCCATAGCGAGACAAAGCCATGTCATCTTTGGGCCTTCATTGCGCTGACAAGGCTTGTTGGGACCATGAATATAGCCATCCATAAAATGTACCAATGCGGCCTTATTCCCGAAGGTGGCAGAGGTGAGTTCGGGAAGCTAGTGTGAAGAAATCAGTTCTAGACCTTAGGATGATTGGGTAATATACGTTGAAGTAATAATACATAAAGCTGGAACGACATTCGGAAGACGGCAGCAGTATCGCATGCTTCGTTAATAATTCGACATGTCCGACTGAGCGCTAGAATGTCTAGGGCCGTGCATCTTCCAGCGATAATCTGGAGTAGCTCTACGGGGAGATCCGTGATAGCGGGCATTTTGAGCCTAGTAGAGAGGTTCGATTCAAAAATGGATTCTAGGAAGCAGAAGTTCAACAAGGAATGACATATATAAGCGTAGGAATGAGGAGTGAGGAGTTCGAGATTAGGATGTTAACCCTAAAGATACATTAGACATCGGAGTCTCAGTACCAGGTACCTAAGGCATCCATTTAAATTCACGATTCGCTCCGTAACATCGCGCCTTTTCTTGCCCCGCCATCAAGCTTCAAGTGACATGGATGTAACTTCGGCGTCCGTACAGATCCAATACATCGTCGGGGATCCAGAATACGCAATGACAATATAAAACTCACTATGTTAAGAATTGATTTAAATTTGCGGCGACAGGTCGATCGATGAATAGGTTAATGAGCACCTACTAAGGTAGGTACTCAGTAGGATTGTTTGTTTGTATTCAGGATCCCTGACCTATTTATATAAAGAGATGGGATGACTAAGTATTTCTTATAATCGAATGGTTTCATGATCTCATGATGAGATTGAATTAGCGGGTCTGCTCAGACACCGCTCAGGTAAATTTGTAGGATTCGTCATTTCATTGTAAGGGAATTTGCTATCAGGTACACTACAAGATTTTGATATCCTCGTACCTTCTTCTCTCTGTCCTACTTAATTTTTTTACTCGCCCAGCGAGCCGCATGGAAAAGTTGATGCCTCATTAGCTATTAATCTCACTTTTTTATTGTTGAGAATGGCTATCCTATTGGACCTACCTAATGAGATTCTCATCTCGATTCTTGATGCCCTCGCTGATGTCGATCTTCAGTCACTCATCATCTTACAACTCATGAACCGCCGGCTTTATACGCTTGCGAAGGATATCCTATGCGACGTTAAGAGTATCTGGAGCACCGACGACGCGAGGGATGATGAGGGAACGCGAATACATCCTCTTTGGAGAACAAAATTTAAAGGCCTATTCGATACGTCGGATTGCTTTACGGACGAGGAGAAGAGGAGAATGGCGTTTCTAACGCTCAACGGCGATTACACACTCCCCTTCCGCAGGCTCCCATGGGCACAAACGGAAAGTGAACGTGACGTGTATCGCCGCCCAGGAGCGAGTTGGCGCGAAATTAGCCTTACTTTCGGCCGAGCTCCCATAACGCACTTAGATGTCGTCAAGAGTTATTCCGCTCCTGAGGGCGATGCAGTCGACTACTACCAAGTTGATCTACCACCGTCCGGTATGACAATGGGTCTCTTCTATGACGTTCTCCTATGCGACAAGGCAACATACGGCTATGAGACGGGTAGTTGGGAATTGATCGTCGGCCGAAGATTACGCAGTTTCGACGTCTTATTCGAATACGAATGCTTCATTCCGGATGATAGAGACCTAGTCGACATCGGTAAAGAAGCACGCCAGGCCGCAGTGTTGTATGTGCGGGGGGGCCCAGTGAGCCGTAAATTCACACCCGATGCCGTGGACAGTTGGGTGGTTAACAACAATATGGAACAACGACTGCTTCGATGGCAAGGGCCAATCCAGAATTTCATTTTTACCGGATATTTCGACTAAGTTAGGTACCTAACCTAAGGTAGTTGGAATTATTTAAAGTTGAAGGTTTCTAATCGTGATTACCTACCTTACCGCCCGGGGGGGGTCTTTAAAAATGTTTACAATAATAATGTCAAATTATTAAAATAATGTTACACGAACATGTTAAGGAAAAGGTTTTTAAGTAAATATATATTTATTTTATACATACTTTTAAATATTAAATATAGTTTATATACATAATATACTTTTAAGTTAAAAATATATTTATTTTAAATATAAGTTTATATATATAATATACTTTTAAATTAAAATAATTTTTATTAAAAATAATTTTAAAAGTATAACATATTAAAGTAATGTTAAAATAATACTTACGTAAATAAGGAAAAAAGTAAAAAAGTAAAAAAAAAAAAATTTTTTAAAACAAATAGTTATTTTATAAAAATTTAAACGCATAACCTTAAAATTTTATATTAAAGTTAAAAGTTAACGTATAATTACCTTATATTATATAAGTGGTTAATCCATTTAATTAAACTAATTAATTATATAAAAAACATTAAAATTTTACTTATATAAAACCTCGTTACATATATAAAAAAAATTTTTAAAAATATTATTAAAATAATCTTTTATCTTAAAATAATCATATAATATAAAATTATTTTAATATTTAAAATATTTATATATATAACATTATTAAATTAAAAAAATTATTTATATAATTATATAATTTTATATTTAAAAATTATATTACGTATAATATAATAACAGTCATTATTTTTAAAAAATAAATTTATTTTATTTTTTTAATTTCATTACTTAAATATTTTTACCACAAAAATTATCTCTATAAGTATTTTCAAATACCCCCCCCGCGCGCTAAGGTAGGTATACGGTGGACATACCTAGACTTTATTGCAAACCCAATTACGTCATTTTTCGAAGTCCTAGTGTAGGCGGTAAAGATTGCCCAAGCCCGCCCCTTAGGTACCTAGCTAGACCCGACGGGACAATTTCACGCCCGTACCTACACTAACTTCAAACTTTTTCCCAACCACGAACGAGTTTATTTCTAACCGATGTAAGATCTTCGTTGCACAAGGAAACATTCGAACCAATAAAAGTTCCCATCCTAGGACTACACGCTTCTACATCTGAGGTATTGATTCCTAATCGTGTAGATATATAAGCATCCAATTAGTAATGACACGGCTTATTTCTTTTCCTATTTCTTATTAGCGACCAATCGCAATCTCTTTTATATCGTACAAGGCTTTGAGGTGCATCTTGACAGATTTACATTGACGTTACTACGCGTCTGGATACAAGGCTCGCGTAGAGCTATGTACCAACCAACCAACTATTCCAACCTAGATTGAGTCCTAGATGGAATTGGTTGACATAGTGTATGTATAATCTGAATATAGTGGGGCTTGAAATATTCAATGGCATGAATTACTAACGAATAGCGTTACAGAAGTGATGAAATGGGAAAAGACTACCGTCACCGCCCTCTTTCCGCTGTGCTTTGGACTTGTCCAGAACAAGAAGTGACACGTTTCAACCCCGTGTAAATACCGGTATACTGACAAATACGAAATCCACCTTGGAATTATTCTAGTCCTGTTCCTGAAGCTTCTAGTGCATATCCAATGATATAAATAACAGGTACCTTTTCGGGCCTAGAGTGTAATAAGAGGGGTTGTCCTCCATCTGCTCCAATTCCGATTACAACATTTAAACCATCGATTGCAACATCGCAAATAGTCTTTTCACCTACCATAACTCCTAAAACACCATACTTCCATATTCACTCAATAATCATGGCACCTTTTGGCAAGATTTACTCCTACCCGGGAAACCCCCGTGTCGAACGGGTAAGTCTTTTTATATTATATATAATAACTACATAATTTAGACTCATCAAACCTAACTTCTTCGCAGGCTCAAGTTGTGGCTGCTTTCAATGGCCTCGAGGTACCCTTAACTGAGGGCTTCAAGATGATGGTAGACAACAAGACCCCCGAATTCTTGGCCAAGTTCCCCATGGGAAAAGTCCCAGCTCTAGAGTGTGCCGACGGCTTCTGCATCGCCGAGAGCGGTGCCATCTGCTACTACCTTGCGCGTTCGGGGCCCAAGAAGGATCAACTGCTCGGCAATGATCCCAAGACCCAGGCTCTTATCGACCAATGGGTTTTCTTAGCCGAGACAGATTTAATCCAAGACGTCATCCCGCCCGCAGCCATGGTGCTCTACAAGGTATACGCTTGGGACGAAGAGCGCTACAACAAATCTGTGGAAGCCACCGTGCGCGTTCTGAGGCGTATCGAGACCGCTCTCCAAGACGGGCAGAAGTACCTTGTCGGCGACAACGTCACTCTTGCCGATATCATGATAGCGGGCTGTGTGTTCTTCGCCTCCAGGTTCCTCATCGACGCCGAGATGCGCAAGGAAATTCCCAACGTCGTTGCCTGGGCGCAGCGACTAGCAGCCCTCCCCGAGTTCAAGCCCTTGGGCGAGTTCAACATGCTAGAGACTCGTGTCAAGCCATGAAAGACTTGTTAAGATAGCGGGGAACATATCCACTGCTATCTTAGGTTAGGGTATCTATGAAGGCAAACTATGGGCATCACGAAAAGCTTTAGGAGGCATTGAAATATCAATAAGGATAAAGTCGAGTCAAGCCCGAAGGTCTGATAGTATCGCAGCATGGCATGTCCATGTCAATTGCTCGGATCATGGTTTGGGGGTGGAAGGTATCGGTAAAATCAAGATAGTTTCATATCAACCTACCAATGCAATAATTTCGGCCCATATGCAATCCTCTCTTTAGACCATTTCAGTCTGACAAGTAGGTAATCATAGTATAAACTACATATTGGAAGGACAATACGTTTACGACTCTAAGCCGACGATTGAATATTAATTGCCCAAAGGCGTAACGTAACAGTACCGCCTAGACATACTAATACAACTAACAAAATAACAACTGCGGGGGCGCTACTTATTCATAAGGAATATATAAAGATTGATGCTTCTCATCATTCCGCTTCACCATCTGAGCTCACCAATTCACGCCCTTTTATATACCATTTGCCGTTCCAGTCAAGTATAAGCGAATCAGCAAGACGCAGACCCACCGGGATGATGACGACAGCAGCAAGATGCTACGCAACGAGAATATCAGCTAGTTGCGCCCTCCCGACTACAAGCCGCCGGTCTCCGGTCCCGGAAAGTATTTTACGGTCCGGACCCACGACCCCCCAGAGACGATTTATATTTTCCAAACTTACAAGGATTTCACGTATATCTCAGACTAGGGAGTTTTCTAATCTCCGAAAAGACAATCCGGCAGGCATAAATACTACACTGTCAAGTAGCAGCCGGAAAAGAATACAGAGTGTCATGGCACAAAGCGCAAACACACACCACATCGTTGTCGCTCTGGAAGCTTCAATCGTCCCAGTTCCGCCGCTGGACCTCCCCGCGCCACATACATACGAGCTCCGGGAGTACGGGAGGACGCGGCCGGAAGAGGTGGCCGAGAGGGTAAAAGATGCCGACGTAGTCATCGTAACTATTGTTCAGCTCAAGGCCGACATCCTGCGGCCCGAGATGACCCCACGCCTGAAAATGGTAGCTGTGGTAGCATCCGGGACCGACTGCGTGGATCTAGCAGCATGCAGGGCCCGGGGGATCGTCGTGGGCAACACGCCGCATTGCAACACTGTTTCCGTCGCCGAGCACGTCGTTGCGCTATACTTCGCTACGAGAAGATCGGTAGCGCTTGTACACACGATGGTCCAGTCGGGCGAATGGAGGAAGGAGATGTTGCACAATACCCTCAATGGTCCGGATGGCAGGGCGCCCAGGACCTGTCGGGACGAAACCCTTGGAATCATTGGCTATGGTGCCGTGGGGAAGGCACTCGAGTCTACTGCTAAAAGCTTGGGTATGAAGGTCCTTATATCTGGACGCAAAGGCGCTTCGACAGTGCCAGAGGGCCGCACTCCATTCGATACCCTGATCCGCGAGAGCTCGGTTATCGCGTTATGCCTGCCGCGGTCTCCGGAGACGATGAACATGATCTCCAACGCCGAACTGGACGCTATGAAGCCCTATGCGGTTATAGTCAACGTTTCCCGAGGGGGTATCGTGGATGAGAAGGCACTTCTGACAGCCCTGAAGTCGAGAAAGATTGCTGGTTATGGTACAGATGTCTACGAGCAGGAACCCGCAAATCCTGATAATAGCCCTCTGGTAGGGCCTGACGTGGCTGGCCTTAACATAGTTACTACGCCGCACGTTGCTTGGTGCGCGGGCGACACTATCTCAAATTACAATAGAGCGACGAAGGAAAATATTGCTGGATGGCTGACTACTGGGCAGCCAAAGTATTCGGTGGTGTAAGGAGTGCGGGCTATTAGGTACCTGATATTCGGGCTACCATATTACATTGCATGATAGATACCTAGAGTATAGAAATAAAAGGTAGTTAGATGGTATACATATATATACTTGTTATGTTGGTGCCAACGGTGGGTTGCCCAGCTGTGCACGGGGGTTATGGAGATAATAAATAAAATAAGAGGCTGCACGGTAACCCGGGAAAGAGTATCTAAGAAAGTATTCCTTATAACTCATAATAAAATAGCAAACCATCACCCAAAATGGAACGTCCCAATGGAGGCTGCGGCCTGAGAAGCTGGTGCCACCCCATGACTTGATGGTTAGAAAACCCCAAAGGGGCTTTTCGTAAGGAGAGCTTAAGAAGTCACGCCTATAACTTTCAATTCTACCTAAGTAAAATCCTAGGATTGAAATCGAAAGTACGATCACTTTAAACTATAGGAAAAGAATGCTCGTTAACTTTTATAACCGCCGTAGATAACGTGATCACATCTGCCTATGATATTTCGTCCGTAGAGGACGAATATAACAGGTATATGGCTTGTTGAGGTTTAAAAAAAGTCGGAACACAAGCACAAATACGACTCGGTTCGTCCTCCCATTTATTTCTTAGTGTTATATTAAATTCTACTGATCTTCCCACTACGGCATCACTTAATCACGTCAACTCAAATTGCCATTTCTCATAATATCTAAACCACCTACTTAAGGAGTTACATACCACAGCTGGAAATAGACTTTACAGAGTCGACACATACGAAGGCGTAGGTGTTGGCCTAGTTGCTTAAATAAAACATATCACTTTACATCGAAGAGTATGTGTTGACTCTCTACCGACGCTTGTGGCAATCTATTTAAAAGTATCTAAGAAAGCAATGATACCTGCCTATCCATAGTGTCCATAGTGTTTAAGGTTACGTTATATTTAGTGTTGTACGGTGAGTTTCTTGAGGCAACACCCCATGACAACAGTAATCATGAGCTTTAGGCTCTTGTTAACGACCACCACAGCTTATATTCTTATGCTAGATCTTTTGTGAACTCGCGTAATGAGAATGACAGAGGGGTAGTTAACTATACGGAATACATAGAATAAAGTATGTAACTAGGTCTAGTTATGCTCGATGATCACTTAAGTCTTGGGGATAGGCAATGGGGTATTACCTAGGTATGTAACTATCTCCTAACCTAGGTTTCCCTCTTACTCTCTTTATTTACTCTTCTCGACTTAATCTCTTCATCTTTTTCTCAACTAGGTATCTCTCACGTCTTCGGAAGAAACTCTCTTGGCGCCAAAGCTAATGCTCTCTGTAGAAGAGGCAATGTCAAAGTCATCATCTAATGTGCCAAGTAGATAATACCCGGGTTCGACCCACTCAGCACCAGCCATAGTCTGGAAATGGGACAGTAATTTCCACACACCTTACCCGAATCGGATGATGCCCGGGGAAGCAGAAGGTTTGAATACGAGGACATTGCTTTCATCCCCTTATTTTGGTGGATAGGGGTGACTATTGACTATGTACCGAAAAAGAAAAAAAGGAATAAGAATAAAGGCCTAGGCGCATGGCCTAATTTGCAAATATGTATGCTTTTCATCACTAGGTTATCAAGCAACCCATCTGACAAGACAAGATGACGCGCCTAGCAAGATTGGCTTTGGCCATTTTCGCACTCGCTGTTCCAGCACTGGCTAAGGAAGTCGACATCTTGAGTCTGCAGGACGGCGACGAAGTGCCCGGCAGATACATCGTGAGCCTCAAGCCCGACATCGATATCGCGAACCACTTAGACTGGGTGCTCAACGTGCGCAAACGGAGCCTCTCCCCCTGCAGCACTCGCGGTCCCGAGAAGACGTATGGGTTTAAGGGCTTCAACGGGTACGCGGGCGAGTTCGACGAGAAGACCATCGCGCAGATCAGGGCTAATGAGAATGTAACGTCCAGTTCCTAACCCCTTTGTAACGCGCACCTGCTTACGCTCCCAGGTCCTGGCCGTAGAACCCGACAGAGTCGCGCGTCTGACGTCCGTAACGAAGCAGACCAATGCGCCGTGGGGCATTGCAAGTCTATCTTCGCGATCGCGACTTGCTAATGGCACTTCACGGGGCTACACGTATTCTTATAGCGACTGCGCGGGGACTGGGACGTATGCCTACGTGCTAGACTCGGGAGTCCTAACCAACAACACCGAGTTCGGGGGCCGCGCCATTAAAGGCTATAACACATATATGGACAAGGAGTCCTTCGACGACCACTTCGGCCACGGGACCCATGTTGCTGGCACAATTGCTTCAAATACCTGGTATGTATGAAAACATCTTGCCTTGTTATTTTCGAACCCCCTTTCTAGAATGGTGTCCAAATATAGTGGCTAACGCTCGGTAGTAAGTGTACTAATCCTATCATCTCGACTCACTCGAACGCTGTAAATATTCTAGAATGAAGGATTGCAAAGCTGACGCATGAGATGTTTTCGTACATTAGATGGTGTAGCGAAGAATGCGACTATTGTAGACGTTAAGGTTGTCAGAGGGCCAGTAAGTTGAATCTCTACTCACCTAGCTTAGGTATATTATTGCGTTCTTATGCTGAGTGTGAAATCGTAGGGTTACTCGACAGTATCCCACGTTATCGACGGGATAAACTGGGCCGTGAACAACATCACCTCGACGCCGGGACGAGCCAGCAAGTCTGTCATCAACATGAGTCTAGGTATATAACTTGAAAAATCTCACACTCCACTCCATCTCCCATCTAACAACCTCCTAGCGTTCACAACCTCATCAGCCCTCAACAACGCTGTCAACGCTGCCTCTTTTCTAGGCATACTCTCCGTCGTTAGCGCAGGCAATGACGGCGCCGATGCCTCGACACGTTCTCCCGCCTCGGCCTCGTCCGCCTTGACGGTAGGTGCCGTGGCTTGGGATCGGACCCGAGCTTCGTGGAGCAATTTTGGGCGTGACGTCGACATATTCGCTCCTGGAGTCAACATACCCTCGTTGTGGAACGTGGAGGGCCAAGAGACCCTTCAGTCTGGTACCTCCATGGCGTCGCCGCACGTCGCGGGGCTTGCGTTATACCTCAAAACGCTCGAAGCGGGACTAGATTCGCCTGCCAAGACGGTTGCCCGCATCAAGGAGTTGGCTATCGCGGATGTCGTTATTGATGCGGGGAGCGGCAGCCCGAACTTACTGGCTTATAACGGCATTGCGTGATGTACTATATAGAATGCTAATGTCGTGGGAACGACGGGTTACGGATTGCACGCATACGTATCATAGACTATGTGAATGGGAAAATCATTCAAGAGGAATTGTACTGATTATTTTATCGTTGAACAATCTAGAAAGCATCTCATAATTACACATGTATGGAATAGTCAATTCTCGACGTGATAACACTTCTTGATACACATGTCACAATCGTCATCAACATTAAACTGTCCATCACAAGTATCAATAGGGTGTACAATATGTGGGTTGCTCAACCGAGTATGAAAAGTTTTGGTAATCGGTATCATCCTAATCCTAGTGTAGGCACCGTAGCCTCGATGCCGGAGATGTAACCCTGTGTAAGGAAAAAACAATCGTACATGCAAATCTCAGACCCCCCGTACCTCTCAGCAAGAACTTTTCTGGTCCGTTCCATGCCCCCGCCAATCAAAACGAGGGAGTAAGCGATAACCCCCAAGAGCTCATTAGAGTAGAGAAAGTCTCATGATCAACTTTGCGGAAAAAGAAAAGGTGGCATGGTCACTGTTGTTACCAATGCTAGTAGTACTTCAGATCTAGTAGTACTTATCGGATCTAACCCGATGCCTCTTAATCAGGTCCGGGGATGTCTGCGATTCAGCCGCTTGCGTGATGACTAGTGGTAGTTACCACCCCAACCACCTTGCTGTTGCCGACCGCCGTAATAGTTGCCGAAACCTTGGTTGGCTCCGTAACTTCCATACGGACCATTGCCGTGCCCTTGGCCACCGGTGCCCCCGAGGCCATAGGCGCTCCCTGCGGACTGGTTGCCGTGCAGACCGTGACTTAGATGGCTGGGGTAGCCTCCATATCCGCCCATACCTTGCTGGGCTGACTGGGGAGGTGGAAGGCCAGATGCCGCAACAGTGTTTGTAGCGGAACCAGGTCTTGCGGCGGCGCTAAGGGAAGGGCTAGGTCCACCAGCTGCCTTCGAGTCGCCATACGGTTTCAAGTCGTCGTTTACTGGGCCCGTACTTGAAGCAGGTGCGTTCGGGGCGTTGAAAGACTGCCCTGCCTGAGAGGGGTAACCTGAGCCACGTCCGAACGTGTCGTGCATCCCGCCGAACCCACTGCCACCAAGACCGCCTGGCGCACCCGACTGAGTAGAGCCTGCGCGACCGTAGTTATCGATGCCGGAAGCTATTGCGCTATCGCGACCACCGAGAGAGGATTGACCAAAGCCGCTCGTTGCGGGAGAAGAGGCGTGGTCGTAAGGGCCCTGTGGAGACATCCCGTACTGGTGGGGTTGTCCATAAAGTCCCCCTTTACCGTATGGGCTGCCGTATGCTCCCTGTCCATAGGCACCGCCATACTGGCTCATGTACTGGGCGTAGTACGGACTCGAGTAGTACGGGTGAGAATAGGGATATTGGTTTGTATGTGGCTGTTGATGAAGGTTCGATTGAGGCTGAGTAGCTTGGCTCGAAGCCTGTTGGCCGCCTTGGCCGATCGGATTTGGTGTATTGTGGCCACTGTTGTGAGACTCGGCGGGAGCAGTAGCTCCGTATCTAGTCTGCTGAGCGCCGCTCTGCGGATACTGACTTAAGTTATCATTCTGACCGGCATTGTAGCTGCTAAATCCACGGTTTGGAGCGTTTGAAGTCTCGTGATGGCTTTGGCCAGTATGCTGTTGCCCATATTGCTGTTGCCCATAATAATTATTGTATGAACTACGAAGCTGCGGGTCGTTTGAATACGGTGGGTAATCACTCGGTGCGGAGCTAAATGCACCACTAGCTTGCGGTCCTGACGCTTGGGTGGTAGGCGTTGGGAAGTTATCGAGGCCAGCCGAGCTGGTAGCAGTCTGCTGGCCGAAGGTATCGAATGATTTCTGTGGGAAGCCGGCCGGTTCTTGCGTATTGGCTTGACCATAGCGTCCAAATTGCTGGTTGCTCGAGGGCGCTTGCGGCGCTGTAAGAAGATTAGTAGGGTGACTGACTTGGGGATACTGAGACATACGCTGTGCTGTAATGGCGGCGGGACCGGTCGGCGGGGCTACGGGTGTCGCTAGACGACGATTAGTGAGCTGCTTCTTTTGAGAACGGTGAAAGGGTGATCTACCAGTTGCGCTGGGTGCTGAGGGTAAAGAGGTAGCCGGCTTCTGAGTGGCCGCAAATGCGTCGGGTACTGCTGCAGGTTGAGATACCGGGGGCAACGAGGCACGGGGAACGGCGATCGGAGATTCAGGTGGCGGTTGAGTTCTAGTCTCAGGATCCTCACGGTCACCATCGATATCATCTTCGATTCCGTTTAGGCTGAAAGCACCGAATTGTACGGCGGCACGGTCGACCTCGCGGTTCCCAGGCATTCGGACCGCTTCTTCCTGCTCAAGAAGGCGCTTTTGATAACTAGGCATGCGGGGGGCAGGTCGTTCGGTTGCCTTAATCGCGGTTGTCGCAAAGCCGCTAGCAGCTGGGCGTGTAGTCTGGTGCTGCGCCTGGGAGGCCGAGAGCGGAGTCGCCGTAGCACTATGCTGCGGTTGTCTGGGATCCCAGGAATCTGCGGCTGTGCTAGCAGCTGTAGCGGTCGCCGGAGGTTGAGATTCGTCGGGTAGCTGCTCGAGGTTGACTCGGGTTAAATCGTCTTCGGGAGGGGGTAGTGCCACTTCGGGTTCGACAACCTTAGGCGTCTCTACAGGGGCAGGCTGTTCGGCGGCCTCTTTCGGGGCTTCCTCAGGTGTAGGCTGCGGTTCGGGCTCGGGGGCGGGGGCGGGGGTGGCGATAGGTTCGGCTGGCGGAAGAGGTTCCAACACTTCGGCAGGCTTTGGCGCAGGGGCTTCCTTCGGTTTCGGTGTTGGTTTCGGGGCGGTTGACTGGCGTAGCATGCTAGCCCAGGTCTTCTGTGTACCTTGCGGGATAACACTAGGTTTAGCGGGAGCCGAATCAGTAGTAGCGGTGGCGGGCGCGGGAGTAGCAGCATCTTCGGTAATAGAATCAGTTGTGCCCCAAGCTGGGGCGCCTTGATCGTTGATAATAGCTTCTTCAGTGGTGATATTGGTGGTTCCCCACCCAGAGGATTCTTCAGTGGGAACGGAAAGTTGCTGGTTCTCCTTTGACCGTTGACCATTTGTAGTAGTATGAGAAGTTGCCCGGCCTCTGCCACTTCCTCGACCTCGCTCATTACCACGACCACGACCACCTCGTACACCATCTGAGCGACCGCCACGAACTGGTCTGTTGTGACTGGTCGATTCGGCGAGGCCACCTGAAGCGGAAGCATCCTTAGGCTTAGGGCGGGTAGTGGTCTTCTTCTGCTTTGATACTTCGCCCCACTGGGAGATAGTACCTATAAGTGATAAATTATATTAGCATGGTGAAACGGTGAAAGAGAGAGGGGTGACGAGGAGTTAGGAGGGTAAAAGCGTACCTTCAGCAATTCGTGTAGCGGCGACTTCAACATCACCGTCTGTTTCCTTTAGTGCATAGAGAATATCGGCATCCGACCAGTTCGGGAAGAGCTCTTTAATAGTGTCGAGCTTTCCACCATACTGCTTCCTGAGTTGGCTAACATCACCGTCGTCATCGAAAGCGGTCGTATCTGCAATCGTCAACTTATCGCCATTAGTCCGTCTGTTCGTAGAAGTACGGCTGGCGAAGCCTCCTCTGCCACCGCGGCCACCACCTCTGCCACGAGAGGTTGGTGCCTGTGATCGAGCCTGAACCTCAGCCATCTCTTAAGACTTAGGTTAGACAATATGATATGTGGTGTAAATGATTCCCTTCTTAGAAGGGAGTTTCAACGATAGCAGTCAAATCGGCGATAACACCAGTGTGGTGGGCGTTGTTGAAATGTGAAATGGTGGAGAAGTAAAGTTAAGTTGTAGGTTGAGTGACAGAATTGATTTGAGTGGGTGGAAGAGGTAAGAAGTTGGGGGCGCGTGGCACTGTATGCGATTCGACGCAGGTGAAGGTGAGGCTGACAAAAACGTGCGACGTGTCAATAACGCGACGGCAGGCGAATTGGCCAATTGTCTTTAGACAATGGCAATCGGGGTTGAAGTAAGAGAAGCTTCAATGCGAGAGAGGGATGCTTAAGGTAGATATTTGCTTTGTGTGTGTTGTAGTACGTGCGTGGTGTGAGAAGGCAATCCCAGAAGCTTGCAACGAAAAAGGGAAGTGGATTGGATCTGAAGGCTTTTTCGGCTGTTGGATTATCTAATAGTCCTGGCCTATCTGATGTAGGTTGTAGGTACCACTTTGTACCACCTAGGTTTGCTCTTAGGTATGTCAGGCCCATATGTTGTGTAGATAGGTACATTTACATGTACTGTGATACTTTGAAAAACATGACTTTAGGCCGGATTGGTGCAGGTAGCCCTCTGACTTGGGTAGGGATTTAGCCCCACAAACGCTGAACTCTTTTTTCTAATGATTGGGGTTACCGTACAGGTGGAACCTTGTGATAGCACGTGCGAGTCAGTACCTACATATCGGAGTACCTAAGTACAGTATGGGGAAGGTCGACCTTGAGACCTTCAATGTTGGCTAGCAGACAGTTAGGTACACACAGACACAGTAAGATCAATCTGCATGCTTTATACACATATATGCGTACCTCCAGACCTCTATGAAAATTACAGTATCTCGTCCGGAGAAAACCTCCTCCCATGCCTTTGTTTGTTTAATGGTATCTTGAAGATATTATAGCTATCCGTTTTAGGTAGATACATCTATCTATAATTGTAATTTTATGAAGGTATCTACAGATAATAAAATGCGTGTATGTAGTGTAACGGATCTGAGATCCGCGAAGCTAACCAAATGCAATTCATTCCACGTCGATTGAACAATAGCCGAATTCAATGGTTTAGCTTACGTGCCAAACCCTCAAAATCTATCCGTATTCGTATCAACCCTTGTTTTAAGAAAATCGCAAGCTACCTATCTTATCGATCTAGGTAGTTTCTACCGTGCAGTTATGGCCAGCGCTATGACGAACATTGCGTGTCCAAACTTACAACTTCCTTTACTTATCGTAGGGCTGAGGGGACGCGCTCCATGTCGTCATGGCCATTGACTTCTTATTTAATTTAGCGATAAACTCAGAATTTTATCCGGAGTAGGTATTACTACATATTTCAAGCCATGGCGTTGTCCGTGCCGCGCGGCTCAGTGCTGTGTGACCATTACCTGACACAGTCGCATATTTGGTTCATCATTTGACTTATTCCGACTATATCGCCGCTTGCGTTAGGTATCTGGCATGGCGAGACTGTGGTGCTTCACGCTACCGTATTATTATGATAAGCTTCTGGGAATTCGATACTTTGTACGTCATGGTATCTCTTATTCGACTGACAATCTTACACATAGATAATGTGATGAATTTATAGGTGTGCAAGACATCTAACCTAGAATCTTGAAAAGAAAGTAGACGGGGCCAATATTTAATATTGTCAAATCCCTTTATACCTACATGTATTATTCAATACGAGGTAGGGAAGGTACCTAGGTATATAGATACATGCAGTTGAAGGACCCATAACTGAGATCTGTCGCGAAATCTGGCAAAGGATTCAATAGATCCAAAACCCGGGTTGAAACTAGGTACTTTGGTACATAATAAAGCTGTATTGTACCTGAGTTGTACCTTTATGTAAGCACTGAGGGGGGCAGAGAAGAAGCTAGAACTAATCAACCAATCATCATCCACTTATCGAACCATCAATTCATCAATCTATCTATCGCAACCTTCTCGCCTATGTGACGATGTCGATTCGACTGCGTAGGAATTGACGCCTTTGAAATATCGTATCTGAACCCCGACTATATGTATATATGCGAAACCTGAAAATTATGATTGAAGCCTGGACATTCCCGCAATACCAGACCTAAGCTATTCATCATCATCACCATCGAAGACTCAAGATGGTGGTCCGAACCACTTCGCTCAACTCGCTCAAGAAATTCCTCCCCAAGATACACCAACCCTTACCGTTGACCCACCGCGAGTCCCAACAGCTGCTCGATTCCATTACAAAATCCTTCCGAAAGAACCTCGATAAGGAACACCCGTGGGAGCAGCACGATGATATAACATCGCAGACTTCTATACCCCAAACCAAAAAACCTATCCTTTCGACATCTCTCCCCTCTTCGTCTTCTTCGATAGATACCCCTGGCCAGCAACATCCGACAGATCAACACTTACGCGCCATTCTCTCCAACCCCCTCTTTTCCCACCAAGGAAAGAAGAAACTACCTTCGGCGTCTAGGGACCCTCTCGATGTCTTCGATTCTGCTGTGTCGCGGGGTCTTATGACCCCGCAACGTGCTGCCGGTTTTCTCGCCAAGGTACGGTCCCAGATTGGAGGCGAATCAGCCGACGATATTCGGCGGGGTATGGCCGCCTCCGGGGCTGGGTTACGAGTGGTGCAATGGCTTCGGGCCTCCGGTCTAGAAAATGACCTGCAATTCAGTTCTAACTCGGCCTTGTTTGCGGCCCTTATACCCTTTATGTATGCCGAAGGCCTTGAGGAAATAGCTTGGACATGGGTCGCGCGCCTATCTATATGCGACAAGACCGACGATGTCAAGAAGCTTCACATATCGACCCTGTCGGCCCTATTGTTCGCCATCGTGAACCAGACGAGTCATACGTACTCTGGGGTGAAGACCAGCCTTGACCCCTCCTACGAGGCTATAATACGCGCGAACGATATACTGCCTACACAGAACGAAGTAGCGTTCAAAAGTTTCCGGAAGGCGTGGGCTAGATTGTCTTGGATTTCTACGGTGTGCGCTTCGGAACGGCCAAAACCCTCAGCACCTCTGTTCGAAACGTTCGTCGATATAGGACGCCCGTGGAAGATGCCGATGGATATGGCGCATCTGGAGCTCCATCACCCCCTCATGCCCAACCATTCTGCTGCTGTTCGGTTCTTACATAACAGTTCCGATTCCGCAAATCTTCATCCATCTACCCGCAGGCGGCTTGTTTGCTTAGCTCTGGATACAGCTGATCGGCTGAAAGAAGTCGGAGATGCAGACGAGGTCTCCTGGGTTGAACGATTCTTGCTAAGAATAGAAGACGACTTGAACTTGGCATTTTTAGTGCGCCTGCAAAGGACTTGATAGCATCCGAATTACCTATTTATCGTATGATATAAGAGGCACGGAATCACAGCATGAGGATGGGAATGGCCATAGTGCTGTTCAATGTTTTTATTATGGGATAGGAAATCTAGGTTGGACTGGCGTTTCGAGGGATTGGGCATGGCGTGTTATATACCGAGCTTTATTCCAATGAAATGGGAATCGAAGTTCGCCATGCAGCATTTAAGGGCTATCAGCAGCATAAGCACTTAACAATAAAATTACTATTGTATATCTTGATTCACCTCCTCTTATGTTCCCCTCCTACACTTGTCAGATGTATTCTAATCAATTCGTATAAATACGTTGCATGTAATTATTTACCATATTTCTAGTAAAACCTCGTAACGAATCTGGGTATCGTACAACTATTCAACAGACCGAAAAAACGACCTGAACCAAACCAAGCAAAAAAAGCCCCCCCAATGAACAGGACTCGTGTGCAGATCATTCCTCGTATATCATTCATCCATCTCGTTAGGACTTTTCACCAGAGCTTTTTGCCAAGATATTAATGTTTTAGAGTCAACGACCAAAAAGAAAAAAGAGAAGCAAGCGAGAAAGAAGGTAGACATCATTGCTGATCTTCTATCCCGTTAACAACGCGCAAGGCACGCCTGGGCGCCAACACGACGCTAATGAAATTCGGTTGCTGTGATATTGAAGTTAGCAATTATTTCTATTTCTTAATTAATGTAAGGAGCCCGAGGCTCCCTGAATCGGCGCGATTGAGAAACTCCGAAGGCGTAGACAGATGAAAGGGATGAAGGAAGAGAAACATTTGAATATTACGTACCCGTCCATCTAGTAGCGCGTCTGCCGACCCAGCCGTACTGCGACTTGCGCCGCTCTTAGAGCGTCCGATGCCTCCTGCGCCTGCCGCTCCGCTGAGGTAGCTATCATATGCCCAGGGGCCGTCATCACTAGGCCGCGACCAGCCATAGCCCGAGCCCGATCCGGATGTACCAGAACTTGGATCATCGCCGGCCGTCCGCTTCTGTTCGCTCTGGCGGCCTACCCACCCGAACTGCTCACCAGAGCCGCCGGGGGATCCGGGGCGGTGGCTCTTGCGTAGCTTCTCGCGCATCCCGGCGACGGCCGCTGCGAAGCCCTTTTCTCCATCTATAGAACCAGAGTCTCGGTTTACGATAGCCATATGCTGCTTATACGCGGCCACCTGGCGACGGTACAGCCATGTGCAGAATCCGAGATAGACTGCTGCCAGACCCGCTAGGCCTGCTATTACGCCTGCGGAGATTAAGCCACCATTCGCACCGGCGGGTGATGAAGGTGAGTCGCCAGGCCTTGAGTCGCCGTTTGTCACGGTTGCGGTGCTGCCCGGTGCCGTAATAGTAAACACCGGCGGTGTGCCGGTTTTGAAAGGTCCGTCTGTAGCAGGGCCAGACGCTGGTTGCGTTGCTGTCGCGCCACCATCGGATGAACCGCCTACTATCGATTGAACTATATCGGGTACCTTATAACCGTAGCTACCAGCTAGGATGCTGTTTTCTGGGTGATCGTCTGCCGGGTGGTCTGCTGCATCGAAAGAATCTTTCCACTCTAAGTTCGAAGCACCGAAGTTGTAGATACCAGGCTTGTCACAAGCAATCTCAGTGCCGACATAGCCACCAATCACGATCATCTGACCATCTCGGGCAGCACATTGATGACCGGCTCGGGCTGGTGGCTCCTTGCTGGTTGAAGTATCTACTTTAATCCAAGTAAATGAGGGTACAGTCAAAATCCATATGTCCGTGTATTGAGTTTGATTTCCATACGGGAGTAGGTTCTGTCCGCCGTACATATAGATATTAAACGAGCTCGCATCGGGGGCCGAGAAGATAACTGCGCATGGATTTACTCGTACCTGAGGTGCTTCACCGGACGTCTCTTGGTGATACCAAGTACTGGTTTTTATATCATAAACATCAATGGTGCTCATGGAAGAGAATGCGTCGGTGGTTTCGTGTTCTCCGACCACCCCTCCACCAAGTCCCAGTAGAATACCCCTCGGAGCCCAACCGGGGACGTAAACGAGAACACCGTCAGCTCTCTCGGTGAAGCCATCCTGGTTTTGAATGCCGCCCCATGTAATGTTTCTGTAAGCGCCGCCTGAGGGGGCGCCAGAAGAATGGAGTGAGTCAACCCCGGAGTTTGCATATCCCGGATGCGTGAACTCAAGTAAGCTCTTCAAATAAACACGGTCAATCTGGTTCGTCCATCCTGGCGTAGTAGCCCAATCTAGGTGGCCGCCGAAATACCAACTAATACCTAACTCAGGTACGGAGATTCCAGCGCCTTCCGCCGCCCGTTGTACGGGAGTGCCTTCGGGATCTGAAAAGTTGCCGGCCGAAGTCCTAGGGTCTTGGAATTCTGACCATGTTGATGAAGCTACATCATACATCCACGTAGAGACTGGCGATGGTTGCACAATAGGACTGTCGGAAAACTCGCCGCCGTAGAGATATAGATGGTCCAAGTCGTTCCAGAGGTAGCCAAGAGATACCGCTGGCGGACCTGATGGTCTAGGGAGACCTGACAGGGCCGGTGAGTTGATATCCCATGATTTGGTGAGATCAAGGGTTATGAAGTCGTTGTCTAAGACCTAGTTAGCAGAACCTTTGTCGATTTATCCATGCTTCACCTACTCCATGTGTTCGTTTGCTGATCTCCGTTATCCTTTGACCGACCGCCGTAGATGTATACCGTCCCATTAATCAAAGCACCTTAAGGAGGTTAGTGCCTGCGGTATGAAGAGCCTAGAAACATCCGATAGACACTTACTTTGGCCGGCCCACCTTGTACAGACGTCGGTAGGACTATCCTCTCTACTTTTGAGAATTACGCCTGCGTCTGCGCCGCTGATCTCAACCTTTTTACGGCCGTTATTATAACTAATGGTGGGAAGAACAATTGCGATAAGCAGAGCGATCATGGAGAGCCTATGAAGCCCTATGATGGTGGGAGGTGGCGCACTGGAAGTAGTTTTCATCCTCGGGCGCCTCGACGGTGCCAATTTAGACAACCACTTCGACTTTCCCCTCGGTGAACCTTGCCCACTAGAAGATCTCGTTTCCACCGGCGATGCTATTTCTGTGGATGGCTTAATCCTTTCACCGGCGTCACCTTCGTGTGTCTTGGAGCTTATATTTTGTTGACTTTCTCGTTCTTCCGCGGTCAATCCTACTTCCTTAAATATTGATCGTCGTCCTTTCCTGATGCTGCTCCCCATGGAAAATGTCGGTAGTCTTGAGCCTTCTCTTAGACGATCTGATGTGACCAGCGAATTAAATCTTGGGCGCGAAGTCTCGTTTCGTCGACTTCCGAGATCAGGATTGCTATTGAGGACTTTGGTAAATGTCATGGTGAAATAGCATCCTAGTGTCGCGTAAATGGTTCTCTTCTCAAACACACCGCATGGAAAGATATCGCCACTCCATGCATAGTGATGACCAATGGAGGGGGGATGGCATCTTCATATATGGATATGAGGTCACATAGCAACCCTTTTGAGGCTTCCAGGGGCAGCCAAAATGCACACAGGATTAATCCAAGGGCCAATGACGGCAGAAGTATCACGGTACTTGCGGATACAGGAGCGTCGGCATTTTTTATAATAGGTCCAGGTAACGTTTAAGAATTGCGGATGTAACGGGGTGGCATGGGCACTTGGCTCACTACATCATGAACATGGAGATTAGATGACATTGACATGATTGCATCAGCCATAAGATGGGCTAGATGAGGCGAATTCAAGCAGGAAAACTTGGCAGCTTCTCTGATAGAAGTCGGTAGGATGTAACTGCTCATTACCATTCTAAGCCAGGAACGGGAATATTCAGCGCAAACGATTGGCTCCCAATGAACGGAGTAAACGGGCCAACCGGGGTAGGTCAATAGGTCGAGTATGACGACACGCCCCAGGATTTGATCGATCTAGAGTCTGGAAAAAGGACAGGATTATTTCCCCACAAGGATGTTTTATTCCTAATGTAGCTGTTTTTACACTAAAGCTTGCCTGAGGAAGAATAGAGAAATGTGAATATCTATTTACCATTAAAGAAGTATAGCGAAGTTGTTTACCCGTAATGGATCGCGTTTTCGAAAATGTAGTGAATGGATAACTTTATGGATGTAAACAAGTACATTAGGTAGGTACCTCTAATGGACGTGTCTCCATACAGCCACAGCGCCACAATGATACAGAGCCACATAACCCCAGTTTGAGTTCCTACCTATGGAAATAGGTACCCTGATACCCTCTTGGCATGTAGGATATTACAGGTAGTAACTAATACATAGTGCATTCGATCGGGAAAAACCAACCCAGATCTGCTATAGCGAAAGACGTCTACAAGAGTTTAATGTATTCTATCTACATAACTGTCTGTTGCAAATGAATTAAACGAAATTGGCAGCTGTAGAGAGACTTTTCAAGGAGAAGCTGTGAGATCCGTTTAATCTTCCATGATGTCTTCGAGTTCACTTACAGTATCAAAACATGGCATGCTATTCACACCGAATATTTCTTCCCCTACCAAATGTATGATCGAAATCGTTCTTAGGGTGGTTTGCATTATTCTATGCTATATTGTAACTGCTAAAAGCCACTGGTGAATTGTTCACAATTAATTTGAAAAATATATTTAATAGTCACGCTCTTAGCTACCTTATCACGAATGTAACATAACCCCTTAAAGGACCAGATTCTACCTAGTGCATAATACATCGGTTATTAGATATAATTACGATATTCAGTGCTATTCTCTATCTGAATATGGCTAATGGCAAAGGGGCCACGCTGTAAAATAATGGTGACTACTAAGTGACTAAGTTACGTTTACCTACTTGGGTATTAAGGACACGACTTCACTAAGAGAGCAGACAAACAATGATGCTGTACTGGACTCTGACTCAGGTACAAGTGGTCGTACGCGGTAAAAATGACGGAAAGGATGCGGTTCTGCCAAGTTGGCTCCTGACTACCTACATCGCCTTTGCTAGGTATATAATCAAACATAGCTTCTTTCGAACTTCCTTGTAGACACCTATCCGCATCTTATCGACTTTTCGGTTTCGCCTTTTCTTCCCAAGATCTATGAAGACCTGTCTCTAATTAGCTAGGTACCTACCCTACCTTGTAGATCCGTGGAGCTTTAAAGGCTCTCGCCGCGACAATGAATACGTACGCGATGCGTACCTTTCTGCTTGCTCTGGTGGCGCGTGTATCCGGTCTCGGTGCAAGACAGCCGCCAGAGCTGACTACGGTCACTATTCGTTCGGTGACAATTACATCCACGAGGACGGTTACCACTAATTCAGTCTTGTGGGCAAATACCACCATGAAGACCTTGCCCCCAATCGAACCCTCCACCGCATCCGTCTCTAATATCACTGGAGGAATCCCGGGCACAGGTGCTACAGCAGCAACTTCGGCCATCACAGAGGTTTCGGTTAGCAGGACTAAGGGTTCATGTATAACTATTACCCCTAACCTATCGATTCGGCCCTCCCCACCCTCTCCAACAAATTCCACAGCGGTGTCAAGGTCGACTGAGGGGGGTCAAAAAATGTCTTCCGCCGCCATTCCCTGGCCACGACCGGGAATTGCTGACCCCCCAGAGGCCCCATTATCATCCTTCAGTGTATCCCGCACTACCTCAAGCTCGCCAGTTACCTCATCTAAGCCCGATACCATGTGGAATAGTACAAGTATAGGATGGAGTAGCTCGCCAACGATAAGCTCGACTAAGCTCCTTAATTCTACTAGTGAGAGTAGCGATTTACCAACTTCGACTAGCAGCGAGACGTTCACCACTAAAACCTCGTCGCAAATCGCTAGTGTGAGCACCGCTACTGCTTCTGATGGGACGGGATATGGCGAGGGTACGGTAATTCAGCCCACCGTTGACCCAAGTCGCCCCGATCAAAGCTCATCTAGCTTTAGTCCCATGGCTCCTATTCCATCGATCTCCCCTCCCAGCTCAACCATACACGTGGTCGCTATCGATGTGTTAGGATTTGAATGAGATGTCTAGGACGAAGGACATTTTCAGTACGTATAGCAGTAGGAACTCGTAGCTAGCTTGGGAGTTCCTTGGGGAATAACTTAGTTGGTCCTATGCTTCTTGCTTTACTCATGATACAATAGACATTCCATACGAAATATTTGGAATCTGCCCAAGATTGAAAAAAGGGGGACTGATAATATATAATAGGAAAATGGTTTCATCAATTTGGTGTTGGGTAATAGTCTTAGGCCATAATATCAATTATGCATATATGATTTCAAAAATTCCTTCAAGGTTGCTTGGGATGAACATGTCTGCACAGTATGTCGTGGTCCTAATACCGGGTTCTTATATTTATACTCTAATATTCCTGAGTGAACATACATACACGACTTTTACATATTTCTTCAAGTATACCGAGTTATCATTATCCTCATCATACCGTTGGCTATACTCATAGATATGCGTACTTACTCCAGATCGATCCAGTTAGTAACTACCCTAGCCAGTGCAAAGCTCCAGTCCAGCACTGTAAAAGGTAAACTGGGGCTTATATATATACTACCTCATATATAGGTAGTCCATGTCGTCCTCGTGCTTCTAATCCCGATTCTAGTCGACGCTAAACAAACTCTCGGGACCCTCGGGTTCCTATTATTGTTGATAATATCGTATACCGGGCTCCTTTGAGGATGGTATCCTTAAGTAATGGCAAATGCCTTTAAAGTGTTTACAGTCTCCTATACATTGTATAGGGCTATAATATGGTGTCTCTTCACCAAGGCAATTAATTCGTATCTAAGAAGCCTGCAGAGACATAAGAGCCCGTTCTCGTAACCTATTTCGAAAATGTAAGCCTTCATGTTGCAGGCTATATCATGGTCATTTTTCTTAACTAGATAGCTTTCGAGGAACATAGGTAAATAACTGCCATTCTCTCTACACACCACGCTACGCGGGACCTTGGATCCATATTCACAGTTGAATCTCGAGGAAACATATGGAGAGTTCATTGGGGGATATATAATATAAAAGGGCAAGACGGGGGTTGCTCATCAACGTGTTGAATTCATATCGCTATAGTTACCGCTAGCTCTAAAACTACCTAATACATAAGACACCTCGTCTAAAACTTTCCAAATTACAACATACAGGGACCAAACCCGAAGTTTTCAGACCGATTTCCGGCGCGATTCTCGGTGTAATTGAAATTTCATATGGATGTCAAAGTTGGACGAGAAGTTTTGATCCTCAACTGGCGCGTCAAAAAAGAACGACACCTTAACAAGAGAGCTGCCGCCCGTCCACTCGACGTTCTCACTCAGCAACTTTTGTACCCCTATGAAGAAGGGGTTATTGACCTGGATTTCCTCCCACCCCTTTCCTCCGGGTTCGATTTCAAGCCAGCTGTTCCAACGCTTGGAATCGCCCATGGCCTGAAATGCGTTAATCATAGCGGTGCAGGCGCTGGCGTGCTGAACGTAACAATAACCAATAACCTCCAAGTCGGCCAACTGGTGGTGGATTTGTATGTAGTTGTGCTTGAGTATGTCTCGGGCTTTTGTTTTCGGAGCGATATTTGTGGTGTCAACGCAGAAGCAGACGTAGATTCCTCGCACCGTAACGAAATGAGTGACTTGTCTTATGCTGTCTTGAATCGTTTGAAATGACTGCCAGCTGAAGGGGTCGATGCCATCATAGCACCTTTCTAGAACGAGAAATTCGTCTCTTGATAGCCTGGTCCGGTGGTTTCGAAAGGATGACAGCGCCATTGCTTTAAGGGATGTCCGGAATGACGTATGTTTGGCAAAGATACTTTGATGCGGACGAGAAATAAATGCTAGCTACCTAGGTATGATACTTGTCTTGTCGTATAATTTTTGGTTTTACTAGATGTTAGCTATATAAAATTCGTATTTGATATATTAGTGCAAATGGTGGACTTCGATTAACGTTGCCTTATAACACTTTCCCTACGTTAGGTATACAATCACGACTCAATTATTCGAATTATTTTGTCAGCTACGTTCCGTACCTGTCAGAGAGATGAAGGTATGCACCTGCTTTAGTATATTTTTATAAGGAAGACACCTATTAGAGGTAATAATAAGGTTTCCTGAAGTATCATCAAAGATACTATCTCCAAGAAAACGCAAGAGGAACTGCTGTATTTGCTGACTTAACAAGTAGACCATTATTGAAAGGGCTTTTTCCCTGATCAGTTTCAAATTATTAGAAACCAAGGACAGACGAGATTGAGAAAAGACCAATGCACTTGCCCATCAAAATCATGTTGCAAATTATCTCGTCTCTGACGCCTGCCAACGAACATGCCCATATCCTTGGATACCCCGGGATAAATTTCAGATTTACCAACATTTGAAACAACCGTAGCGGGAATTATTTCTTAATGCTAGTCGATCGTGTGCGAAGGCCGTGCAACGGCATGCCTGATCACCATTCCAGCTCTTTCTTGTTACCACCACCTTCACAAGCACCCTGCAACATATCAGATCTATCCCAATCGTAAATACCACCTCGTTCGACAAAAGATTTCTTATCCCAAACAATTTGTTTCATAGCTTCCTTAACGCCGACTTTCAAAATCGACTCGCTCTTTGTTATCATGCCCTCGCCCTTGTCTAGGAAGCACATATACTCATCTAGAAGTAGGTAACTGCTCGCCATAGAGTTGTTATCCTCCGGAACATAGCATGGAAGATGCTTATGCCGGTTGCAGAACCTTTGCCATTGTTCCTCAGTCACCAAGAAAGCCCTCGCGTCTCGCTTTCTCGTCTCGTCGTCGTTCTCTCCAGCCACGATGAGACACTGGAATACTTTCCATCGGAATGGCGCCAGTTTTTCGATATTGGCTACCATGTCTTCGTCCCAGTTGTGTGTGTTAACGACGGTATTTAACTTGAATTTGATCCCATATTTTCTGCACCACTCTGCAATACGAAACAGCCGAACCACATTCCCTCCATCGTCACCACGTCCAATCTTTTTATTCGTCTCCGGATTAAACGAATCGCAAGACACGGCTAGAATATCTAACCACTGACAATTTTCTCGCAACCAATTTTCCCTGATCTTGCTGCCGTTGCTCACAATGCTGATGCTCTCGACTTTCAGCTCTTCCTTGCAATAGCATAGTAGTTCGGTAAGAAGACGGGGATAAAGGAAGGGTTCCCCACCCGCAATGTTGAGCTTGCGCATGCCGGCCTCTTTTAGCAGCCGTAGGCCACGTTTCGCTTCATCGATAGGAAGGACGTAAGAAGAGGTTTCAGTGTGGAAACAGAAGCCACATGTGTAATTGCATTTCCGAGATGGGAAGTAGTTAACAGAGACAGGGGCGTCCGGTTCTGTTGATGGCTCCTTAGGTGGCCCGTTGATGGCGTTCAGCTTAAAGCGTTTCTTAATTACGACGGACGTAGAAACGGCATAGTAGACAATGATGAAGAGGCATAAGACAGCCGATACATTCGTCAGAAGAGCCATGACGGTACACCTTGACTATGATTAGGTACATAGCAGGAAAACTCCCAAATAATGTAGGTTTTATGGAATAGGAGTTCTTCAGCACGATGGAAAGTGGGGAAGTGAGTGATCACGACCTATTGACATAGGTAGGTCGAATTAATTAACCTCCCTACCTGTTGAGTAACTCGAAGAAACTTAAAAATATCGTACTAGAGGGCCCAAGCACCTGGCGTGCCCACGAGGCCCTCTATATAATACTATCGTATTATCGATATGTCCTCAAGTGCGAACTAGCTATCCCCTTGACTCGCATGAAACAGCAAACCATTTACTATAATCGGTAAAGTACGTGAAGTTCAACGCGATTCATAGACATAAATATGACAAATATGATTGGCTAATCTAATAATATAGAGCCAGTTTATCGAAGATAGTGGGTTTGCTGTTTTATGCCAGTCAAGGGGACAGTACATAACCCACTTATATCCGCAAATGAAAACCCTTAAAAAGCTTCAAAATATACCACTTTAGGAATAGTATAAAAGGCCTAGCCAATCAAGATTCAAATGAACAATGTACTGTAGCTAGTTGACACCTGAGGACGTAACCTCGTGTAACAGTAACAAACATTCGTATGTATCGGCTGTATAACATCACTGAGGTCCTGCCCCACCATCTATGTATACTGGATTAAAACAATTCTATCCGAATACTACCTGTACCTGTAAACCTCACAGCCTTACGTATTATCACCATGGAGACTACTCCTGACACCCCCGTTACCCGCAGCTTTGCGGTCATCTTCGTCCTCGGTACGTGTCCTGAGACCCTGCAACTTACTTTGGCCTTGTTGTACTAATCTTTTAGGACCTCCTGGCGCCGGAAAAGGAACACTCTGTACTCATCTAGCACAAACGCACAACTTGACACACTACTCTGTCGGCGACAGCCTCCGTGATTGGATGCGCCGAAACCATGCCACATCACTTGGAGTCCGAATCAAAGACAAGCTCGATAATCAGGGATTTCTTACCTCGGAAGATCTGAATCCGTTCATTTGCCAGGCGATAAAAGAGGCCATCTACAAAGATGAACCCAAATCTCAAGGCATTCTAATCGATGGATTTCCGCGATGCATAGAGCAACTAGAATCTTTTAACACGTGGCCGTTTCAGGACGAGCTGCCACTTGCCCCGAGTAGTGATGGTTGGGCGAGAGCAAATGCAAAACCGGATATCGTACTATGTTTCGAAGTTACCAAGCAAAATGCGGAAGCAAGATATCTAGCCCGAGGGCGAGACAGCAACGACAGCAAAGAGAAGTTCGAGAGACGTTTCGTAGAATATGAGGCGGAGACCATGGCGGTTGAGGAAGTTTATCGGCAGCGTGGCATTTTGATAAATGTGGGTATCAACAGATCTACATGGGAACGATGAGATACTAATGGGCATAGGTTGATGCAAATGGAACGAAGGAGCAGAACGTTAATGAGTTGACAAAGAAGCTTGAAGAAAGCGGATTGTGGCAGAAGGTTATTGAGGGAAGTACAACGCAGTTTCTTGTGTGAAAAGGCGTAAGAAATGGGAGCATCTTTGGTGTGTTATTGCCCCACGTTCTTATCTAAAAGCATCGTTCCGGTCGAAAGTCTCCCTTCCTAGTGTATTCGCAGATATCAAGCGGATAGACGCCTGTTTTATCGGCTGCTATTCTTCAGGGGCAATGCTCAACCTATTTGACCATGTTGGCGCTTTTCTGTTGTCACATTGGAAAATGAGGACTTGTTCGTACGAAACAAGTATACCGAGAGGGGGGAGTGGGATGATGAGAGTTGGTGGCGTACTATTTCCGATATGGAGAGCTTTGAGACTTGGTTCTTCCCGGCACTTCAACGGAAACTCGGAAGAGAAGCGTGGTATTAAGTACCTAAGGAATCATCGGTTTGAGACACTGACTATCAGAGAAGACGATGATGATTCCTTTCGATACTGATTAGAACTCAAGTTTTTTTTTTCTGATGTTGTAAATAGGCAGACAACATTGATAAGAGGCGCTTGAGATTTCCATTTACCCTAACCCTTAGGCCAACCTTCTACGACCACCCGGATAGATGATGTCTTACAGTAACGATTCGTTTTGTACACTATTGGGTATCCGCGGCTCTGGGATAATCCAGGGTCTGCGGGGAGGAGGGCTGGTGAGTGACAGGTCAATTTGGCAAAGCGCCCTAGATTTACATGGGGCATCCCCGCCTCTGACAAGAAATCCCGCGCAAAGACCCTGACGGCATGGAATCTCGATCTTGGTAAAGTTGGGGTGGGGTTACGTTACGTTTGAATTGTTTAGGACAAGTGTACGGTTGAAATATATGGGATTCATAGTAGGTAAATAATCGGGTGCGTCAAGTGCTACGTATGTGTATGTCCTACAATTGGAACTTGTGTCGTTTCTATATACATAGGAGGTAGGTATGTGTTGGACTCTTTTGAAAGCAGTTTGGAGTATAGGAGACCCCCACGTCCTTGTTCTAGAACTGCTACCTAGCCTTGACGTGCATCATTAATTCAGGCATTTAATTTTACAGTTAATATAATATAACTTATAAGAGAATAGGCATTGGCTAGTGTATATAGAACCCGCTAAAGACACGTGAGACAGCGGGGAAGGAGATATTGGATGGTACCTAGTTAAGGGGCGAATATGAGATGGTGGATGCTAATGATGGATGTGCGGTGATAGAGAAATCGAGTTTCTGGTCTTTGATGCGATGCGACGGCGGAGAATACAACCCTGCCAACAACTTTTTTCTTTTCTTTTTCATGTTTCGTTTAAACCCAACCTAACTCCCCTTTCTGTCCTGTGATTAATACGCTTAATACGTGAAAAGGTCTTATTCGTTCCAATAATGTCGATACCGGCGTATCCGTTATCCTTACCGGGTTTGCGGAGAACCTTAGGTACCTGTAACGGATGGATGGCCTCGGGTCCACGGGCAGCGACGGGTACCTTAAGATACCGCTACCGAACCTTCGCCCGCATAAAATTAGGCTACATTCAATTATATTTTAAGTACTTAAGTACCTTTTTATACTTTGTAACAGGTACGGGATATGTATAGGTACCTGCCTCACACTTAGTTCTCCTAATTCCCATTCATTTAATTGTTCCATATTCACATTCACATAACATAATCTTTTCTTCTGGATCTCGACCACTATCACTTGTGATACAATTAAATTGAACTTTTTGCTGTCTTTTTTACATTCAATATGTAACTACATCAAGTACTTACACAGCTTACACAGATTCGCTACTTACATACACAGACCTTTCGTCGCCTTATTCCCGAACCGCGAACAGCCATTATCCCTGCTACTAAAATCTTGCTCTGCTTCATCCAATTGCTGCATTGGCCTCCAAGCATCTCTACTTTCGATACCGACCATCATCCCTGCAGCTATCTTCTTTTACTCCGCCAAATCTCCAATCAATTCTTACGGTTTTTTTAACCCAACATCGTCTTCTACACTAGTGATGACCTCGAGTCGCGTCCCGAATACCCATACCCTCTCGACGAATTCCCTGACCATCTATACCACCCTCCCTTGGCATTCGTAGCGACAATTGCAACACAAGGGAGCGGCGTGATAAGACAGAAGTGAAACGAAACGAGCCAGCGGATCGCCGTCATGCCTGAGAAGCCTCTCACCGTTGCCACCTATGCCGCCGGCGCTTCTCTCGCTGCGATCACACTCTTCTACGTCTTTGCCCCCAACTATTTTCTAGATGATGATTCCAACTCGACACGTAAAAAAGGCGTCGTAGGCCTTTCGAACCCGGCAAACGACTGTTTCATCAACTCCGTCCTCCAAGCCCTCGCTGGTCTCACCGATCTCCGAATCTACCTTATTCGAGAAACTCACCGAAGAAATATAGATGAGCCATGGGTATATCAAGAAATAGTGCAGGATCCTGCATACAAGAACAAACCCGAATGGAAGGTCCAGGGTCTACAAGCTGGGCTTGTCACGAAAGGCCTGAAGGATATCCTCGATGCCCTTAACGAGCGGCCCATTTACAAGAAGACCATATCTGCTGGCCCCTTTATCAGGGTCCTTGAGACTGCTTTCAAGCAGCGCATTAGTAGACAACAGCAGGATGCACAGGAATTTTTACAGGTGGTAGCCGAACGATTATGCGACGAATACCACGCCGGAAGGAGAGCTCGACAAGCTGCTAGGAATAAATGTGACACTGAAGCATCAGCAAATAAGATAGAGCCAATCGATGGCGACGCCGTTGAGCAACGTTTGGCAAAGCTAGCTATGGATGGAGACGGAAATATTGACACTGCTGAGTCGGACGAGAGTAAAGCCGAAGCCGAGGTGCAAGGACTACCGTCGAGGAGCGAAGAAGATGGATTTCCAATGGAAGGCAAATACGAAAGTCAAATCGAGTGTCAGAAGTGTGGCTTTAAACCGAAGCCAACAGAAAACACTTTCTGCACTCTAACGCTAAACGTGCCGCAGTCAAGCTCGACATCGCTCAATGCCTGTTTGGATGGGTTCTTCAAGACTGAGTACATAGACGACTTCAAGTGCGACAGATGTCGTCTTGTGCACGCAAAAGATCTCCTGGAAGCACAATTATCGCGACCTAATTCTGAGAGCCTCAAGGCTAGTACGCGACAGGCAATCGCCAAACTGCAGCATGCCATCGATAGCGACCCTGAGAATCCCCCGTCTGATGTTGAACTGCCTCCCATGCGAGACGCTCCCGCGTGTAAAATCGCAAAGCACACGCGACTAACGGGCTTCCCTAAGATTATGGCTATTCACCTTTCCAGATCCATATATAACAGTATCTCACAGAAGAATTCGGCCAAAGTCACGTTTCCAGAGCAGCTGCTAATGGGGACTCTATTAAATCGTAAAAAATACAAATTACTCGCTACGGTTACGCATAAAGGTAGTCATCATAGCGGACATTATGAATCTTTTCGCCGACAGAACATCTGTCTTCCGTTCTCAACACCAAATGCGTTCCAGGCTTCCGACATCTTTGCCAAATCAGCTACACCAAGTCCAGGCTCAACTCCACGCGTTAGTGCTATGCCAAGATCAGGGGATCCCAGTCCAATAGCCTCTATTCCGGATCTTGGTTTCTCTTCATCCGGAAGTAGTTCTTCTAACCAGTCAGTTGACGTCCTGCCTCGGCCATCGACAGATTCAACGCCCCAATCTTCCGCGACATCCAATGGTCGACATTCCTCTCGTCGTAGCCCAAAGGTTTCCTCCTTGAAGGATCGCGAGTCGGATACCATCAGCCTCAAGTCAGTTGCAGCATCTGCGCGATCGACTATGTCGAGGATATCACACTCAGCTCGAAACAGTAGACCGAGCAGTCCAGCTGGCCAGACGCCGGTTGCCCCATCCACTGCAAATGGGAAGGCGATTACATCTAAAGTAAATGGAGCGAAGCCGAAGCCGAAGCGTCGAAAGCAAAGTGACCGATGGTGGCGTATTAGCGACGAAAAGATCAAGGAAGCCAAGACGGGCGAGGTATTAGGGATGCAGCGAGAAGTTTATCTGCTCTTCTACGAATTAGAGCGCGAGAGTCCGGCAGAGTCATAGAGCGATGTATACCGGCTCTTGGATAATATGATGCGGGCAGCAGCTTACGACCCCGGGGAAGACGAACAGGAAGATCCATTTCTGAAGCCCAGACCCGAGCACCATGTTATTGAATGGATTGAAGCAATTGTCTCGGGATTCGGCCTGCAACTAGGCAAAATCTCCCGAAGCGTACGAAGAGTGATAAGACATTCATGGAATAACTATATGGGATACTTTGAATCTGATGATCTCGAATCCAGTCTTGGAAGAGGTTCCCACCGATGGCAACAATCTAAGAAGAGTGGAAACCCCGCCTACCATGAATGTACGGGTATATGGATGGTACCGGAGGGGAAAATTTTGGATCGATCATGGTCATCTCGGAAGAAACCGATTGGCGAAGATTACAAGAAAAGTACATCGAAATCTCTTGAGGTGCCAACTGCATAAAGATATATCATAAATGGTGTTTTGTGGCGCACGGAAGGAAGGGGTTTGACGCATTTTCTGGTCCATTGGCATATTGGGAAGGCTTTTTGTCATTCCGAAGCTGGTCCATTTGTCTCAGGGGGTTCATAAGCATAAATGTGGATATGAACTTGCTGGGTTAGACGTTATCAACAGCAATAGCACTTTATGAGGGGCTCGAACGCCGCACCTAGGTGAGTGGCATTACGCGGAAGCACTTAAATAGAGATTCGGCATCAGTATAGGATTAGCATTTTGCGTCGGAGAAAAAAAAGAACAGTCGGAAGATGTCCGTCCTAGCGCTATATCAGGTACCTAGGCTTTCGCGAATACCGTCTTGGAAAATCCAGCGGAAAATATTATATTTGAACCAAAGAGCATCGTGGATCATGTCTCATACGTGATTTTCAATCCTTTACTATTATCCAGTTTTACGTACCAGCAAGTACCCATCCACACACGAAGTCGGTTGAACATTTCTACATTTTCAGTATTGCCCTTCGAGAGTCAATGTCCCCGTCTTCGTAATGAGATACTCATTTATAGCAACGTCTTTGCCGGACTCCTTGCCGAAACCCGAGTCCTTGATCCCGCCAAACGGCGCTTCCGCCGCTGACGAATTTCCTAATTTTATGCTATCAGCTTACTATTTCCGTGCGAGCATACTCTAAAACATGAAAAATAAAGGCATTGGGGAGTTGGGGGCACTAGAATGGGATGGGGGCTTACCGCTGTTCAATCCGATCATGCCCGCTTCGAGGTTTTCGAACAGACGCCATATCCGATCGACGTTCTTGGTGAAACAATATGAAGCCAAACCCATCTAGACGCCAGTGTTAGAACGTACAAGACTGTAGATATTACTTCTACAATTGGGACTTACGCTCGTGTCATTAGCCGCCTTCACAGCTTCCTCCTCCGTGTCGAACGGGAACAACGCTAGAAGCGGTCCAAATGTCTCCTCCGAAGCAACCTGCATCGACTGCGACGCATTCGTGATGATGGTGGGTTCGAAGAAGTACCCGCCGTTCGAAGTTATGCGGTTCCCACCCGTAAGTACGGTGCCGCCGTTCTTCTTCGCGTCTTCGACTTGTCCGGCTACCTTGTCGACACCCGTGGGGACCGTTAGGGGGCCCATCGTGGTGTTCTTGTCGATGCCGTGGCCGACTCGGATCTGGCGTGTCTTTTCCGCGAGGAGATTGGCGAATTTGTCGTATATCCCCTTTTGGACGTATACGCGGTTCGCAGTGATGCATGCTTGTCCGGCATGTCGGAATTTTAGGGGTATTAATGCTGAAGAGCTTCTGGTTAGTTTGTCTTTCAGTAGTTATGTACTGAGGGTAGAAAGTCTTACCGTCGCAAGCTTGTTCTAGATTCGCATCGTCGAATACTAGAAACGGGCAGTTGCCGCCTAGCTCGAGAGTGAGCTTCTTGAGGCTATCCGCGCAATGAGCAGAGAGGATCTTTCCCACCCTAGTCTACTGATATGTCAGCCGATGTAAGTTATTGAGTAGTTCAGGGGGCCGGGGCTTACGGAGCCGGTGAAGGACACCTTCTTCACCAGTGGGTGTTTGCATAGAGCCTCGCTGAGAGCTGGAGTATTGGCCAACGTAGTGGGCATGACGTTAAATACGCCTTTGGGATATCCAGCCTTTTCAGCCAAATATGCTAGCGTCAGCGCCGATAGGGGCGTCTCGGGTGATGGTTTCGCGACCATAGTGCATCCCGCTGCCAAAGCAGCGCTCGCTTTTCTCAAGACCATACTAGAGAGGGATCAGGGGTGATCGTCTTGTCTTAATGAAGTCGCAGTGATCTACTCACGCAATTGGGAAATTCCAAGGTACCAGTGCGGCAGTAACGCCAAGTGGTTGCTTGATAGTGAAAATACGTCTGCCGGGAAGGGCAGCGGGGAACGTAGTCCCCTGGATTCGCTCCGCCTCGCCTACGAACCAGCGCGTAAACGAAGCCGCGTACTCGATCTCGCCGTAAGCTTCGACCAGCGGCTTGCCCGTCTCGTATACCAAGATAGTGGCGAGGTCATCTTTATGCTCCCTGATCAAAGCATCGAGTTTGGCCAGCAGGTCAGCGCGAGCTCGAGGTGTAAATTTGCGGTAGACTTGGAATGCCTCCTGGGCTGCTTGCACCGCATCATCGACATCCTCGGCAGCCATGTCCGGGCATGAGGCGAACTTTTGATCGGATCCTGGGTCTACTCGCCTATTGTATAAACAAATGGTTGAATCTCTCATGTTATTAGGACATTTACTAACCGATGATATCGAATCGCTTCCCGGATTTTGCTTCGATCCATTGTCCGTTGACGTATGCTTTATCTCGAAAGAGATCTGGGTTCTTGAGGTTGAGCTGTGTCCCTATCAGTCACCTACGAATACTTCAGGGGTAATTAGTCTTGACCAATTTCAGGTGGGAGCTTACATCAATGGCTGACTTGACTTGAGCCATGGTTGAAGGTAATATTGAGGACCTAGAAGATAGTCTACCTAAATAAACAACAACTACTAAATTCTCCGGCGATGAGAAGATGTCTTTACTTGTTCGTTTAGTGGCAACAGCAAGTCGCCTGGCTGTCCTACGTCTCCAATATATAATCACCGTTACGCTAATTATCGTCACAAAAGTCACCCCGCATTTCCCATCGCAATACGACCATCCCGAAACTCTCGGATATCCGATCAGCGCGACATCTTGGCTCCTATCCCCGCAGCCAATCCGAACGCTCCCCCTCTGCCGAATCCGGTCAATAGTGCGGCGGAGCGAGTCTAAGCTACCCCACATAAGAGCAGTCGTGGATATCGCCCACAATGTGATGTGATGGTCCTATAATTATAATTATCATAAACGTAGTGCTAAGTAGTTGACTTGGAGTATAGAAAACGGCTATCAAAAATATGTGGCAATTTAGATTCGAGTCGCAGATAGATGTGTTCGGTAACTTATTCCTTACCATGAACAATTAAGTATATATGAATAAATTTGCTAGGGTAGTTTTAAATAAAAATAATGTAAGAAAACTCGATTCGAATATACGGGCTGTAATGGAAGCACCGCATAATGGATGCTACAGGACATAGAGAAGCAATGAAGATGTCTACCTTAGGTACACAAGTCTCAGTCCATATACCTACCATAGCGGCAAAATGTAGTTTCGTGGAATGATTTGACTCTATCAAACCACCGTGCGGGAATCTTATTCCAAGCCACCCGACCTTCTCCCATCTAGGTAGAATCTAAAACGAAGACTTATAAGTCTAATGAACAATAGGGGTCTTTAACAAATGCGAAAAGGTCGGGTTGGTACAGTCTAGCATATGTTATCCTTATGAACCATTGCTAGGCCCTGGGGTTCGATTCCTTCGACGACCACACAATTATTTTTTTCTTTCCTTTTTCGAATTTCTACATCTTGTAAGGTAGGTAGTGTTCCATGTAGAAATACGGCCTCGGCCCCCAACAGTGCTCGTCATTCCCAATCCTGTTTCACCTTACTGAATCAAGTGGCTTGCAGCCATCCCGTAATAATTAGGATCATAGCCAATCGATATCCATTACAATCTCTTCATACTGCTTGTGCGACTTTGTAATCGGGACCCCCCTTCCCCTGTCTTTTAGCTGAATCTATTCTTAGTAGTTTTTTCCACATATTAAAACAGACTCTGGCGACTCTTTACCTACCTAACGTAGCTACCCACCAGGTAGTTTTGTTCCTCAGAATGCGAACGCATGTCGTTCAGTTAAGCCCCTGCTATAACGCAATGGCTTCAACGGCCTCCTTGTCGAATTTGTCATTAGACTCCCTTATTCTAGAAACACCTCCTGAGAAGAAACAGTCAATTTTTAGAAGGATTTTCACAATTATCTCGACACAATGGACTCGTACCTACCGAGAAACATGGTCAGATTTGCGCTCTGTCAGATGGGCGCGTGGAGGACTTTGGACGCTTTTTACCTTATGGACTATGGCGGTGTTGGGTTTCTTCGTCTTTATCACCCTATATAACTCGATTGATTTCTATATCTATGGTGGATCAGCATGCAGGACTGACGGTTCGTTTGTAATTGATACATCTGACTATAGCATATGGACATCGTCGAGCTTCTTCGATATAAGCTTAGGCTTTGGGAACCTAACTTTTGCGGAGGCGAAAGTTATTGACATATCATGGGATATAGTGAGCATCACGATACCTTGTACAGTATGAGCTAACATGAGTTCCCAGGTAATTGGGCGCGGAGGACAGGCACTTATGGCATTTATGTCTTGGCGAGTATTTGCCGACTATGTGACCACTTCGATGGAGTTTGCGCCTGTGACGTTCACAGTTTTTTCCATTATATTCCTACAGGATGAGCCATCCTTCTTTTCGACAATAAGCATCATTCGGGCTTTCATCTCCGGAAGGGGTCTTAAATCTAAAGTAGCTATGGTTTTCATGGTCCTAACCATGGTATTCATCATAGCATGGCCAACAGTTGCTGGCGCAATGACTGGATATACTACTATCGGTAAAGCGTTTGTCCCAGATATCGACAATAATTACATTTCATACTCGTCTTTCAAACCACTGGCATATATCGTCCATGACGGAGGGAGAGTTAATCTCACCAGCAATTATATATCTTTTGTCCCCGAACAGAGTCATAGTAAGGATTGAAATATCTCGAATGCTGTCATATTTGCTGATGAAATACTCAGAGGAATCGATATTCTATTATGGCAGCTATTTCGACACTTGCTATTTTAAAGACGATTACATAGAATCCGACTGTTGGTTACAGTCTAATGTATCTACCTGTTCGTATACCCGGACTCCCGTGCCAGTGAAAAACTCAACTAACGCGCTAAATCACAGATGTAGCTTCGTACGGGTTCTATGGCCTAAAAAATACACCATCTCGCTGGATGAATACGACTATCCCGAGCCCGACGCTGAATATATCGGCCTTTTATATACCAGATTTCAGTCGTTTTTATGGATTTAACTGGTCCGGCGACCCAGGGACGGGACATACACATGAATTCGCAAATAGATCAAATATGGCCTTCTTCTATTCTAACAACACATATAGTCTTGACTACGTTACTACCAATGGTAGATGTCAGCCTATACAAGATGTAGGTGTCTATTCCACGTATGGTATGAAATATATGGCTCGTTGACATCCGTAATTTCTAGCGGTTTAAATGGGGATTTTCGTGTATACAATTATTTCTCGTGCTGGCATTCTTGTCCATCGAAACGATTGGAATTTACCTGCTACGGCTTAAGGCCCAATTTCAATTACCCCTCCAGGGAGAAGTCGAGACATATAGAGGCTGGAGAGCGGTTTTGGTAATGGCGGAAAAGATGGGTAAAGAATTGCAAGAAGCCGGTCTTGATGCTCGCTCTTTAACAGACCAACAGCTCAAGGTTGCAATTAGGAAACAGCTCCGAGGCGGCTCAATCTCGTTCGACGCTCCACTCACCAGAAGCGGATATAGCTTCCGCCATGGCACGTGGCAATGGTTAAAGAGAGAAAGGAAGCAGTTTTTTATGCTGCTTTTAACTGCAATGTTTACAGGATTTAGTATTTATGGCAGTCTGATCATAGATATCATAAATCTGGGCGGATACATATGTTTACTCTCTTTCTCCATTTCCTTCTTTTTCGGCGTTTGCTTCGCGGCGATAGTAGGAAGTACGAAAAGGAGCAAGTTCCTTATGATACTCTTTTGGACAACATGTGGAATCATCGTTGGCCTGGCCGTATATTTGGGTCGGTATTATTTCCCACACCTCCGAAAGGGGGAACACTATGATGGTTACTATGGAATGGTGTATTAATCTGTGTATAATATTCTGTTAATGTAGAGGAGATAATAAGAGAAATATTATAATTAAGGTAATCCAGATCGGAAACCTTCCTGTCCTGTCCGAGTCAGCGATCCCGAGTTGTTAGATATGCTTAAGGTTTACCTTAGGATGATGTGTTAAATGCGAGTAAAAATTTCCTATTTAGGACACATGCCTTGCTACCTTACAGATAATTTTCCCGCCTTATTGAAATAGCAGTAAAGAGTGAAAGGAATCGGTTTATATATGCATACATGTCTAAGGCTTCTTTATTACTTAGATTTCGGGGGTACTAAAAGTAGTGTCCAACCGTATAATAGCAGTAAATACGGGCTATCGTAAGGGTGCCTTCTAGTTTAATAAGGGATAGGTCACTAATATATAATAAAAATAAAAATACCTAGTATAGAAGCATGGTGCGGTGTAAACCTTGGGCTTTTGTGTTGCCCGGGGGGTAACCTCTAGTAACTGTAGGGTTATCAACAAGTATGACATGCTTTTTCCTTATTTGATACAGTTCTCAACCTTTGTTTCCAGCCCTTACGTTTTATATGATAAATATCTACATTGAGGTGTATAATATAGGCTCAAATAGATTATATTTTTCTATATATGTTGTATACCCTAAGTGGCTCCGATCGCCTTTGGAGCGGGAAGTGCCAGTATCTTCTTCGCCGCATGCTCGGCGGCAGCAACGATCATTGCTGAGGGGTTCCCCGTCATCATCCCAGGGAATATGGACGCATCGACGACGAAGAGGTTGTCCGTACCATAGACCTTGGTGTTTGTGTCGACGACGGATGTGCCGTTAGCCACCCGGCCGTCGTCAAGTCCCATCTTGGCTGTACCAACCCAATGGTTCGAGCATCGCACCGCCGGTGTTGCGGGGATCTTTATGTTAACATTATTAGCCCCCGATTGTTTCATTCATGCCGTTTTCTCTTGTGAAATTATATGAATTATAAAGGGGTAAAGGCAATCCGAACTCACCGAGTCAACAAACTGTGTTGATGTCTGATTCGAAGCTGGCCGAACCCAGGTCAAGTTCGAAATGGGTCCGAAATACTTGCGCACTCTCTCAAGCCCCTCGATAACAGCTGCCTTGTCGTTGGCATCTCGGAGATAAGGGGGGATGGACACACGGGTATTGAGCTGAGGCGTTATCACCATGCGGCCCCTCGACGTTGATCCAGTTCCAAGGTATTGGGTTATCGTCATAGAGGCTGAATCGCACAGTCAGTACCAGTATATAATAGAATTCGGGACGGTAGGTTTACTGTTCTTAGAACCCTCAACTCGCGCTTGCCAGTGCAAGTATCGATCTATTCCATCCTCGCCGGGAATGATCTCCCAGAACTGTGTATATGTCAATATTATTATCCCTAACCCCCCTTTTAGTTACTTACGATAGGACCTAGGTTAGGCGCTGCTTGAGCGAGGATACCAGTGCGGTTCTCTATGATAAGTCAGTGCTAGATTCGTTAGTTATTGTGGCTTGGATATATTACGCAGGTATATTTCCGTATCGTTTAAGATGGGCTTGCTGTATGCCGCATAGAAATCGTAGAATACGACGTCAGGGTGAGCAATCTCGATATCGGTCTAATATCCAGTAAGTTCAGGCAATAGCCTCAGATGGCATGGTCCCAGATAATCTCAGTACTCACGCCAACATGGTCGATTAGGTTGTATCCCACAGGGAGATCAATCCAAGAGTCCTCAGATATCATAGTCCCCGCATCCGATGTCGAATTCTTCACGACATTTAATTGGTCCTTTGGCCCAATGCCGCCTGTTTTAACTCGTTAGCGAACCAGAGAGGTCTTGGGTTTATTATAATAGATAGATAAAGCCGTACTTCTGAAAAGGAGTTTTGCCGAGCCAAAGGCGCCAGCAGATAAGATGACACGGCCTGTTCCAGGGGTAACTGAGACTACACCGGCGTGTCCAGCAGCATTTTTACTGCACTCAATTTCAACTCCTGTCGCATGACCTCCCTCACGAATAACCCTCCTTGCGGTAGTGTTCATCCAAAGTGTGAACTCCTTACGCTGGCTCGCATCGACTAGATACGTCGCGAGCGGCCCACCTCGTTCGCCGTTAGAGAACATGTGCGTGCTGTGCCCAAAAGTCCAGTCCTTGCGATCTGGATGCTCGTTAGGCACAATGAACTCCCACCCGCTTGCATTTAGTCCCGATGTCAACGCCTCGAATCCCTGCTGCAAGTATAGCTTGCCGTCCGTACTAGGATGCGTCGTTCCCGGAATTCGCTCGAACACCCGCGCCGTCGCATCGACTACATCAGAGCTTTTCCAACCTTCAGGCCAGCTATAATCCCAGTCGGCTGGGTGCGGTTTCCACCATAGGCCAGAATTGACGGCCACACCACCACCCAGCACACAGCCTGCCATCTGGTCGACATCCGTACATACAACACCAGTAGGGTTGCGCCAAATTTCGTTGGCTAGCCCAGGCACGTCAAAGCGAGTCAATGTCGAATTATCCAACCATTTGGGTTTTAGAGTGCCTCCCCAAATGCCCGTCGAGGGAGGACCCTTCTCTAAAAGAAGGACGGTGTGCCCAGCCTCTGACAGCCGGTCAGCAAGTGGAATGCCGCCGGCCCCTGAACCTATAATAATATAGTCCCAGGTCTGACTGGCCGTGACATTAGAGCAAACTGGCGGTGCCAGTCCTACATTAGCCCATGCCGAGCATGGTTGGAATACTATAAGAGAGTTAGACAGCGTCCACGCGTCTACCTATCTAGCCTTAGGTGTGGTCTTACAAAGCAAGGCGGCTGTCGCGGCGGCGCTTAGGTATAGATTACCATGCATCTCAACTATAAGAGGTCTCGCGTGACTGAGTGTACAGAGGAAACTCCGCGTCAACCCTCAGGGGCGGACCCAAGCCTTTTTTAAAACGGCAAAGAGCATGTTGCGTCCCGAGCATCGCAGATAGGACATTAGAAGCCATGACCATGCCGCCACGCCAACGTCGACTTGCATGCCTAAGTCTCGCACGCAGGAGCGCCGCTTCAAAGTGCTGTCGTCGGTGTATCGAAGGAACTAGCGCCCTCGAACGGGTCACTGGTTCAAAGTCGTAGGGATCTGCAACCCTTTTTCATTTAGGTGCAATTAGCCGAGTGCAATGTCGTGGAGTGTCCTGGGAACCAGGGTGCCCATACTTAGCCGCGAGCGAGAAAACCTGGGGTGAGCTGGGGTCGCCTGGGGTAAGGTAGGGGCATGCGGCTGGCCCGGGTTTCTGGTGAGGTCCATTCACGATCCAAAATGGAAGTGCCGATGGAAGGGGAAGGCGGTGCTGGTGCATCGGGTCATCACACCCAGGACAAAAAAGTAGCCCCCCGCGAGGCTACGGACTTACGGTGGTCAGCAAGGAGGGGGATTACGACCAGGCGTCTCAGGATAATTCCGGCCAAGCAATTCGGGATTATGACATTTTCAGCTTATTGCGGAGATAGAGTTAACAATAGCAGCATGTAGTAGGCAAAAAGGAGAGGAGGATCAAGGATCACGACTGACATTTCACCCGGACGTTCTAACCTAACCCTGTTATTTTGGTGGTCGATAGTCCGTCTGATATATCTTAATCAATGATGAGCTACGTTGAAGGGAGTTGAATGAACGTCGAGATGCGGATAACCGTAGATAGTTTGCGTGTCTGGTAGGAAACCCCTTTATCACCTCATATATTCCAGAACAATTCTATCTCGAAATAGTATGGCTACAAATAGCTCATTCAATAGGGAATCGACCTGAGATTTATCATTACATTACTGGCATTAAAGAATGATTTTCTAGGATAACACCGTGAAATGCCTCCTCGAGTTTTAGGGCCCTAGGGAGTTACTCTTTTCTAAACCCACTTAGTACTTCAAAACTTCAGCACTATTGAACGAACGTTTTGAATGCTCCAAAATCCTATAGTACCATGGAGCTGGCGCCTGCTGTATCCTTTGGTTTGCGGCTAACGTTCCCATCGCCGTCAACCACTTCTTCTGTCTCACTCTCAGATTTCTGCTCTTCACCAGCAGTACTCCCGCCCTATGATAAACCAGTCAGCGTGAGGTTCAGAAATACAGACCTATTATATCTATAGTAAGGTATTATCGTATAAAACTTACACTTTCTTGCTTATCGAGAGGACCGCCAGTAACTGACACTGGTTCGGTCACTTGGGCTTCAGGTTCCTTAAATCAGGTCAGCAAAAGCATTCTAGAGAATACTGAGAAGTTTAAACTTACGATAGGGCTGGGGGCCTCATATATACCGCTAGCTAGATCAACATTTGGCAAGGCATTCGTACTGCCTGTGTCAAAGTACTCGGCGGCTTTGTTCTGATCTTTCTGCCCTGTAGTAGCCATGTTCTTGCTGCGGGATGGAATATTATGTTCTTAAAAAGTTTGGGAGTGCTACGGTCTGCTAAGTGGGAGTGATGAACTAGACCAAACGATTTATCACCTTACAATAGCAATACGTCATCTACCGATGAGGCTCCATATATGGCCGGTCGCAATCTAACCACGAGATATTTGGGGATTTACGTCAGGACTACGTGATAAAGGCTGAGACCCAAACCCCCAAATTTTATCGCCTAATAAATAAGTAAGAAGTATTTCCAAACTCGACATCAATAAACCGATTTGCATTCCCATGGATTAGCCCTTTCTTATGGCTCCGGTTTTGTGGGGTACGGCCTGCCGGACAAGGGTTGAAATCGGAGCCGAGGCCGGAATAGCTCCTTCTAACTGAGAGCCAGAGAGCCCAAAAGTTACTTATTATTTACCCAAGTGATGCCTATAACTTGGTGGCGGGGATTTATAACATATATATCCTGGACCTATAAAGAATAACAATCGTGTTACAAGCTTATCCAACTAACAAGTAGGTAATAACCATCAGGGTACCTAGGTAGTTTTCATTATTGACATTTGATTACCTGCTTCCTTCGCTTAGCTTATAGCCTATATTTACTTCTCTACTCCTATATATCTATATCTGCATTATATATAAATTCTTGTATCAAATCTCTAATTGCCTCGTCGGTCTCAGTCGGGAACGCTGTGGCTGTTTTGGTTCGCACGGCGTTTTCAGCTATTCTCAGCATATCTCGCAAGCTCATCCTGTCTGACTCTTCGTATGCTAAGCATCTGGCTAGGAAATCGCGAATGTCATCGTCGAGCGTGGGGTATTTGGCGCCGTTTCCGTGGTGTAAGAACTCCGTTGCTCTTGTCTCGAAACCCTGGTATTCCGTAATCCACGCCGATATTCTCACTTGTTGTCTTGCAATTAGGTTAACCATAATCTAGACTGGTATTAGCTTATTAATGTTATTAGCAAGGGCAGAATTGTCGACGATACCCTGATTACTGCTCGAACGTTATCGGGGACGCCCTTGAATCCTTCTCTTGTTCGCCCGAAGTCGATGAATTTTAGCGGTGGAACTAAGTCGTGCTCCGGGAATCCACCACCAGCGTTGCCTATCATGACTTCATGTTGTCAGTGAAATGAAACGTCCTAGGAAAAAGATAACAAACTGTTTGCTGGGCTCAAATCGGCGTGTTCAATTTTGCTCGGTTGTGTGTCATCTTCAGGTATCGTCTCTAACTGGTCTGGATCATCTTCGCCGCCATTCGGAGGGTACGCGAGACCAACACAAGCTCTTGTTACTAAACGCATTCGGCATATATTAGGCTACTATTTCCAAACTTCAAAACGTAGGTAGGACACTGACAACAGAGAAGAAAGGACCATATTACTCGGTTGGGTAGTAATTGATCACGATTGACTAGTCTTTTATACAGCCGTGCTAGATCTCCGTTTTCTAAATACTCGATAACTACTATTGGACCGGTAAGCCCCTCTAAAGATTCTTCTAAAGCAGATCGCCTTCTTAATAAACGTTTTCGATCGCGTCTAAAAAAGGTCGTTTGGTGAGGCTCGTCGCGAGATGCTAGTATCCCCACGACATGCTCAGCTCCGCGAAGAGTCTACAGTAGATGGATTATCAGCTATCACCGGTTACCGTTCCGGGATGTATACTAACTTTTAACCATTCTATTTCATTTCTTAGGTCGTCTTCTCCGCGGGGTTTTAGAGATCGCTTCACTACAAGACGTCGAGTCCTATTATGCGAGAGCTTTTCGATGAGATAGAAGGTGAGGCCGTAGGCGCCGCGACCGAGTAGTCCTTCGAAGGTAAATTTATGATGTTGTACAGCAAAATGAGACCTTAATTCCGCTTCGATATCAGCGGTAGACTTGTTGCCATAGGCAGCTGGCGCAGAGTGAGATCGACTCATTGGTGATCTTTCTATTAACCCGTGGATTGAGTGCCTTAAAAAAACTTACAGATAACCTTGGTAAAGCGTAGATAGTAGATGCGTGAGTGTAATAAAGCGTCTATTATATAATAAAGAAAGACAGGTACTTACGTTGTCTGATTGCGGAATATGTACATGGACATGTTCCGCCCGATTCAACTTTGGGAAGAAAGAGGTAACATCTATTAAAGGCTTTAATATAATTTGAAGCTATGGGAGATATAAACAACTCTTGTGATCTAAACATCTGAATTTCAATGCTATCTAGGTATCTATCTTCGTAGTTGGATGACAGTTACTGAAGTGTATTGTACATCCTTTCTAATCCAGATGGTTATGTTCATAATTCTATAAAGTTGTAGGGTATTATATACATAGTATAATTACGTAGTTAGTATAATTTTAGAAATTAAGTTGAATTAGTTTCATTCGTTACATGCTGCAACAATCTGTTTGTGTTTGCTTTAAACTCTCAGTTGATCTTCAACGCTGTAGTGTAACTATAGCCCATCTGCCCATGTTCAATTCAATCTTTAGTGGCTAAGACGCAAAAAGCTAAGCGGTACAAAATGATTGGCCAAAAAAGCTCCGACGGCAGTTACCGAACCACTTAAACTCGGCTCCTCCAAAATTTCAACTCTACAAAGCAAAGCTTCAAGAAGCTCTGCACAAAGACTCCCGCATAAACGCTCACTCCATCAGGCCTAACTACCAATTGGAACTACCAATTGGCCTGGAGCCGAGCCTCTTCCCCTCAATATGGCACCCGCGCGCCTTATCCGACCGCCGACCTGTCTCGACTGTCTGCGCCGTCTCGTCCACCCCTCCCCGGCATCGCCCCCCTCGTTTCTATCTCTGCAGACTCGAGGCGCAAAGTCGTCGACGAAGGCCGAAGAGGAGGATTTGCAGGGTATTCCCGTGCGTCTGCTACAGGACATCCAAGGGTTCGGTCGGAAACGTAGGTTTCCCCTCCTCCCTCCCCCTATATTCTTATCTTCATCTAGATGACTTAACGAGGGACCGCAACAGATGCCATCATCCGAGTCAAACCCGGCCGCATGCGCAACTACTGGTTCCCCAAGGCGCAGGCCGAGTACATGACGCGCCAGCGCTTCAAGGAGCTCGGCCTAACTGAGGCTGCCATTGGTGTGCGCGACCGGTCCTTCGGCACCAAGCTCATCGTCGAATCCGAAGGCGTGCCCGCTGAGGAGGGGCCCAAAGAGACTAGGAAGAGCAAGAAGGATACCTTGACGCTACCAGTAAGTTTGGGCTTAATACTTCTACAAGTAATCTTACACCATGACCTATGTTAACATATAAATCCAGCCCGAGGAGACCCTCACCCTCCTCGAAACCCTCCTCCCCCCCATCCTAACCTTCGCTCGCAAGCCCATCCCCGCCGTCTCCGCGCCTCTACCTAGCGAACCCAAACCTACCCCCATTCCTCGATCGCCATCTCTCGCCGCCAACGCCGCAGCATCTATAGACTTCGCTGCCGAAGACTCGACCCCGCCCTCGACCGAGGAGGCAGCACCAACAGCCATCTTCGGTTCCGTGTCCGTAAACGACATCCTAGCCTTGATACGAGAAAGGCTATTAGAAGATGACCCGGCGCAGGGCGGGCGCGTGGCGCTCGAGGCGGACAACGTGCAGATCCAGGGTCTAGAGGGCGAAGACCGTATCAAACGCCTCGGTACCTTCGACGTTCTGATCACCGCCGGCAAAGACCTAGAGCCCTTGGTACGGAAGGTTGAGGTCGTGCCAGAAGAGTAAATAGGGGCGACGTCCCAATTATTATGCCATTACCATGGGATAAACGGCTTCGACGTGCTTATCTAGACCGAGGGAAATAGAAAGCTTGCGAGGGTAGAGAGTATCTACTACCTGGTAGTGAGCCAGCACGGCACTCTTATGCGCATGAATCAACATAGCACATAGCACATAGCACGTGTATGATATACCAATCAGTTAGGGTAGCTGAGCTAACGCTAGACATGTACATATGTCGACAGATTTGGATTCGTGTATTAATATATGCAGTGCCCATCTTGAAACGTCTTCAAAATTCAATCCTTCGCATACCGGCCATAGGATGGCCAACTAGCTCTCTAAAATGGCGTACATATTTCTCTAGAGTTGAAGCGTTACTACGGGGAAGGCGGCCGGGGGCGTAGATTGGAAGGCAATAGTCGATAGGTAAGTAATTAGGTCATGGATTGGGTATTATCCTCCATTCCTTCGCTCTCTCTAATACGACAACTTAGCCCTGCCCCCCTTCTCTAAAAGCAAATTCAATAACCAAGTACCCAAGAATCAATTATGAGACAAGAAACCAAAATAAACCAAACAAGACAAGCAGACCCTTTTACGCCAGCGCTGTGCCCAATAAAAATATGATACGGGAATATCAGCCTGTGCTATGCCATTCATCCTGCATATCAACGCTGGTCTTCCTTCCGACTAATCAGCTACAAACTTCTTGTGCTAACATATGGAAGCGGTAGATGTGATGATGTATGGTTGTGGACAAGAGGGTTGACCAAACCTAATCATCTGCCGGGATAACTAACGTCGAGGTTCCATAATGAATCCCATACAATACTCCTTCTTCTAACGGGGCTTGGATTTTCGATAGAAGTAGCGCTTATTTCTTTGCGGAGTTGGGAATGCTGGGGTCGTTGTTGCTGCTGTTGTGATTGTGTCCGAGGCTGACCTGACGGCCTCTGTTGCTGAGGCTGCTGCGTATTGGGGTTGTCGTCTATTCGGCGACGCTAGATCCCATCAGCGACTATGTCTCAAGGATCGAGGGTGGTGTTAATTATCGTGTCGCACCTCGGTTTGCTCGCCCTTGTCTGCGGCGGTTTGCTTGTCCACTGTTGATTCTTGCTGCGTTCCACTCAGCCCTGCGGCCCCCTGCCCGACTGTTGGACTTGTGATACTGTTTGTCTCGCTAGCTAGCGCACTGCCTTTTGCGGCGACAACCCCAGCAAGAGGCTGAGCCTTCTTAGAGCCTGAACTGCTACGCCTGCTCTCGAGACTCTTGCTGAGCGTCCTACTAACACCCTCAATTCCGCCGTTAGGGCCCAGCTTGGATTTCCCCTTGCTCAAACGTCCATGTGCGTGTATATCGGCGACAGCTGCAACAGTGTTTGCAGCGACGGTGGACTTTCCAAGCCCAGGGGTAGATGGGGCGCCGGGTTTATCTTCGTGTGCATCAATAAGCCACCAGCGTAGACCATCCGATAAATCAAATGGATTGTCATTCTCGTCGCCAGTATTAACAGAATCAGTTTCACCCTCTGACGGCAGAGCAGTGGTAGATTGCAAGCTCTTAGATAAGTCGACTACTCGCTCTTGAACGCGGGTTATGCGGGCTACAAGCCATTCGCGGCTGCGCAAGCGGTGGCCTTCCTGCTCCCGCAAGAAAAAATGAGGACACCCAACATTGAAAGCAGCCCAGGCACCTGTCGTCTGATTACGGGTGGGGAGAAACAAGGCTAAGTCGCCTTCTTTGAACTGTCTGAAGGCAATCTTATCACGAGCTTCCTTAGCAGCATCGTGTGCCCGTTCTCTGTAATTACGGGCGTCTCGCGTCATCTTTCGAGCAGTATGCTCCACTTCCTTAACACGACGATACATAGCTTCAGAAAAGGCGTCAATGTCAAAGTTGCCTGGACCGGCCATGAAAGCCTGGTATTGCTCATCTTCTGTATTCGAATCCTCCGCGTTCATCCAATATAGTAGCCTGAGGTCAGCACTATCAGCAAGGGGGTTACTTGTTAACGAGACGGATCGCCGTATAGAAGAGCCGGGATCAGACGAGTCGTTAGGGTTTTGAGATGTCCGTTCAGACCGCGGAATCCTTTGGATGGTCATCGACCCATCCTTGCGTGTCACGGAGAACCCAAGGCGTTCGAGAAGCCTGCATAGCCTCTCATTTTGCGTGTATAACCGCTGGGTGAGGTCTTTAGTGCGACCGTTGCGTACCTCAGATCGACTATTAAGGGCTTCTAAGGTAGTATCGGACGCCTGTAGCTTCTCCTGGAACATTCGAACTTCCTCTTCAAGGCTACCTAATTGGGACTGTTTTGATGCCACTTGTTCGGTTAGCTCCGCAACTCTCTTTTCTTCATCTGCTAGTTTCTGCCGTAGTGTCTCTGATCCTGTTTCGCCTTCAGTCATCTTCATTCGGAGTTGGTTGAGTTGCGCTCGTCCTTCGTTCACTTCCATTTCAAGAGTGGCGCTTCTAGTCTTCTCCTTATCCAGTGTCTCCCGCAAGTGCACCGAGCTCATCTCTTCACTAGAAAGCTTTTCTTTCGCAGTATGTAGTTCGGATTTTAAATCTTTGACAGTGGCTTGAGCACGCTCTAGATCAGCCTTCGTTAGAGATATGTCTTGTTCGAGGGATTTCAATCTGGCTAAGACATCATTTGATTTGGTCGCGACGGAATCCGTAAGATCTGCGAAGTCTTGAGGAGGTTCCTCCGTTGGAGATAACTGGCCGTAAAGCTCCTTGAGCGAGCGAGCATGCGTGTCCATGCTATCGAAGAAAGTTTCGGCTCGCTTATTTAGCTCCTTGACTTTTTCACGCGATTCCTTCAACTCCCTCTCAAGAGACACATTGCGTTCCCTCTGAACTCGAGCTTCGTTACGTAAAAATTCGACTTGTCCTTGTGTCCTTAGAGCATCGTCCCTCTTCTCTTTAGTAAGACGATCTACCTCCGCTTCGAGAGAGCGAAGTTTCTCATCGTACGTTAACTTCTCATTTTCTCTGGATTCTCCGAAATGTTCGATCTCATCTTCGGTCTCTTCGAGGCGGGCCTTCAGCGCTTTGATTTCGTCCTCCAAGGACTTACGCTCTTCCATGAATTCTCTCTTTAGGGCTTCCATATTTCCTAAGAGATCTTGCTTCGTGGAGTTCACTTCGTCCATACGGCCTTTCAGATCGGCGTGAGCATTCGCTTCTTTCTCTAGAATTGCAGATCGCTCTCTCTGAGCATTGAGATCTCCTTCCAACTGCGCAATACGATGGTATAGAGCTTCAGTGCCCTCTGAGGTGATCGATCGTCGCCGATCATCGGACACGCGGGGTGATTTAACGGAGCCGGTCGAGTCGTTTTGTTGGGGTTGAAAGATATTGCCTAAAGGTGACGGTCTCGATACCTGAGTTTGGCGATGCAAGAGATCTTCTAGCCGGCGGACTCGACTCTCAGCTGTCCTCAACTTATTCTCTAGTTTGGACTTGTCTCCTTGTAAGCTTTTAAGAAGATCGTCATCTCCGCGAATAAGCAGACCGCTTCTCCCAAGCGCTGCTTCATGTACACTGCCATTTTTGAACGCTTTCAGCCGTTTCGACTGCTGCTTCGTTGGATTGCTGAGGTCGTTTATTAGCTTGGTAATGTCGCCCAAGACGCCTGCATCTGCATTATATCGCCTTAACACGGTCAAGAACTCATCAAGCTCTTGCTTCGTCATCTGGGGCCAAGACTCGTCATCACCATGAAGGTTGAGCTCGAAGCCAAGTACGCTGCTTTCAGTCTTCTCTGGGCCATAGGTACTACCGACCATTTTATGCCACTTCCGACGTCTCTTCAGTTCCTCATCTTGGAATATAGCCATTTCGTTAAGCAACGTCGAAGAATCGGCTTTTACCTTCTCCGACCATTCTCTACGCCGTATAGCCTCGGCGACAAAAGACGCATACATGTAAGGGAGCTGTTGAATGAGCCGTAGATAGTCGAAGGTAGTCATCTCCTCCTCTCCTTGATTTATTGCGTGCATCTGAGTCTTGACACTATGGTGTATGCTGGTTATCTCAGCAATCCTACGCATGAAGGTGAGAGAATCAGCAGCTATACGGTTTCGCGCTTGAGTAACATAACGGAGCATGTCGTCCATCTCAGAAGCTCGGGTTTGGATACTCGGTAAGAGCTGTTTCGTGTGATTAACAGCTGTTTTTGAAGCCTGCGGGATATCCTTTGCTTGATTAGTATATGACAGAGTAGTCTGGTAATCCGTGTCGACCTTTCTCGCGACAGCTTCGATATCTTCTAGTAACTGGATACTGTCGCGTTTATGCCCCATTACCGACCGATCTAATAACTTATTAAACTCCTGTATCAACTCTTCGCAGCCTCCAAACATCATCTCGACTGTCTTGTCTAACTCGGATATTTTATTATTGAACTTTCGAAGGGACGTGGCGGCAAGTTTCCCAGCTTTCCGAGTAGGCTCGGGGTCAATGAGATCCTCTAGCGTTGCTTGACGAGGCTTCCGAATGTCCTGACCTGTCATAAAACGCACCATCGTTGGGGAAATAGCAATGCTCCGTGCTAGCTCAAGGTATTGTTCCCAGTTGGAAACTAGATTGGCATATTCGTCTTGAATGGGCGTTGCCCATTTCTTGAGTTCCGAGTGCTTTGGATCTATTAACTTAACACTGTTGTCGAGATTTGCTACAGCGGCGTCAAGACATTTTAGCATGACATCTATTTCACTATACCGCATCTGAGCCGCATCAGCCATGATGGTGCAGTCTTCTACGACCTTTAGGGTCCAATCGCGACGTCTCTTGAATAGATCCTGCCATGATTGTAGCGAATGCGCGTTCTCGATCGAGTTCGGGGGAGTAGATACGGTATATCGTTTAGGCACGGGGGACTCGGAGATAAGAGCGCTGGCAGCGCTAGGCGAAGAAGCCTGAGTTATTCGAATATCATAAACGTATACCTCCTTCTAATGAACATATTAATCTCAAGCTTTTACATGGGCTTAACTGGGGGATGCCAAGGTGGACAAACCTCAGACTGTATGTTCTGGATCTTGACAGTCTTTCCTTGCGACGTAAGAGCAACAATATTCTGAATGGGTATGGAGCTTTGCCGGGCCACCCACGCCTTGAAATCATCTAAGCTATAAGAAGAGAATAAAGCTGTTAGTACAAGTACCTATGCAGACTATAAAAAAACGCGGTAGGCCGCATACTCGAATTAGTGTAAGAAATAGAATACATACGATGAGAACTGAGCGGTATCGACCTGCAGGCGCTGGCCCGTGTGGGCAATCAACACCTGCGTCTGCGTCGCCATGATTTATACAGTCCATCCCCTGAAAGAATGAAGTAAATGATGCGACAACAGATCTGATGTTCCGGATATGCAGAACCCTAAGGTGGGAAGCTCAAGCATTGACAAGCCGACGGAGGAATAATGAAGATGGCAGGTTAAACTTTATCTTTCTATATCGGAGCTCAACGTCAGCTGGCAGGCAGTCAGGCGCCGTTCGTACATAAGGCTCCTTCCGATTTCTCTGTAATTCGTCACCGATGATCCACAAATTTTGCTGGGGACGGAGTAAACTTGGACCCCCTAGTGCTTAAATGCATAAATGATTTGCTTCAGATCCGATACACGAATCATATGTATCCAAGTACCACCAACATTTATGTACAATATACGTGTAAATCCCCGTTCGTGTAATGGAGTCCGTGTAATGAAGTGTACCTAGGTAGTTATCTAGTTTCCGTGATAGAAAGTCTTACAAGTCGAAGTTAAAGCCTAATGATTTAAATTTGATTTACGTATATTATATAGGCATAGGTTAGGTACTTTTGGTTTGCGTCAAATGCATTACACTCTAGCTTTAACGAAGTTTGTTTTTGTTATTCGGCGTGCTAATCCATGTGACAACAAACGGGGGATCTACATATGCATTAAGGTTCTAAACGTGAACAATCAAGCCACATTCGACCAGCCACATCTATTGAATATGACTGGAAGCCTAATACTTCTTACCTCCGTTGCAATCTTGTAAAAGAAGCGATAGCAACGCAGATTTGTGCTTCATAATAAAACAAATATCATCTCATACGCTTGTGTTTCAAACAAAAAGCCTTTATATTGCAAATGCTCATTTGCAAAAGAAGATGGCGGGTGGAACGATTCACGAACCAACGCCACTCCTTCTTTCAGATGACGAGAAACATATCCTAGGTTTACACGATCGCCTTCAGCAGCTTCAATTAGAGATCACTTTACTCACAGCCCAGAAAAATTACGACCCACGTGAGTTTCAAATATCAATTTATAAAATATGCATTTGATCTAATCAGTAGTAGGTAGAAATCCGCCTGCAGGAGATGGGAGCATAGAAGCAGCCCAGAAAGCTCTTCTGGATTCAAGATCTAAATATGTCCTCCGGAATCAAGTAGTAGACAGCGTTGTGGCCGCCAATCCAATCTTACAAGCAGTACATAATGGTACAAAAGCATCTCCCATAGAAAGGTAGGACTTACGACATTCACTCTTATACTATTATCTCTGACTTTAGTCCGTAATTCTATAGGGACTTACTGCCCATTCTAGAACAGCGCGATCAATCATCTTCAGCGTTAGCACAGCAGTCCTCGGAGTTACGCACGCTGCTTGACGAAATTACGGAGGTGGAGAGTCAGAGTCTACGTCTCGGTCGCGAGAACGTGGAGCTGGCGTCCAAGTTGCTCGAACTTGCTGAGCAGACAAATCGGAATAAGGCAGAGGCAGTTAACATGCATCCGGAACAGGCAGCTGAGATCACAAGCCTGGAGGGCCAAGTTAAGCTAAGTAGACAGAGATGGCGGGTCCTGAAAGGCACTGCAAGCGCAGTGGTTGCCGGTAGTGGAGTTGATTGGTCTAGAGATTCTGAGCTGAGAGATATTGTTTTGGACCCTGAAAACGAGGATGAAGTGTGATAAAGGGGTTCAGATTCCAAGTATTGATGAGAAGAGCACGTTCGATGATACCCACCGGAGTAATAATCAATAATCTCACTAATCTGGCAATGCTATTCTTTGCCTTCATATATGAAAACTCAAGCCCTGGAATAATGCGTCTGAACCCTTGAGTCGTCACAATAACCCCATCGTCCCTGCTTATCTAGACCCATGCCAGCTTTGATAGTAGGTAGATTTCTAACGCACCATGTGCATCCGTTCCTGATAGATAGGGCTTAGCGTAATTAGTCTTGGCCGAAGCAAGCATGAATCACGTGGAATGAATCTATTTTAGGATTCTGATGTGATGTATCGAATGTTAGCCAGTAGGTCTCATGCATCGATCAAGACACTATAGACGGCCATTTCCCTGACAGCATATCAGCTATTATTGCATAAAGTATATTACAACCACGTAGAGACATAGACTTTTTGGGAGTATTGTTGATGAGGCAAGTCGTGCTTTAAATTGATAGATGGATAGATAGATCATAATATCAGACATGACGTAGACAAAATGGCGCGTAGCATCAGCCTAAGATTCGCGTTTACACACGTAGACTTACGTATCTAGAAGACTAGAGTCTAAGCGGTTAAGTATTTTGCCTCTGACGGAATCAGTGGTTGTTTTGCCATGGTGTTGATCGACGGTGGGGAGTGTTGAAGGGAAAAGAAGGTCGTCATCGTTACGCTAATAGAAAACACCATAATCAATATGGAAAATGAAAAACGCGAACACAGTGTATGTATGTACATATATGATGCAAATAAAACCATTCCCGAAGCGTCCCTTGGGGTAGCCCGCAGCTTTGTGCAATAGAATGTACCTGTTTAAACAGGTGGTACCTGGCTGTCTTTCGATGACTTTGGCCTAGCAAGACACCGGATACCCTAAAATCAAGAATGAGACAGTCTTCCTAGCCTGTCGCTAGTAAGGCGGCCCTGTTTGAACGGATCAAGACAAGACATGGCCTATAGCCAATACTTTCAAGTGCCAGACGTTATGTACACATGAGAACACCACAATATGAATTGTTGGCGTTTGGGTTTACCTACTATGCAGAGATCTGACTCATAAAATCTATCGCGGTCTAATATGATTTTTAATCGAGAGTTTCGCATCGCGTCCCTCGCCGTCCTTAAAGAACATAACTTACTTGTCCGTTTGTGGATTGTAACGAGTTTACAGTAAGGTGTTGCGAATGCTTGTCCATAATGCGACTCGATAATATAGTGATACAACTCCAAATCGGTGCGACAGGCTTGCATTGCTCATATTGCTACAATAGGGGGGCTTATTCCTTGGAAGGATGTGCAAGCTTGAGCAGGCTGGCTTACGGGACTCTGCGGGATAGAGTTACGCCAGTACAACAACTAGGATAACCGCAATGCAAGCTCTTGAATATTATTGGTCGATAAAATGGCTGCGTTGATATTTGCCTGTGTAAACGTATTGGGTTGGAACAGCCCCTTGGTAATATCCTCTAAGAATATCGTGCGTGTTATGGATAGTTTACGCGATTCATACCCGTTTAGTGGTCAGAAATGCCATACCCATAGTATCCAATAATCATCGGGCTATGATATCGTAAAGAGCGTAAAGCGATAGGACGAGGGCTGTGGGAGTCTAGATTTTCTCAGCACTTTGGAAATGAAATGGAGTATATCGCGGACAATAAAAACATCGTCATGGAAGTTTATTAAGGCAAACGGAGCTAGAGAAAATAAAACACCGTACTTCGTAATCTGGCTGGATAATACCACCGTTGCAAAGCTAGAAGACTTGGGTTGAGCGGTTCACAAAAATTGTGAGGAGCCAGTTCTGTTTGGGGATGGGATGCGTAAGAAAGGGGAGAGAGGCAGAGAAATTGGTGCAGAGGTGAAGAGGGGGAATGTCAGACTCCCAGAACTGCAGCCAGAAATTTCGTGTGGTGGTAATCAGCTGCAAAGAACCAGACCAGGCAAAAAAGGCATAAAAAAAAGGCCATCCACCCAGGGAGCCCAGGCCTGATAGGCAAAAAAAAAAAAAAGAGAAGAGGTACTTAGCATGGGTGATGTACATTTACGCTAACAAGGAAGCGTAAGGTACTTCCAAGCCATAGTGTACAATCATCAATTGTGATGCACCCGGCGCTGTCTCCAGTCTCCAGTCTCCAGTACATACAGTCTGTACGTATATGTATGTACGCGCCTGGGCTTAACGCTGTACTTCCAGATAACTTTCCTTAAGCCTTCTGGTTTTCGCACCTCTCCTTTTTGTTTTTGGTTGTTTCTTCTCCTCTAATGCAGCACTTCCAACTTAAGTAGCTGCATACTCATCAATTGGCAGTATATGTATGCATCGGTTTCCCTTGTATTTTGGTTGAGATGCACGAGTGTAACTAAGGTTGAAGGAAGTAGGATGCATGTACATATATACGTTGAACAATTGAGGCATCATAACTAGCGGAAATGGAGTCTTGGGTTTTCATGGTTGTTTTAGGAATGGAGGCATGTTAGGTAAGTGATTAAACGTTGATTCCCGAAGCATTGACGCAAAAAAAAGAGTAAATCAGTCCATCGAGGTACACAGTATCAGACATCCGGCTAAGACCTGGTGGGAGCTTGGTGATGCTGTACTATGAGTTTTCCCCTTTTTCGTCTAGCCTTTTTTTTTTATCTATCTACCTATGTATCCAGCAGCATCCCGCTCAATATCCTTCGGAGAAAATGCAACCATTTCCCGCGTTGCTTTCATGGGTAGATAGGGGGGAGCTTGAGAAGGACAACAGAATGTATGTACGCGGTATAAAGATACTTATTACTGGTAACCACTTTGTATTAGGTAACGTACCGCCCTATATATGAAAAAAGGAGAGTCACAAATCGGTTGCTTTGCAGTTTTGCACATGCTCAAGAAGAATAACCAGGAGTGGTTGGACTTGTCAGGCTGGTTTGCCGCTATGAGCGATGAATGAAAGAGTGAATGAAAATGGATTGGCGAAGAACAAGTGATACAGTAATGGAGTAATAGATACATAAACAAAGCAACATGGCAACATAATATTTCCTCCCATAATGTTGACCGTTTTAAACATTGATAATAGTGATATGTACATACCTAGTAGCCGAAGGTACAGTGGTTCTTACAGTGTAATGAGCACTGTGACATAGAGGACCTCTCCTACTTCCCTGTATCGTGCTTATTGCAACGTCCAAACCGACTAATACCACAGGGTATGATAAGTACCTTCCTACCGAAATTGGGTATACAAGGTACTAGACGACTTAGGCAAAGCCTGCACACAGGAAATTCTCTAACCTTACCTGAGGACAACCGGTGGTTACTCGCTTGGGCTTGGTTACCTCCAGTTCCCTGCTTCTCCTACCACTTGTTCAAGTACCTACCTAGGTAGCTCTCCAACCAAAATCACTCCGGCCACTGTGCCTACCTTACGGTCTATCTGTCGCTTGCCCGCTTTTTGGTGCAGACCCCCCCTCCCTCTTTGCACCCTCCCTTAGAAATTGGGGCAGTCTCAAGTCTGGCTTTGCACACAATCACCCAGGCGCAGTAAAAAGGCAGTAGGCCAACGCTCCCCCCATACAAATTTCCCTTTCTTCTCCCACATACAAATCTCCCACCTAAATCGTCTCCCATACAAACGCAGCCTACACTCAACCTCAATAGCTGCCCATACAAATTGTGAGTACCTCCGTTTATATGGCACTGCACTGCAAACCTCAAGTCACCTCAACCACTTCCTTACATTGCGCGCATCTTGTCGTCCCAGTCAAGTCGATTCATCTCTAAATAGATGCATCATGTTTTTAACATGATTTGCATCATCGTCGGATGCTTTGAAGCTTATTCTAGTAACTTCTGTTGACATTTGACTGCTGCATCGGCTTGCGAATCCATCATCACATTTTCCTAGTCCACCCTGCATTTTAGACTGGGCAATTCCACTGACTGCGATTGCGCGCAACAGCTTCATTCAACCACAACATCACTGTCCAAGTTTTTAAGAAGTATCTCAAGGTATGCATATGGGTTTACTTTGCTCGATTCCGAGCTTCAAGTCGCGGTTTTCACGCGTTGGCGCATACAATTGCATTTGCGACAACAGCGCATCGCATTCAACATGACCGTGCATCACCACCTTAACTTCTTATCATCTATCTGCCCCTCATTCGCATTTATTCGAGCTGTCGCCCGACCGCACCACCCAACAACCGATTCCCTAATTCAGCACGCTTTTACCTTACCACATAGTCTCCTATCACTCAATCTTACGCACGCATATCTATTTAGGCCAATAGGAACTAACATACAACTCCATTAGAACACCAGTCAAAATGCCAAAGGAAGCGACCAAGCGTGGCAAGGCCGGTAAGGTCGAGAAGAGAAAGGGAAAGAAGGGTAAGTCATACAGTTGATGTTTTCATATACTCGGGCTTGATGCATCCCCATTCTGGTATTCAATCTAGCAATGTCTTTTTGCTACCTTGTTGGTCTCGAATGGTTCGAGTCTCCAAGAGTGCTACAAGATATCATCCGACTATTGCCAGCTCATTATCAAGCTCGCATGTTTTAACATTCACTAACTTGTTGGACATAGACCCCAACGCACCCAAGCGTGGTCTCTCGGCTTACATGTTTTTTGCCAACGAGCAACGAGAGAACGTTCGTGACGAGAACCCCGGCATCTCATTTGGTAGGTTCCGCTAGCAATACGCCAAATCTTCCCATACTGACTCTGCCATAGGCCAAGTTGGAAAGATCCTTGGTGAACGATGGAAGGCGCTCAACGACAAGCAACGTGCCCCTTATGAAGCCAAGGCGGCGGCCGACAAGAAGCGATATGAAGACGAGAAGCAAGCCTACCAGGTAAGGAGGGACTCGCATTCCTCTTCTTAAAATGCAGCGCTGAGCGTGACTAATTAGGCCGAATCCGATTAGGCTGGCGGAGATGATGAGAGCGAATAGTAATGTCCTCTCATCTTGCCCGCTTGTTGGTCACGAGGTTTCACGACGCGATGATTCTGGTCGTGTGGCCTAAGGAGCCTCTTGACCGTGGTAAATGGCACAAGTTTCCTTTCCAGTCTAATGCGTATGGGATCGGTCGGTGTTGATGCACAGGGAAAGGGACATTGTGCTTTAGTTTTCTTTACATCATTTTCACTCTGACTGGACCAGAGTTCGGGGAATTACCCTGGTCCAGTGGCGTTGTCGCAGCTGATTCAAGCTAGCTATCTTGCAACGAAGCTCGAAGCTATCACGTCGGTGCTTCCCAACGCGATGTAAAAATAGTTTGCTCTTACCATCGAAGAGAGTTGTCCTCACTAGTATTTAGTCCTAGCTGGCCCATTACTCTAGCTCGTGATATAATGATTACAGATACAATACTGTGTAAGCGGGCGTTCCCACGTGGCCAAATCCAACCCAAGTCGAACCGTGCCTAGTAAACAGATGCATGCGAGGATCTTGTCCCGGGGATCTGGATAGTCAGGGGTCTGACCGAGAGAGGTGTGGGAGCAGACGTGGCTAAGATCCTTGCCCAACCTGTTTCCCTACCCTCCTTATTCACAACAACGCCGCAAACGCAAGGCTGTAAGAGCAAAACAAACTGCCTGGGACTTTATAGCCTAGCAAGTCATCCTTAAGTATATATATACCTATCATAGCCAAGCTAAAGTTAAGTTCGAGCTTTTGTTACTTTTTCGAGCCATGTCACCATCGTTAGGCCGGACTCACGATTGGCCCATACGGAAGGGAAATGGTCGATGCAATTAAGCCAATCATCGGGGTCCTAAATTAAGACACAGCGTCCAGTCGCGTCCTCGGCGACGGCGGTAGTAGCATATGCAGGGCAGCATAGGTAGGTACCTACTCACCAAGATATCGTCCGTCATACAGCATAAGTATCCCTACATATCGATCTAATATATTGCCAGATCAGCCAGATCTGACACTCATGCGTACCAGCTGCCCAACTCGCTCTGAGACTGGGAATGCATGCAAGCGCTGTTGTATGTTGTATGGAAAGTAATGCAACAAAGCATCGGGTTCATCGCACGCCATCGGACCCTCGATCGGAGCTGTGTATCAGTCCCTCGGCCAAAGCTACACTAGAGATGATGCTGATGCCCTTTTTCCTTATAGACACTAACCTAGTCTATTCATGCTGCATATTCGATGATATACCTACAGCAATTCAGATCCACCCTACACTATCCGATAGCCTGCTGGGTAGATGGTATGCTAATATTCTATCACCATCTAATACGGTCGTTCGTGTAGGTATATATACGCTTAGGTTTTATTAACCGGGCATTATTTTCGATCGTAATATTTTTTTAGCCGCCCAACAAGCGCTGGCAGACATATATACCATACCGTACCTGGTATATCACGGACTGAAACATTTATCGCCGGCCAGAATTTGGTACGCATCGGCGCTTACGAGACGTGCGGTGATGCTCATCACAAAAAGTCATAAACGCCAGAAATTTTGTCTTGGTTGGATTTCTTCCCGCTTAGTTATTTGTTATGCCATCAATTCCAGGTTCGGGTTCGCGCCTAGTCGCAGAACAGACGAAGCGCAAAAGCTGGCCCGGGCAAGCATCGTCATGAGCAAAACCCCTCGTCCCTCGTCCAGTCCGCTTCTCTTCCCTGCATATTATCTTATGCAAGTGCTCCCTTCTCCGCGCCGTGAGCATGGTAGCACCATGGCCCGCTCTACGCCTGATCCGGTCGTTGCGGACAAGGTCCACCAATCCCTGGTGCATACGCTTGCTTAGAGGTTCTCTGCCGGGCTTCGTGGCAGTCTCTTACTTGAGTCAAGGTAATCATGTTCGAAAGACCACTTCCAGAGCTGCCCGCAACGGCAAACTTCCGAACAGACAAGCCAAGCCAATTGGCGGGGGTTTCTTTTTTTTTTCTTTTATTGTTCCTTTCTTTTTTATACCTTTCCCATCTTGATCGTCCCTCATACTCATTTATGTACGTCTATGTCGGCTGATTCCTTCATTGGACCTGATTAATATCATCTCTACGGATTGCCACTCGGAGCAAAGGGTTATTATCATTTTTCTGTCCCGTCGATTAATTTCATATTTATTCACTTTACACCGGCATCAGGGTAGCTGAGCCACGCACGCACTTCTATCTCGATCAATACTATAGTAAAATTACCAAAATACCAGAATTCAGATCTGAGATCATATAGTCACTAGTTTTCATACGATTCTAGCCGCATCATCGTATAATTAGTATTATCCTCTCTTTTCCCTCTTTCGGTGTTTGTCCACACGAACTCCACACACACATACGGCCTTCTTCGGATCGAGCCCTTTCTCTGTTGGGGAATGCATACCTAACACGTCACCCCACCGTCGTTGGGCTCTGGACTCACGTTATGAGATTGGCAGAAGCACGCTTCCTTTCATGGGCAAGATTCTCATTTACGTCTAAATCTTATTAGGTATAAGACGAACTCTTCTTGAGTCTACTCTCGCTAGTCAATTCATTCTCAAAATCCCCCCCTCCCCACACGGCCAACTCCCTCTCATGTGGAGACGGTGATCTTCCGAGTGCTTATCAACAACCGAGTGAGAATCTTAGTGTTCCCAAACGACGCTATACTATCACGTTAATATCGATTTCGTTCGCTTTCTGCTACCTTCTGAAACTAGCATCAGCTGCAGGTACTGTCAGGTTTGGTGTGTAACGAAACCGAGTCCCGTGGTGGCTGTGGAGGATAAGCTGGATATGCAATATTTTTCTCTTCTGCGGTGAGATATCCTGATTACTTACCGTCATGGGATCATAAGAGCTTCATTAGCCATGGATCCGATTCTGCACCGTAATAGAACCCCGACCGCCAGGATAGCAGTCCAACAGCTCAGCCCTCAGTTGCTCAATGGCTGTTTTCTTGAGGCTGATCGTGCCGATATGGTTGGCTTCAACCTTCAAGGGCTACGAAATTGTCTCCCAGAGCAGTTCCATCCCCATATGAGCGGGATCATCGAAGAGATCTATAACACAAGCCGTTTACTACGCGACCTTGCAGAGCAGGCCCAGATTCACGTCTCTCAGTTGCCTGCAGTCTTCGACTATCTCAATGTCATTCTGCCATGTCTCTGCAAAACGCTCCGGGATATCATGTCGTTCTACGAGGACAAGTCAATGAACAAGGAACACCGATGGAGGACGATGTATCATAAACTTGGCAACGAACTCCCTGGTACCACTCTGCCGGCTAGATTTATCATGTATAATCAGTTCCTGCGGCTGCTCCAGGAACTTCTAACAAGGTATGGTTCTTACTATCTAGGTTCACTCATTAAAAGGTCTTTCTGCTACCCAATTAGATAGGTCTCCGAACTTCGATCTAAATGGGATGGAATCCTTACGCATCCGTATTCTCCAACTACGTGCGGCTAGGAAGATACGTCAGTAACTCATGCCTCTCTATTGTTGAGATGTAGTTGATCCTGATCCCTCTTTTAGCCCCTCCAAATCCTATCAGAACGGATCTCATCCGACGAGACGAGGCGTTAGAATTCTGGAACCAAGAGACAGTAAGCCTTTCAACACTTGTTTTTAGGGGGTAGTTGTATTGAAACTGGGCAGAATTCGCACTGGGCGGAAGCAATCTTTACTCAGCCCCTGCCGTCGCGGAGGGAGTTTAAGCATCAAGGACGGTAAGTTATTTCCTTCTTCAACTGGATGCTTTCGGGTCGAATTGTAGCTAATGTCGGACAGCTCGGATGCTTTCGGCCCTCTGCAGAAACTCGGCCATCTCCCGCCGCTCTCACGAGACGTCAAGATACTAATCAAAAGGTAACTACCCGTCTAGTATCCTTATGGTATAGGTTTACTTTGGTAAGTACGTACGCTATACTGATATACATCACAGGTCATTCGATAGCGATCGCATCTCGGTTATTTTCTTCCTGCAGCTTAGAGACCAGGCACCATCACTTCTAATTCGGTCAAAAGTCGCCAGCCAAAACTGGGTTTCCGTCCTCGGTGTTCACGAACTGTCTATCCGAAGAGAGAGCGACTCTGTCCTGCACTTATCCAGATGGAGCCGTTCAGAGCAAAGAGTCAAGCCTTGGGCAAACTTGTCGTTTCTGACTTGGGAAGGTTAGCTTCCCCTGAGACTTGGAAAACCCCGTATTATTGAAGAGTTAAGCTGACTGGGGGTAGAAATGGTGCTTTTCTACTGCACATTTCTGTGCCTGCGGGTTCGCAGCCAATTTACGCTCAACGTCAACCCTGCCGAATTTCACCTTCGCAAGGAGAAGCGTCTGTTCCAAGCGTAAGTAATAAGAATACCTATGCAACGAATCGCCGAGGCTGACATGTAAACTCTAGTCAAATTATCGACGATGGCTATCGGCATGTCCTAATGGTATTCGAGGATAGCGCCACGGGCGGTTGCCGCCTCCATGCTGCCGTCTGGGAAGGCAAGCTGCGAGCGTGTCCCGTATGGACGGCATTCAGTATGTGTTCATTTGCGCATTCTAATAGCGATTCCCTTTATTCTTGTTTTCGTCTCTACTCCTACTACATTGTCCCATCCTCGACTAATTGTAATCTTCCCCTATTAGTTCCGCCGAATGTGTCTTCATCCTGGCTCCTCCGCAAATCGAAACGTTGCATCTGGCTGCGTGATATACAGCCGTATGTGTTTTGGGAGAAATACCGACCCACGAACCAGCGCAGGGGCCGCTTCGGCGCGTTCGAGCTTGCATTCGCAAATAGCGAGGCCGCTACACGGTTTCAGGAGCTGTTCGCCTCGTCGCCGGAAGCATCAGCCGCGTCGGCTGCCCCGGAACCCTCCGAACAGAATGATGGGGCTGTGGATGCTAATTAGTCTTATTTATACGAAACGGACAAGTGAAAACCAGAGTAAACAGCCTCTCCAGAGACGATATAATATATACCATACGGATAACAGCACCAAGAAATTTAATGAGATTTCTTTTCCCTTTCCGGATATAGCTCCCCCGACCAGAGCAGCCAGTTCGCACGAAAACTTCGGCTTATACCTATGACGCGAATATAAAAGAACATATGCGACATACCGAACTCCAATTTCCCGAAACGACAGGATTTACGGCGGACACGCATTTACACACGACTATCCACGAGTTAACGAAGCTCACGATATTTCTTATGTTACATTTCCTCTAATGAGACCGACGACTGAAAATGATGATGACGAGAGAGGCAGATTGTTCGATGATACCCCTTTCTTTATCATAGCATTCAGCGAAATCTTGATTTATTTCTCCGCCATTTACTATGTTCATTTCACATCTATCTATATTCATTTGATTTACGCGTGATTAAGTTAATAATGGCTCTATCTATGATTACCTAGTTTTATTTACCTAACGTATGGGGGCGAGGCGGACGGGGTTCTCCTATACCTACCTGTCTAATTGTCGGTGAATCGAACTGTAGTTTAAGTTGGAAGAGATACTTTTCGGCCTTTCCTTTTTTTTTTCTTTTTGATAAACATAATTCTCATATTCTATTATATAGTTTATATTTAAAAGTGAGCGCACAAAAACATCACATTCATATCAATCAAGACGTTATTAGTCTTACGTTTCTACAATTAGAGAGTTCATTCGTTGTGTTAGGTGGAATGTAGGTACGGAGAATAGTACCTAGGAAAGTAAGTGAATTAGGACGCACACGTACACATAGATGCTACTACTTTAGGGGGAATACGATGATTTTTTATAGAGTGCGGGAATGGCGACTATGATGATGATGATAACGTTTACGTCTATTGGTCTGCTATATACTACTATGTAGGTACAGCGGCGCATCTCTGGCGCTTTAGACGTCTAGAGTACTCCCCGGGGGGAACAGAGCTAGAGTATCGCCTGACATAAGAAAGTAAGAACAGGGAATGGCGACTATAAGGACTGCTCGATCCCTTCCTAGTTGAAGTATATAATATCCTTCCCCCCCGGGCGCCGGTTTCCTTGAGAAGTGTAGAGAGCGTGCAGGTTCCACGACCGGAGAGGATGATCACGTGCAGGTGCCAGTCGTTTCAACGTCTCAAGGGTAGTGTCGTCGCTGAGAACTTGGATGCGAAGAGTTTTTCGAGTATGATCCCTCCTATCCTTCCAATCTCCACTGTCAGTTACCTTGTTCCAGATCTTGTCTATTGGCGACTCTGGATCTTTAATGAAGCGAGGGTAGTCGATATTGTCTCCTCTATAGGTAGGATCTTGACCCAGGCGAGTAAACTCAAAGATTTGGGCCCGGTATACGCTGTTATAACAGAACTTCAACCACTCTGCACGCAGTGGAACAATATCGGTCCTAGTTGGGCAACACCAACGATAGAGTCTTCGTATGTCGACGAGGTTTGCGAATAATCCCCCCTTTATCGATACAGCTATGTTAGTTGCCCGCTTCGGGTTTGCAATTCCCTCATTGCTAAAGCATTGGCAACCTGGACCATGTTGAGCTTTTGGTAGAGTGATTTCATTTTTCTCCAGTGCAGCTATAAATCATGTTAGATTAGACATCTACGTAAAATGGGTGGCATAATTTGATAGCAAGGAGTTCTTACGTACCGAGGAAATTAAGCGGCCAATCGCCATTAACGGCCTCAGCTTGGACGAGTTCCCCATAACAGAAGTTTTTCCGGAACTCGATCACCCACTCTGGATATAAAGGTGTTTCCAAAAAGGGTGTCTCTGCGTATAAAGGTTCTCCCTGGGGTGAACATGTATGCTTGTATCCACTGGGAATCTGATGAAAGAGATTAAGCATGATTTCACGCATATAAAGAGCTCGAATCTTTCGGGCATGCTCTGTGGGTGTCTCTGGAATAATTTCCTGAATCTCCGGTATCATAAGTCCATGCTCGCTTTTTAGTATGCACTCGGCTGCATCCTGGAGCTCAGGGAGATGGAAGACAGTGTGCATCCGAAATAGCTTGAGTTCCCATTCTTTATGGTGGATGTAGTCGTCGAAGAATTGCTTCAGCTCAGTTGCATCCAGGGGATTGACTTTGCGGGACTCAATAGCCATAACAGCCAACTTGTAGTCATTCGGGCCAAGCTGGTGGAGGATGAGGCCCTTGGCGATTTGATTGGAATTTTCGGCGTAAATATCATAGAACTTCTTTGATGCGAGAATCAGTGAACGAACTTCTCCGATACTCTCCATAGAAGCGAATATCTTGACGATAACCTCGACAGGCATGCGTTCAACACTGCTTTCTGCATCTTGTTCTGCCATGATGCAAAGGAGGAACTTATCCAAGGCACGACACGGGGAACCTGGATACGTTAGGTGGTATGTATGAAAGAATAAACAATAGGTAGGCGGGTAGCAGACGCAGAGGTAACAAATAAAAGGTGTGATTAATCTGAACGTAAAAGAACCATAGGATTTGCATACGCGGCGCGATTGTAAATAGAATGCTAAGGTCGAAATTTTTTTTGAGACGTCCGCACTTGTGAAGCGTAGGTGTTTACTTTGGGAGCTCGGGTGCAAACATTTACTCACCTAGTAACCGACGTGATACGTGACGCCTCTTGACTCATGGGAATACTTAGGTACGGATAATAAATTGACAGGTGTTTATCACTTAGGTACGTAAGTTGCCAGGTCGATACCTACCTACCTAAGGTAACTTACACGTATCTAATTCCATTTAAGCCAAACAAACACGTCACGTCGTAAACTCTACAAGTCAAACCTACCTACTTAGGTAGGTACCTTTCTTATGGTTGTGTATAATCTCAAGATGAAGGAGTTTACTAACTAACTGAACGAGCCACTGCAATAAAGAAATTAAAATGAATAGGGTAGCCGTTTAGCCAACCATCTGGTATAAGTCTGCTGGGGGCAAATGCCTGTGACAACCTAATACGTGCTGAATATATTTATATCTTAGATCTCCCATCTGGAATATCGACAGTGGCTTCAGCTGTAGGGCCTTGTTGGCGAAGGTCTTTCAATTTCGCTCTAATTTTATAACATGGCTCGTCCGCGAGACGACGTACCAGTAACAATATTACAGAAGTAAAAGGGCAAAAGAACGCGCTGTTGGATGCACCTATTCAGAAATAACCTTTAGATCTCAACACCTAGATCCACTGCGTCCCTATCCCCTATTTAATGGCACATCTTCTATTGGACTTTATATGCTGGACAATCTGGGGCTAGGTAACTTCTCGGGCAAGGCAATCTAGTGTTTATTTACGACATCTCAGAAAGCAGGTTTTTACACTTGCTAGAAATTTTGGTATCATTTTGTCTCCGACTCAATGGCTTCTTGCGTCCGGCGCGTTGCTACGAGAGAATGGCCAGTTATTGAACACGTCATGTGGTACTAAGTTGCGGTAGTAACTAAACGTACCTATGTACCTAGGTGAATTATTTTCTCTCTTTACGCCATCTTTGACTGTTAAAGACCTATGTTATCTGATGATGCTTATCTGGAATCAATCCCCAATGTGCTCAATATCCGTCATTTCCACTATGACAATATTTCATATATTCTTCGTTAAACAACACCCCACAAATCAAGGAAGACCCAACTTGAGAATATAAAAGTCCTAATAAATCCTCAGATATAGTCATCACGAGGCGGAACCAAACAACATGGAAAAGACTTCGTTGCTCTGCAAGAAACTCTAACCTAATTACGAAGCCTGTAACTATACATACTGGACATGTCCTTTATCCCAGGTGCCTCATCTAGTATCCTGGCAATAATATCAGATTAAGCTGGTTAATATCAACCAACTCCTACCTGATCACGTTGGCTCTACTGATTCTCCTGAGGCCCACATCAAAAATGTACCTCCCATTTCTGATATTTTCTTTATCGTGTGGAATTGAGTTTTCACGGTAGGTAATAAACCGGCTGCTAGGACCTACATATTTAGACAGCTATACCATCCCAAACTAGAAAAGACAGTTAAGAAGAATAGTTCTATATTAATCCTAAACAAAGGTACAGTTATACTATCCTTCTTACGAGATAATCTATCGTTACTTTGGAAATATCAGCAAAAAGTTCGTGATAAAGGGTGGTCAGCTATCAAGGCAACTATAGTAGGTAATTAGCAGCTACGCAATCCAAAATCCAGATCCACAACTAACTACGTGGATATGGTTGCTTTAGTTTTACTTGGTATTCTACTCTTAGAATGATCAGAGGCTCTGGACCTGATTGGCGCTGAGGTGTTTAGTGACTGTATCCGCAGTTGGCCAGATCAAACAGTTGCAGCAGCGCCATTCAGACTTCTAAAATTAAGAATACTATCTCAGCGGTACGTTATGAGATATGTACCCAATGCAACCACGTGTAATATGAGAATCTACCCCTAGTTTGTACGTGAGGTTATGTACTATATGTGTTGACAATTAGGTATTCTTACCGTACTAACCTGCCTATTGACAACGCCTACCTTTCAATTATTTCTAAGCAGCATGGGATGAATTAGTAATGCAGAAGAACAGGAAACTAGTGTACTACTAAGGAACTGTGGACGATATAAAAGCTTTAGAGCGATTCCCCATTGTCAAGGGGATTCGAACTCTGTTTTATCCAAGGTGGGAACTAGCCCCTGACAGCCTTCTCTGAATCATGAAAAGGGTATCTAATTGGCTCAAGTGACGATGGGCTAATAGTATGTTATGTGGATCGCTGCGTAATTCGAATTTCTCTGTGGCTGGCCGGCTAGTCAGCTAGTTGGTTAGCTAATTCACATTGGGGGGAGCCTACATTTATTAGTCTAATGAGACTCGTCATCGGGCTTTGGCAGAATAGTGTTAAAATGAACGGCGTGCTCTACTATCAACTACATTGGCGGCTGTGCCTGTTCTGACTTTATTCTGATCAGTCATGCATGAACGGATAGTAACCACTGTAGTACTATTAGTTCCTGACGATACTCGAAGCGACTCGTGTATGTAGTTAGTCTTGATATGAGCTGACTCGAATCAATGACGGCTATGACTAATGCCGACAAGATAATATTTTTACCCAGCATTACTCGGGAACTTCTTGCTATGCCTTGACTGTAAAATCATGACACGCCCAGGCTCTAGACTTCTGTAAAGCTGGAGTTGGACGAAACAGCTTTGGGGAGAGTTGGGGTAATTCATATAGCGCATCGTACGGTTCAGATCTACCGTCTACGGGGAACCAAGGAAGTGGTAGCTAGCATGTTTGACAGATTAAAACCAGACACGCTATTCGTCTCGAAATAGAGTAGAAAGCTTGATAGTACAGGAACCAAAAGCTTATTCTTCTTGTCTTGCTTGTCGTGATCGTTTTCGGAATTAATAGCTGGCATATCTGCGGTGGTACGTCGGTTGTTCTAACCTAGAAGGGTTACTATAATGTCCGGAAAGGGGTTTCTATCCCGGTATTTTGAGAAATTCTCCAGTAATAGTAGTGCGCTATGACTTTTGGTATTCATTACATATGTACTCTTCTTCTCGCGGAAAACCTTCCGTGCAGCTGTAGCGTGACGGACCTGCATCTAATATGCCCGACCCCGAATCCCCGACTAACGTCATGAAGGGTGGCTTGCGTCTGCGCAAGGTATACTACATAAGGACATCCAGCTCCTGGTTGAAAAGGAGCTTGAATAGCGGGTCATTAAATCTCGATCTGGCCCCCCGGAAATTTCTCCACTCATAACATGGAGTCAAGCATCGACATCTTGTCATCTTGGAATTTTTCTTGAGCTTGTAAGCTTGGTAAAGCTTGGGCTGGAGCTCTATACGACTTTCGGGTTGGTTCCTGTTGATGTCATCGGTATGTCGCTCTAACTCTTCTATTTGAGCCGCATTATAGGGTAGGAATATGCACCGGTCGTATAGCCCGGAGACATTATTCGGAAAAGGGGTTAAGCTCCATCCTTAGTACTACATTGTTGTATGTAGCGACACTCTGCGTATGGCATATTTTACATAGTGTATGAAAGCAATTCCAGGCCCTTCCCGTCAAGGAAGTTGTTAGAGTCTGCACTACAAGGGAACCTAGATGCCAAGCTCTTGACCGAGAGCTTGACTAGTGTGGGGCGCCGGATTAAGGGAAGCCAGGTACGCATGCTAATCAGAGCTCTAGATGTTGATCAGTATGAGAAGGGATTTGAACCGATTGGGGGCCAAAATTTGACGTCTGTCAGGATAGATGCACCAGTTTTGTTCCATCGTTAATAGACCAATGCCGGTATTGTAATTATCCCGGACCTCCTGTTCCATCTGTCTGGAATACTATGTACCTTGTAGCATGTAGTCTGATGCGCCGTTCAGAACCATTGGGGTATTGCTCGGACTTTAAAGGTTCTACCTCGTGGCCATATATTACCCCTCATGCCATCATATGTGTACATAATAACGAAACGGATCTGCTCCGAGCCGAGAAACGCCTTGCTCGCCCTATAAGGCAATGTTTAAGTCGAAGAAAGCTTTCGAACTTACTAGTGTAAATGGGAGCGAGCCTTTGAAACCTCGATATCGTGTTCTCGTTCCAAACTCGTTTCCCACTTTGGTACCTATATTTTGATGGCGAATGCGACAAGAATATTAGTAGAATATAAAGTTTCTTAGTGATCTATACGTATTCTTCATCGCAACCTCACGTTGACGATGTATTTAAGTAATAGCTGTGGCGATCGCTGTAAATATGTACTATGCAGCACGTAGTGGGAGAAATGACTCGGTCCACCGGGAATTACCGTTGAATATCCAGGGATTATAAGATCTTATCTTTAAGGACATCCTTCCGGAAATCCATCACCTGAGGTTCCGGGGGTTAGCATGAAAATTCAACATGTTCTCCAAGTATTTCTCCAATTAGATGCCCTAGGTCAGGTACGTAAGCATGGCATGGTCAGGTTCTTTTGTTGGACATTGAAACCTTACCAGTTCGTCACGTTTTTGGACGTATGTTTTTTTTTCTTTTTTTTTTCGCTTTTATTCTGTAGACGTCTTTGGTATAGTCCCTTCTACCTACTAGACCACGAAAGTTCAAGAACATTAAAGAACTTAAATTAGATAGGTGATATAGTTCTTGAATACCCATGTAACGTATCCTAAATAGTGGCTAGAATTTAATAGCTTGCATTCCGGGGTTGAGTACCGACAACCTTGCTTTGCTCTAGTGTTTTGCTTGTCCCCACTACATAGCGGACCTTTATGCGCAAGCTCTTGTTGCCCGGTCCCTCGTGCAGGAAACCAAGGGGTCCCTGTGGATGCAAAGTAACGAGAAGGAAATATGAAACCGGAGATCTCAACCAATATAAGAGAAAAATCAGTGGAATACTGCAACCTTAAACATATGGGCCTGCAAAACATCGAGACCCAACGACCTTGTCAAAGGCTTATTCATGTTAAGACACGAACTAAATCAGATACAGCTTACAAGTACCTATAGGATTCTCCACATATTAACTGGGGTTTGTGGTGGAGTTGAATTTCGAATTCTAGTGTAGTATTTGATATCGTTTCATAGGACATCGCCTCTACTATGTAATCTACCGCCACCCCGTGTCTGTGTGCGCGGCTTATTTCATTAGACTACATTACTATTAAAATCCACATACTAGTTGAATTGAATATTCAGCTTCTCCTTCGCCGTACGAAATCTGGGGTTTGGGGCCATCTGACTTAGCGTTGGACTATTGAAAAGTTTCTGGGCAGACTTAGCTTAGCCATTCGCATCCAATTTCACTTCGCTTCATATGATATAGATCTGAACGGGACAAGGTCTGTATGAAACCTCACTTTTATCAGTGATATTTTTCGAACTTTGGACTTTTATGGTTCATCATCATCGTGTTCCTTATGGTTTCTTGCCATTCGCCAGTGTTCTAACTCCCCCTTTACGGGTGTTAGCAGGAGCATACACCAAGAGCGTCATCCAACCAGCCAACTAGGAATCGTCAAAGATGGAGGGCAACGATGGGATTCCTTCGAAATACTTCGAGCCGCCCTACAGCCTCGTGCCTATGGAGAACCGCACTTATAACGGCCTCCTCGCTATAGGCACTCTTGCTACCATTTCACTACTCTTCACAAGCTTTCTCCTGAGTTTCATCACGTGGCGAATGATAACGTGGAAATCCCATTACTCTAGTGCCGTCGGTCGAAATCAGTCGGTCATGCTCATTTATCAACTTATTCTCGCCGACTTCTTACAATCGCTGGGCTTTTTGATATCATTTCACTGGGTGGCTGAGCGTCAGATCATTGGACCAAACGGGGCGTGTTTTGCACAGGGTTGGCTAATTCAGCTCGGAGATGTAGCGAGCGCATTCTTCGTCCTCGCCATTGCGGTACACACGACATACCAAGTTATTATCGCCAGAACCTTATCATACAATACATTCATTTACTGTGTGCTGGCCGTTTGGGGACTTGCGATACTTCTTACATCTCTCGCACCTCTGATTGGTGGTCGGTATGTGTTTCAGAGAGCTGGTGTTTGGGTGAGTGAATCCGCTACTAAGGAATCTAAATACGAGTCCTGTCTCCTAACACGAATGATAGTGCTGGATATCTACCGACAATGAGGGGCTACGTCTTTCCCTCCACTACATATGGATCTTTATCGTCGAATTTGGCTCTATCCTCGTCTACGCTACCGGTTTCTACTACCTTTTCCGTGCCAAACGATCGGATAAAATTATAGTACCTGCACGCAGTGCCGAGACTATGCGTAAAGCCCGAACTGCAATGTTAGCATACGCAATGGTTTATACTATCCTGAGTCTCCCACTAGCGTAAGTTGTATCTGAGTATTTCTTGGTGATTTTAGGCTGACGTATCTTTAGTGCTGGGCGTATGGCTAGCATGTCTAACAATGAACTATCCGACGAGTATTATTTGTTTGCTGGGGCTTTGTTTACTTGTTCCGGTTGGGTTGACACACTCCTTTACACTTTCACTCGACGTGCTTTACTATTCGACGAATTAAACGTTTACAGTCGACGGCCCGGGACTCACGCGGAAGATGGAATACACGGCAAAGATACGGGATTCCAGCGGCAGAGTAGTACGGACAGCATACTCGCCAATAATGGTTTCGGAAGTATTGGGGGGATTAAAATGGAGAGAACTGTGAAGGTGGAACTGGACGACTTTGACAGCAGTACCAGCAATGGAAGAATAACACGAGAATACTATGCAACGGCTGAGGCATTCAAACCATGAGTTAACGGGTCGGTTTGGAGGAATACCAATGAGATACTATGGATATGAATTATAGTTCTGCTTGTTCAAGCCGCTACATGTTGCTCCTGTAGTCGAATTATGAACATTATAACAAGCACTAATTATTTAATGATCTCTTTTAATTATAATGAGTAACAAGGTATTATATAGCTATTCTCGAAAACGACTATCTAGGATTTAAGAGGAAATATTAATACGTACTAGCCAATCAGAGGCCGGACTTTAGCTGTGGCATCAGTTTTGCGCATGATCCCCCCTTTTCCCCCGTACGCGCTTGCGCAAGTGGGCACCAAACGCTGGCGTAGTGGTTGGGGTAGGTGTTGAAAAAGAAAAAAGGAAAAAAAAAGGCGTGTTGAAGTGGCTGTCTGAGGAATCGAACCCCAGGGCCTAACGATGTTTCATAAGGATATTGCATAAGTATGCAGTAGAGTAGTTCTTAGGTATGGCGGAGGTTTATGAATAATTCGCTAGGCCGTTCCAACACGGCCATTGACCATTTGTTAAAATCCCTACATATTATTTGGACTTATAAGATTTGGTAAAACACCAACTTATTATTTAGACTTATAAGTTTATCTTCTATCTGGCAAAATACCGGGTGTGGAGGGTTGCTTGGTAGTATAAGATTTTGCTAGTTAATACGTACGTGATTTATGCTTCCCGGCGAGTGAAATGTTTCTGGGCTAAGACTCATCGTAGTAGGAGGAATGGAGGACACTTGAATTTATCTCCTTACTATTATAGTTTTGGAATTAACACATCGGATCTTTAAGGGGTGGAAGAGCGATCGGCGTAGCAAGATATTGATATATTTTATTTACCACGCCGCAAAGAAATCAACCGCTAGGATTATGAACTTCGTATAATAATAGTATTAACTAAATTATATTTATGTACATACATAAAAAGGTAGTCATGTAATCCCATTGGAATGGCCAGCATGTAGATCCCAAGGTCGCTTACCTCATTGGTATGAGAAGGCGCCCCTTATTGGCTGGGGTTGGTTCGAGGTAACACAACGGCTTTCCGTGCATAGAAATGAAGATGATCGTAGCGACTTCATCTTATTATTACGCGGCCAACGCCTTCTCTTTCACGATTTAATACAATCAATTAGATTATCAAAATAGCTTTATTCTATCTACTTTGGCACGCCTTTGCCATGTGACAATATCCTTCTCCTCCTCCTCCTCCTCCTCCTCCCCTCCATTCAGGGCGGAAATAATGCTCTCCTGTTGGCCACATGTGTATACGAAGATCCGGGCCAAAAGTATCAGAGACCGTCACCATAGACGCCCTCCGCGTGAGTGTCCCTTTTATCCTTCGCCTCTTTGGCTTCCTTTTCAGCCTCATCTGCATTCTCTAATTCCCGATCCCTCTGTTCTTTTGCTTCCTTCGCCCTCTCCTCCTTCTCCTTTGCCTCTGACTCGAGCTTTTCAATCTCTGTATCTAGGTTCTTAATCTTCTGCTCTAATTCTGCCTTCTTCGCCGCGTCGGTTTCGGCATTTACCTGGTCGACTAGATCTTGCTTTGCTTTCTCCTTGTTCGTCGCTTGCGCGCGGTCGCTCTGCGCCTCCTGGCTATTCTTGTCCATAGCGTCTTGATACACCACCCCCCGCTCTCGGGCAAGTCTTTCGGCTCTACTATGAATACAATACTCAACGGCGCTCTGGAGATATGGCGCCTCGGCTCTCAAACCATCCCTTCTACTTCCAATTTCTTTCTCCACCGCTGAAGCCTCTATGTCTGACAGCAGTGGCTCGTAGCGCGATTTGGACAGCAAGTCTACGAATCCTCGAAAATGTTCTTTGTAGCTTGACTGCAATGTCTTCCCTACCCTTTCCTCCAAGTATGCAACCGCATCCGCTGATGCGTTTTCCCGGATACGGCTGTCGGTGGGATCGAGGTTCTCCAGATCGCGATTAACCGACCGTTCGATTATCTGCTCCAAGTCGGTTCTCAAGCTTGGAACCGTATAATCAAAGCTTGGCGGCTTGTATTGAGGACCGACGCTTTGGAAAGCCTCGCTCGCGAGGTCGAGGGCACGTCGAACTTCAACAGTTCCGGTCCTTTCCTTGCCCTCAAGACAGCCCATAATCCATCCGATAATGGCGGAGGCCGAGACTCCAAGGACAGTGCAAATAAAAGCAGTGGTAAGGGGAATAGGGGAGTTCAGGAAGGCCACGATTGCACTCCCCGGGACTATTTGCGACCCGCTAACGGCGTCTTCGCCACCTTTTCCGTTCTTACGGTTCCCGGAGAACGTAATCGGCTTCGGGCTGCCATCGTCTTCGTAGTCGAAGTAAAAGGTGATAGTATAAGTATCCCCGGAATCGGACCACACTACTTTACCGTCCGGTTCCGTTGCGTTACGTTTAATGGCACCGTCGATGTAGATGCGGCCGTTTGATGGGTCGACCTTCAGCTTGTGATCTTTTAGGTCCTCTGGCTCGCTGATATTGTAAAGCCCGGCAGCAACCGAAATGTTGAAATGGCACCCACTTTCCGCGGCGCCCCTGGCGTTTTTGAGATTGTCGACGGACAGGTCATACCCGCAGTCGGAAATGAATGCGTTCGTCTTCGAGGAGTCTCCGCTCCCGATAGCGTTCACAGCATCGAGGAGGACTTGTTTGCTGCGCGTTAAATCGATGATGAATTGTTTACTGGTCTTCATTGTGATGATTGTTGTGTGTTCTGTTCCGATGGGCAAACCGGGTTACTGAGGTGCTCAGCTTGGTCTCTCCTGCAGGCCGTGGGGGCGGAAGGATGAAGAGAAGAACGAGGTATAGCACCGTGAGAACCTAGTGGGTGCCCAACCTTTATGCATGGTTCGATGCCCAGCTGCAACTTATTGCTCTACAGGTCCGAAAGCTGAAAGCATAGGCAGGCTACCTAGGTAACTATGTACATACCGAGCACTTTGATGCAGAGTACTATTTGTCAGTGCTGGTCCATGGAGCCTTGTTAACTTCGTGACCAAGTCGAAAGTAAATCGGATAGGAACTTCTCCTACGTTCTGCGCAGTTCACCACAGCCGAGTTATTAAGCACGGCTCCCACTGCCATGCTATCTACCACCTACCAGCTCGAGACACACTTTAGGCCCGGGAACCGTCTAATCTCCTAATTCCAATAGCCACACCCACAAATATAACTTCTCTTCATTCCCTCGCCAGCATGAAAAAGATCGCTACCGAAGATACTTGTCTCATCCTCGCCTCGGAGGACTTCGTGTTGTCGGAAACCAACTTCACGCCTTGGGCCGACACGTATATCTTCACTAATCAGTGTATGCTGTCCACCGCAAAGGTCAAGACTAAGAACTTGCAGCTCAACACTTCTTCATTTGTTGTTAACGCTACGAATGCGACAATTGATGCTTCCGGTGAGGATGGCGAGGATAATATGGAAGAGCTTGCAAAGACGGCAGACGGCCATACAGGTTACCATATTGTCTTTTCCTCCGCGCGCTGGTATCCGGATGAACCGATGTCACTCTCTGTCAAAGGGGGAGATGGCCGGTCCGGATGGTCCGGCCTTGCCCAAGGGAAGAATGGTGGGAAGGGCGGAGATGGCGGTCCCGGAGGGACTGTCTACCTTCTCTACTCGGATACATTCCAACTCGTTAACGCTGCTGCCGGTGACTGGTTTTATGAGAAGGACGATGAGAAAAAAAAGGCCAAGGTTGCTGACTGGATCGAGTACTGCAAGACTATGATCACCTGTCCTCAGACTCTCGTCGACTTGATCAACAAATATGCTGACGGTTATCGGGCAATGTCCGCTGCCGATGCGGGCGAGAGACTTTTCGACCTGACGACTGCCATCGCCTCGGCTAGTGTTGCATTCGAGAACAGCATACGTATCAATTATGCCGGCGGCCTGTACGGTCACGGCGGCTCAGGGACGCCTCATGATGGAGCGAACGGCGAGTCCGGTTCCATCGGTTCCTCGACAACAGTAGAAATGTACAATCAGACTATTCCATCGGCTCCTCATATCCTCTTTCATCCAGATCAGATTGCCATGACCCTGAGAGATATCGAGAATGACTACTTTCTGGGGAGCTCGGACAGCATCATGGGATGTGCGCGATCTCTACGAATAATGCTTGATAGGCTGTCTTTCTTTGCCAATCTAAAGCCGACAGATGCGTTATTCCAGGCGTACCAGAAGGAAGAAGGTAAACTGTTTATTCTCCATTCCGGAACAGATACGCCCACCTCTATCACATCCATCGCAAAGTCCCTTGAGAAGGCTCAAAGGTACTTTCGCCAAATCGGCTCCGGGTTGGACTTGTACGGACATGTCCCAGCTTGGGTCCCGCGCGGCTCTTACGACTTCTACAAAAGGCAACTTGACGATATCCTCTCCGGCTTCACCGATATCGAAACCAACTACGTGACGTTTCAGCAGGAGGCGATTACCCAAGTAAAGAAGCGCGACGTCATCACCCACAGCAAAGCTACGGCCAGGACGCTCATGAGTCGTGCCCGTCAAGATATCGCACGGCTTAATACAGAACTAGGAGCAACATCTATTATGATACAAAGCCTTCCGACCGACTTCAAGGTGAAACGAGAGGCTCTCATGAACTCCATCAAAGCCGCGGGTAACAAAATCGACCAAAACAAGTTCAGCGTCTCCTTACCAGACTTCTTAGCTGCAGCCGCGCAATTCGCCTTTGCTCCAGGACTTCCAATGGCCAGTATCCAAGCAGCGAGTCTCATCACTGGAGGTGTGACACAAGTCCAAGACGATAATGACACACATGTTAACAAAGCCTACCTTGTGAACAAGGTAAACATTTTCATCCTAGATCGTATTTTCAGCGCGGTTACTAAATTGTACTAGATAATGGCTATTAAGGCTGACATGGATGGCCTGAAAGAAGGCTTGACTGTCGGTCCCGGGGGAGATTCGCTCACCATCGATGACCCCGGGGCGGCGAAACTCCTCGTCGAAGAGCACAGTCTCATGGCCCTGATCGGCCAATACCGGGGCCTCTTGGGCGACAGCTCTGTTACCAGAATCAAGGCTAAGTTCGAGGAATACGTAAATACGGTTCTAATGCGGAACAACTATGTAATTCGCTATAACGCCGTCCTTACTCTCATTGCCCAGTCTCACGGGATCATCGATTCGCAACAGCATCAGCTAGATCTCCTTGCCCGTCAGTCCGTCCATGATATCGACCCAGATCTGCCCGGATTGGCAGTATTTGTCGAACAGGTCTTCTTCGACGCTGCGGCACAGGTTTTGAAAGTGCTCTACCGTGCCGAGCGAGCTCTCACCTTCTGGACTCTGGCTGCGCCCGTTAGCAATCTCTCCACCCTGCGGCAAGGCGGGTTCGTCCGGCCAAATCACGGTACCAATTCGCTATATTCTTCCTTCGTTTCCGCCAAGAACAATATCATCGCTGCATACGCCGACGCCATCGAAAACTCAACGAACCAGTCCCAAAAGTTCGGCGACTCTATACCGATCAAGGTCTATCTCAGCCAAGACGACCTTGCCGATCTGCAGACGGGCGTCTACGTCACGCTCCCCGCCGCCCGATCCACGACCCAGAAGGTGGACAACCCGTTCGCCGACTGCGCCGATGTGCGCCTGTCGCGAGTCCGGTTCTACGTGAAGGGCGCTAAGACGTCGGATAGCATGTTGGATGTCTCGCTAGAGCATATGGGCAACGAGACGGTCGTCGACGTCAACGACGGTTTGCATGTCTTCGTCCACAACGCCCTCCATTTCAAATTCCAGTACAACCTCGACACCGGCGCGATCCAAACCGACGGCGACATGGCGAGTCTCGTCAACAAGGAATTAGCCCTGCCGGGGCCGTTTGCCCAGTGGAGGATTGCCGTTAACGATAGCTACAACAATGATCTCGATATGTCGGAAGTCACTGACGCGTGGTTCGAGTTCTCGGGATGGAGTAGGTCGTTCGGCTGAGTTGAGATGGGTGCTGTTGATTCATACGATGTGTCGGTTTTGAGTTTGTTTTGTTTTTATTATTACACGCAGCAAACTGCGAGGTTTCTGCTCGCTCTATGCGGCGCAGCTATCATCTAGGCTTCTAGGAACTGGATCTAAGATTCTAGTCGTGGTAGTAGTAGCCATCGCAATCAACAATAGTAATGTCACAGCAAGAACATAAGTAAAGTACGCATTTCTCAAAGCGCTGTAATAAAGGTACATTTATGTGTACGATTTATGATCCTAGTAGTTATATTCGAGCTTGAGAGGCGGACTCCTCTTATAGTGCAACTCGCCGCCGCCGCGCCTCTCTGTAGTAGTAGTATCACCACCACCACAATTACTTCAAGAACTATCCAACTTATGTGGATCCCTAGCAACTAGTGACTAAGGCACTCATTGTAAATGAGGCAGTCACTGCCTGCAATACGCATATATAAACAATAGCTAGATCCTAATCCTGTAATCCTAATTTTAACCAATTTCAACGATGTCACCATAATCTAGGGAATCACACTTAGAGGGGTCGACAATATTCCCAACTATAAGGAGGTCGTACGGAGTTAAGACGCCCACGGAGGTGTCGATATCAATGATGTGCTTTCCTGGAGCAAATACATTGGTAGTCGCGAAGAAATCCAGGCGCATCGTGTTCGAAAAGACTGGGAACTGCCAGCCATCCATCCAGCGTTCGACCTCATCTGGTATATCATCCTGCATCCCAAGCAATTTTTCACCAAGAGAAGGCTGAACGGCTTCAGCCTTGCGGTTCCACCACCCTCCCTGGATCTCGATCTTTGCCGTGACTTTCTTATCGTCAAGCGATAGGAACGTGGACGAGTTGTCCATCGAGAGGTTACACTTGACCGTACCGTATTTAAAGTCCGTCTTGACATCCCCATGGCGCACGTATGTGCGGGATATGGACCACTCGAAGCTGTTCTCGAAACTCATGGTCCAGCGAGCCTGGTTGTTGGCAATGTCGAGGTCGAGGGGACTATCGTCAAAGGACCAGTTGAACTCCTTGATATTGTAGTCGCCGAGCGCAGTGTGCTCGCTGAAGAAATTATGAAAAGTGGTATTAAGTTTGTTGGTGTATGCGAACCCGGTGGTGGTTGACTTAGGGCTGACTGTCAGCGCTTTCTTGTTGTACGTCCTCGCGCCATCGATGGCCTGCGACAGGAACTTCTGTACCAGCTCGCGTCGGATTATGATGCTCGCTGTGTGGTCAGATGGAATGGGGATCGACTCTCCGTCGGAGAGACGAAAGACGGTCGTAGCTTCTCCATCTTGGTTTCCCGAGTCCTTGGTCTTGATGTACAAACTGAGGCATCCGCTCGAGCCGTCGCTAGTAGGGTAGACGGTGAAGGCGACGTGTTCGGGAGTAAGAACCTGGGTTCCGTCTTCTTGAGTCGGGGCGACCTCGGCAAGGGAATACTTGATGGTTTGCCAGTTCGCTTTAATCCACTTCTCAAAATATTTGCTGGTGTTGACAAAGGTGTCCGTATCAGGGACACCAGCTTTCCGTTTGACATCAAAAACGGCGCTCGTGTCTTTAGTAGAGTCGAAGCTGAAGACGACGTGAAGACGCTCGTTAGCCTTGTTAGAATCGAAAGCCAGAACTTCGCCCATTTCCTTCGACTGTGGTGGTCAAATGGATGTTAGTGGCGGCGAGGATAAAACAATTTATTATATACATAGGAAAAGAAAGACAAGAAAAGAAAAAAAAGGGGGGCGCGCCTTTTTAATTACATTGCCGTCCGCGCTCACGCAGACGATGGGAACATTGGCTTCGAAATAATAGCCTGGGGGGATGGTCTCATCGGGGTACGTTTCGGTAGCCGTCTGGTCGTGATATGTTCCGCTGAGATCCATCTTCAAGCATGCATTCTTACTCAGGGTAAAAGAGAGAGTCGGGGCCGCAAGAGTGATATTGAACTTGGTACAATATTTAGAGTGCCCGGGACCCTCCCTCTCTACTGAGAACTCGACCTTCTTGGAGGCAGAATCGCTTTTCCAGAGCTTTTGGAGGACATCATTGAGCTGGGCCATGGAATAACTGACGACGACATCCCACTTCTCGGTTTTTCCCGAGCCCTTCATTCCTTCCGCGAGCTTACCGAGGCTGGGAAGACTAGAGGGTGCCATTCGAGTACCTAAATGGATGATGAAGTTGAGACGAGTAAGCAGTTGTTGAGGGTAGCAACTCTTGGACTTGGATCTGTGAAAGATAGTATCACAACGTAGCCTAGTAGCCGCGAGAACGTAGGCCTGGTACATATACTACGCCAACGATTACGCATCTGTATAGCAAAGCAAAGGCACCCGGTGCCCAAGCAGCGGACGCGATGCCCAACCCCATACAGCCTCATAATATTTCGGGACATTGCGCGGCGAGGTAGACAGACTGGCAGGCAGGAAGCCAGCTGAAGCAACTTGCATGCGACCTCTCTGCAGAAGCTGGAGCCAGTGGGAGAGGTTGTTGGAAAGTTCGGTTTCGTTTTCAGTAAGCACATGTTAATGAACCATTGAAGGGATCAACATGCACCGATCCCATTTCACACTCTCGTACGATGGGCGCGCGTGCATTCGCCCGGTCTAAGTGTGTATTACGCAGAAGCGCTTCTCACCAGTCATTTTGGGATACCGACAGGCGAAAGGCTACCAATCAGAACGCATAAAACATTCAGTATAATCGTTGGGGTCAGCTAAACCAAAAGAGAGAGGAAGGATGTTCTATACAAACTACAGGATGTCCTCGTGTATCAATCTAAGCTTACGTACCTAAAGTATAGCATACACTTGAGGAAAGGACCCCAACCCTTTCTAACGAATATTTTGATATACAACGTCTATCCACCTTAATCCGTATTATACCGGAGGCTTATCTTTAGCTCAGGTTAAAGCATTAACAGCTTACATGGGCTGAAGGTAATTTTAGTTTATTTACAATAATGGTAATTTCTCAAGGCAACTCTGGGGCGATATATATGTCTGTTATACACCTTTCTTAGACTTCTTAGCTTTCTTGTGTTTCTTTTCACCAAATACTTCCTCGTATACTTCCGCTGCCGTCACACCTGCTTTCCTTTTGGATTGCTTTGCTTTCACGCTGACAACTGGATTAGATTGGCCTTTCTGAGTGGCCTTTAATACTTGCTTCTCTGCTTCCTCCCAGCCGGGCGCATCACCCTCGATCTCATACCTGCGGTATAATGTAAGTAAATCCATCTCCTTAAGCTATTGGGGGTGGGGTTGATCTTACTGGTCAAGAGGGAGAGAGTCAATGAGCTCCCTCTGCTTCGCCCGCAATTCTTGTAATGCTTCATCTCCAGCCTCATCTAACTCATCATCTAAGCTCCTTTCAAGGGGCGCATACTTGTCGTCGACTACTTCGTCTTCGTGTACTCCAGACGCATTCTCCCTACTAACACCAAGCGCATCTGATTTCGGCATATCAGCTTCGACGGCGGAGGAGATTAACGTCGAGAAATGTGCTGTGATTTTTCGTATGATCTTCATAAACATGGCCAAACCCTGTGATGACTCCAAGGATAACTCTGCGCAAATAGCCCCCACGTCCTTGCGCTGCAAGCCAATCCCAAGCAAAAGGGCCCGCTGTACGCCCGTGAGCTTAATGCTTGGCTTCAGAGGGCCCATGAAGTAGAGGTCCGCCAGTTTGGGCACAAGATCTAGAATGGCATGATGATCCAACACACCCCTAGCATAAGATTCCAACCTCTTGCAATCGAATGGTGTTAGGGCCCTATCTAATTCCGACTTTGTTAACTCGGGTAGCTGGTTTGACGGGTCTAGCTGAGCACCGGTTGTGGCAGATTGATCTATACTTAATGCGAGAACACACGGAAAATCGCGGAATCTGTACGAGAGTAGAGCAAGGAAACGACGGTGGAAGTCGGCAGCGAAAGCTCCAAGCCATTCTCGGTCATCTTTTAGTGGCCTAAGCATGACGCAGGTGTGCTCGCCGGTTAAATCATTAGCCGTTTGTCTCTGTGAAGGGGTTAGTCTAACGGCTTGGCATATAGGAGGAATTGCTTTGAATTCAGGGATCTTACCAAGTACACTGGCACGAATAAGGCGCGCGACCAGAACTTATGGAGTGCTTGAGTTAACCCATAGCTCACACCAACATATTCCAGACTCTCTGCCTTGCGTTCTGCCAATCTTGAGAATAGGGGTTGCATCTTATCGATATCTCGAACCTTGATATCTTCATGAAGAAGACCGCCACTTTCGCCTTCTGTGGCATCTATATCCATGTTATCGGCGTTCCTAGCTGAGGTGTCGTTATCCTCCCCTAAGTTTATGAATTTGCCTTCGTAGTAGTCGATAAGAAGCTCGAGAGCTTTCGACCCGTATCCCATCGAAACACAATCTGGATGGGTCGCTATTCGTACTACGCGAGCACCTGAAAGTGAAGCAAAATCATCTTGGAATTGCTGACTGACTAACCAAGGAATCAAGTCTCCGGCAGGTCTCTGACCTCGATCTAAACCAGCCATCACACTTTTCTTGCTAATATTTCCTTCCAGAGCTATTTGAATAACGCATAGAGGCTCGGGCAGACCATTCTCTTGAATTGTTGACGAGGTTAAAACGAAGAGCTCGTGCGCTGGAGCGTCGCTAAGAAGTTGAAGGTCATCGGGAGAATTCTTGTAGTGACTGGTGACGAAGAGGGCCACCATCTGTCGAAGAAATCTCTCCGGGACTGGATGGAAGGAGAAAAGGGTATCTCGATTGACATGTAACAGCTGACATTGGGAAGGATCTGGGAATACGCTGTTCTTTGGTTTTGAGGGGGTAACATCCAAGCAGAGAAGTGCGTTCAACCACTTCTCGACGGCATCGCCTTTTCCGTAACGTATCGGTTCAGCAAGAGTAACTTCTTTCAGGGATCTTGGACTTCGTGTTTCACCATCCTCCGCCACACTAGTTGCGGCCTGCTCCTTTAACTGTTTTATTAGTTTGAGTGATAGGGATCGCCCTGTACCTTCGTAGCCGCTTATTGTAGAGGCCATGAATACTGTGTAAGGACCTAAGAGCTTTCGCACCAGCGCTTTTGGGTGTTAGCATATACTTAATAAATAGAAGAGAAAACCTTACGTAGCGGAATGGCGGCTGCTTCATCGATAATAACCAGCTCTGCTTGTCCCAGGACGTGGGCATCTTGCGGTCGTATGTATTGTATAGTTTGTCGGTGATTCCGGAAAATGTTGACCCTGACAATTGCTTTTTTGAAGTCAGGATTTGTAGACTGAATGATAGAATAATCTGTGTGGTCTTGGTAGTTTAGGGCGTCGAATGCTTTGAATACGAATTCGAATAGCGTGCCCAAATTTTCCGGAGAAGGTGATGTAACGAATATGTTACTATAGCCATAAGAGACGGCAGCAGCAATAGCGACGCCCACTATTTCAGTTAGTCGGTTGTTTTTTAGAGTAGATTGGGGAACATACAAGCTGCTGATTTACCACGACCACGAGCCGCAGTTAATGAGACCGTATTGCGAAGTGTCTTGGCAGCTATGGCATCGACGAACGTAACTAGAGCGTCTGCTTGATCCTTTGTCCGGGCAAGTTGGACCAAAGATCCTATGGGCTGCGTATCCCGAAGCGACTCCTTAATCTTCTCCAGCTCTATTTGTTCCGGAGACTTCTTCTCCTCCTTTGGCGGTAGTGGCTTCACCCCCCTACCACCAGATATAGGGAGAACATTTAGCTCGTCATCAATAACAAGGCAAGACTCGCACCGGCCTAGAGATAACAGAAATCGTTCGTTGAATCTTGCGACAACATCGTGGTGGGCTTCGGTTCTGTAGCGGGCGTGCACATCCATCGAGAGGGTATAAAGTTGTCTTAAACTATCCATTCCTTTTAATAAAAGCACAACCAAACCGCCTCCCTCGACTGTTTCGATAGTACGGGCTAGCGTATTGGGAGTAAGGGCCTCGAAATCCTGTAGGATACACTATAAAAAAGGAATTAGTTTGCGCGTAATGTGCGACGTGTTAGTCCCGACTTCTTACCATGCCAAACGTCCTACCAAGGATTTTGTCGGTCTCCTTGTAGTATACATATCTAACATCGTGTAGCGAGACGAAGAGTTCAAAAGGATCCTCCGAATTGGCTTCTCGAATACCGCGCTTGATCTCTTTCTTAATCTTAGCCTCCCGCTTTTTTCGGTGACTGGTGAAGCCGAGAAGCTTGTTTTTGTAGGCCCATAGTACAGATTTATTCTGGCGCAAATCTGTCTGGGACATTATGTAGTGCAGCTGGACGATGACATCCTTCGACCGGTCACCGACCACGATGAAGAAGCTGCGCTTATGCTCGGCGAGGCCATTTCGAATTAGAGTAGGAATGCGCGAATCTCTAGAAGATAATACAGTTAGTTATTTCTAGGGAATTTATGCTAGATATTGAAAATTGAATGTATAATGTATAATATATATAACTTACACAGCCTTTCGCACCATCTTGACGTCCTACTCCTGTGCGATTCTCTAAGACCGAAAATCGTGAACGAGCTTGCTTTTGGATGCTAGTCGGCGCAAAAAAAGTTCCCCAAAGAAACATTATTTTGCCAGGCGGTGAAGTATTTCTGCCGGGCGGTACCCCACTAAGTACCGTTGTACTCCACTAATGTACCCCCTAATCACAACTCTAAAATGCAGGATCATTATGTTAGGTACTTAGGTACTTGTGCAAGACTAAATCACCTTCGAAGCCTTGCACACATTATCAAATTAAAAGAATCAATCACGTATATTGGACAAAGGGTATAAACGTAGCAGAATGTCGATAAAGACAGATTTTCCTCACAAAACCATCTCCGCACCCAGGTCGTAGTAGAAACCGTCGCTAACCTAGAATCCCTTATGTTCGAGGAACCCTTCATACAAATAACGCCAAACGACCCGTCCTAGAAATGTAGGGAATCATAATACCGCCTGACCCAACCAGAAATGATAGGTACACAGCCAGACCCGTCTAACAACCCGTTCCTTTTCCGTACTCTTCCCTTATCTAACGCCGAACTTGCGCATAATCTGCCGGATTGTACGCATAGCCCCGATTCGTTTGCGCGTTATTCTTATATGTACCCTGGTGATGATACTCCTCCGTGGTCTCCTGATGTGTTGGTAATTCAGCTGCGAATCCCTTGTGATCTAGTCCGGGAGACGCAAAACCGGCACTGCCCGCATCCGAAGAATACGAGGTGGGCCGGGAGCTAAGCAAGGACGGGCTCGGTTGGCCTTGAGACCATCCCCAAGATTTGAGCTCGGGGGAGTGAGATTGGACTGAAGATGGGGAATTCCGGCCTTGGTGCGGGTATGATGGTGACGGGTAAGGTGGTTGTAAGTGTGGTGATGACTGCGGGTGGTGGAAATCACCAGGTAATTCCATAATGGCGCTCTGGCTATTTGGTAGTTCGGCGTATTGCTGGTAGATCTTCTGATCGTTCGAATCGAGTTGCTGGAATTGAGCCTGCCAATGCGCTGGGTAGCTCATTGAATTTGCTGTTCCTGGTCGACTTCCTTGCTGCAGCGACATTGGCCTTGGGACTTGGTATGGTACCGATGGCGACATTGGCGACGGATGATATGGGCTTGCCGGCGACAGTGGTGGTGATTTCATCCCTGCGCCTACACTCAGACCACCAGTGTAAGTACTGTTATTAGGATTGAACGTTCTAATCTTCCCATCCTCGATCATTCCTCGTAATATTCCGGAATCGAGTAATTCTGCCTTTTTGATAATTCTCTGTATCATTTCTTTACTAGCCGCCTTCATCTGCGCCTTTACTATACCGACCATAGTAATGTTACATCGTATCTCGATGTCCTCTCTCAGGTAGAGCCCATCCTTTGGCGCACCGAGCGCAGCAAGTCCAATCTCTTGTTGTTCCGGAGGCTCAACACCGGGTTGATTTCCTCCGATGCGATACTTGTTTCGGAGGTCGACACCCATCGGCGCGTAAATGTGCGTTTGCAGACCCCATGCAAGATCGTGAAAGCAGCCATTAAACGTGATCTTCCCAGATCCGAATCTTCCTATGCCAGGAACGTATTGAATTCGCTCGTGTATTTCATACCACGTCGAAAAATATTCGTCGGACACGGCATCGCGAGGTGCTTTGATTTGTTTGTACTCGAGTACGAGGGGATTCAGCGTTATGACTTCGCCGTGGCTGTGGAGAATATCGATTGCTAGTTGGCGGGGTATAAAGCTAGGAATGGGTGTTATCACCGTATATACTTCTTTCTTTTTAAGCACCATCGCGGGCAAAACTAATTTCGATGTTCTTTTCGATGTCCTTGCTTTCGCACTTTTGCTACCTAGTTAACTTGAGGCGATAATGGAAAGAGTCAGTTAAGTTGATGATTAACTAGAAGAAGAATCTCCCTCAGTTTCTTGTTACACGTAAGCCTGCTCAGCCGATCGCATATTTATCGCTGCGCAAAACGATAGGTTGGGAAGCTTATGCTCGTACAGAGCCTAACAAGGTGATTGACAGGTAGAACAAAGTCGTTGACGAGCAGAACAAGGTGGTCAGCACATCTATGATACCTGCTTCTCGTCCTTCAAGCCCCCCCTCCTCATCAATGCCTTACTTGTTAGTGTATTCTATTCTTAGTCCTAGGGAGCCCGGTAACTACCGGCTCCCAAGCCACACACCGGGAACCAACAGGCTGGGCCCATCTTGGCAAACCCTTGGTTTGGCCTCCGAACGAAAAGATGTAAGGGAGTTTCCCATTTAGCCATTTACGTACCTAATGCCCTTCTCCAGCGTCATGATGATCAACCAGCTGAACCAGTAAGAACGCTATGCTCTCGTCAGCGTAGACGTAAATGACGGAACCAGACCCATACAGACGTAGAAGAGTTATAACTTTCGAGAAGGCTGATAACACGATTCGTCGTAAAAAGGTAATGATGGGCTGCTCATTTACTCAAGTGCTTACGGATTGCATGCATTCTCAAGCTGTGCCAATAAAAATCGGTGGAGTATCTCCAAAAGGCTCGGTGGAATCACTTTAGAATAACGATCTAGAAATGAGAGATTTTGCTTCAGACCTAGTAATACACAACATCTCTCACTCATGTAGTGCCACCTTGCTTTCTAATTGCTACCAGTTACGCGGCATCTCTTTAACTACCGAGTCTCAATACATGATTTCTAAGAATCTAGAATAATATACTTCATTCCCCCACTTCGTATTCCCAGCTACCATTTCCAAGAGCCCCAACCCAAATACAACCAATTAAACAGCCCAGAGCAATCCGCCCTATCACGGGTGGCATCTACTGTGTACAACAGGTGTTTGATGAGCCGTTTGCCTAACGGGATCTACATAAAACAGAAAATATAACTAAAGATTTTACATGTGTGATTTGATCCAGAGCCATACAACACCAAAACACTGTTTACAGTTGGAATCATGTAATACTTACCTACCTCGGGTACCTAGGTATTTAGAAATTTAGCATTCAGAATGATCTTCACGGCACGTATAATTGGCAACGCCTAATTTATTTAGGCCGGCCAGTTTTACCTTCAGTACGATTCATATTTAAGGAAATTGCCAATGCTTATTATTTGCTTCTATCTCGTCTCCATAGAATCCTCGACCTACATACAAGAGTTTTTTTTTTTTCTTTTTTTCCTTTTCTTCACTGCCGAAATGCGAGCCTTCAATTAGTAACTTCGTGAACCAATATGAAATATAGCAAGTACAGTCTTAAGTTTAAGAACCGTAACTAGTGTACAAAGTGCAAATTAGTCTGCTGATGAAAGACAGAGCCAAGTTGGTGACATGCAAGAGGGGCCCATAAAGAATAGGCTTGTCCCATAACAAGACGATTATGGAATCTTATACCTGGCGCTCAATTATAGTGTCTAGGGTATTGCTGATTTCCTAGGTACTCAAGATGAGCAGGCAGTTGTCGAGAACTAATCAGCGTGAAGCTGCAAAGTCCGCCAACGGATGGCGGAGAACAAAACCGCCAATGAAGACTTTGAAATGCCGCGAACAAGGCCATAGATAAAAGTCACAAAGAGGCGTGTTTCCAGGTTCTAGGTAAACCATCCTAAAGGAAACCGGGTTGACTAGAAATCATTGGCGAGGAATCCTAGATGTGGATGAGAACTGGGTATCATAACTTTGGGCGCGTATGCAGAGTTGTGCTTGAATAGCGTCCATGAATTAGTGCTGTTGATCAAATTCGGTGAAGTAAACGAGGTATTTGTCCTGTTAATAAGGGAAACCGAATGTAGAATCATAAACGATGAATCGCATATGAAAGCCTCAAGGGAGGCGAGGTGATGTATGTGAAGTAGGTCGTCAACGTAAAACGTAGGCGTAAGCAGGCCTCAATGAGAACTGCGGCTGAATGAAAAAATGCGTATGGAATTTGCCAATGGAAAAGAATAAATGAAAAACCGTGCCGGAAAGAACTGACTGAAAGACGCATGCTAGGACCGTTGCCGAAAAACTATGAATGAAAGACTGTAGAAAACGAAACCGCGAAAATCTCGTGCTGGAGTCGTAGATGAGTGACTCTCGACGAGAAACTGAAGATAAAGAGCTGCGATACTGCAGCTATGCGATCCGAGGACAATAAATGTCCGATGAGTACGGATATATCTGACTCATCTGCTATGGTGACTACCTGCAAAGGAACTTGGATCCGGTCGCAGGTTCGATATAAGGAATCCTTATAAGGGCTTCATCTAATATTCATGAAGCCCCTGTGCCTTGTCCTCTATAATAATAACATGGTTAGTAATTTCTCGTAAAAAAAACTTCAGAGTTTTGATTTGCATATCACATACTTGGACCATCCTCCCAATAACTGCTGGGAATAATCGTTTCGAAGATCCTCTCATGCTCCGCGAAGTCTAGGGGGTGTGGCTTCTTGTAAGGTAGCTTCACTATCACCGCAGTATCGGCTCGCTCGCAAAGGGAGCAGATGCAGTCGTCGCCGGGGACTGGCGGGAAAACACGAGCGACTTGTCTTCGGATCTTATGATCAAGATAGTTATAGATTCCGTCGATAGTCCACACCTCCTCGATACTATGCGTCCAATCCCAGCTCCAACCAGTGTACCCGCCGAATTGCGGATAGTTGGTGAGATGCTTGCGCGAGTTCTTGTAGAATATCAGTTCGGGATGTACTTCATGCGGGCGCTCTAGGACAACGCGGTGAAAACCCCATCTGCTCAAGGCCTCGATGCGTTGATGGATCGGTCGAAGGGGTAGCTCTTTTGAACGTAGTTCAGCTACCTCTTTGGGATAATTATGCTTGGGACTATTCCAGTGTCTCCAGTCACCCATCTTCATAATATCGCATTCAAACGAAATGACTGGCCCTCTCGCCGCACGGGCAGCCGGCATGATTTTTCCGTAAAGTAAATCGCCGTTGCGGACTCTCTTGTACAGCTTGGTCGTCCAGGATCTAGATTCCTTACAAGTAAGGAATAAGGCGGGACACGGAGCTGACATGATCTTTCGTAGGCGATACGTGTCCTATAGCAACAGTAGTAAGTAATTGTCGCCACTAAATAGCGAGTATGAAGAGGTTCGATATGTCTTAGGAGTAAGGCTTCCCAAAGAAGCTAGGAAGCTGATTGTCGCCCAAGATAGGTAAGAAAGAAGAAAGGAATTCTGGAACATACCACGAATCGGTTCTGCGTCCAAACCGCGAATTCCCAGATCATCCCTCTCAACTCCGGCGGGAGTTTCATGAACATGTGGAACGTCTTCGGGTAGGAGGTAGTAGGTGGAGCGTTCCGAAACTTCACCAAACGTGCACTGAAGATGGGTGTTCTTAAAGACATAAAATAGTCCTTGTGAAATCCCCCAACTATCTGGAGATAATGCTCTAAAATCTCCTTGATCCTCTCGGGGGCAGCAAGTCCTTGACCCTGCCCATATACAAATTCCAGGATTGAAGGATATAGTTTCGGATACACCTCACGAAACTTCATTCTGAGATACTCTTCACGATTGGTTGTTACCTCTTCTTTTCTCTCTAAAGTCAAATTAATACTCTGTCAGATAATATAATAAAAATTCATAATGGACGTAGGATGAATTAAGTAAAGGGGGGGTTATTTTGACTTCTGGCATGGGATGAAGGTAATATTTGATGCTTAGGAGACTTACCAACAAACTCTCGAAACATCTTAAGAATCGATACTTCATCGACCCTCCCGCGAAACTTCTTCAGAAGTTTTATATCTCTTGGCTCGAATTCTCTGGATGGAGCCTGAAGCTCCATCCCATCGGGATTGTGCTCCAAATCGTGTGATGATGACATATTAAGACTTATTCCTTGTAAACTCGGGAACGGCTGTCTCTTATGAATAGCCAACGCGCCCTTGGGAAATAGGGTTACTTAAGAGCGGTCGGTAGATATAGGTAATGTTTAAGCGCAAACTTGGTGTTGATTGACTTGTGATCGAGTGCGTAAAAGTGTTCAGTTGATGAAATACGCATCCAAGGCGCGCTTAGTAGTAACGGGGATGGAACAATATCAATAGAAGGGAAGAGAGTAGTGTGTAGCCACAACACAGAGGTGCTGGAGGAATTGTCCGGGGGTGTAAGGTTGAAATGTTGATGATAAAAGGGTAGTAAGTAAAGAAGAAAGATCCACGAAGGGTAGAAAGTGATGTTCACTTTAAAAGGTTGATCTGCCTGAGGGCTAATACCAATATTTGCGGATTGTCGAGAAGGTACACACAGACGCTTCTACCTGCTGATGTGGTAAAAAGGCAAGATGCTACCCATATGTACAATTCGGAGGGATCGGGGGAAGGTAGGCCTTCCTAGGACGGCTTTGAAGGTAGAAGTTGTACAGTGTTTGATTGAGAGGAAGTGGATGAAAGAAAAGGAAGTAGGAGGGATATTGTAATTGTAGCAAGTCCCACCACTTTTATGGTCACCGCCTACCTTGCTACCTTCCTGCAAGAACCAGCCAGTTGTAATCTAGAGCTGTATATTGGCAGAAAAAAAGGATCACAGGTGGCAGAGAAAGTAGGTGCGGTAGTTAAGGTAACGAAGGTACTTGATGATTGGGTTATCTAAAAGATATCAACAAGTCCAAGGCAGTTAGTCATATATACCTAGGTACCCCCAAGTACGATAACAATCTCCGGCAGCCATTGAGGAACATTTAAAATCGACGGAAAGTACCATCTAAATCCGTACACAATATCAAGACTGGCTTTTCTTTCGTTTCTCTCAAATCAAATTACTACATGACCATATAACCCATCACCAACATAAGAACACGCTTTTCGTCCAATACTGGTAGTATCCTTCAACTACATTAATGAAGAAATGCCTCGAGCTGAATAAGGTCTCTTATACATACTCCTACCGCCAGCTTGTAAACAAATAGGGTTACTAATGGGCAGTGGTTGATTTGGGATATTATCGCGCGTACGCAGTTCCTGACACCGCAGAGAATACCATAATGTTTTAATTTGCTTCCACTTTATTGCGTTGATAGCATCGATATTTAAGCAAAGTAGAAATGGTAGTAAGTTCCTTATGTTAATAATGTCCGGGTGCTTTTAAGGATTGCTTGGATTATCTATGCTCTTGGGGGTTTTCTACTAGACGTGATTAAAGCCCTACCATATTAACAAACCAAGTCACTTTCGAAAGGGAGAGTGACTCCAGTGGATATATTCTTGGGATGGGAAAGTGTAATAAACGTGTATATGCGCCTACAAATTATTTGGTTAGTTGGTTGGTATATTTAATGCCAGGTCGAGGGAGAAGGACAGATTATTGGAAACGTTCCTAAGGATATGTACCATGTAAAATTATTTAAAGATGAATAAATATTTTACGAATTTAATTTTAAAAGGTATCACATATTGTGCGTGGTTAGTCATGGAATGTAGTTTGTTGTGTTAAAAAGAACGAAAGAATAGTTATAACATATAACAAATTGCTGCTCCTTGCTCCGTGACAAAAAACACACATGATAAAATTTTAGCCGTTTTTGTTAACTTTTCCGGATATTCGGGGCCGCTTCTAAGACGTTGTAGGTTTGCTTTAAGCCGTCCGGATTCCCGCATGCAAGGACGTCGGGCTTCTTCCGGCCGTAAATATCGCCCCACTCCGGTTCGGTGGTTGTACGGAGGTCCGGGCCAAAAGTCTTGCACATGTGGAGGTCCTTAACACCGTATTCGAACGTCATCCTTTTCTATTAATACTGTACTAGCTGCTTGCCAAACTGAAATTTGGATAGGCTAAATTTGGGTAGCTAACTACCATATTTATAGCAACACCAGCCACTACAGCTTACACAATATTGTGTGGTCTTTTGAAATTATACTGGGCTTGCCGGGTCCAGATGTGCAAAACTTTTGCCCGGACCTATACACCTACTTATTGAGCAAATTCTTAATGCATTATATCAAGTTAGAGTGGTTTCCTTGGCCATATTATCTATTCCAAATGTGAAATTTTGTATTTCCTTCGAAATATACTAGTGGTAATTACGTGATTTCTTTAGCAAATAAAACTCCGATAATTACTTTTAAAATTGGCTTTACTCCCTGCTTCCAAAGTTTCAACTTCGCTAACCTACAGTCTCGTCTATGTCTTCACATCTGGCTCGTCGCGTCCCACGTACTCCTTGAACTTCAACAGATCTGTGGCAAATTTGATTTCATCCTTGAGGAAGTCCTGGGCATCTTGGCTATAAGTTGAGGGGTCGTTGCTGTACTTCTCGATATACAGACGGATGGTCGCACCAGATGATCCAGTTCCCGAAAGTCTGACAACGATTCGACTACCGCTATCGAAGCGGGCGTAAAGACCCTGGTTTGAAGCGACGGAACCGTCTAGGTCGGTATAGGAGAAGTTACCAGCGTCGGTTACCGTTCGTTCTGTTGGATGTATGTCAGTCTAATAGCTTAGCTTGCGGCCTGGAATGATATTTACGTACCTCCTATCTTGCTTCCTATGAAGTTAGGATCGGCGACAAGGTCTTCTAGTGTTTTGACAACCTTGTTTGCGCCGTCGGAGTCAACATTCTCGTAGTCGTAACGGGTGAAGAACACCCGGCCATAGGTCTTCCAGAAGTCCTGCTGAATCTGTTTGATGCTTGGCTTAGTCTCGGGGTGAGCCTCCCCTAAGCCAGCAATGATGTTAAGCCATGCTACGACGGCCCATAGTCCATCCTTCTCGCGAACATGGTTGCTGCCGGTACCAAAGCTCTCCTCACCACAGATGCTTAATTTCTTCGCGTCAAAAAGGGCACAGAAGAATTTCCAACCAGTCGGCACCTCGTAGGAGTTTAAACCTTGAGCCTTAGCAACAAGGTCGACAGCCCCGGACGTTGGCATGCTGCGGGCCAATCCATACACACCCTGTTCCTTGAAGTAGGGGATGAGCTGTGCATGGTGGGCTATGATCGCCAGACTATCACCGGGCGATACGAACGCTCCGGCACCATATATCATGTTTCGGTCACCATCACCATCAGACGCTGCACCGAAGGGGATAGAGTTCTTATCGACGACTTCCACTAGAGAATGGGCGTAAGTGAGATTAGGGTCGGGGTGTCCACCGTTGAAATCAGGTTTGGGGACACAGTTTTGGGTAGAGCCGGCGAGTCCTAACTCCTGCTCGAAGATGGCTTTTCCATATGGACCGGTAACGCCATGTAGACCGTCGAAGAGGACCTTGAAATCGGGATTTTTGGTGAAGAACTTCTTGATTAGGGGGAAGTCAAAAATATCCTTGAGCATCTGGACATAGTCTGCCGTGCTGTCGACGATTTCGACCTCCAAGCTACCGTAGGTTTTGGTCCCAATCGTAGTTATATCTACGTCAGGAATATCGGCAATCTTGTAGGACGTGAGGGTTTTTGAAGCTTCGAAAATCTTGTTCGTTACGCTTTCCGGAGCAGGGCCGCCATTGGACAGGTTGTACTTGATGCCAAAATCTTGGTCGGGACCTATGAAAGCCACAGATTAGGAATGTAATTATAATTGAACGTATTTGGACTTACCACCGGGGTTGTGACTGGCAGTCAAGAGGATGCCTCCCGTAGCCTTTCGCTTTCGAATGACATGACTAGCAGCTGGGGTAGACAGAATGCCGTTCTGGCCAATTAATAATTTCTTGACTCCGTATCCGGCGCCAATCTTCGCAATCAGCTGGATAACCTCGGGGTTCCAGAACCTGCCATCACCTCCAATAACTAGGAAAGAACCTAAGACGTTGAATTTCAGCAATTGTTGCCTTATGTGTCTAGTTCACATTGAAGATACTCACCCTCTGCGCCTTCGGGGATAGAGAGGAGGATGCTGGCGATGAAGGACTCGCTATAGTGAGGTTGTTGGAAAACCTTGACCTTTTTTCGAAGACCTGAGCTGAAGGCGTGTTAGTATAGCGGCGGCGGGGTAGCTTTGAATGGAGCTATTTACGCACGTTCCAGGCTTCTGGTCAGAGAAGGGCTTGAATTCAACGGTTTTGACGGAGACGCTCATGATGATATTTACCTCGAACTGGGATTATAAATAAGTGCAGAGTAAAATCAAACAGTTCACTTGCGTATAGTTCACTTGGGAAGGTTCGTGAAGTTGTGAGATAGAAACTTGCTCAGGGGATGAGGGGATATCAATAAAAAACATATGACGACGTTGTTAGTGGGGTAGCGTACAAGCTAGGAGGTACCTTCCTTAGTCCCTATTACAGCTAGGTACCATAGTACATACAAGTTACACAACACATCACTGCAGGTGCTTTCAGGTTGCGACGAAAAGAACGATCCAATAGCGCAAGGTGATCTCAGTAAGTGTGGTGGAGTATAAACACCAAGGAAACCGCCGACCTATGTAATATTTTACGTAGTACACTACTTGCTTAACATCCGTCGCAGATACACTATAGAAATAAATAGAAAGGTGCTAACGGCGGCATGGTGCGCTGGTGGGACCCACATCGTACATTAAACCCCCCTATCAACAAATCAGCACGTAATTAATCACCTTTCTCACTTTGCATTGCCATGAAAAACCCCTTAGGTAGCTGGGTAAGATGGTATTAGAAGGGTGTCATTATAATCCAAGCAATTCGCCACGCGGAAATTTCTGCCCAATGCTTTTTTTCGTATATGAATTGTCGAGTCTATATTAATGATGGACCGCATCCCGCCTTTTTCGATACCGCGACAAACGCTATCGTAAACGCCATGCTGAAAATTAGAGGTATTTTAATACCGTACCATCTATTCCACTAACCTAGGTGGATACAATATTAAAATACTTGGAGAGATTTGAGTTAGGTATAGGTATATGTTCATTGTTAAACCACCTGATCTAGTTTACTCTTGACTTGTCCCGTCGTTCGCTTTATCAACGTGCTCAACGGCGCGGTCAAAAATCATCTCCTTGTAATATCGAGCCTCAGCAATGCTCTCGAGGATATCCTCTTTCGCTTGGTGCAACCCCTGCTTTATCGGTGCATTCTTTATAACACTTCTCGGACACCATCGCCGTGCAGCCTCCTTTAGAGTGCTGACATCTAGGATTCGGTGATGTAGGTAACTGACCACTTTCTTGTACGGCTCTTTTCGAAGGAATGCTCGGTCTGCGTGCACACTGTTGCCGGCTAGCACTGCGCCTCGCTCTGGCACATATTTCTTGATGTATGCCAATAATTCATCTGCTGCTTGTTCAGGGGTCATTTTGGAAGACACCACGGCAGCCGTCAAGCCGCTATTCCCATGCGTCCGTGTACACCATTCGTCCATCTTGTCCATTCTCTCCTGTGACTGGTGGATGACGGCTCCCCAACCATTCTCGTCCAAGACATCCAACGTCCCCGATGTGATAATACAGAAAATCTCAATGATTTCCTCACGATCAGGGTCGAGACCCGTCATCTAGCCCCTATTGTATTAGATTCGTCGTCATAAACATGAGTACTAAGAGGGGTCTATAAAATTTATTACCTCGCAGTCAATCCATACTAGCGCGCCATTGCTTGCCATAGTTATTCGCGAAAAAATAGAGCTTGTGGTTAGTGATGAAAATTGGTATGTAGCTGTAACCGTAAATACGATGCGTCGATGCCCATTGACCTTTTGTTGGGAAAGTAAATAATAGCGGTTAATCTTTTTACGTGATTATATAATCGACAGAAAATGCCACGCAGACTACCTATAGTATAACACTAAACACACACCCGTAAGGAAGTTATTTATGGCGGTAGGAACAACTTAAGGAAACACAATAATATTTTATCAAAAAACAACTGACGTATATGAGTTACCTAGGGGTTTTAATTAATAGTTACCTACATTCAGTATATCTCAGGAAGGAGAAGGCATATACAAGCCAGCTGGCTTGCAGCTGTTCATGGTATTGTAACAATTTCCACTGGAATTGACCAATAGAATAGAATTTATCAACAATTTTCCTATACTAAAGATTCTATATAACACTAACCAGCACGAGTGTATTGCTATTCATATAAGTAATTCTTATTACTCTTACGTACAAGTAAACTTGTGCACCTCTTGGTTAAGAAAGCCCATGACTCATCGGTGAACGAGCTACGGATTAGTAGAATCTATAAATCTAATAACCCCCTGAAACCTCTTGAGCGAAACCCCGAGGCTTATATGTATATCCGCTTGTTTCCCCTCGAAGCCTTAGCGATAATGTCAGCTACTCGTAATCTACCTTCTCAGTTAGTCCGCTACCTACCCACGAATGAGGCTTACGACCGATGGGCGGTAGTTTACGATACGGACGGTAATTTCTTACAAGAGCTAGATACTATTGAGCTGAAGGAGCTGTTCCCGAAGTTTCTGCTATCTATCACGGCCCCTAGGCCATGGCGTGTCGTCGACCTCGGCTGTGGTACAGGTAGAAATACCATGTTGCTTCTCGGTGTCCCTGACGTTGCAGAAATAATCGCGCTAGACTCTAGCAGAGGCATGCTTGATGTGGCGAGATCACGACTACAGAAGGTAGATGATGCTGTTGGTATATCGATTAACAGCCCATCGCGGACGGCTCCGGAACTGCATCTCGAAGTTTTCGATATCCTAACTGCGTCATCTCCCCCGATTGTCGCACAGCAAGCAGACGGAGTTATCTCTACGCTGGTCATTGAGCACATACCTTTGCCAGCGTTCTTCTATCAGGTCTCGCAGATACTAAAGCCAGGCGGTGTGCTTTTATTGACCAATATGCACGAACAAATGGGTGCGATAAGCCAAGCCGGGTTCGTGGACGCCAATACGGGCGAGAAGATTCGGCCGACAAGCTACACGCATACTATAGCCGATATAGTAGCCGAAGCAAATAAATATGGATTTGACCTCGAAAAAATTGGTGAAGTAGAAGGAAAGGGGATCCGAGAGAGAGCGGTAGAAGACAGTATGGTTGAAGAGTTAGGACCTAGGAGTAAGAAATGGGTGGGTATAATGTGCTGGTTTGGTGGCTTATTTAGGAAAAGGAGAACTTAGATAAGTATTGGTTATGAATTAGAAGCCACTTAGACCGACCAAGTATAGTGAGTTCCTACAAGAAAGGACTGGACTAAGAATTTGGAGTATGCATTTGGTTATCGGCGATGACTCAAACGTGCAACGTGGGGGGTTTAGTAGAGCTGTGAATCGCAGGCTATATGTTACCTTGCTTACGATGTTTAACTGAGCCATCAAGTAGAGAACACCTTAAGTAAGGCGTTGAAATCTGTTCAGGATACTCTTGGCGACGTCCTTCACAAGACTTGGTTGGGATGAAATATGCTTACACTTGTGGCGCGCTTAGACATGACGAGATATTAATGCGTGGCAGGCCAAAGACGAGTAGGATCGACCCAAACAAATGAGGCCGAGGAAATAATAGGTTAAGGGAAATAACTGATACTGGTTAAAATGCCTCAAAACGTTTACGACCGACAAGATTTCTTCGAGAACTATATCAAGCTGGACCGTCAAGTTAAGGGGCTTCACGGTGCGCCGGAATGGCCGCAACTAAAATCAATACTTCCGAACCTCAATGGCCTCGTCGTGCTTGACCTAGGCTGTGTGTTTGGTTGGTTTTCCCGGTTTGCGAGAGAGAACGCCGCGGAATTTGTTCGCGCGATTGATATCTCCGAAAAGATGCTTGAGAGAGCTCAAGAAATGACTAGCTTAATATGTTCCATCGAGCACCCGATATATACAGCGCCGTCAAGACCTAGATTTATTGTGGATGAAGAGACAGGTAGCAAGTCATGGCCGTTAGATGACTATCAAAAAGAAGGATTGAGAACGACCGATTGGTTGGCGCCCGGAATCTAGAAACAGCATAGAACGATCGGAACCTATATTTTTGTAGAATGGTGTCCAACGGAAGAAGAATTAAAACGGTTCCCTACAAGAGAGAGCGAGATAGTGAGACCTACGTTTCTGTTACTAGGTGCAACAAGATGCTGACCCCACAAACCCTCACCTTGTACTCAATAGAAAAGGGACAAGGGATTGTGAGACTCGGAATTTTGACGCTTCTGGAATTTATTATCAATTCTGCTTGTTTTGATCCCTTTGTTCTAATGCCAACAGATGCATGTGACTATGAAAATGGGTTATGGGAGCACTGGTTTATGTCAGCTGTAAATAGGTGACATCCAACTGTAATCGAAACGAATAATCGGCTAAGGCTCGGCAAAACTTAAGTCTACCTACCTAAAAAGGTAAGATAGGCGGTGATCTTGCCTTTAGGTAGGTGCTTTCCTAGCCTGTTATGCCTTGTATATCAAGTCGCAACTACCTGTGCCAGGGATCATTCGAAGCTTACATAGTACCAGCTTTACTCTGCGCTTGTCGTCATCCCTTATTGCGCAACGTCTATCTGTTTTTTTTAACATTCATCTCCATGGCCTATCTTGCCTTCATACATCATTTGTTGAAACTGTAGCGCGCCAATTCGAACTAGAGTCGATTTTACGTCCAACAATTCCGGATAAGAACCTCGAGGCTCTTGCCCACTTCACAAGTTGAAAGCCCCTTGCGCTAGACGAGAATCGACATCGAAGCCCCTCAGCACTTCATCTTCCACACCAACCAGCTAATTTACTTACTTAACTCCTGGCGCGAGGCTGGGAAGGAGACATGGTTGAGAGATTCTGGTGGACGAGACGATTGCTTGAATGCAACCCCTGAATCCCTTCCTAGCCGCCTTCTTCAAGCCCGGCAGTCCCATTGTCACCCAGTGCACTCCCGTTCATCACCACATTCTTCTAGTCCCGACAACCGAATTCTTCCTTACCTCCCGCGAAACCGAAAGCGGTCTATCTCTGTCAGACATTGTTGGGTCTGAAGACTTTCTGGGAAGCCATGTACTTCGTATTCCCAGTCCGGTCACCGCTGCGGGAGGGAAGGACGCCGTCGGAAACTTGCGCGAGCAGAGGGGCAAGGCCAGACAATACTCAACCTTGAATGGGCGTAGCGTTGTCGTTAAAGATGCTTTTATTTATAGCAATAAGGGTAAGTGGGACTTCAAATAGCGACACTGGGTCTTCCTAACTGCCTATCTAATTGCCAATTCGACAGGGTTCAAAACACTTTCCCAAGCGCAGCTACTAAATGACACTCTCTGGTATGCCGACAGCATCGAGCCGCGGCGATGGCTAATATATTATATCTCGCGACCTCTGGTCGGCATCTGGGTGGACAAGGAGGTGCCGCGTGCTATTTTTATAGAAGGCATGGCAAAAGCCAAACTTGCGGAGGCCAAGCGAGCTGCCGCCGTCGAGAACGGTGAACCGAGTACTCCACGGAAGAAGGATATAAAGAGTTTTCATGATCTTCTCAACCATTTCCCTATGATTGCGAGGCAGATGCATCCTGGCTTAGAAAAGTTGTTTCGGGAATTCACGACAATTTTCGAGAGACCGCTGCCCCCTCCGCCGTCTGCAACACACATTCCCGATCCTATCCCAGACGGTCCTATTGCGACAGCTATGAAGAAGGTGCGCTCAAATAGCATATCTGCACGACGAGCCAGCGTAGATGACGACGAGAGTACCCGAACAACTGAGAGTTTCTACGCCGAGGACGATGAGGATGTTATGAGAGTTTCACTTGAGACGGCGGTCACGAGCGCTATTGATCTATTTCAAAGTGTCGACAAACAGCAGCTTTCCATGCTCGGGGCGACAACCGATCTCACTGGCCCGGTGGTTGAACGGCTAATAGAACGGTACGTGGTTGAGAACGTTCATAATCTTATATGGCCTCGACTTGCTGCCATGCGACGACCAGAAGACCTCGAGCTTGAGGCAAAAATTCGACAAATGGAATTCATCGATATTTCGCAATTGGGAATCTTTATTGAAGGCGGTCCTAGAGCGAAACATGGACTTACTAAAAGACTCGGCCACGCCGTCGAAGAATTTCGCAGAATGTCCTCAGCGATGTGCCCACAGGAAATGATGGAAATCCTATTATCGACAATGAAGGCCGCCGCACAATTGACCGAACAATCTAAACCGAACTCTGGATCTACTGCGGCAGAAAAGTCCGCTCTCACCGTGAACGCTGATACTCTAGTGTCACTGCTCCTCTTCGTTGTGATCCGGGCCGGTGTCAAATACCTCCAGGCCAGGTTACTTTACATAAAGCATTTCGTCTTCATTGATGATGTAGATAGTGGCGAGTTAGGTTATGCCATTAGTACATTCGAAGCAGTACTCTCATATCTCTCCACCGACTCGAGTAGTCTACGAAGAGCGAGCCGCCGGAACAAATGTCTCTGGGACGCAGCCGCGAAAGGCGATATGAATGAGCTCAAAAGGATGATGAATCCAGATCCAGATGCTATCGATTTTGATGCCGACGACGAAGAACCCTTAGCGTCTCCAGTTTCGAGTCGTTCGCCGTCAATCAGCTGGAGTATGGTCAATAATTCTTCTAGGAGATCTTCAACAGCATTTACACCGTCCGATTCATACTCTCGGGGATCGGGGCTAAGTCACGTATTTCCATTTCAGAATCAGACTCTGGACGATCCCCCAATGCCCCCAATGAAGAAAATCAAGAGAGTTGTTATGGATACCAGGAGCATGTCAAGCGGCTCGGAGTTTTCGTATCATTCTAGGGCGGGTAGTATTGCTACGTTGGGAAGTGGCCTCGAAGGTGATACGTCAATTGAACGGCTTTGTCAAACTGAAGATTCTCTTGGGGAGTCTATTCTAATGATGGCGGTCCAAAATGGGCAGCCAGAGGTTCTTAGATACCTGCTCTCACTCGAAGAATATTTCCCACCCAGCACCCTTTTGGACGACTCTAATAACGAAGGCACTACTTTGTTAAGCGCTGCTGTCCAGCTAGGTCACACCGAGTTAATTGATGTTATCCTAGACTTTGTAATGGCTTCAGCTTCTGAGCCGCAGATTCGGAATTACTTATCCTTGCAGGATACTCGGGGCCGCAGCGTTGCACACTACCTATTCCACGCACCGTCCCTAATCGGCCGCATTGGCAAGCTACTCCCTTGGCGGCAAAAGGATAGAAATGGCCAAACACCATTATTCGCGCTCTGTCGGTCGTACGACCACCAGAATTACCACGATATGGTTGAGGCCGGTCTCAAAGCAGCGACGGGCGCACAGGGCGACGGTCAGCCACTTCACCTAGACGAGCATGTTGATTCAAAGGGGAACACTCTCTTGCATATCATCAATGATCACCAGTTAGCGGTGAAAATCCTCAGGCAGTGCGACGTCGATGTCAACGCCACAAATGATAGAAAATTCACTGCGCTGATGGTAGCTAGTAAATACGGTCGCTTCGAGATGGTTAGGATAATGTACTCGTGTCCAAGGGTGGACGTGGCCGCGAAGGAGCTACGTGGGCTCACTGCGGTAGAACTGGCGAAGGATGACGACGTTAGGAATGAAATTGACAATTTGACGCTCTGTACTATGCCGCCTGCCGAGGACGGACGTATCACTGGCGTCGTTAGATCGTACTTCGTGGAAGACGCTACTATTCGACTGGTTCTTAAGTCGGGAGCCCTTGCAGATGACGGCAGTTACACGATCACCACATGCCGTCGCTCTTTTACAGATTTTGAACGTCTAGCCCACTTGCTGTCTGTCGAGAACCCAGCGTCGTGGATCCCGAATGTCACGAGCAAACGGTCACCATTCCAGATCCCCTCAAAGCCTTCGAGAGCCGTCCTGAAGGACATACAAATACGAACTGACTCGTTTCTTAAAATACTTTTAGCTCATCCCACCTTTGCGACACACGAGATGCTGTGGGAATTCTTTTTAGTGCCCGACTTACAAGCGGATATGATGGAACAACGCAGCAGATTAAAAGCTGAGACGAGAGCCGAGAAAGTGCGAGATGAGTTGGAACCTCTGGAAGATATTCGCGAAGTAGAGCAGTTTGTGGAACACGCCCGAGATATGGTCCGTAGTGTCAATTATGCAACTAAGAGCGTTGCGCGAAGGACCAATGCTATCAGCGTCGTCACAAATGGTATAAGAACAACGCTTCCATATATATTATCTAGTACTAATATGTCCACAGATTTCTATGATGCAGCGAGTCTAGTTTCACGAGACGTTAATAATCTTGCCTTTCTACCTCAAACGCATATCTCTGCGTTTGACGCTTACGTCCGAGCGCTTGTTCCCCCGCAATCTAATCCGTCATATATATTTCATAGTTCCTTTTCAGCTCTGCAATCTACTATACAAGCCATGCTCTCGTCATTATCACGACCATTGCAGCTCGTAACCCAAATAGTATCTTCTCGCAAGGCGATAGAGCGCAACTATAGTTCCGTTTCGCGTTCGACGAGATGGCCACTCGGGCTACTTGATGAAACCCGCCAGCGTCTCAATGAGGAGAGGGAAGAAAAAGCAAGGCGTGCCCAGACCGAGGTAGACGTTCTAAGTAAGGAGCTTCGATACACACAACAGACAGTAGCAAGCGAACTAGCGGGATGGGAGGATATGCATGAGCGTATGGGCCGTAGGGCCATAAAGGAATTCGCTAAAGGGATGCTCATCTTAGAGCGTGAGCGACTACAAGGTCTTCGTAGGGCGCAGCGGAAGCTGCAAGATTTAGGGTCGACTTTTAGCAATGAGGTTCATGAGCCAGAGATTAATCTCAGTGATGCTACAGTAATGGAAAATGGCGTTGGCGATGATGCCGCAAGCAGCGAATCGGGTACAATGGGCGAGGCGTTCATGGATAGAGTAGACTAGGTATTTGGCAACGATCTGAGGTGTTAATCCGGGTCCTCTTAGATGGGTGGCCATTGAATAGCAAGCAAGGACTTAATGCAACTATCATAGCCACATTAGCCATGCTTGTGTGCCATTCGGATTCTCATCTACCCATCCTCATACTCCAAGTCAATCCTAATATCGGCGCATCCATCATACTCGGCAGAGTAGACCGACTGACAGTACAAGAAAAAGGGAGGCAGCCCATGAACATATTATATAGAGCTTACGACGACTTAAAACTCAATCTGAGCTACTTGGAGGTGGCCGTGCTACTTGAAACGGACCGGGCCATCGATGAGCGCTTCGCCTAGACGGCCGAGTCGATGGCCAGGCAGCGCGCATCTATCTTATACGTGCGTGTAAGGCGCAGGCCAAGAGAAGTAGAAAAATCTACAGACGGGCCGCAGAATGACGACCGTGGAAACGAAACAAAGCTTAGCATTGTTGTATGCTACATGCTAATTCAATCGTAGATGTAAGGAACGGCGGCTTCAGGGTCTTCCATCTACGCCATATTCACTATATCCCGGCATCTTGTGCCGAATAACCAATTGATTAAAAGACGAGATTTCTCATGGCCTTGCTATCGTTTCCGAATATCTAACAAGTACCGAATGGCCGGTAAAATCAGAACTTGAACGAGCTACGGTCAAGATCTAAGACAAACACATCTCGTGTAAAGGTCGTGAGGACAGGCCATTCCCAGCCACTTGATTTTTCACTTACCTCGGGGATCAGAGACGGATCGTCGTCCCGCAAGCATCATAAATTTTACTAGATCAGCATTCTCTCAATATCTCGATATCTAGCCAAGCCCGTAGAGTCATAATCATACACCGATCATGATTATCGTGCAGAAAGCTAGACAGACATACGATGCATCTGCATGTGAGAGCCGGGAAAGATGACTCACTCACTCGGATGTGCAGATGTAGATGGGCTACGAGCGAACGAGAATGGTCCCGGTAGTGTAGATCTGAAACAAAAGCCTGAAAGGGAAAAGACTTGAAACGAAACATTTTTGTTTCTGGGTTTGTTCTTTTAGTCCCGCCCGTGAGCATGGCTTCTTGACTTCTGGCCAATAGACCATCTTCGACGCGGTTGAGAAGGTACTTCTTGCGGAGTAACAACATGTCGTGAGCCGATTGGTTGTAACTATAAGTTTAGTTGTAATGAACACGGGCGCGTTGGTGACCCGCGAATCAAGATGTTTTTACTGCGCGCCATTCTTCTTTTGGAGCTGCGAGTCGCGGGGGCGGGGCCGTGGGCGTGGGTGTGGGGAGGAAGGGACGCTTCCATTTCGTGCTAGGTATTTCGTGGCAGCCCGTGGCAGTGGCATTTTACGCGCCGGGCGGGGTGGGGCTGTGCAATAGAATTTACTCGTGTAACTTCGTACCTAACCCTTGCCTTTGACGCCTGACGATATCGGATGATGTTTAGGCGCGCTTCATTCTTTGCCCTGGCGCTTGCGGCTTTGCTCGGACGCCGAAGATCTTGGTCAAGGAATCCGACGGGATAATCGATAAAAGATGTTATCTCTTATGTAGGTCGAGCGATAACTAAAGGCATAAGGAAGGAGGATAATCATACGTATGAAGGCTTACACGATGGTGACCTGGCAGTGCCTATAGCCGCTGGGGCAGTAATAGAGGCAGTAATAATCATTCAATACCTCTTCGCAAAAGTTCTGGAACACTTCTTGAAGCTGCTGTTTCAATTGATGTAGTGCTTCTTCATCTAATAACTGGCCTTATTTAATTAAGTGAACCTATTAAGTCTACCTAACCCCAGTATATCAAGTCCAATAGGACCATCTTCGGCGGTCCTGTCGCCTTGCCTCATCTCTTGGTCATTAAGGGTCTTGATTTACAGGTTTGCAGGTTTGCAGATTTACACGGGTATATAGAGGTACACAGGTACACACACACCCGACTATTATGGGGTATTATATGGAAGACGGATAGAAAAATGCATGTTCCCATAGACTAGGTATAGTCACCGTGCGCCACTTCGGTTCACCTTTGAGATAAAACTCCACAATAATCTCTAATTGCCGCCCAACCATCGATAGCCGCCCGCATTCCTACCAAAAAAAGAAGATAAGATCGCTAATCGATCTTCTTCGGTCAATGCTTCATTTTACATAGTGTAGGTACCTTACTATTTTTGTCAGTCGGCAATTTAATCTTAGCGAGCGGCAAAAACAGATCTACCTAACCTACCTAGGTATCTCGTCAATCAAGCGCAAGCGCGGAGTGGGAATACTGTAATATTACACATGATCAGATCTATTAAGTACATGGAGGTATGCAGTATTACTTGCGACTACGTATTGCTAAAGAAGAAAAGAGGAGTTCGGATCTTCAACGTTCCTGTGGCGGAGTGCGCGGTTGTGATATTGGGTAGCAGAAATTCATGCGCGCTGCCTCTTTTTTGCCGTATCGCATTGAGAATGTCCTCTATTGGTATCGTCTAATACATAGCAGCAAACCTAAGTGCATGCATCGTCACGAGGACGTTGTGGAAATAAGTAGAATCATAGAACCAAGCTCTATAGCTACCTACCTAGTAGAGTGAGTATCAGGGCAAGAAACAAGTGGTTGTGCGTTGTGATACTGTTCGCTATAGCAACGCATACCAGCTTAAAAGACACGGTCGTATGTAGCAGTAGACGTACGACCACGTCCATTCACGATCATGACGCCCTCCACGCGTCGAATGATAGATTGCAGACGCGTTCTAACGTCTTGCAGGTACATGCAGAGATTGTTCCCGGGGATGCATCTTGCTCCACACAATCGAAGGACCACAAGCCGAACTAATGCACGATGGGACATGTGTTTCTTTCTGATATGAGTCACACTGTCGTGTCGGGATTCGGATTAGTTTGTTCTTCGTTTGCTCTGATATCGCCCTGATATGGCCCTGTATCCAACTACGAGCGCAAGCGACTATATTACGAAAACTACGAGAACAAAAAAAGGAAATAGGAAATGGGGACATCTCAGAGTGGAACGTTGTACCAACTAACTACATGCCATATATGGTAGTATGTAGTCAGGTAGTAATATAGAGGAGCGAAAAAAGACAATAATTCTGTCCACTTACCGTTGAGGATCTACGGTCCCTAGACGGATCCCGGGCTGTCAGATCTCATAGGCCTGTTTTCTGTAGCCACGATGAGCTCTTGGCTTTTTATTTTGGGCAAGGGAAAAAATAAGTTTAAAATATGATAATTGCACACTGTACTTAGCCGCCCGTTCTACGCTGATCTAAACTCATCCTAACGTGCAAGTTCGATTATCTTCTTACGGTATAATGTACTGTATATTACTCCGCGCTAAGAGAAATTGGTGGCTCTAAGCCTGAGCCTTTCTGCCCGTACGCGCTGCACAGCGGTATAAAGAAGGCGGGGCGGACTACTCGGGACCCACCCGCTACCTAAAATATACCCACTTTACTACTCTATTTTCGGTACGTACCGGTCCAAACTTCACCTCGAGCCAAATCCACTTACACGCAGCCCATTCATCCAACCCGCCAACCTACCAAGACCCTTACTATAGGCCGACCAGACCGTTCGGTTTCCCACATACTGCGCTACTTACATCCGAATTATATTCTCCTTCTCCATGTTTCAGGTTGGCCATTCTTGCATTTGGAAAATACATCATCGTTTAGCCCAAGCCTGGTTCCGCCGAGCTGATTGGCATCCCGGTTGATCGTGGCCCGGCCGTATCCATCTCGAGGATAAGAGGACCGGTCCTCCTCCTCCTTCCGTCTCTCTTCTGTTCTAATTCTTCAGTATCAACTCTCTGATCGGATAGGATCAGCTTTTCTTTTTTCATCCTTATTTATTAGATCTTTTTTTCGAGGCAGGCCGCTGGCTTCACGACCTGAATTTCCTCTCTTAGCTTCACAGCATCAAACCTCCATTCACACCAGTGCTTTGCCCTCCACCAAATTACTAAGGAGCCGGCTCTCCTATCCACCTTCACTTTATAATCTATAATCGTCTAGTTCTTGTCTAAGCAGACAAGAACACTCGAATCTAAATATCGACATGGCTACGTGAGTCTCAGGGCATCTGCTCTTATTATTATAGAGACGTAATAACTAATACTCCATTCCACAGTCTGGCAGGAGACATGTCTTTTGACTTCACATTCCCTTCATGCGAGCCCGTCACACCACCGAGCTTCACTTTTGAACCGTCTCTACTTGAATTTTCTTATCATCCCGGACATGCTCGCTCAAGCTCGTATGGATCTTTTTGTTCTACTACCGAGACGTCGCCCTCCGACTCGGTTAGCACAAGGGTAACCACACCGTCCCGCTCTCCGCCGCCAATCCGACAACATGGACCCATTCTGCTACCCAAGATCCGGTCCCAGGACCAGGCCATTGACTCGCCCGCCAAGCGTGTCAGGACATCATCGCCTACTCCCACCCCAAAGCCTAGCCGCCGCCCAGGCTTCCGCCCTTCGCATACCCGGAGCTATACTAACCCGGAGACGTTACATCACTTCTCAAACGCATTCTTTACGTCCCAGGAGGACCAAAATACCCTGTCTCAATCACTTCTATGCTCTCCCATTACCTTCCCTCAGGATAGCATGAACCAGCCGCGCCGCGCCTCGGCTGTCAGCCTCGATGGTGCTACGCTTGAGAAGTTTGGCTTTCCCACTTATCGCCAAATGCCATCATACGTCCCAGCTGTTCCCCAGCCCCAGAACGACCAGTTCTTCTACAGCTACGCGCCTCGCGCCCCTTCTCCATTAAGCCTCTCTTCCACCCCCACGCCTGATCCGACCCCATCCACCACTCTCATGAACTACCTCACGACATCCAATCCTGCTCCGTCTCTGGTGCGCACTATCTCATTCCCAATGCGCGACCCTCATACCAAGCATTTCTGGTGGGACGTTCGCCAAATCCGATCCTGGACCAGCTTTAACTTGAGTACAATACTCTCCCTTCCCGGAGCATCTGGCCTCCTAAACTGCCCAGTCCCGCAGCCGCTTCTCCAGCAGCCCCCTACTGGTGCACGCCACCCCGAGACAGAGGCCGCACTTCACGCAATCTACGCCTCTTACTACATCCCTAAGCTTAACTCGGCTCTTGGGCTTTCTTCTCAGCGACCTGTCCAGCTCTCTGTTCCTTCGACCAAGGCTACCACAACTTCATCTAATGACCACGTCTTCGTGGCTAACATTGCTGGCGAGTCTTCGACCGCAGCAGCAATCTTCGGTGGCAAGCCTACAGCTCGCGTTGTTGGGCTAGTTAAATCTTTCGACCGTTTTAACACGGGTATGCGTGTTGAGGGCAACATTAAGCGCGTCGAGTACCTGCGAGGTCTAGCCCACTTGCACCACGTGATGCGCGAGCACGGTACGCGTTACGGTTTTATCCTAACTGAAATCGAGCTCGTCGTCTGCCGCAACGGTGCTGAGGGTACCCCGCATTTTGGCTACCTAGAAGTCAGCAGCGTCCAGCTTGCTGCGACGGCCGACTCGGTTTCTGACGAGAGTGATGAGATACCCCTAACTGCCTGTCTCGCACTCTGGGGTCTGTGCATCATGGCTAGCGACGATGGTGTCAATTCCCACGGCCTAGGTCTTAACGGTCAAGTCACCTGGAAGGCAGAAATAGGAGCTCCTGCTGAAGGCACGAGAAGAAAGGCGCTTCCAAGAGACGACTGGATGCCCCAACCGCAGCTCGCAGAGAAGCGCGAAGCGAAACGCGCCAGGGGGTGGGTCTTCCCAGAGGAGCCCGTGGGCAGAAAAGAGCTCGGAAAGAGAGGCGTCCGGTATGGTGGCTGTTAATTAATTATTACCTATTTAGTCATAGTTCTTTGGGTGAGCAGGATTGGCTGGTTCCAATTCCTGCTCGTTGGATCTTGTGAAAGCAGTGTTTTAAGCGGATGAGAAATGAGGCATGATTGACGAACACTGGCTTTATGGGGGGGGGGGGGTCACTTGGTTGATTGGTTGGATTACCAGTCCCGGATATCCAAGGGATAAAGCATTAGTTACTTCTAATACTGAAGCAAATCTGTTAAACTATCTGTCAAAGATCCAAAGTATAATGACTGGTTGATGGGTTAGACAATAAGTTGATAGCATACTGACTAGTAAGTGTAAGGAATCGGCCGCAATGTAGAGGCAAAGCATTTCCATACCCTTCTGTCTAGTTCAAGTCCCCTACCCTAGCCGTCCCCAATTCAAGTTCAAGTTATTACCATTGACATCGAAAACCTTACTATTATTGAGGCTATCGTGACTAGTAATAGAGGCATGGGACGAGATTAGGAACGAAACATAACGCGTAGGGTCTTTAAACAAATTTATATAGTAAGTGATGTATGTACTATTAGACATTAATAATTCGAGAAAGATATTTTCGGTTGGTGATTCTCTAATGAAAAGTAATTATCGATTCTGGTAAGTCGGCCCCAGTGTGATAGAACATACACTTCGGTATAGTAAGCGTAAATATTACAATATCTTGCACACAGCACCTTTTAAGAATATATGCTAAAATACCCATACTCTAAATAAAGAAGGTAAATAAAAAGAGGTATCTATTGCCGGTATACGCATGTATTACTTTATATTACCCGGCATGTACACGTCTTGCGCATACCTACCTACCTCTCACCTCACCTCGCGCGTTCGGGGCTATTCTCTCGGCACCATCTATCCGAGTTTACAGCCTTTCACTTAGAAGTTGGGGTAAGATGACGTCTGTCTGTTGTGTGTTTTTATTCTTTTATCTTCTCCTCACCCCCTTTTATCCTCTGGAGCGGCTTGGCATTTCTTAACCCGGTTGTCGTGGGAGGCTGGATATACCCATGTCAAGGTGTAATACTGGGCGCGTGGTTTTTTAAATAGCCGTTGGTCTATGCTAGATCTAGATTGTAATGGTTAATATATTGCTGCCGCATGAGGCACATGTCAGGAGATATGGGTTTGACCTCATCATTACGGTACGCACTGGGTAGTGGTTTATACAGCTTCAACGCAGGTTTAGTCTTCTTGTTTAAAATTTATTTAGACGAATTTTAAGTTGGAGAGTGTATTTAGGTAGCTTTAGTTGAATTCATTCTAGAGTATATACATTATATCCCTCTCCAAGCTGTTCTACCTAAACATGTCGTATTTTTGGTGTCCCCAAGAATAAGCAAGTATAAACAGTCCGCTCACTGCTTTTGTTGGCGAATCGTGATTCCATCAGCGGAAACCGTCATTTTGGAGTAGATTTGCCCGCTGGTACCCTGGATTTCAAAGATTCCAGCTCCCGTAGGTCCGACCGTGGTTCCGTTCGCGAGGGTCGCGCTGCTCTTGGTGAAAGTGATTGCATCGAAACGTGGCACGCGGACCAGCTCTCCAGCCTCTTGGTAGGCTTGGACGAACCAGTCGGCGGCGAGTGATGTCAGCGTGCTTGGGTCTTCCACCTTGGCGGGGATAGGCAATGTCTGAGTCGACTTCTTGTTTTGAGTCGTGTTCTCGACGGCGACGGTACCCGTAGACTTATCCGAGTCCGAAACAGACACCGTAACAGTGATCGAATCACCAGCACTGACAGGTACCGCACTTGTGATGTCAGTTTCGTTGTCTGGGTACCAGGCGGCGAAGGATGTTAGGCCGTTAGAATAAGTAATACCACCCTTGAGTACAACGTCTTGCTCAAGAGTGTCTCCGATAGCAACCCATATCGAAAATTTGTTGGTCCCGCTTAGGTTGGGGACGGCGAAGGTTCCAGTGACAGAGGTAAAGGACTGGCCCTCAGGAGCTTTGAGAACAGCACCTCCGCGGTTCTGGTCGAATGCTGCAAAGGCAGCAGAGGTGAATAGGCCTGCGACGAAGGCACTGTAAGTAGAGAACCTCATTGCTGACAGAGTAACGTGTATATGATAGAGTATGTCTCGTGCGTATGTATGTGTCTAACGAGTCTCTAAAGAAATATATTACTGCGCGGTCCAACGGAGGGATTACAACCCGCGACAGAGTTGGCCTTGCCCCTTTATTATGTGATCGACATGCTCAAGACAAGGCGCCTACGAACTAGCCACGTTCAACGGATGGTTCTACAAGATACTATGGGGGTCATCTTGCATCCATTACTACGTTCACCGTGACAAGATAATATTTAAAGACTGGTTATAATATCTCGTAGGTACAGTCAGACTCGATTCAGACGTTGGGACCGGATATCCCTTTTGGGGAACTAGAGACCCAAAGGAGCCAGTCAGAATACAGTACCTGTCATGAATGAGGACTTTCATTGGCTGGGTATATTGTCGACTTTTGCCGTAAGAAAGGTTGTCATATATCCGGTGCATATAGAGCCAAGATCTATGCCAATGTTATTAATAGATTACCTCCCTGTGTAATTACGGGTGTATTAGAGTTACACGGGGTCGAAAGACTCTATGCAAGGTGAGTAAAATTCTTTCAACCTCTAAGGAGAGGATTTGCTATCATTTTCACATAGCTCAGAAGTTAGGAGAATCTTCGATGTTCGTAGACTAATAGATCGATCATCGTTGCATATTATACCGGAAATCTGGTAGGGCAATGTATGCGGCTGAGGTAGTGTATTATTTCGGATTTCCGAACATCGTATAATTCGGCGTCAATCGTAGGAGCCAAGGAGTCGGGCCGCCAATGACAAATTTCATGGTCTTTCATGTTAACAGTCTTGGATATTTCCCCGAAGGGGACACCTACAATCGCCACGCATTCATGACCCAATCGTTGGAAGCCCAACTTAGAGAAATGGGCCTCGGCACTTGTACATCCTTGCCATCAGGCCTTCTCTGGCCCCTATAAAAGATGCTATATCAACGCCTGCCCTCTTGTTAAACTGACCGCCTCGCTATAATCAATAGAAACATCATCTTAGTTTCTTATAACTGAAGCGTCAAGATGAAGTGGCTCTCTCTTACCACGCTGGCGCTCTTCGCGCCCAGCCATGCTCTCATCCGTTTCCCTTGCGCCCAGTTGGTTGTTGACCGTCTCGATCCATTAGTTAATCCCGGCTTGATTCCTTCGCCGCATCTTCACCAGATTGTAGGAGGCGTAAGTACTCATAATTCCTAATATTGGCTCTGGTCCGTTAATCGGTGCTGTTGGGTAACTAACACCCCCGTTAGAACTCCTTCAACGCAAGTATGGACCCGGCTAAGGATATGCCAGGCGAGTCTACCTGCACTACGTGCCAGTTCAGCGAAGACTTTTCAAACTACTGGACTGCCGTATTATACTTCAAGGCCCGAAATGGAACTTACAAGCGAGTTCCTCAAATGGCCAACTCTGGCTTTGACGGTGTCAACGCCGGCATGACTGTTTATTACATGCAAGACGGTCTTTACAACTTCCAGCAGACCTCTAAAGTCACAGCTTTCCAACCCGTTAGTATCTTCACATATCTCCAAGTGAGAGATATTTCATTTGCTGACTCTCGCCATCCAGGGTTTCCGCATGTACATCGGCAACGTCAACGCTCGTTCCCGCGAAGAGATGGAGCGTTTCCGTCAGCTTACCTACACTTGTCTGCAGGACATCAACACCCGTGATCCTCAGATCCTTGACTTCCCTAAGGAACCCTGCCCATACGGCATAATGACGGCTCTAAGGTTCCCCACATGTTGGGACGGAAAGAATCTTGACTCTGCCGATCACATGGCGCACATGGCCTATCCCGAGAGCGGTACCTTCGAGACAGGCGGTCCTTGCCCGGCCTCGCACCCCGTTCGGATGAGCCAGCTTTTCTACGAGGTCAACTGGGACACTCGGCAGTTCAACAACAAGGAAGACTGGCCTGAGGACGGATCTCAGCCTTTTGTCTGGTCCTTTGGTGATTCGTAAGTCGCCAACCCCCTTAGGAGTTAGATCTAGTCTAACATTATACTTCTTAAACAGGACCGGTTATGGCAACCACGGTGACTACGTCTTCGGATGGCAGGGTGATGCGCTCCAGCGCGCTCTGGACCAGCCTTGTTATATCAACTGCCCTACGCTTAAGACCCAAAATACTCAGGCGATGAATGCATGCAGCAAGGAAAGAGTTGTTACCGAAGACAACATTGACGATTGTAAGTACTCCAAGTTCAAGTCTTTTATTACTAAACTAACAATATCCTAGGGGTTGAGACTCTACCTGGTGGAATGGTTGCTGGCATGTAATCGAACTAATCATGTCTGTTCCTGGAAGCTTCTTCTAAGAGACACTGGTATTTTACTCTATTTAATAGAAGTTAATGATGATAAGGATGAGTCGACTTAGAATTGTGTCATGAGTCTCTGTTTTTGCATTTCCCTCGATATCCCCCCTAATGAATAGATTGCTAGATTCGCACACCTTATAGTGTTTTGTGACAGAGTAACGCTTTGTCGCAAATTGGAGAAACTTGGCTGTGAATGCTAATATATGGCGTATATAGAATAGTATATAATATAGCCCCTATTAACTATCAATCATTTATGCGGATGTATAGTTGTTAATTATGATGTCAATTTAAGGGATAGGAAACGAATAGCTGGGTTGTTAAACACAGAACTTTTTCTTTACCACGCGATGTTTAACATTACTTAGAATAACTATAAAAATAGATTTTTTACGTAACATGAAGGGTGCACGATTGTATTGTGTGATCCGATGGTACGAAGTAGATGGTGAAGTAAGGGGGTAACGAATGCATTTTCTAAACCGAGACATTCCAAATTTAATTGCAGAGGCACGCGTAGGACACTGCATTCCTATAAAAGAATGGCCTGTGATCTTTCGAATGCGTCACCCGCCACATACTAGCGGGGGTCTAGTTGAAGAGGGAAACGGTTAGATTGCTTGCCTATGCACTGGGAATATTGTGACACCCGTGGAGGCAATCGTATATTCTAACTCCACGTAAGGATTGCAGTGGAAGTCAAAGAATCCTACCGTTTTCAGACAAAGAACAGTAGGTAGGTAGTTACTCATGTATATATGAGTATCACGCCCAATCTCTCAATCGAGAAGCATACTCTTTCAAAAAGTCAAGACAAAGAGTTTCTCTACACCTCAAGCTCACACTCACCTCCCACTTCACACCTGCGAAGAGAACACACAATAATTACCCTAATATAATCATAATCACCATGTCGCTAGCACGTAAATTCCACAAGCGCCCTCGCGTTGTTACCGGTACAAGCAGCAGAGCCGTTGGCGGATGGGGATCCGTCGCGGACAGTCCCGTGCCCTCTGTCGAGAAAGATAAGGGATATCCCAAATTCAACTACACGGCACCAGACTCCAGGGACTACAGCGATAACGAATCTTATTATGAAAACCCATCCTCGCAAACACCGCCCCTGAAAGTCCCATCCTACGTCCCTGACCAACCCGTCAACCGCATCCCGGACTTCTCCGACTCCGACGAGGAGGCCGAGTTCACCGCCAAAGTTGAGGCGTACTATCGGAGGACGGATGCGGACAAGAGGAACAAAGCGCCGGTGCGGCTGACTGCGCCCAAGCGGAAAATCACCGAACTTCTCTCTGACGACGAGATCACCGATGACGACAACGTAGACGTTAAGGAGGAGGAAGAAGAAGACGAAGAAGCAGTGCCGACAGCGCGGTCCATAATGATAAACAACTTGGTAGACCTCCTGGAGATGACTGGGATCACGTTAAACTTCGTCATCAAGTTGCGAGGAGTCGATGTCGATCCAACGGACCTAGAACAGGTTAGGGAGGCGCTTAATGACTACCTTAAGGACGAAAACAAGCCGTTGGAAACGCCTGCTGAGGACGCAGCCGAGCACGCCGAGGCTATGATCGAGCGTCTGTTCGATATGCCGCTCCGCGAATTCCTGCCCCTGGCATACGATATTGCCAACTTCAGAGATGAGTTGGAAGAGCAGGGAATTTCTCTGAATCAAGAGTAGTTTGTATTTTCACGTTTGAATTTAGTTGCATTTGGCGCGAGGAATTCTATTAGCTCGGGTAGAAGATTATTCTATTAGGTTCGTAGGTTAGAGGAAATGGCAAACAGAGGCGTTCATCTCAGATGTGGTATCGTTTATTTTTTGCCACATTGCTCGATAGCAATAGACTTTATACTCATTGGATATATCTATATTCGCTCTCTAGCCTTTGGCAGCGCCGGCCTTGATCAATAAAATATCGCCGTCTTCTACTACGTAGTCTTTGCCCTTGGTCATGACCTTACCCTTGGCCTTGACTTCGGCCTCGTCACCCAATTCCTTGAGTGTATTGAAATTATATACTACAGCCTGAATAAAGGTCTTTTCGAAATCTGTGTGGATAACACCGGCAGCCTGTGGTGCCTTGGTACCAAGCCGGATGGTCCATTGCCTTACCTCGTCGGTACCGGTCGTGAAGAAGCTACCAAGATTCATTGCCTTTCGCATTGTTGTGATGATTTTGGGCAATGCTGACTCAATACCGAGCTTCTTGCATTCTTCAGCAGCTTCTTCATCAGAGCCGAAGTGCGTGAGACGCTCTTCGAATGATACGGAGATGGGTAGGATAGGATCGCCTGCGGCATTCTCCTTCATCCACTCAGCAATCTTGGCGAGATGCTTGTTCTTCTTGCGAGTATAGTCCTTCTCTGACAAGTTGACTAGGTATACTACTGGTTTTGCGGAAAGGAGAAAGAGGGTGTTGATGACCTCGACCTATTGACATATGTCAGCTATGTTTTCCTGCAGGTATAATCATAATATTTGGAGAGATTCAGGTTATCAGAGTATTCTTTTATCACAGTATGCGCTCTGCGTTGTATTATTGAGGCATTCGAAGAGCTGGGATTAGATCAGGCGCTATGGCCCTTGTTCATCATGGTAAATGCGAGAAAAATGGGGAATGAAAATTTGTCTTACCTCCTTCGGAGTCCAGGTGCCTTTCCGAACATCTTTCCCATCCTTCAGCCATGCGTGGACTTTTTCTATAGTGGCCTCCTCCTCTTTAGCCTTCTTCAATTCTAAGCTTTGACCACCTACGCGGGTCTTCTTCTTAGAGTTCTCTATAGCTTTCTCGACGAACTCGATATCCTTCAGTCGCAGCTCCTCTGCGATGATATCTAAATCTCTGACGGGGTTAACGTCACCCTCGACGTGAATGATCTCGGCATCATCGAAGCATCGGACGACTTGGAAAATAGCGTCGACGGCTCGAATATGTGACAGAAAAGCGTTACCGAGACCTGCACCGGTTGACGCGCCTCTCGTCAGACCAGCAATGTCGTAGATGGTCAAATGAGCGGGTACTCGCGACTTAGGATTGTACTTCTTGCACAACCAGTCGTACCGCTCATCTGGGACCAAGACACGGGATTCTTCCGGGTCAATGGTGGCATAAGGGAAGTTCTACTCGTACCCGGTTAGCTGGATTGTGAGATGTACGAGAGCCCAAACTTACGGCAGGGTTACCAAGACTACACTTGGTGATAGCTTGAAACAGGGTCGACTTGCCAACGTTGGCAAGACCGACGATACCACTCTTCAAGTTATTTCCCGGACGACCGAGGAGGATCTTCTCCTCTACAACTTGCTTCTTGGGAGGCATTTTTCGTCGCTTGGCGTAGGTACGAGTGGAGATATAGACTGTAGTGCAACTAGGCACGTAGTATGGGAAAAACGCAGAGCTAGCTGCGACAGGTCGAAAGGTGCGGAGTAGAGAAGTGAAGGGAAGGGTAAAGGAAATGGAGGAAGACACGGCGATGGATATGGGCTGAGGATCAGCCTCGATATCAGGTCAAACAAATATTAGATATCTGTCTAATTCCTGATGACCATCGATTTAAGATATTGTTGGCACTGGACGGCTGACCTCGTCAGGTTTTTTCTTTCGTCGCGCGGTTTGGCACAGCTGTCCTGTCCTTTTCCTGTCCTCTTGGAGGGGCAGTTGGGAGAGAAAAGGAAAAATAAAAAGCTTTGCGCTTATGGATTCCCAATCAAAATTAAATTTGGGAAATTGATTCGGAACCCGGAAGTCCTGTTACGCCGAGACTTAGGTTAACCCCACCTTCCATTTAGGTGGTAGCAACCTGACAGCTGTGAACAGTAGATTGCCACTTGTACTACTTGTACTACTTGTACTACACTAGTGTATCAGCTCGCCTCAGATCTTTGCTTGTCAGTGCTCTTCGTAAGCGAGAATCGGACAGTTGGGACTGCGGGGAGGCAATGATTTCCAGCAGACCCCGACCGGATTCGTCATATGATTGGTCTACGTATCAGCTGGATAGCTGGATGTGGCTAACGCTCTCAGCCCGTTCGCTCAATCCATGTCCTTACCTATGAAGTATGAAACTGTATTGTCTTTCGTAGTTGCCTCAAGGTAACGTAATCTGCCTTGCGTCGACTCTTCCGACTTTACCTATTCATGGCCTTTTCTCTTATGATTCACGATGATTCTCCGAACCTCCGTCATAGAGTAACACAATCAACAACATAGCGATATTCTCGTCTCGTCTAGTATTTTTCCGTAATTACAGCATACATCAAATCGTCTTGGATGTAAATGATCCTCCCCCGCCGCATTGGGAATACCTCCTCTCCATACTAGGCGTAGCCGTACTTCCGCTTATCCTCTCACATCGTAACTCGAACTAAACGCAAAGATGTCCTCCAAAAAGTCAACCTCCAGCAGGACATCAAGACAATCCCATCGATCAACACTGTCGCTATCAAGAACCGAAATTGTGATCAATGTCTATGATCTGTTACCTGTAAGTAAATAGACTGTACGGTGTCGTCCCGTAGTGGCTACTGACAAAATACCCACCATTTATAGCCTAGCCGTCTCTCTTCCGTCCTTTGGACAGTTGGTGCCTCGTTACTACATTCAGGCGTCGTGATAAACGGGAAAGAGTATGCTTACGGTGGTCATGATCGACCTGGGTTGACGGGTGTGTATTGGACACCACCCAAGACAGAACCACCTGGAGGTACTTTTAAGACCGAAATTCTACACGGTTTCTCGTTTGCGACTCAGGCCGAAATTGACACCATTATTCGCCATGTCTCCGACGAATTTCAAGGTGCATCCTATAATCTACTCACCCGAAACTGCAATCACTTTACCAGCTACCTCTGCAAGAAGCTTACTGGTAGGCCTGGCCCCGGATGGCTTAATCGCGCTGCAACCATTGGCGTTGCTTTTCCGTGTATCGTCCCTCGAGACTGGATCGAACCGCCTGATTTCGAGACGGCAGATGGTGCGCTGCTAGACGAAGAGGGTCTCAACGACCATGAGAGAACCAGGATGCTTAGGGACGATAGTTCTAGGATACTAGCAATACAAGAGAGCGATGACGACGAAGAGCTCTCGAGCCGGGCCAGCGAGGAAGCACGCCATTATGATAGGAGTGGTAAAGGAAAAAGTCGAGCTAAGGACACAAGCGGACGAACATTACCACCTGCTGAGAGAGCACCTTCGTCTGGTAGACCAAGTATGTCTTAGGTGGAGAGACGATTTGATAACACTGGATTACACTGTCTGCATTAAGAGGCGTTGGCAACGAGTATGATAGCAATTTGGCTGGGTGGCGTTACATGAGGTTTGATTGATACCAAAGGCATGCTCCGTCGTTATGTAAAGCGCATTTGGCGCTCTTTTGACTATTTATACGCACAATGAACTTGCTGGATGATATTGTCCACCAATGCACATAGCAATAATGTGATATACACTGGTCGTATATATAATGTTCCACTCTTACTCTCTTGATTATTTAGCCTAATCTCCTTGGCTTAGGGCTCCTCGTGCCACCAAACTTGAGCCTTGTAGAATCTGAAACCTTCACGATTTTATCTCTTAGCATACGACCTTCGGTACCCAGAAGAACCTTAGTAGCGGCCTCCCGTCCAGCACCGAAGCCTCGTAGAACAACCTCCAAAGCCGTGATATTCTTGTGCCAATTTCCCTGGTGGAGCTTATCTATAATGTACGCCGTAAGCTGGTAGGCAGCGTCGTAGGTGCTACGTTTAGCCTTCTTGAAGCCAATATCGCCGGCCGACTTGCTGATAATGGCGTTGCGGTTCGGCTTCGTTACGGTGATGTGGCAGTTATGCTTGTGTGCGTATATGTGGAAGTGAAAGGGCTCGTTCGCGGGTCCCCAATCCTCTTTTGCCTCATTCTGATTTTCTCCTAGAATCTGTTCGGTCATCGTAGGCAGGTTTCGCGCTCCCAACACGGCGTCTTGCGCCAATATTCTTTGTAGAGCGGACATATCGCCTCCAGGTCCTGGACGCGGAGGTCCTCTCGATTGTGATGATTGCGCACTTCGTGACAGCATGCTAAGGAGCGAAGGTGGGCGTTTGGGTTCATCATGCCGCGAGCACGTTTGGGAGAAAGGGCGGATACATTGGAGGGTAGTTTGGGAGTAGGATATGGGAGTGCGGGCGGCCGCCAATAGGCGATTTTGTATTCGGCTCATGGTAGAAGCATTAGGTTGAATGGTTCGCCGGTGCTATATCGGGAAGCCCTGAGATATTGCTTAGGAAGTAAGGCCGACGTCAATTGACCAATGTTAAGATGCCACCGTGTGCCGTGACTTCGCGACTGATAAAATCTAGAAATTTTGACGGCACGGGATAAGAGAATTGCATCTCGGACCGGGCGAATTGTAGAATAGAATTTTGGGACTAGTCTAGGTTAGTTGGGTCGAAATATGATTGGTCATTTTAGTAAAGTGCTACTTCTTCGGGTCAAGCTGTAGGTACCTACCTTATAGCAGTCTAGGTACAATACGGAAGTACCTTTCTATTTTCTATTTTTCAAATTATTTGCCGGCTTCGCCCGCTTTCATACATCAGTTGCGAAGAATTTCCTTGCCGGTTTTAATATTTTCCCACTTCCCCCCAGACCGGAGGTCTTTTTTGCGACGCTTTCCCACAGCGCGAAATGACTTCACTAAGACAAGTTACCAGGAGCGCACCCCCGCCGGCGTTCCTGCGGGCGCCTTCGTTCGCAGCTCACTCTTATGGCAGAGCTCCAGCATATAGACGGTTATTGTCGAGCGCCGAGAGCTCTAAATTCGCAAGCAATAATATAGCACCACTCACCTCTTCTCGACTACTTTTTTCGCCACTTTCTCAACTACAGTCGCCCTTCATCCCCGAAACCATAGCTACCTTGCAGTCCCGTACTTTTCACCAGACGTCGAGATGGTACCAGGAACAACCCCAGCAAGCCCCGCAATCCGCTAAGCCAAACCCCAAGTCTGCGGAACCAAAAGAAAAAGCCGAGCAGAAAACTTCGGATACCGAATCCGAAGCCAAATCCAGTTCGGAAGAGAAGGCTGATCAACAAGAGGAGCAGGAGAAAAGGGAGGAGAAAAAGGAAGATCTGCCACCGCCACCTCCCCACGGTGACAAGACGCCATGGCAAGTCTTCATGGAAACAATGCAGACCGAGTTTAAGGCTTCGAAGGAATGGAACGAGTCGACCAAGCAATTAGCTGACTCGGCTCATTCGTTTACCGAGAGCGAATCTGTCCGCCGTGCGAGACAGGCTTACGAAAACACCACGGGTGCTGTTTCGTCAACGGCAGGAAAAGTACTGAAGACTTCGGCTACTGCGGTTGGAAAGGGTGCGGCATGGACGTGGGAGACGCCGGTAATGAAAGGCGTTCGAAAAGGAGCGAATATAACCGGGGATATATTGGACAAAGCTACTAAGCCAATAAGAGAAACCGAGGCATACAAAAATGTCAAGGACGTAATTGACGACGGAAGTAGTTCAAGATACGGCGGTTGGGTTGAAAAGGAAGAGCGGAGGAAAGCTAGGGAACTTCGGGAGAAGCAAGCTCGCTCTATCCACGGCAAGGCAGAAGATGCAGTCGAAGATCCAAAGTAAGTTTAACATGGGGGTATTGGTCGATCACGATTGACGCTAACGATCTTCAGCGCCGGTACAAATATCACATTGCATAAAGATGCAGCTTGGAAGGAGGCGTGGCGAGATTTCCGAGATCAAAACAAGTTTGTCCAAGGGATATTCAATATGAAGAGTGTCTACAACGAATCTGAGAACCCTTTAATAACGACGGCGCGGAGCATTACCGACCGCGTGGCTGGATTCTTCGCGGAAAACGAAACGGCTATGGTTATTCGAAAGTTTCGCTCTATGGACCCTAATTTTCAGATTGAGCCATTCCTCCAGGAGCTGAGAGAGTACATATTACCCGAAGTACTTGACGCTTATGTCAAGGGCGATACTGAGACACTGAAGCTTTGGCTTTCGGCTGCTCAGTATTCAGTGTATGAAGCTTTAACCAAGCAGTACCTTCAAGCTGGCTTGAAGTCAGATGGTCGAATTCTTGATATAAGGCATGTAGACATCCTAAAGGCACGCATGCTCGATCCTGGTGAGATTCCCGTCTTCATCATTACCTGCCGGACGCAGGAGGTCCACGTCTACCGAAACGCCAAGACGAATGAGCTTGCCGCGGGAATGGAAGACAAAGTTCAACTTGTCACTTATGCGATTGGCATTACACGAACACCCGAGGATGTCAACAACCCGGAAACAAGGGGATGGAGATTGATCGAAATGCAAAAGAGCGGAAGGGACTATATATAAAACAGATACTCCGTCCTATCTACACGCAGATACCCGAACTCTGTGATATAATACTGTACACTATCGAATAGAGACGACAAAATAAAGGCCGCAGAAGGCGGTCTCACCACACCACTCCAAGTTGGCGGCCTTGGATGAAAGGCAGGCAAGGCGTTTGGGTTCAGCATGATCAAATGTATGATAGACAAAAAGGTGCATATATGGACACGCATGGAAAACCGCAATTTACTAACTCTAAGCAGTAGCTATGCCTCAATACATTAAACAAGCCAAGCTTAACCTGAGTATTTCGGCCTTATTTCGTTCTGTTTGCCCGGCAACCCCCATCAAGTCATAATCTAGTAAACCGCATTTCAGTCAAGCTGTCGAAATCGAAGACAGTATTTCTGAGGAGCCTTAGGGGATTCCCAGTTTTCTAGGCTCTCCATCATTTCTTCATCGCGTCGGATACGGTCTCGTATCTGCATGAGGATTATTCCTTGAAGATTGAGACCCCATCTCAGGCGTCGTTGCCACGATACCATCCAACAAATTCCGTTGCCCCAAAGGTAGTCAAACACTGATGTCTGAACAATATGTCGGTCGCCTGTCTCTAGTAGAGCTGCCTTCAACCGTTTTGAATGTTTGAACGCCTCATCGGACATATCAAACCATGGCTCACAGGCAGCGGGGAGGGTGTTACGAGGGATATATGGTGCCGTGAACTTGTGCCAGTTTGCCTCGTAAAGGATGCGCTCACGATTATTTTCCCAGATGGTCTGGTCAAAGTTCTTAAGCTTCTTCATTAAGTCTTTAGCGTCGTGGGGATATTTACACCTGAGCACCTCGGCGGCAATTTCGGGGTCGTCGAATAAGAGTGCTCTGTGGTGTAAGTAGTAGTGCTCAGCCGTTGGGTAAATTTTGGACGGGTCGTAGCTGTCACGGAACGGTGATGGGTACCACATCGACAGAAAACCATGCTTCTGGTTGGGTCTCCAGTAGTAGATGATGTCTGGCTTTGGTTCTGGATCGGGCGGATATGAATCCGATCCTATTCGGCCGATTCGACCGAGTCTAGGCATTGGAATATAGTCAAGGTAGGAAGGCATTGCTAAGGTGTATTGTAGATATGATAGTATGACAGTATAACAGTATAACAGTATGTCGGTACTGGTATACTGGCTGACAAACTGTTAAAGGGGTAGATGATAGTAGTAAGAGATTTGAAATGTCATGTTTTGGATACAATATTTCAAAAACTTGGTTACTTGGAATATTTTCCCGAGCGAATGCGACTGGCGTATGTATACCCGATCCTTCCTGTTGAACTAATTTGCTTTGATAACAGCGAGAACTATAAACTTCATGCCAACGACGACCAACTATCTTGTGGTGTTAGAGTTTCCTCCAGATGTTCATAGTGCGGCTTAGACTCGATGACTTGACGAGAATGACGAATACGCCCCTTCTAGAGTAAGAAATCTTTACGAAGACGGCAAGACCATCTGTTCGCCACTTGAACCACCCACAGGAAACCTCAGATGACGAAGGAGAAGGCATTTTAGTTGAGTATATGAACCTATGAATGATATCTTAGTTGGTATTATAGGAGGCCCGTTCGGACCCATCCTTCGGTCTATACTTAGAATAGGTAACCTCCTGAGTAATCAGCCATCACTACTATTACTACCTATCAAGCACCGTGAATATGTAGAATGGACTATATAATTCGCGTTAGTGATCGTTCAGTGCACGTTTATCTATCCCTACGTCCTGGCGGAAGGCTGGCAGGATTAATACCTGGGTAGCTAACTAAGACGTATGAATCCTAACAATTGGAATATGAATATTACGACATGATGAAAAATGAAGTACATATCGAAGTATGGGTATACGAATTAAGATAGGTTGTTTGAGTTCACGAAAACTCGGATGGTTATGTAAGGTTGTTTTAGCCATTAGAGCTTCAGGGGCATTTACATAGAGGTACTTCGTACAATAGGTACCTACCTAGATACTCGTTCGTAGCGCGAGTCAAAGCTAAAGGAACTTATCCCCTTGACTGGCATAAAACAGCAAACCCACTATTTTCAGTATCGATAAATCAAGATTGGCTAAAGGATATAGACTGGTTGCGTTGAACTTTACGTACTTTACCGAATATAAGGTTTTTGCCGTTTTATGCCAGTCAAGGGGATATTTCGTGGTCCGTGCGCTATACCTCTTCCAGGTCTAGGTAGTATTTTAACATTTTAGCGTTCCTAGAATAGAACATAGCAGCAATCATCTCGTATGTATCGTCAACAATGTTTTTACAAACTCTAGCTACTATCATCATCAAGTCAATTGATTCAATAATAAAATTGAATTTTGGATGAGAGCATGACGACTGAAACAGCAAGGCGTCTTGCTCGATGATCTGCCGACCGCGCATTACGAGAGATGCTCTCAGCCAGCCTGGCATTCGCGCCTTGCTTTTTCTCGTAACCCTCGTTTCGCTATACTCGATATACGGCTCACTCTACTTTTACCGCGACCCTCTCTCCATCTTTTTCTCCGAAGAACATGGGTTCGATCGTTTCTACTCGGCCACGCGCCAGGCCGAAGCCGACGAGTTTCTAGACGCCGTTATGGCGGACCCCGACTTGGCGCAATCCGAACTAGGCAATTCTGGTCCCACACCCCAGATTTGCGCCGTCTTCATAACAGTGGGAAGGAATGTGGATGGTCGGCAGTACATCGACAGTGCCGTAGGCTCGTTCTTGGCTAACATGTCCCGTGCCGAGAGGCAGACCGTGCACTTAAAACTATTCTTTGCCGACGTACCGGACCCTACTACCCAGCATAAGAGTTATGCTCATCTAACGGCTGCTGGTATTGCCGACGAAGTATTCACTTACAACTCCACCTTACCACCGGACCGAAAGGATGACAAGATTCGCGAGTTTATGGAGTATATCAAGGATCGTCAAGATAAACATGCGCTAGAGAAGAAAACAGTATATGATTACGCATACGCTTTAGATCATTGTGTTCTAACTACCGAGGCTCCTTACATTGCAATTTTTGAGGAGGACATCCTTCTTGCCGATGGATGGGCAGCGAGGACTCTAAGGAACCTACGGATTATCGAGGAGATGATGAAGGACCCTAGGCGGCGCGACCCTAAGAAGGGCAAAATTGATCCAGGCGTACCAAACACATGGTTATACTTGCGTCTATTTAACCAAGAACGGAGCTTTGGATGGTCAGGCGGGCCCGGATTTAGAAGCAATAATCTTCACGTCATATCAGTTGCGGTGGCCATTCCGCTCCTCTTAGTTCTCCTTCTGACACGGAGAAGGCTACCACGTCACCTGGCTCGACATCTGGACGGGTGGACGTTATTAGTGATTTGCGGCCTTGCAGTACCGCTCATATTATGGCTATTTTACGCCTCCGGTAAAGCCGCCCTCATTGGTTCACCACCAGGGGTTCGCGAGGAATTCTTTGGATGTTGCAATCAGGCATTGGTTTACAACCGCGAACACGCGGGAGAGTTATCAGAATTCTTGGTGGCTGCTTCCAAGCGAGCCGTCCCTGGTAGGAGCGATATGCTTCCAAAGAAATTCGCTTATGACCACGGCTTTGCGAGAGTTAGTGCATATCCGATGTTAGCACAGCATGCAGGTAGAGTGAGCGCGATCGACACGAGTAATGACGAGGCGAAGCGCGTATGGAGTATGGCTTTTGAGGACTTGAAGCCGTCTGAGTTGGCGAAGCAGCACGTTAAAGATGTGCAGGCGCTGTTTGGAGACGAAGCAGCCGAGCAGATGAGGAGACAGTGGGTTCAAGCGCCAAGCGTAATGTGAACAGTCGCTAGTACGATTTATGAAATGAAGTTACCTCAACCGTTGTCTTTACTCAAAGCCTCAGTCGATTATTCTACACATGATAGACAAATGTCAAAGATTCAGATCGCTAGTTAGTTCGACATGGGTACCTTGTTGAATTCTTATAGTCGAGACGGAACGCTAACTTTCAAGAAGCTTGGCCTAGAGACTGCGCCGCTTCAATAGACCCCAAGAAGTGAGTCAGAAATACAGTTGAAAGTCAAACAAGTCTACGGTTCTTCACCATCGGCGAGGCGAATCTACGCCGCGTGCGCCATCTGCGCCTTAGTGCCTTTACCGCGTACTATTCGTATTGTATAGCTGGGCCCGGCGAGAAGCAGTGGCAGTTCTTCCGCCCTGCAGCACTCGACGCGGCGTGCTAGACAGCATTGCTTGAGGGCTTGCTTACGCTTGAGTTCATCATGAAAGTACCTACCTGGGGCCATCATAGTGGATGGCCGGTGTGGGTTGCGCAGCTTGAAACCGTGCTAAGTTTTGTGGGCGAACACATCGACGAGGGCACGGATGTTATTGTCGACGATAATTACTCGATGTTACTGTGCGAGGCTGTTGATCGGTGTTTCCGAAAGCCTTTCCGCAGACTGAGGACTAAGGAGGGCGACGTTTATTATTATAAGACCCGGTTTGATCCGGATAATATTACTAATTCTTCGTCTTTCTGGTTTATATTCTCCGACATCTATAAAGCTACTGAGTTTGGCTGGTTCTTGTCATATACGACAAGGTCAGTTGAGGTTATGGGGGGCTTGCCTAGGGGATATCGATAATTACAATAGTATTTCCGATATCTAGGCCCATGGTGCGATACACTCATCAAACAATTGGTTATACGTCGTGGTTAAGAAGCTCTGAGATAACATGTTTAATCACCTTCTAAAGTTCCGGGACACCAATATATCAATGATTCAATTTGAGCACCTAGAAACACTAGACCAAGACAACTTTCGGCGACTGCGCTTTGATTCTGCCTGAAACTAGTATCATCATACTTCTTCGATGATCATATCACATGATAATGTATTGATTGAGGCGCTGGCCCGGCTGGTTCTCCAATCGTCATCTGTTGTCTCACCAGCGAACCAAAAACTAACGAAAAGGAGCCTACCGATATTCTCGTCTACGAGCACGTGCGGCACGCCGTCGTGACGAATGTCGTATCACGTATTACAACTAGGTTCTTAGAAACTTAATAGGTACAGCGTCGAGACTGTCTCCAGTTAACGTACCTATTAAGTACCTTGATGACTTTACTGCTTACCTCCTAGGAGGTAGGTAGGTAATTCTAACCACGTTAGAAGAAGGGAACACCAATAGTCGCGGTTGATTTAGTGTATTACTGCTCTGCTAGATATTGCATTACTAGGTTCTCGATACTCGAATCGACGATTGATGATCGCCGAGACCTACTGTATTTCTTCAGTTTTGGCGCTTCGCGCAGCACAGCAGATTCGAACAAGGGTTTTTCAGACCGGAGTAGTAAATCTGAAATCCTTCGGCCCTTCCGTGGCACTAAGCATATATTGATTCGGCGTACGGGACTGGGACATTCGAATTATAACGAAAGAGAATAGTTGAAGATGCATTTTAACCATGTTGCTTCTCACCGAGCTTCCTTCTTGAGATGTGCTAACTTGTGACCCCTGAATATGTATTCACATGCTTAGGCCTACCATATTATGGATGAAAATCAATCGCATCAACTCCAGATGCTTCGGCTCACAAGAGCCGATCAATTTTATTCTGGTTCGACTTAAACATATTCTCGTCAGATCTTGTATACAAGAGTTAGATTTACACGTGGGGATATAATTAGATGTGAAGTCGGTATACCTACCTATCCAGCCAATGCACATGAGCCTATCCCGGGTCTCAGCTTTGGATGTGGGGTGGCTGACCGGGGAGAACACGCGGTAATCCCCTTTAAGAAGGTGTTATTTACCAAGGGGTCTCCGAACGGCACACGGGCTGAGAATCCGCCCCTTTATTGGTTCGTACAATGTGGAAGGCTAATTTGTTCACTGCTTCTAGTGTTTTTTGTAGTTATTATAAAAGCCACATCTTGGACTCATAGACTTTAGGAAGATCGTTGCGGATTTCAGATTTTGCCTCCCAAGCACTTTTGACCGCCTCGCTCTCGAAGCTCACTACAAATATGGAGCTCACCCTGCTTGCGATCGCGGTCGCTGGACTATCCGTTAAGTTCCCGATGGCTCCATTCGCAATTATAGCTAATAAAGACTTAGTCTATCCCACTCGCTCAATGCGAGAAGCAGGTCACGGATGGAATATCCAGCTGTGGAGATGCATGGATGCCTAGAGATAATGTCACTATTGCGCAAGGAACAGACACGCGTAGGGGGTACAGTACGGCGGTGCAAACCTTCTGTAGCGCAGCGAATGGGCAGACGGTGAAGCCTAGCGGATATCTATCCCTCGCAACGGAAGTCTTCCTTAATGGCGGGAAGGATCCCGCTACTTACGGTGTTCTAGGATTTGTATACTGTAAGTTTGTTGTATACCAGTCTTCACCGGAGTCTAATATTCATTCGCGTAGTCGAGGTCCACAATAAAGAAGACTCGGATCATACTATTTCAAGTAAGTACTGCAGTCAGGAGGGAGGCGTGAGATGAGCTCGACTACTAACACTAGCTAGTCGAGAATTGTAAGAACTATCTCTTGGCACTTAGTGCCGATGGGGGTCAATGTTCAGGCGAGCAAAACCACGACACGAAGGGTGGCACTTGGCAGGTCGGGAATAATGGCGTTTCGTACCATGCTCTGGGAAATGAGATACCGCCTACACAAGACGCCATTAACAAATTGTTTTCTGGCTCTGCTTTGGGAGCGCAAAGTGTTAATAAGGGATCCGGCCCGCCCTTGAACCCCTGGCCGTTGGACTCTGTGAATAGCGTCAAGCCGACGAACTGCCATAGCCATAACGACTATGACCGAAACATCCCCATATATTCGGCTTTAAGTGCGGGGTGTATTGGGATTGAAGCTGATGTCTGGTATGTTAACGGGGACGTTATTATCGGCCATATCCTCCCAACCCCTGGAAGGACTTTAACGGCGCAGTATACCCAGCCGCTACGAGCAATATTAGACCACAACAATGGTGGCTCGCCCGGAGATGTTGGCCTATACAAGGCCAATCCTGGACAGAGCGTTACGCTGCTTGTAGATTTCAAGACCTCTGATACCCAGACTCTGGATGCTGTCGTCAAAGCACTCCAACCCCTCCGTGATGGCGGGTACCTCAGTCACCTCGATGGTGATAAGTTCGTCGAGAGACAGATCACGGTTGTCGCGAGCGGGAGTGCCCCATTTGACCGCATCAACTCAGGCGACGGTGTCCCCGACCGAGACGTATTTTACGATGCCCATGTGGACCAATGGGACAGCGAATTCACCAGCCAGAATTCCTACTACGCCTCGGCCGATTTCGAAGACGCCGTTGGAAGCCCAGGCAGCGTAGAAGACTTCAGTCAGGACCAGAAGAGTACGGTCCAATCGCAAGTTGAGACAGCTCATTCGGCGGGCCTTAAAGTACGATACTGTAAGTTTAACTCTGCTATACTTTCGGTTCAGACATAGACTGACATGTCTTTAAAGACAATTTGCCGGGAGATTATCTTTGGGAGCCCCTCGCAGCTCTTGGTGTAGATAGGTTAAACGCCGATGATATGTATGACACAGCCAGGCTTCCGCGGGTATAGTCAGACTGGATATAGTATGATTTAGGATTTATGAATCTCTGTAAATAGGTTAATACATGGGAAGCTCCAGGTTGGTCCCGACGAAATGGAAATCGATTTGAATCCTAGTAACACTAGACTTTTTCCGGTTTATTCAATGCTATTTATCAATTCTATTTACCTCCTTTAGAGGATGGATTTCTGATATGTAACTGCCGATGAATTCCTTATTTGGAAATTTATAAATATTTTATGCTGATGCCAGGATACGAGCGGCCTCAATAAAGGGCCATCAATTGGTTCAATAAGAGACGCTATAGGTCGAGATGCACGCGCCTCATAACAAACACCATTAACCAACCGGATTCGGGGTTCCATCATCCAAGCACCCCACGACACACACAAAGAGGCCTGCAGCCAGCCTATCAAGAAGCGCATCTTCAGAACGAACGAATAGATAGCCGCAAGATCCCTGAATGATGGGTTCTGTCGCCGAGCACTACTTCTATGAGGAGATGGACTGTCCGTAATTCTAGGCTTGTGACCATAATCGGGCTCTTGTGATAGGCAACTCAAGCCTTAGCCTCTCTAACCCCAACGCGAAAGCTCAAAAAGTCACTATCGTGAGCGCACTCAATGTCCATGTCTTCTCATCGGCTCATATCGGTGCCTTCACGGCGTCGCCTACGCCGGCCCGAAACCCCACCACCGGCATATTCAGAATACGACATGCACGAAATGTCCCAGCTAGCTGTTGTCTATGATCAAGATATCCGGGGCACATTAGAGCTGGAGTACCACGCACCGGGTATACCACCGCAATCTACCGCAACTACCGCAACCGGTCCCCGTTGTCAATCCACTTTCTGTTATAGGGCCGTAACGGGGACGAGCCACTACTGCCGAAAGCATACATGTAATGTAGCTGGCTGTGCTGGCCGTAGAGAAAAGGGGCATGGCAAGCGCTATTGTACAGTACACGAGTGTTTCTGGCGAGGATGCCACGGCTCTAAAGCCGGACGTTCGAATTATTGCGACCAGCATACTTGTCAACTAGAAGGTTGCCACGAACCAAGTCCAGAGGAATACTATCGTTACTGCAACGTCCATACTTGTCGCGTCCAGCGCTGTGCCGGCCGGCGCGAATCTCCCTCGAAGTACTGTTCCAAGCACAGATGCCACGCCGACCACTGTTCTCGCGCGTTTTCAAAATCAAGCGAGTTCTGTATGGATCATAGATGCGAAGTAGACCGATGCGGCGCGGCGCGGCGCGACGGTAGCAATCTCTGCGGCCGTCACGAGTGTTCAGTCGAAGATTGCAGCGGGAGGAGGTTTGAGAAGAGCCAATTCTGCGGTGCGCATAAGTGCGTTACTAAGGGATGCGCGGATCTTCAGATTGAAGGGTTTCGCCATTGCGCGCAGCACAAGTGCCGTTCGTGTGAGAGGCCTTGCATCCCCGAGAGTGGCTTCTGTCGTCGACATAAGTGTCGGGAGCCGAGATGTCCACAATCTCGGGCGAGCGGCACGACATGGTGTCTTCGGCACGTCTGTCAATGGGTTGGATGTGCCGAGCCTGCGTTCCAACGCAACGGATACTGTGGTGATCATACCTGCTCTGTAGGTGATTGCACCGAGGGCGTAGTCCAAGGGGAGAACGCCATCGGCTTTTGCTGTCGCAATCATACTTGTGCAGAGCAGGGCTGCCTTCAGGAGATTTCAAGAGTCGCGTACTGTGCCGAACACGAATGCCCACGACGCACATGTCTTAACTCTCGGTTCTGGGGTGATGAACAGGACGAGAAAGAGCACGAATGTTGCAGGAATCATACATGTGCTCAGGAAACCTGCTACTCCCCTACGATGCGTAACAGGGCGTTTTGCGAACAGCATGTATGTTCCTATACCGGGGGTTGCATGTCGCCTAAACTTCCGAACCTCGGATGCTGTGAAGCACATAGATGTAACCAGGGCTCATGTCGAAACCCCTGCGTCCCAGGTAGTTCATTCTGCAACAACCACGTCTGTGCTTGGGAGACGGGGTGTTTGCGCGGTCGTGGTGGTCAAAACCAGATTTACTGCGAATCCCACACATGCACGGAACGAAGTTGCCATGAGAGATGTAAAGGGTCGCATGGCCTTTGCTCTTCGCATGCGTGTCGATGGAACCCGTCGTGTGTGAACGCACCCTTACACTCTGGTGAATATTGTCAGCGTCATTCGTGTACCAAGAACGGATGTACGAGGGCAAGTTTGGTTGAGGAGAGTCTATGCCGCCATCACGCTTGCTCGTGGAATTCGTCCGTCTGCCTCAAGCCTCGTTGGAAGAGAAGTAGCTACTGCGAAGACCATACCTGCGGAGAGATGGGCTGTGGCTTTTCTAGAGTTCCGGGCGGTTCATATTGCTCTGACCATTCCTGCCAGGCATCGAAGTCTTGCACCGGACAGGCGGAAGTGGGAAGCGACTATTGCATCGAGCACAAGTGTGGCAGGCCGAATTGTAGGTTAAAGAGTACAGGGGGTACACAGTTTTGCAAGAACCATAAATCCTTATATCGCCCAGTAGGGACTCATGAACTGAAAAGCCTACAGAGGTAAGGAATATGTCGGCCCCGAAGCGTGATCCTAGCTTACCTACGTACGCAGTTTTCGGTCTCGCGCAGGATACGATGCAATCGACCCCATACTCGCAGCATCGCTTACACATGTCGGCTCGCCAAGGAAGTTTCCGAAAAGTCTTCCTAGGCAGCGCCAATGGGCGTGAGGTACCTAGTAATTGAGGTTCGTAGTGACTGGCTTTCTTGAATGCTGAAATGACTAGACTGTACCTACCTAACTCATATGAAACCATAGGCAGATTGGGTTGGCACCGGTACTTGCTACGAGATATTGATTGTATGATTTGTTTTATGAGGTATATGGCAACACTATAGAATTAACATGGGGGTATGGGGGTATGGGGGTAATGTATATCTTTAGGTTATATTATTATGAACTATTTATAACTGACAACTCTTATGCAAAGCGAATTAGCAAGCTTTTATATATTGCAAGGCTACTTCTAGGGAATCCATAAGTGGGTTGAGTATACAAAAGTTCTTGTAGTTAATCAATACAAGAACATGTTCCATGCCTCTTGACCCACTGTGGTCAAACCAAACTGGTCCGACTCAGGTTTTTCCTTGGGCACGCTGGGCGTTGAGGATGATTCCATCTCCGTTATAAGAAGGCGTGTTCAACGGTTTCTCCCCTGATCAAAGTCGGCTACTTGGCGTCGGCGCTAACCAGGTAGAGTAATGCTATAGGCAGGTCGTGGCTGGGGATGCTATAGGCAGGAAATGGAGGATCTCTCATATCAGATGAAACTCTAGCTCTGTTCCCTTAAGGGAGTACTCTAGACGTCTAAAGCGCCATAGATGCGCCTGCTGTAGCTACCTAGCTTATAGCAACCAATAGACGTTAACGTTCTCATCATCATCATCATCCATGCCTCTTGAAAGCATACATGGGACCTTTCAAGAATGAACCACAACCAAAGTCACCCTTGTCCATGGCCGATCTTCATCATATGCTTGATACACGGTCAGCATGAAAACCCCTGCCAGGGACTCAACGACTTACCTGTATTTCCTGCGGGCGTCCATCGAAAGTCATACATGCCGTTGAACGGGCGAACGCCGATATTTCCTCCTATTTCTATACCCCCCCGTGACTTGAAGGATAGTTCAGTCTGCAAAGCATCTGTGTCAGGATTGCAACCATATACGACATCATAAATAGCACGCGGATCTCCACGCTCAGTCATGAACATCTTGGTCGTATTGTCTTTCACCTCATACTACGCATTTATAATTTGTTAGCAGCTATCTAGAAGGTAGGTACTTTAGGTAAATAGGAAACATCGAATATTTGGTAGACTTGCCTCTCCGTTGATGACTGCGCGACGAGGCGGATCCCAAGGTAAAGTGATCACGCCGTCGACGAGTGTAAGCTCATTGGTGGAGTTTCCAGCGGGACTAACGAAAAGATGCTGGTCACCGCCACCCCAGTCCCAGATATTCAAGAAATGGTTATGGATATCTGGAAACGACGCATTCTGTATCTGAAGTGCGAAACCCTCGGTAATATTGTTCGAGAGAGGGCTTGTAGGAATATCGCATGCCAGAATACAGGCAGCAAAGATGAGGATAAAAGAGGTAGGCGGCGTCATCTTAGGAATTTAGGTGCTTTTTGAATAATACGTTAAAGCTACTATATCTTGATATCACTCTTAATATCCGTTATACTCGTGCTATAATATATAGGTGAGTTCCAAAGGTCTCAAGAAGCCAGCTGGGGATGAATAAAGTGTTATTCGTCTTTGCCAAGACTTTATACGAGGTTATGCATCGGGTTGTACAGGGAGGTTGTATTATTGCTATATCATTATCCTGCAGCATTGGATCTAGACGCTCGATAAATCTCACCCGCAGAAAGTAAGGTAATACACATTGCTACTCTTAGCTACCTAGGTAGCTGCCTACCTCATGTACTTAATTTCTGTCGACCAGTCACCTGAGTATAAGCTTCCAATACATGGTCGCTTCATTACCTACTTACCTAGGTAGTTTTTTCAACAGCCCAAGTTTCCCGGCTATGCGCTGTAAGGGTCAAAATTAAGCCGTATTACGTTTAGCATGTGACGTTGGATTAAGAATGATAAGCACCTAATCTAGCATTTCAGCTGTTCTCTTCGAGATCTACCTCTTGGTATTAAAAGCGGCTTACTAATAAACTCTTGATAAGTGTGTAGCTTTCTAAGAGTCAATACTTTTATACGTGTATACAATTGGTCTCATGTTTTATGAATATCACTTGCAACTAAAATACTAGCAATAGTATCAAATTGTCGTTCACTTATTCTTTTATAATACGACAACTTGGACAGTGTTACAGACCTGGCTATACTAAAGTGGGATTTTAATTACCTAATTAGCTCCGCGTTTATAGACGGGGATCTCTACTATACATACTACGTATGGGTCTGACTTAGAGCCTCAATCAACATACTATTAGGTATTCACGCTCACACTTAAACCTATGGCACCGTTATATGACGCACCATACTCTCTAGCAAGTGGTGTATAATTATTACTATCAACTGGCTTTGGCTTCATGATAGCTTATGCAATAAAGCTTCGGATCCTTCGACTAGTGGTCCCGAAACTTTTATTCCCGGAAAATTTTAAGCCAATAAGCGCAATGTTGGACCATTTTTCGAAGGTCATTGGGGAATGTGCTGAAGAACTTGGCGTCGGCATATGTACAATAGGGCTAGCTCCACTAGATATCAGGTCGCTGAAGAAACTACGCCTTCCCCCTGTTCTCGGGAGGGTATGGGTCGAGGCGGTCACCAATACGCCACTATACTAGTGTATAGACCCATTATACTCCGTGCTTCACGATCCACGTCACTTGATCAGTAAATGCATTTATCTCTTAATTTCCGACGGATACGGACAGCTAATCAAATACGCGTAATGGGCATCTCGGCCCTACGGGAAACGCCACCGCGCTAGGTTAGTGATGCCTGTACATTTTAGTATACATATCTCGTGAATCTTCAAGTCATTGTTCTAGAAAAAGTCCTGAATTACTTGATTAAGTAATCAAAACGTGAATCGCTTTTTTCATGGCCAATGCCTCGTTTAGGAAATACCCAAGTTCGGTTAGGAAGCCCGAGCTTCTGAAACAAGCTTTAAATGGCAAAAGGGCCTCCGAGGCTAACTTGGCAGAAGCTGCCCCACGGCGGTCAGAAGCTAGAACGAGGTATGATGTCTTGGTAAAGAATGTCTCCTAAACGAAAGAAGATTCAAATCTTAAAGAAGTATATATCAGAAATAACCCGTCCCTCTATAATTCAGGAGGGCTCCGTGTTGAGAGTGCAGCATTTATAACCACTTGAACGAATGTATAGAGTTTACATCTCGAAACTATCAAGTTGATTTTGCGGGACTTGTATAATATACTAGGGAATGATCCTAATAGTGGGACACCCGGCAAGTCGGGATGCCAGGATAATCTAGCTAATTTACCAAGACCGACGCATAGGCGGCCGCGTTCCCCTTCGTCGGGTAAAATATGATCTTGGAATCCACTTAGTATTACGTACTCTACGATATCCAGTTCACCTTAGCTAACCAGCCCCTATCATCCACCATGTTACGCGGAAGGAAGATCCGCAGCAGTCAAGAGTATGAGAATATGAGCATATGATCACATGGTGAGTGAGCAGGTTTATTGTTACTCATATATCATATCTCATATATCATATTGTTGAGCACTGTGGAAGTATATATCCCATCTCGCGCTAAGCAGGCATAAGAGCTCCGGGCCCGTTTTCAGAGTTAGATCAGACCACTTAGAGGTCAAACTTTACTTAGGAGCTCGTACTTTCAATCGTAAATACATCGTAGGGATGAAAAGTAACTAGATGTGTGAGTCTAGAGCTCTTAGTCTCTCTTGGGGGGCAAGGGAGGGGCCACCTAGATGTCTGACTACGGAGATTTCTCTCTCCCGCTACACTAGTTACGCTTATATAAGGCAGCTGGAGGTATCAGTCTTCTAATGATATTCTATCTAGTACTACTACTATACCTACATCTTTACATCTTGATCTAAAATCGAGAACAGTCCATATTATCTAACCAGTTCTCGTTTATTAAACACCTACAATACGCTACTATGCTTCAACAACAAGTATTTCATCTTCATCCGCATGGCTGGGAAAATGACCCAGAGGAAGAGAGATATAAGGTTTCAACGCTTGACTACCTATCCGGCCTCCGTTATAACAATTATGCTCTATTTTTCAGACTAGAGGATGGAGCTAAAAGACAAGCGGCTAGCATTCTAAAGAAGGGTCTTGAACGCACTATCAGTCAAGCACGGCATTTATGTGGAACGATCGAAAAGGACCCAGAAGGAGGACATTCGTTTGTGAAGACTAAAAACAGTACAGTACAGTTTGTTGTTCAGTGGCTCGACTCACCTGAGGACAACTATCCATCCTTCGATGATCTCTATGATTCCCACTTTAGCACAAGAACACTAGGGCCATTGGATCTCTGGAGTGTCTATCCGATGACGGCTGGAGACAAGCCTGAAGCGCACCCAGACAATAGCCCAGCTGTCTCGGCTTTCAAAGCAAACTTCATTCGAGGCGGGCTTGTTTTCAACATGCATCACCACCACTATGCCAACGATGTTCTTGGTTGGACTGCGTTCACTCATCAACTAGCCGAGAACTGCTACGCTCTTTACAATGGCACTTCATTTCCTACGTGGGATCCTATATATTTGGATCGCTCGCGTGTAACTAAGAAGGAAGTCCCTGAAGAATCTAGGATCGAGGGGCCTGTCCAGCAAGAGCGTCACCCTGCCCATACTATGGGCATAGTGCTCCTCTTCCATTTGCCCAAGAGCAAAGCCGCCCAACTGAAGAAACTGGCAACTTCAACCAATGGCTCTCGGATATCAACCTACGACGCCTTCTCTGCCTTTATATGGCGCACGCTTTCTCGACTTCGGGCCCCTGTATTCAAGCCTGATCCCTCGTCTACGTTATTCTGGGCTGAAGCTGTTGATATGCGTCGACGCTTCCACAGTCCCGAATGCCCAGCGCGTACGCAGGGAAATATTATGTTTGCGGCCCGGTCCACGGCAGTTCCGGTTCAGCAACCAACAGTGGCTGAAGTCATCTCAGAGTGGCCACTACCCAAATTGGCATCGTACATCCGCAAGCTCACAAACTGCGTCACGCAAGAAAACCTTGACAAGACATTAGACGTTGTGGCACTTATCCGGGACAAGACGGCGCTCAATGCTCGTGTCGACTCCCATCCGCCTATGTCGATTCTGCAAACTGATCATCGTCGTGCAAACGTTGCCGCAGCCGACTTTGGTTTCGGGAAGCCAGTTACATACCGGCATCTATGGGATGATATATCAGTAGGGGTAATCCTTATTTACCCACCACGCTCAACAGCCCCTGATTCAGACGAAGGCTGCGAGTTTGCTATTATGTACGAGAAGAACCTGGCCCATACGTTGATTCAAGATCCCGAGTGGAATAAATATTTCGAGTATAGGGGGGTCACTGCTGAGCACCGCTGTGGCTAAGCTGTTTATGGGATACGATTACTAAGAGATAGTCAGAAAGATCACATCCCCGTGTTGAATAGGTATATTGGGTATTATCTATTCTCCAATATAGTGTCAGATGGCAAGGATTACGATAGGCGTATGACGTGATAGGGGTTCTAAGATTTAGCTTGAAGCTATCTACCAGCTGGTTATTCACTATATTGTATATAAGGGAACCAAGGTTCACTCTTAGATTTGGAAAAGGACAGGCGTTAAGAATACTTTGAAATATATATGTTATATGAGCTATTCACTAGCTAGTCACCTGTTACTCCGTAGTGGTCACATACCCAGGGCTGTCCATGACATATAGTACTCTAACGTACTAGCTAAGTATTTTGTTCATTGCAATGTAATACACTCACAATAAAGAAAAGCCTTCTTCGTTTAATACCTACCTGTTACAACGTTGTTCCCGCGCGTGGTACTTACGACGCCCGGACTTCTGTCATTTTTTCCGATTCCGTGATCCATTTTATTGTGCCACACCGCCAAATCTCTAATCTAGGACGGAAGTATTTCCACAAAATTTGGAGGTTGGAGTTCCTATCTACTCCGAGTCCTTCGCAATAACCCCGCTTCCTCGAGCTTGGCTGCGGCGCCGGACTACCCATTACGGAAAAGCTTCCATCATACCCGGAAGTTCATGTTACTGCCAACGACATTTCATGTTACTGCCAACGACATATCGACCACCCAGATCGAACTTGCGAGGAAACATTTACTCGGGCCTGCAGAAGAAAATGCTGGAAACTCGGGACGCTTGACTCTTATCGAGGGGGATATGACAAAGCTCTCGTTTACCGACCAATCCTTTGACGCTATATTCGCCTTCTACAGCTTGATACATCTCCCTCGTACGGAACAGACTGAGATTATTGGAAAGATTGCACGGTGGTTAAAGCCTGGCGGCTACCTGGTCGCCAACTTTGCTAATAGTGACCTGGAGGCGGTTGTAATGGAGAAATGGCTTGACAAGAACGACTGGATGTTTTGGAGTAGTCGGGGTAAAGATGAGACGTTGAAAATAATAGAGGAAGCCGGATTGAAAGTCGTAGTTGGCGATGTAAAGAAGGATGAGGTTGATGCCTCGTTTCTTTGGGTCATTGGGAAGCGATAATGTGATTGTTACGAACCTCCAGGAGGAAAAGTCACGTGGAGGACACGAGACCCAAAAAGTTGAATCATGAGTATGAGGCAATCCGCATCTATGATTCACGATTCACTCGGAATACACAGAAGGCAGAATGAATATAAGAAAGGAGGATCTCCTTGTGTATCTAGTCATTCATTCTGCAGCTATCAATCTAAGCCTAATATCTAACACATAGGTACTCAGGGAAAGGACTCCATGTCACACGGACAACATGGCTAAGACCTGTTGGTTAGAATACGAATGCAGCCAAGAGCCAGTAAGGCGGTTAGGATAGGTATTTTCAGAATCATTGGATGACATGCATCACGAAACGATGCAAGGTAGAATGCAAAATAACCAACACACAATTGAGGGGGCGGTTAGGTACGGAGTTACATCTCTTAGAATTGTCTACAAATAGTGTCCTGATCTCCTCAGACTGAGATAGAGAGGTCATCAAGGACCTTGAGACCTTAGAAAATTATTAGTAATTTGAATACGTTCCAAGCCCTGAATACAGACCTTGTTACACTCCAAGCCTTCCTGATGAACACTTCAGTATTACCTACCTATTTACCACCTTGACTCGTACTATTACTGTTTACCTAGAATCAAGACTCAACCGACACTATACTTCCATGTACCCAAGTATAGGTAGGTTCGTCACAGTGATTTAGCGTTACACAATTGCTCTTATCTATTCGAATCTCCTCAGCTTATAACTTGGTAGGAACCTCTGCGCTGCATTTTATGCTATTCATTACGCTGCGTGATATGAATTCATTGAAAGGAGAATGATATACGAACACAATGCTGACACAATCAAGGTCAAAGGTTGAAGTAAAGGAACTAAACCAACCAGATTATCTCTTCACCCACGGACACAATTTTCACTCCGTTATGAAGGTATTTGATGATAGTATCTTAATTCCTCTGGTGAATATTCGTCATACGGGTCTTGAAAGCATATGTGATTCATGCGGTTGAGATGTTCGCTGTTGTGAGATTCGGGGATAATCAAAAAATCTACCGAAGGAGTATGTTTAGGCCAAAGGCAACTCCAATCTATTCTTAGTCATTATTAGCCATGATTGACCACTGTTGTTATGATCGACCACTATCCAGTGGACTTACATTTATTCTGCTGTGCTGTTCCATTTGAAGGTGTTTGGCTGGACGCAAAACCTGTTGTGCTCCCAAACCCCGCTGCGCCCCCGAAGAGGGATGGAGACTCACGTTTTGGTGCTGTATTGGAGGGCCCGCCGAATAACGATATTTGAGGAGCAAGTGGTTCTTGCTTCGTAGTCTCAGATGATGTTTTAAGAAAGGGGAAAGGTGGGTTCCCTAATAATGGAGTGGTGGATGTGTTCTGTGAGTAACCCGCAGACCCAAAGAGGCCCCCCCCGGTCCCAAATGGCGAGGGGGCGCTGTGAGGTCCCTTGTCGACAGAATTGAAGCCACTAAATGTCTTCCCTGGCTTTGGTGGGTCAGGTATTATCGAAGGTACGGAGGAATTTTTTTGGTATGACAGTAGCCTTTGTGGACGTCCCTGGAGCGCCTGGGTTCCTTTCAGGCACTTCTGGCTCAACAAGTATCGAAGGGACGGCTAAAGTACAAAATTTTAGTATGGCTAACATCAACAAGCGGTGAAATACAGGGAGGTACTCACGCATTGCTTTCCGCTCCTTGAATTTGTTGCAAATCTGCAATCCTTTCTTGAGAGCTTCATACTCTGCCCGTAATTCCTTGCGCTCGGTTTGAACTTCTGGTGACTCCGACGCGAGTCTCTCAAGTTCATCGTCCTCCATTTTATTTACTCTGGTTGTAGTAAATATAGAAGGAAGATCTCGGATAAGGCAGTTCTCAACAGCTAAAATAATTACGTTATCGACGAAGGTCCGAAGCGACATCTATAGGTCGGTCATATTAGCTTTAATTTTCATTTAGGAGGATTAATATACCTCATAATAAGTTTCACATTTATCAATCAAGCTGTCCACTCCAAATTCTGTCGTTGTTTTAGACTGTGTTGCTTTCATAAGTTCCTTGTGGGCTTCTTCTGTGAAAAATTCAGGTCGACTTGCTATCAAATCTCGAATGACGTCGACTCCGATGTTTTTCTGGCGCTTTTGCGTAAGAAGAGCTCTAAACTCTGCATCGAGTGGTTGAGGGTAGCCGCTCTTGTAGTGACGAAGAAGCTCCTGGAGTTTATATTCAAGAGCGGAGGACTTTTCTTCAAAGAATGGGTCTACCACCTCAGTAAGAATCGCCGAGCAGGTCCTTTTGTCCGGATTAACGAGATAACCTACGAGTTTCTCGACGAATGCCTTGGTTATGTCTAAAATAAGTCGTATGTGACAGCGTGCAATTTCTTCCCAGGGTTGAGACTGGTCTTGAAAAAGCTTCACAGCTAAGCGGTCGTTTGAGGTACCGGGGAACTCAGTTCCCTGGTTAGCCGACGACAGCGACTCTAGTTCAGAAGTGATTTGTTCGAATGTGACCTTTTCGGGGTCCTTGAACTTATACTGATTGACTAATGGAAGAAGGAACGTCGGCAATGTTAACTTTTCCGCGAGTCTTCCAGATTGTCCCTCTAAGGTCGAACTACCGAATAGGCGTGTATTATCACCATTGTTGGGGCTCTTAGGGAGAATGATGCGCCTCGAGCCCTTGGTTTCTAACACGTAGGCGAATGCCCGATTTAGATCACGCACGAATGCCCGAAGCTTTCTAACCCTATTGTCATCAATAGCCGTTGCATCGGTTCCAGGATACAGGCCGCCAAAGAACTCATCTACATAATTCCCTTCCACTGCATGTAAACACAAAATGTGGAACTGTGAGGCGATTTTGTCCAAGTGTGTCCTTAGTTCCCTCGGAGTTGACCTTGGATCTCCTAAACGCTCCAGTTGAGCCTTGCGGCTGTTGATGTTGTCTTCGATACTCTCGATCAGGCCCTGCAGATTATTCTTGATATGCTGTAGAAGAATACCGCTAAGCTTCTTTCGAAGAGCCGCTACACCTCGGTTCTTTGAAGGTACACTAGACCAAAGGGTATCCTCGAAAAACTTGGTCTCTTTCTCGTCTCTCTCCTCATCGGTGCTCGAGGTTTCCATTTCGCCTCTGTTACGGAGAACGTGCCATCCTAATGACAACTCGTGCGACCTATCAAGATTTTTAGCCAGCCTGATAAAATTCGCTTCATCTTGAGTACCAGGTGTAAGAATATCTGGTTTCGTGATAATTCCGATGGTTCGCTCCTTGTGCTTGTCGTGATGCTTGACTTTGGATAACACCTTCTGCAATATGACCTGATTGCGCGCGGAGATGACGGCGAGAATAATGCTGTTCTTGCGAGCCATATATCGCTCCGCCAAGCGATCCACAATGATTCGACCTGCAGCAGACTGATTCTCATCCTCCGAGTGATAAAAGCCGGGGAGGTCAACCATTGTCAGGTGTGGAACATCGGGGCTGGTGATCTCGATTCTAAGAACGTCTTCGGAGAAGCCAGCATCGCCTTCGAGCATCTGTTTCTTGGCCTCTTCCACAATGCGAGGTAGGTCTGCTTTCTTGAAAGATCTCTCATCGAATTTATATGTAGCCTTATTGGGAGCTGACTGTGGCAGAATGCGCACATCAACTTTGATGTGACTGTCAGTACGAAGAACAAGTTCTGTTGCAAACCTCGTACATAGCCCGTCTTTAACAGGGAAGCGTACTCTGGAGATAGCTTCAAGAACGGAACTTTTCCCTGAAGACTGGTCCCCAACAACAATTATCTGGGGGAGATCAACGAAGCGACCAATGCCATGCTTACGAAGGTCATCGATGGCATCGAGGAGAGCTTTCTGTTCGCCGTGGAGCTGCTCAAGGGCTACCGAGTCCAAAGAAATACTATCCATCTTAAGAATTGGAGTGCTAGATAATAGGTAGATTAATACAAATGCGAAAAGAGAGTTTGTTGCAATACAATAGGAAAGGTCAAAATCATCGAGGGAATCAAGGGATGGCGACCCGAGTGGGTTTGGGTTTTCAGGGAATCGGAATCGGTTGGGATGTTGGAAAAGAGATTGTATTTTACCTAAAGATACCAAGTATTATTGAACCCTTTATAACGGTACGCTATGGCCACCATGGCCCGTAATGGTACCGTGACAACCCAACTACGTTTCGGGTACGATTAAGTCGGCCGCCGATAACACTTTATATTCGGGTATTGGAGTTGCCCCTCGGGCCGCATCTCGGGTGCTTATTATTAGTCAAATATCTCGGCGCTTGTCCTCAAGTTTCGATTGGCTACAGTACATACTTCCTACATTGTTCACTTGGAATTTGATTGGCTGGTAATTTTATACTATTCCTACAATGGTATGTTTCAAGGCCTTTTGAGATTATAAATGGGGTGCCTTGAAGACGTATCAATTATGGTCATAAATAAACTACGGTTAGCTACCTATGTACCTTGCTACCTTGCTACCTACCATAGGTAGGTATTTATACATATTAGATACCTAACGGTTAGAACTTGCTTCCCTAGTCACGTAACATACTACTTCTATAGGTACTCATACGATATCTCACTTATTGAATGACCTTTTAACGGCGCTTATAAGATGTATATCTGATAGGAAGCAACACTGCAGTCCAATTCCATCAAATTTAATAATAAATACTATAATGACGAAAGGCCGGATCCGGTATTCTCTATTGTGAAAATTAATACCTACGTTTCAACAAGTCCATCGAGTACTCAAACTAAATCAACATTTATATTCTTACTACTTCCGCTTTATGGGAGTATATAACCTTTGCATGTAATCTTTTGTGATTGTCGTGATGGTATTTGCTGGCTTATCTCGACGTGGTTTGGACTTATCTTTCTCCAAAGATCGTCCTGTCTCTAATACAAGTTATTTATACTTGCCTTAAGATAAACATGCTAGCATGGCCCATATACAGCCATGAGACGGATGAGTAAATGGAATCGGAGAGGAGGCAGTCCCGAGACAGATTCTTTCTACCAATCAGGACCACAGTGTCAATACGCATGTTCGGATTACGTTTTGCTAGTATTCAGGGTAATATTTCGAGTCCGCCCTAGTGTGTCCTGCCTACCGCGAGGTGGAGTAAGAAGCACGAGAAAAAACTTCGCTTTTCCTTGATGAACTCCAAACTTACCTTAGGTACCTAGGCAGGGGGAAGGTGACTATGGAGGCTTGTAGCTGGGTATGCATACCGAAAGTATCCTTTATTCTAAATGTCTCGTCTTGAATCCTAACACTCTCAACACTCACTAGTTCACTTGACATCTCAGTATTGCAGTAGGTTAATACACCAGACCGTTAGTATGACAAATCGTTCTCAATGCTAGGTAATTAGTAAAATAAAGTGGAAATTCAGTAAAAGTGAATGATAAGAGCGGTATGTATTAGGTATATTGAATATCAACGAGTTGCTATTGTAAGTAAAACGGTGACGTGTGATTTATGACCAAGTATCTAGCACCGACGGGTATAACTCTTTGGAATTAACTACCTAGGTGGGTGGATGGCCAATCATGTTGGCATTTCAGATTAGTAGTTTACCCCTGGATTTTCTTACTGCTAGAATCGTAGTTGTGGGTACGTACCTACTTCGCGAACTCGAATACGAGAAAGTCTTGGCATTATATTGTGGTCGTCGACTTATACATGAACGTACACAAGCTATCAACCTATCTATCTCGCAATAAATTCAGAAGTAAATAGGTATATATAGAGATTCAAAACCATCTTCACATAGGCTGATTATCTTCCATTCAAAACTTCAGATACAGATACGACGAAACCAAGTTTTACTGCGCCATGATAGACCTTAACAGTCCTATACATAGTGTGGCCTATGTCATCGCCACCTTGATTCTTACGATTGTCATCAACGTACTTTGGCAACTACTACCTCGACGAAAATCAGAGCCGCCGCTGGTATTTCACTGGATCCCGTTTGTCGGCAGTGCCATCTCATACGGATTGAATCCCTTCGAGTTCTTCACGAATTGTCGGAGACAGCATGGAAACATATTTACCTTCGTACTCTTCGGCAAGAAAATTACTGTCTACCTCGGAGTCGAAGGTAACGAGTTTATCTTGAATGGAAAGCTACGAGACGTCAATGCCGAAGATATCTACGGTGCACTTACCACGCCTGTGTTCGGCAAGGATATCATTTACGACTGTCCCAACGAAAAGCTGATGGAACAGAAGAAATTTGTTAAATTTGGCCTCACACAGAAAGCCTTAGAGTCATACGTACCATTGATCCAACAGGAAGTCCTCGAATATATAAAAACCTCTCCCAGTTTCAAAGGTTCCTCCGGAATAGTCGATATATCAGCCGCTATGGCAGAGATCACCCTCTTCACTGCCAGCCGTGCCCTCCAGGGAGCCGAAGTACGAAAGAAACTGACGGCTGAGTTTGCCGATCTATACCATGACCTAGACCTAGGTTTTCAGCCGATTAATTTCCTCATGCCATGGGCGCCTCTTCCGCAGAATCGGCGGCGAGACATAGCGCATGCCAAGATGACTGAAACCTATTTGGAACTGATTAACAACCGTCGTGCCAATAAGAAGAGCAGGGAGACCAATACCGACACCGACGGAACCGACATGATTCTCAACCTTATGGGTTCTGTCTACAAAGACGGACAGGTTCTTTCCGATACGAATATTGCTCACCTGATGATCACTCTCTTGATGGCAGGACAGCACTCTTCGTCGTCCTCAAGCGCATGGATCATGCTTCGCCTAGCATCACGGCCAGACATCGCCGAGGAACTATACCAGGAGCAAGTCAACAACATTCACTACAACGGCGAACCACTCCAATACTCCGACCTAAGCAAGCTTCCTCTACTGCAAAACGTCGTCAAGGAAACGTTACGCGTCCATTCCTCCATCCATTCGCTCATGCGGAAAGTCAAGAATCCGCTGCCGGTTCCTAACACCGAATACGTAATCACCCCCGACAAAGTCCTCCTAGCCTCGCCCATCATGACGCATCTGAACGAAGAATACTTTACGAATCCGCTGGCTTGGGATCCGCACCGCTGGGATGATATTGTCGAGACGGAAAACAAGGAGGACATGGTTGATTACGGCTACGGCGCCATGTCAAAGGGAACGAGGAGTCCATACTTGCCCTTCGGCGCAGGTAGGCATCGGTGCATTGGGGAGAAGTTTGCGTTTCTCAACCTGGTGACGATAGTCTCTACCCTTGTTCGAAATTTCAAGTTCACGACGGTTGACGGCAAGTCCTGGGTGCCCCCGACAGATTATACATCGATGTTTTCGCGCCCCGTACAGCCGGCCAGTATCCGTTGGGAGCGTCGTTTCCCCGAATCTTCTTAATAGAACTGTGCTAGTTTAATACTATTTTTCTACATCTGAGGCTGGGATACATATCTTAGCTTCTGGTTTTTACGCGCCTGGCAGATATAATGGGATAACCTTGGTAGTAGTAGATTATAGAATATATTATATAATAGAGTAAAATTGTCACTGCCCAATATCTACGATTCGTTCCGGTCGTACGATCACTTTTTCTGACAATAATATACCATTATGCGGCCCCTAGTTTACTATCTCGATAGAAGAATAGACTCCGAGCACAGTCTTTCCACGATTTAGCTTTTATCAATCATTTATTCTGATTCTAAAGTGCCTTCACTTATTGCAAATCACCCATAGATCTTTTAATATTTTCCTTTCTTTTTTTTTCTTTTCTTCGATGGTGTATTATAATCGAGCCGCATAGTGAATAACACCCACCCCCTGCCCCTGAATTGGTCTCCACTCTAACCCTCCGAGGCCTCGGAGCGTAATGCTCCGCAATTCGCGGAACACCATCAATCGTCCGATGCATCTAGATGTCTCGATTGAAGATATGTAGCGGTATGTGCTTAGTATGATCCCGGTCGTAGAATTATAAATGGCTCGGGTTGCCCATACCATAAATAGGTACCAGGTATTCATTGTGTCTTCGACTCTTCTCGTCAAGGCACCGCCCCATGTTACTACGGAGCAATATGTACTCCACACTACGGTCCGCCTTCAACTGGCTTCTAGCTGCCGCCCCTATATTTACGCAGGGCGCTTCCCTCCAAAAAGTCACATCTGATTTCGGGCCAAACCCAAGGAATGTCGGTTTCTACATTTATGTTCCGGACAAATTAGCTGCTCGACCGCCGGTTCTTGTTAATCCTCACTGGTGTCACGGCGACGCACAAGTTTGCTACTCCGGGTCTCAGTATTCGACTCTAGCTAACAAGTACGGGTTCATTGTCATCTATCCCGATAGCCCAAATACGGCCGATAAGTGCTGGGATGTGTCTTCTAACGAGACTTTAACACACGATGCTGGAGGCGATAGCTTGGGTATCGTTAGCATGGTGCGATGGACACTCGACAAGTATAACGGTGATCCGAACCGTGTGTTTGTTACTGGCATTTCCTCCGGGGCTATGATGACCAGCGTGTTACTCGGAGCATATCCCGATATTTTTGCTGCGGGATCTGCATTTGCCGGCGTGCCGTACGGATGTTTCGCCGGTAACGGCTTTGGTGTCTGGAGCGACGCTTGCGCTACGGGGAAGGTCAAGAAAACCGGCACCGAATGGGCCGCATTAGTTAAAGCAGGATATCCAGGCTATACTAGGTGGCGGCCTAAAGTTCAGATCTTCCACGGAACAAGCGACGAGGTGCTCGACTATACAAATTTCGAAGAGGAGATCAAAGAATGGACGACGGTGTTTGGGTTTAATGAAACTCCCACGAGCACGACGCCTAACACTCCCGTCAAGGGATGGACGAAATATGTATACGGTAGCAATGATTGGCTCGAAGCCTACAGCGCTGCAGGAGTTTCACATAACATTCAGAACCAAGAGGCCACCGCTATGGAATGGTTCGACCTTACCTGTACAAGCGACGACTGCTTCAAATGGGGACAAGGGGGTCCAAAGGCTCGGTAGCTGAAAAAGATGATGTGTTAGGTAGTCGGTCACTACCCATTGTCTCTAGTTCTCGCATAGACAACATTGATGATGCAAAGAGAGAAATACATCTTAACGATCCCAAGCCATCCTGTTATACAAGGCAATTTCGTATTTTCCCTCTTCTAATTACTCCTGCCACTTTGACCTCCGAGCTTTGACTGTACGGATCCGCCTACGCTACCCTCCGTAGTAAACTGCTTTCCGACCATTCCCTCTTTATCCAAAGGACCGCCGATTTTCTGCGCTGTACCGCCAATTGCTCCTTCTTCTACATAATAAGGGTTAGTCTTTCCATCTCAAAGTACAAGGTATTCCATTAATCCTTACCAGTAAACTGTTTGCCAATAGAGCCCTGGGCATCGAACATCTTGGGTTTGTCCTCGCCGATTCCAGCGGTGGCGGGTGTCTTTTCTTGTGAAGCCATGCCCGTGGATGTCTTAGAGCCGGTGTTGGAGCTGTTGTGCGCTGACATGATGTATAGGAGGTACTTTTACAAATTAAACTTAAAATTGTGTATACTTAAAATTACTTAATAGAAATTGCAATCGAATATGCGAAAGATTTGGAATTTGGTCATTGGTTTCCTTTAAATATATTTTGAAAATACAAGATTAACTAGGAGAAGGTAGGTGGGCCTTGACGCTGTAACAGTAGATCCATGAGGTCATAATTTCGTACTTTGGGATCGGCTATGTCACCACTCGGAGGATTATCATTCAATGGAAAATAAATCTTATATCCTTAGATGACGTAAAACTCCACACGTTACGAAATTCAACTATATATTTAAAGAGCTTTTAATGAACCCTCTGTTATTTCGTAATATTTAGGTAGGCTACTGACATACCTACCGCGGTAGCGCATGATCTATCCGATACTAATATACTATCTTAGGAGCCGCTTATCAGGACATCGTTCACTGCTATTAGGTTTGGACGTCGCTTACGTCAAACTTCACCAGCAGTGTACACTTGGTTTCCCGGCCTTTCAGATCCAGCATACGGATGAAGCTCCAGCCAGGAACCACGTATAAGAGTCTCACGGCCGCAACTGCGAAGACGGGATTTTCCGCAAAGCTAGCGTCGTTCTTGATTAGAATGCGGACGAAAACCAGCTCGTTGTCCTCATATTCCCACTCAAGCGTTTCATCCCAGATCGGGTCGGTCGGTGGGGGGTTCTCACCCCTATGGAGGAATCCTAGTCTGTGATGTTTATAGGGGCTTGTCTTGCTCTTAGGATGCTTGCCGTCTAACTCATCTGTATGAACGAGCGTGCAGGTAACATATGGCTTCACATCTTTTTCCTCTTGCCCTTCTGGTATGGGTATATCTGATGCTCCCGCGACGTGCAGCACCAGTCTCTTCTTTCTACCGGTGTTGAGGCTCATGCTACCGCCCGCCCGCAGCGCTGCGGGCTTTAGGACGTAGCCATCAGTGCCACTAAATAAGGCTTCGTTGATCTGCATGCTAGCATTAAAAGTCTGCCAGTTCATCGCGCAGATCTGTGCTCCGATACCCCAGAACGGAACTTGCTTGAGGTTTTTCGAAGAGATACGGGTACCCTTTGGAAAGACGCGCATCAAATGCCGAGAATTGTGCCGCGCAATCATCTGATTCGCTGCCGGCATGTGTGACGCCAATCCACTTTCTGACACGTTGATTAAGTGGTTTCTGGGAGCGTCCTTTAGAACACCTTCAAACCAAGAATTGTCTTTCGGTTTCACGGATTGGGCGTAAACACCTAGCTCCGCAAGCTCTGGGACAATTACAGTAGATGCAGATTGCTTTTTCTTCTTCTGATAGGCTTCTTCTGCCTGTATCACCTCATCGTCGTCAGAGTTGGGGTTGCTATCATCGTCACTCGTGTCTGCTTCCTCAGGTAAGTGGTATTCGACAATGAGAACTATCTTCGATCCCAGTTCCGCTAACGTGACCGGGTCACTGTCTCCCGCCTGCTCCTGGTGACCTTTTACCCGAATAGCTCTGTCCAGTAAACGATGGCCGAAAACTTCTTTCATGATTTCAACGAGTCTCTGCTGTCCATATACACCACAGTGGTTCTCTAGAGAGAGCATGATCGGTGCCGCCCGGTAACCAGCTGCGTTGCTAGACTGCGTCGCTTCCCGGTCAACAACATTGCGTATTGTCTCGCATACCGCACGGAATGGGATATGGGAAACAAGCGTGTACCCGTGGGTAACCTTAGGCTCGTCTTTATCGTCCTCGTTATCCCAGGCGTCAATTTCAACGCACCGAGATCCGGCGTTGAGCGCGGTCTCATAAGCATTGGCCGAAGACTTGCCAATAAGCTGGTGACCTAGAAGATATGTATTATGGCTAGAGCTTATAAAATACTCCGGGAGTGGATAAGACCTGTCCGTCACTTCAGAGGGCACTTCAATATGAGACTTTTCAAGCAGTGCTTGTAGTGCGATGCTAGGTTGCTCCGACTCCAGACCTACTTCTTCCTCGGATAGTATATTATTTTTCGCGAGGAACGACTTCAATGCGTGGCTAACTCGCAACTGGGATTTAGTAATAGTCGTTTGTCGCGCACCGTGGCCTCCCCCCGCAATAGTGGTTTCGTCGATTTCTTCTCCAACATCCTCGTCGTAGACCCCAGCAGAAAGTTTTGATAGGGGGTTCAACTTCGCGAACCGGGATACGAGTGACTCTGTCATTTTGAAATGTGTTGTTTTTTTTCAGCTATGTACCACGACTGATATCTAAGGAGAAAGGAAATGAAAGAAAAAGCGGCGGGTCGTATGTTAGGTAATTGTTTTAGGGGAAAAGATGAGCTTACGTAAATCGAGGGTTGACAAGTTCAGCTGAGATCAGCAAAGCCCCTGTCTCTGTTGTCTCAGCCCTATGATTATGGGGCGAGGAGAGGGGGGGGGACTTGAGACTTCTCTTACTGTCTTATTATTACCTAATGTAGAGAAACAATTGGTAGTTGTGACTTGAATCAATTTAATATCGGAAATGGTGCCGTGCCGTCTTTCCGGTATCCGCTATCTTAGGTACACAATTTATATAACTAACCGCACTTTCAACTTATCGCCTTTAACAATCTCGTCTTTCTTCTCCATCAATTCCGGAAGGTCCCAAGTGACATTGATATATCTGCCTGCCAGCCAATCCCGTCTCTCCGATGCTAGATACACCAAAGAATCCCCGCTTAACTCCGGAGTCTCGACCCATACTAATCAAGGGGATAGTTGCATTAGCTTATATTTCTATATCTTACTTAATAGCGCAACTAGGACTTACCTTTCCTTATCTCCGGATCCTGAACACCAGCAACCATATCTGTTGCAATATTTCCCGGATGTATGCAGTACGCGACTATGCCCTGGTCTCCATATTCCGCCGAGATGAATTCGGAAAGCCGGAGTACTGCTAGCTTAGAGGGTTGGTATGCGCTGAGTCCCGGCCCTACCAAATGAGCGCCAACACTACTTAATGTGATTATCGTCTTGTTGCTCCCCTCCAATAGCAGTGGAATAAAGGAGCGTGCGGTGTTGTATGGACCCATAACGTTCACTCTCCATATATTCCACCACTTTTCGGGGTCGGTATCTAGGATTTTGGCTATATCAAAGATGCCAGCGTTATTAATAACGATATCCATGCGCCCAAAGCTCTTCTTAACTTGGGCAGCTGCATCATCGACGCTCTTGGGGTCAGCTACATCTAGCTTAAGAGCTAAGATTGTCGGTTCCGGTTTTCCCACCTTCTCAACCGCTGCTTTAATCTCATCGATTGTAGCTGAAAGATCGGACCTGGCCCCGATTGCGATCATTGACGCTCCGGCCTTGGCAAACGAGACAGAGATCGCTCTACCTAAGCCTTTGGAAGCACCAGTGATAAGGACCGCCTTACCGCTCAAGTTTGCCTGAGCAGAATCGATCGCGGGATATGTGTCGTTGTGCACCACGGAGGTCACATCATAGTCGCCTAAGCGTGTGTTTAGAATTCAAAATAGACTCGCATCTATTATGGTCCCTCAACGTACCTGGTCCCTCTAGAGGGTTAGGAGTCCCCTTTGGAGGAGGCATGTTTTTAATCAAGTATGTTAATATTAGCTTGGAGACGTAAGGTTGAGAAAGTAAGTTAACTTGTGGCTTGATCTATAAAGATCTTAACAGTCTAGATATACTACTTGAATGCTTTGAAATCAAACTTCTCGTACGGCGGGGGTTACAATCGGAGTATGAATCACATCGGCGTTTAGTTTATATAGCCCACTAACCTAACCGTTGGTTCATTATGTTCGGGTCCAACACTTGTGAGACTACCAACAGATCAGTACAGTAAAGTGAAAGCGGTGGTACTGGAGTACCTACACATTAGGAAATACCCTTGTAAGCTGCGAAAGTCGGTTCCAACTGACTACGGATGTCCTTTTCAAGTTTTTACCATAGGGAACCCCTGTAAAGATTGCCGGCAAATGTTCATTGCTTGGCTACCACCTGTCAGATGACTTAAAGATGTATATACTACTACTCCTCATTTTTATGATTTATTTTACAGGAAGTATATTGTATCAAAGCATTAGAGTAATATAAGACACCTACTCTGAATAGGCGAGCAGCTGCCACTAGAAACGGTCGGGGTGGGCGCCGGGTTTCTACATTTCTTCAGCGCTTGTGACTTAAGACACGGCAGAGTTGTCCATACCATTTATGTCACGATATGCATTATCTTAAGCCGCTTCATTTAGTATTCATACATATTTATTACCGAGTTTATAATATCTGCAGATACACAATGTGTCACATATAAGGCGTAATTGCGGCGTCGTTTTTGCGATACAATGTTAATCCAGGGTGTTGATAATGGCGTTTTCACTTTCAAGTATATCCAGATCGGCATACATCATGTTGATCCCACGAGACCTTAGACAGGGCCTCGATTATTATTTCCTCGGAGCAGTTTATTAACAGGATCAAGCTATTGGCTCCATTCTCCCTCCACTTATGCTTAGCAGCCACAAGGTTGGTGATACAGCATGAACCGAGGGACGATACAATTCCAACTGGTTACGTCATAAAGCGTTCGGGATTGTTAATGCTATAGAAAATTTCATTGGACTAGAAAAAGATGAGAGTCGCAAGATGTTGCCTTGACATATACATGATCGATAACCCCGGTCCTTACTCTAACCACCTATCGTATCAGTTCCCAATGATTGAGCCAACAGCTGCTTAGTCGTGATCAGACGCCTTGTTATCGTTTCTGAGCGGTATTTCAGCGCGATGTGATCCAGGCGCTCTATCATCTACAAGTTTGGTGGTGGTTAGTTGTCATTTGTAAGGGTTGTATGATTAAATGTCTTGATCAGTTTGGGTGGAATATCTCCTTAGTTAGAAGAGGCGCTCTTGAATAAACTCTTCAACACTCACAATATGAATACTTTGGATCTGCAGACCCAGTAGTCCTTGGACTAGTATTCTAAGTTCATCTAATGAATCCGCCGCATAGCTTCCTAGTATGAAACCAGGAACAACTAGCTGGGCAGTACCCTTGGGAGCCGATGTTGAAGATAATTGTGGATAAGCATCCGAGATGTCTTGGCATGTCTTCCCAAGTGTCTCTATTAGAGACGTGAGAATGGTTATATTTTCAAAGTAAGTCATACAGATCTCGCAATTGATCATATCGTTTCCGTGACGAAGGGCCTCTTTATTGATGTTGAGGGCACTGTCCAGATTGTCAATCCTTATAGCGATGTCTTCCAAATCGAAGATGATGAGTGTGATTCTATGTGCGTGAAGACATAAGCAAGGATGTGTAGTTTGATCAGTTTGCCTGTTTGTAACGTATTGCCATTCCTCGCAAGATCGTGCAAACTCGAAATGACATAAGGATTTCATCCCTACGTCTACATTCAAGTTCACGCCCTCTGGCTCAGTGTTGGGAGGCATTAAGGATTCAATGACCATATCATCCGGGTCAGTCAATTTTAGCGTCGAGGCAAATATATCCGGCTCTGCAAATGGCCACACTGGTGATACCAACTGGGACAAGTCCAGACTAGGCTCATATATCCCTTCCACGTTGCTAATGCTTGACTCCGAGGTCTCGTATTGATCTAGACCTGGCGTATGGGTCAACTCCGGTATAGTGTCGACTAAGAGGTACTCATCTCTTGAATCAAAAGGGACGTAAAGAGCGGTATCTACCGATATCGAACCCAGACGGTTAGCTTCATGACGGTCCTCCAATATATCCGACTCATCCCACGATGTTGATAGACAGACTACCTGCTCGCGTGGTGAGACTATTTTAAGGGGTACTCCCGTAGTATGTGAATCTTGATAGACGCATTGCCTTGAGAACATTCGGCATCTCTCACAACCTGTCCTCTCCTTAGTGCATTTTAATTTCTTCGCTCTACACTGATTGCAAGCTCGCACTCTGGTCGCTTTAAGGGTCACAGGGTGGAATATATACGATTTTTCCGATGGCACTTGGCTGCTGCTCTTCGACCCAACTTTCCACATGTTCAACATGATAATCTTCAAAATGATATTTAATGCACTGAGGAAAGAAATAGGCCGGGGCAATCATTAATATACCATTATTAGCAAATGGTATATACAATCTAATGATTGTAACTGTCTCCCTACATATAATAATAATTACGCGGCAAGCAAGTCTCAAAACCTTGACATCACAGGACTGAAAATGGCGTTCTTCAAGCCATGTTATGTTCGTCTGATATTACATGCATTAAGCATGGCGCTCTTAAAGTATCCCGCCTTGGCAATAAATTGATTCAACGGCACGGGAAAGAGCGTCGTTATACTTAAGGTAGGCAATGCCATTTGGGTGATGTTAGGGACGCCAAATGGATGCCACGGCGTACATTTCGTCATCACTTCTGATAGGATATTGCCTCTTATTAATATCATAATGTCATTATTAATGCCCGGTGAGGTTAGTCATACACAGAGTGAGTGTACAACTTCTATCCTCTGACGAGGGCGCTTCGCGCCTAGATAGACCCCTGTAGCCACCCTGACACATAATTCAATAGCCACTTTCCTGACTCGATATTTGGTTAAATTTTAACCACCTGCCGGACTACCTATTCATATTCTTGCTTAGTATTGGCGCATCCTACATTTTACCAGGTAATTTAGATAGACATTTCTCTGAATTAATGATGAGATAACTTAAATTACTTATCGTAAAAGTAACTAGAAATCCTTTTGGCTAGTTCTATGTAGTTATATGTGAGATGTACAGCCATGCCTGGATCTACATCTAGTTTCTCAAGAAATCACGCGACGTCTACGGTCTATTTTTGGCAAAATCCTTTATTGTATACGAGTGACACGGATATGCCACGGTGAATCTCAGGGGTAATATCCATGTTATTGAACTTGGTTTGTTGAAAACACTATGCGCCGCGAAGCCATGGTCATTCGTTGAAAACGCCGAATCCCGCAGAACCACCGAGAACCCCAAATTAACCAAACTACGCCTTGATCATCGCTTCGATAATCCCGTCGCCGTCGTACTGAGGTGGCGGCCAAAATTTAATAACGTCAAACCCAGCCTTCCCGAGTAGTTCTCGCCATTGCCTCTCACTCCTTTCTAACCCCCCGTTGAATGCCATCATTGCTAGGTCCATCATTCCATGGAATGGTGAAGCTCCTTGCTCTGGTACGATTACATCATGTATAATTAACTTGGAATATCCGGGCTTCATAGCCTCTTTAACCGGTTTCAATATCAGCAAACACTGCTCGTCAGACCAGTCGTGTAGGATGTGATGGTAGAAGTATGCTCTCGCGCCTATGAACATGTTAGCATTATCTTGGGAGAACATAACTTAAACATCACCTTTGATGGGCTGTTCGGTGAAGAAGTTGTATATCGTTGGCTCAATTGCTGGAATCATGTTCCGTATGTTGGTAATTACCGGTGCCGAATCTTGTAAAATAAGGCGTCCCTCTATATGAGGGAACCTTTCATGGAAGGAGATCAGATCATGCCCCTTTCCCCCACCGACATCTATCAGCAACACTGAATCCTTGGTGAGACCAGCCCCGGACACGAGTTCTTCTTCAACTGGAAACCAGTCGAACCAAAACTTCCTGCCTCCCATTGTGTTCCCCATGGCCAAGTTGAAATCGTGCAAGAGCTGTGGAATTGAGCTGAATAAGTCGAAAATTGAAAGTTTCGTCTGAAAGGCATACTGCGTCAAACCGTCTTTAGGATCAACGGGGGATTTGTAGCCAGCTTCTTTGAAATATTTCGGTGCCTTGGCTACCGTCTGGACAATTCCGTCGTGTCTGTATCATGAGAATCTTAAGTTAAGCCAGAATGTTCTCGCGCTCTCGCGCGTATTAAGGGATGATTTTGATAAAAAGAATTATGGTTACTCACATCATCCTATGTAACGCGGCAATTTCCTCCCTAGCCATTTCCTTGGTGATGGACGTCGCTATCCATGTACGCTCACCAACTTCTTCGACAAATCCTATAGAAGACATGGGCCGAAGGATCCTGACTATTTAGTACATTAGCAATTCTAGTCCCCCTTTCTCCAGGTGTTTTGTTCATTTTCGCTAAATCTGATGAAAAAGGGGCAAAGTCATACCAATCAATATTTCATCCGCACCGGATAATGCCGCTAACTCCTTGGAGGTAATTGGGCCACCGTGGTCAGCGATGAGCTTGAAGATGTTGAGATCAACGGCGATCTTTGCGGAGGCACTGAGGAATGGCTATTAGGTGGTAAGTTCACTATCTCCATAAATTCAATAAACGTCTGGGTTAATACCGCGTAGCATAACTCTGTTGCCGAGTTTGCTGGTTTCTCGATAGAAGCCGCAAGCTTTCGAGTTAATAATAAGGCCTGCCTCCTGGCATCATCGTCGCCCTCTGACAACTTTGGAGAAAGACTGCTGAGATTTCCAATAAGAGCGTTAATATGACTACTGTCAACGGAAGCCATTCTGATAGGAACCTAGGACGTATATCTCGAGTAAACAGTTTGGTATAGTATAAGTTACTTCTTTTAAGGAGTGGTGGTGATAGGTAGGGGTGATATACAAGTGAAGGAGTAGAAATGTAGTAGAATATATATTGATCCAGACGTCTTAGCTTCCATCCGATCATAACATATTTCCTTTCCTATCTTATACGTACCTACCTTAGATACTTTATCATTAATTGACATTGTCTGAGTTACATGCATCGATCAACCCCTCTTCTACTCTACTCATCCGTCATTGTCGCTGCCACCCTGACGTGTCTCTTTTTCCTTGCCGGAACTTACCTATTCGAAACCGTATCTTCTGCAGGGTCCCAGTACGTTGTCCCCACCTTAGATGTAATATCCCAGTACTTCAACTTTTACGACACGATTCGCTAGTACATACCTAACTTATGGTAGAAGGCCGAATAGCCCCATTCACAGCTTCGTATAGGCGGGGATGAACGTGAACGTTTTACTTCGATGTACAAACCTTCTACACGGACCGCTGTTAAATAAGACAATACCAAAACCTCATTTATACACTGTATATTTCGTAGTTTAGAACTGATGAGTTAAATTTAGAGTGCATTCCGTAACACCATCCAATAGAGAGAATAGTTCATACTCTCTGACCCTTTAAATTGCTACTGATCGACACTTTCGACTTATATGTAGTGACGTTAGCCCGGGCATATCGAGTATAATACTTGCTCCTCTCTACCAAAATCTTGGCTATGCGGCGTTGTTAGTCGTCTCCCGAGGCTCAACCCCGAGTATCCCCGCTAGTAATACAAATTAGAGAAAGCAATCCCCTTGCTTGGTTAGGTTCGAGGCATCACGTTTCCTTTCCTCTTCCCGCATACTACGTAGGCCAGATGATCTCCTTAGATACTATAAAGTCCTGGACGATAATTTTCCACATAAGATTTGCAAGAGTAAAACCAATCGAAATTACACGGGAGAGTTGATGCTTTCTCGTTGCGGAATGCTACAACTAATTTCCTCCAATGATATTCAAGAGTGCATTTGTGAGTCCTTCCAGGGCCCAGAGAGGGTAACAATGCAGCCTCTTCAAACCACTCTTTCTGTCTATAAGGTTCAAGTGGGCCACCATCCGTAGATACCCATTGGCAAACCCTTACTCCAGCTGCCGATGCATACAACCACCTAATGTACGCACCGGGAGCTAAGCTGAACCAACCCCGGACTCTGACAAATCTGACAAACTGATTACCTACCCATGCGTAATCCCGACCCCGAGGCCGAGGCCGACACTATAACCCCCGAGACCACCATGCAAACTGAGAAGACTGTGATGTGCACGATCACTTTTCGATCGGGTGTTTATGTTAGCACCAGATTGTGATAACTGCGGGTGATGTCGTATTTCTAAAGTGATTCCGGCATTAGAGCCCGGGGGCGAAGCTCCAGGTCATCCGAAAACGACTTACGCTGCATTGTATTTTAGAAAAGACCGGCCGTACTATGCCCCGGACGCTACCGATATTGTATACCGCGATTTTGTTTGTTTGTTAAAGATATGGACCTACAAATCAGATGACCTTGAAGTTGCTGCCTCCTCCATACAGAACGTATATATGGAGATATGTACCTAACCTACCTAGGTACGCTACCAATTTCCTTCTCGTTAATACGAACATTGGTAAATTTTCACACAAAGCTAGCTAGCCAATTCTTCTAAGTTTCAAGGACGTATTGTACAGGAATGAGCATTAGGTAAACACCAGCCTGCTTAGAAAATAGCGAAACGCCCGTATGCTCCAAGGTCTCAACCATGGTTGGCTCGGTTGGGAGGAGTGATAGCCGCAAAGGCTAGGGCATCCTATTCCAGGTACCCACCTAAGCTATTCCCGTAACCCCACGTTGGCAGTTATGAATCAACTGCTCCGGACGTCGCCTTTATTTCGAACCCCAGCCAGCCAGCCAATCTCTTGCTATGAGGTAGGTATTCTTGTCATATGAGGAGCAGTGCGTGATTCCCGTGCAGCTCGCAGGACGCTTCTCCAGACCCTGTTTTAGCTCAAATAGTACCCATATTAGATCGTCCGAGATACTTTCGGAAGCCAGGATTCATGCAGTTGTCTAAGTCGAAGCCTCGAGATGACAACAATTTGTTGTATTCATTCCCAGACGCCAGACCGCGGACAGGTTCCGGCGTGGCAAGTGACGTGAACGATCATCTCCCATAAAAGCATACTGGTTGTTGGGGTATCTCATGTATAATACATTCGTTGGATAGTTGTTACATGTAGTATACAAGCGAATGGCTTATTTCTCCGCTTCTAACTTTGCCGGAATGAGGTGTTCAGCCATGCTGATGGCGCCCTCCATGTCGTTTTTATTGAACAGGAAAAGGCCTTGGATAGCGGCAGTGCTAGTTCGAGGGAGTGACTCGCCATCCTTCGCGTCGCGAAAGAGCCCCAAGTCGTCGAGCCGCTTCAAGAACCTTTCCCGATGAGTACCATCGACATCGACGTCACCATAAAATCTATCCCACATCTGAGCAGCTTGATACCTAGTTGCTTCGCCTATGCGAACCATCATATCCACCCGGCCCGGCCTAATCAGAGCCGGATCCAGAAGTTCGACGTGATTGGTAGTGAGGAATGCGATTCGTTCCTCTCCCGCAGATAATCCATCTAGGGCATTTAATAACCCGGAGAACGTCACCGTCCCGCCGCTGTATCCATCCGCCTCACGATTCCTCCGGTTGACAAATGCGGAGTCAGCATCTTCTAGCAGGAGAATAGTCCGCTCTGGAAGCTTGGTAAGAAGAAAGGCGAGCTTATCATCTGTCACTCCGATCTCGCTGAGATTAACCATGGCCACGCTGAAATCCAGTTCACCAGCCAGCGCCTGGATGAATGAACTCTTGCCACTTCCCGGCGGACCGTATAAGAGATATCCCCTACGATATGGGATTCCGCGGTCCACATACCATTGTCGTCGGGCGAGAAAGTCTTTGGCATCGTTAACGATGTCTTCCTTAATACCTTGATCTAAGATGACGCTGCCTAAAGGTCGTTTTCTTCGAGGCTCCCCAAGTGGAACCCAGTCAAAACTTCGCACAGAATACACTACAGTTTTCCCTTCGTTTGCCTGGAGTGCAAGACTCCGAGCCTCGGCGAAAACATCTTCGAAAATGTGCCTGTGCGCATATAAAGTAGTAAGTTCCACCGTCTCATGGGGTTCGCCAGTATTTGTCTTCGCTGTTGCCTGTTTCTCCCTATTTACGGCGATGTACGCATGTTTGTATTTCACAATATGCCGGCCGTATCCAGGCTGTAGAAAGAAGCTGGCTTTAGTGGCGCCATTTGGAGTAGAGCTAGTGGACGTAGTGACAGACAGCTTGTTGATGCGTGTCAACCTCTTCGCAATTAAAGAAGTTTGTTCACGAGGTTGTGATAACCAGGCAAGGATCCAAGGATAAGACGGGTCTGTCCTACTAATTTCAACATTAACAAGCATACGACGCCGAATCATACCAGCTGTAGCTAATACGCCTCGGCGAGCAAATGCCAAAACGGCGCCAAGTGACGCGAGGCCAAAGCCACCCGCGAAAACGGGATTATCAAGCAGCGCATTGAGGTTTAAAAACGACTGCGCTGTGGGAGGATCCGACATGACGCTTCTGGGAAGCTTAAGATGAGCTCGACGACATGTTTTTGATAAAATGGATATGACCTCAAAAAATGTGCTGACTAATTTAATACTACCGTTGTTTTACCGAGCACTCCATATTTTCCTCCCTTTTGAACGTTATTACCTTTAAACGACTTTAATCATAGCGTCTTTACTGGGTACCTACCTGTACTAGTTAATGCGTTACCGGGGCGCTATGCTCCAACCCCTTCCCCCTTTATCTCCTACATACACTATGTACATGTACTAAAGTCTTAAAAGACTCATGGCGTTACATCAAACTTATCTGATCCGTTACTTAGTACCTACCTAGGTATGTATGCATGCGTCAATAATATGTTAACTTTTGGTTAGTTTAAGGCCAATCATGAAATCATCAAAGTTAAGGCGTCAGTATGACGACTTGGACTAAGTCAGCTATAACAATCAAACGACTCCATAGCCACATGCAAAGTGATTTTCTAATACTTAACTAGTTGCACGTAAAAATCAAAAGGACAGCTAAACTAATTATACTACTCGATCTTCAGAACATTCACCAGAATAACAACCCGATATGCCTTCCGGAACTGAAAACGCGAAACAGCAATTCATGAGCGGCGTTGAAAAGACGAGGAGGGCTGCTGCTGATGGTGTGTTGTTTCCTACCCTCGTATATAATATCAGTTACTAATACTAGTTTAGATTTAGATAATTCGAAGCAGAATAGCCCCAACACTAAGTCAACCTCGGGAGGCGACAATCCAAAGGCCGGAGGATCCTCGTTCAGACCCATTGCCAAGGGTGACACAAGTTCTTCGAACTACGTCCCCGAGAAAGGTCCATCAACCTAGGGCTTTTATAAAGGTCGCTTAGCTTTACAATGCTGTATATACAATAGAGATAATATTTGGATTAATTTTGTAAACCGTTAATACTCGGGAAATGCGAACCCCAGTCTTGAAAGAATGCTTCAGCCTTAGCCTGGCCTAAAGCTACCCCATGCTACTTCAATATTCATACTATCGCAAGAAAGGCAAAGGATTGGATTAGATGGATTGTAGTAGTCAAACGGACAAATGAAACAGCCCAAATAATATGTAAACGCCGTACTATCCTGACCATTCAACAGGGCAGGCATCAGTCATTATGGTTTCAGCAATGGATACTAGGATATATAGCATCGTTCAAGCCAATGGTCACCATCATTGCACATACGCGTTTCCCAATTTCGTTTCGATATCGTATAATGCGCTTCGAAATCTAGGGACCCTAACGAAACCGCATCTAGCAAATGACATGAATGCTAGCAACGTGATAGCCCCTTTACCCGGTCCTGATTGCCACCACGAGAGGAGGGTCCTACTAACCCAACAAACGAGTACCTTGTTTTTGGGTACGTGAGTTTTAATGAATGAGTTGCCAAAATATCGTAATATTTTAACTATCATAGCAGTGGTGATAATATGAAAGCCCGAAGAGATTGTTTGAGATCCAAGATGTTACTACCAAGAGCCAGTCCACCAGAGCGACCCGGACCTATGTGCAGGAATTCAAAATAGTACAATAGTTGAGGATAGGAAAATAAGTTGGTGGGTTTAATTCCGTTGCCGAGTCTTACTTCGAACTGAAGTATTTCCCTCCTTTAGAGACATTATCGGGAACGGGGAGGAATAAATTTTCAAAAGACTCGATAATTCCGCAATCAAGTTATCACAAACCCAGCCACATACTTAACTATTTCAAGGCAATAAATAAGGAACCCATAAACCCATCACCTTTTATAAGGACCAATCCCAGCAGCGGAGCCTCCTGGTATAGTTGTTCTTTAATTACAACGCCACACTAGATGCCACTACTGTACCCCTATATCGAACGTATAATCTCTTTGCAGCTCTCGGCTTAGGTATCTAAGATTAGAATCCCATGATCAATATCTCTTATATATTCATACATAATGTGGCCACGTCTCTACAGGGGCACAAGAGCTGTGCAATAAGGTATTACCTATCACACCATCTACGGTAAGATCACGGCGTCTCTTCGGAAGCGTATATGCGGCATAAAAGTACTTGCGCTGTCTGCATGAAAAGAGTCGTGCCGTCTTTCTTCGCTTGCTCCTCGTCCGAGATGCATCTGAAGTGCATGCATCTAGGTCTCTGCATTTAAGACGTCATCACAGGAATTCCAAATTCCTGATTAGGTTTCAAATTTGAACAGTTTCTAGTAAATTTTCATTCGTTCCTAAATAGCATCGTTACGATCCCTGTCTCCAGACATGATGTTGAAAAGTTCCGGCCGGGTGTGATCTCGTGGGTAATCACATAGTCTACCTCTCGACCAATCCGACGTCTATCATATGGAAAACAGCCGGCGATAGAGAACACATATCTATCGAGATCGAGTACTTTATTTCCCAAATTCGTTCTCTTCATGCAAGGTGTACCAGGCCGTTCCCATGTCAAACGTTGCCTTTAACGCTCCCTTCTACGACCACAGCCAATCAATTATGAGCCTCGAGGTTGGACCGATACTATTCGGGCAAGGCACTCTCGGGTTAGGTAGTACTGAGCCTTAAAGCAGTAATATACTATATTAGATCCGTTTATACCTAAAATATCCCCTGGTAGTACCGATGTATTATCTCATTGTGTCCTTCATGCCCTCTCTTGACATCTGTTAGACATCGTCCTACTTGTAGCCAGTATAAACAGCGAAATTCCTAATAACTAAATAAAAGAGTCATTTATCTGAATTAACGGAGAATTAATCTACCGTGCTTCCATTCTAGTATTTTCCAGCTTCCTAAAATTTATACGCGGACCACGAGTTGGTCACCTCCCGGCAAAATTCAATCTGGCTAAATGACAACTACGTTCCACACTTAATCTCAGAACTGTTAACCATTCGACGATATATTTATAACTCTATCGGTCTAGAGGACTAGATCCCCTGCTACATACCCCAGAGGCCGAGAGAGCACATGGCTGAGAGATATGTAGGATTGTCGGCAATTGTGGTCTTCGGCGCTCAGGAGACGGGCCCATCGACGTGGGATGCGACATAAATCCCCTCCATTATCCCCTTCGTTGGGTCGTCCAGAGTTGTTTCAATCTTGAGGCGTTTTTGGATAGACTTGGGATCGACAGCCTGCTGTATTGCTTCGGAAAGGTCGCCAATACCAAAAAAATGCAGTTAACAAACCTCGTACTCCTTGCCGCCGCGGGCATCGCGCCCAGCGTTAACGCAGCGACTCTTCGTTTCTCGTGCTCGCAGCTCGTTGTCGAACGTCTAGACCCGTAAGCAAACACCAAACCCCGAGGCATCGAAGAACCGGAGATTTTTCTAACAACATTATTCCTAGTCTTGTCAACCCCGGAGAGAACCCGTCGCCTCATCTTCACCAGGTTGTCGGAGGAAATGCCTTCAATGTCAGCATGGACCCCAAGGTACACGACTTGCCTTCGACGGCAACATGCACTTCCTGCACACCGACTGAGGACTTCTCCAACTATTGGACCGCCGTTCTCTTCTTCAAGTATGATGAGCCACTTTTCCTCATTTCTAATTTACCGAAGTACCTACCAGTGAGATAATAATGAATCGGAATTATCGTTAAAATTTTAGCCCAACTTTAAAGGCGGCATGATATTGTATACTAATATTTGTCTTCTCAGGGCGAGGAACGGAACGCTACACCGCGTCAACACCTTCGGAAACGAGCTCGGTTTCACAGGTGCTAACGGCGGTCAGACCGTCTACTATCTCTCGTCAGGCAAGGTGACCGCTTTTAAGCCCGGTTTCCGCATGACAGTCGGAGACCCGTCCATCCGCACCTCTGAGGAGCTTAACCGGAGATACAAGTACATGGACTTCACTTGCCTTGCCTCCTCTATGACTCGGGGCGGCCGGACCACATACTTCCCCAAGCAGCCATGTGCGGCCGGTATCATGGTTAGCATCCGCTTCCCAACGTAAGTGCCCATTACCCCTTTCCCCATAAGCGATAATAACTTACCGACCCCCTTTACAGCTGCTGGGATGGCAAGAACCTGGACAGCCCCGACCACCAGAGCCACGTCGCCTACCCTAACGGTAACGCATGCCCATCAACTCACCCGGTCACGATCCCCCAGGTCTTTTACGAAACTTACTGGGATACCCGACCCTTCAACAACAAGGCGGAATGGCCCGCCGACGGATCTCAGCCTTTCGTCTGGTCCTTCGGTGACCAGACCGGTTACGGTATCCACGGTGACTACGTCTTCGGCTGGAAGGGTGACGCGCTCCAGCGTGCTATGGATGCCAACTGCAACAGTGACCTATTCGCTAACCAGATTAACTGCCCTACCCTCCAGACCCAATCCCTCGACCAGGCCAACAAGTGCACGAAGCCGAAGACCGTCACCGAGAACCTCGACGGTTGGCTCCAGGAACTTCCTGGTGGGATGCCCATCAGCTAAAGGAATTTCTCTAAACCGGAGTGTTGTTTAAGGGATGTGAAAGTGCTTTGAGGGAGCCAGAGCTTTCACCAGCATTCCCCCTTTGACACAAGATAAATTCCTCAAGCCTTATACTTAATAGTCGATTATTTTATATATCTAGCCGAATAGAATAAATTTCTCGCTGTAAACCCGAGTCGACCGAAGTTTGATTGAAGCCTTTAGTAACAATGTAGTCGTAGTCATATCAGCTGTCTCTGCCATATTATAAGATCTCAAGGATTGTATCACCAAGAATTAAGTTGTTAACTCGCCAAAACTTCAGTTATTGCACTTCGTTCCCAATTAAGATCATAACTGTGCAATGATACCCCCAACTTCCGCACATCGTATGCCGCCTCTCTTGAAACTCCTGCTCCCACATGCCAGGGTAGCAAAAATGTAATGCTGCATCAGCCGCGAATCGAACGCGGGGCCCATCGATGGCAACGATGGATTTTACCACTAAACCACTGATGCTTGATTGGATTGCTCCTTGGTGAAATGGCGATTTGAAATATTTTTCTATATTCTCAGTGTGCGTTCTCCACTACCGTAGGACCCATTCTTCGCCCTATTGTTGAGTTAAACTAGCACTTTCCGAACAGTCGGGACCCAGTTCAGCCCGTTCTAGATCGCCAATCTGAACCTGTCTGGGGGAGCTACGTAATGGCCAAATAAAGTCATCTCCTGACAATCTTGCAGGTTTAGTCTGTTACGTACCTAATATACATGTGAAGCTACCAGATGTTAAGGCAAGTCGAAGCCTCTCGTATAAGATCCAGCAATGCAAAGTTTATCTTATCTTTTATAGGTTCCCCTATTTCTCTCCCTGAGTATTTCTTCCATCCTTTCCACATCTTCTCCCCTGGGAAATATAGCCCCGGGGCAACATGTGGAGCTACCAATTGTAAGGCTTTATGATGAGTAAGAAGTTGATCAATTGAAGTTTACGAGAGAACTTCATTCTCTCAGACTAATCTAAGTAAGCTAGACTAAGTAATTTATATGACGTATAACCCAAGTACAAGTACAAGCTAAACCATGGCTATCGATCTTTAAGAATATTGTGAGCTTTGTGTCCCAATGGTACAATAGGATTGGGTTGGTTAGCTCCTTTTATAAGATATTGAACGATTCGATTTCGTTGGGTATAGGGGTAAACGGTGTCTTCGCTGTGTACCTGTTTCGAAATCCCATCAGCGCGACGTTGGATACTTCGAGGCCTCTCGGCGATATGATCGTCATTCTATTCTTGTGTCTCTCTGCGACAGGTAGCTGGTGGAAAAAGGCGGATCCATCTATACTTGAGGTGCGATATGTTGACCCACTCCTTTGCCACCATAATGTTGGTGCTGCCTTGGTTTTTTTACGAATTCCATCATCTGTTACCAAAAGGCTGGTATACACTGGTGATTGGGTGGTTGCGTCACGCCGGGGTTGCCGGTACTTGAACCACATCTTCGTTGTCGTTTTCTTTGATATCCTCAGCGTAGGATCTCATTTTCTTCTGTGCAGGTTTATACGACTTTTTCGATGCTATCTCATCAATAGGCTAGACCGCTGATATAGCTGAGAATTCTTTATTCCAATACATTTTTCTGGGACCCAACTGCCTCGATATCCGATGTTGTAGGCCTTTACCAACTTACCCATCACGTTCCGGTATGGTTTTTCCGTCTTGATGTAAGGCATGTCTTCTGGGCGTTGTGCGCCTAAAGATGGTACTGTTTCTGTCTTGTTCTTATCTCCTCGTATGGCTGACCATACGTCTTCTGATGTCTTCTCATCTGAAGTAAGCGCTTCAATTACTTCGCTGGTGAGATCGATTTCGCCAGTAATCCCATGAGAACTCTGGTAGGTCGTCCAAGGAACTTTTTTGTTCCTCGGTGTAATCAATCATGATGTTGTTGTAGGCCTTTACCAACTCACCCATCACGTTCCGGTATGGTACACTACTGCTTGGTTGTCCATATGCATTCATCTTCATCAGTATCTCCACTACTTTTGGAACATCGAACCAAGATCTTGGGCCTGCTATACACACTGCATGGCACCAGTATTCGAAGGGGTCGTCGATCCATTCGCCGTCCTTTTGGAAGTTCTCTCGGGTTTTGACGAAATAAGAATTTTCAATAGGGATGGTTCTACGCCCGGTTGTTGTGACCTGTCCCCAACTATGGACTTGTTTCATCAAGTTCTCGTATTGCTACCCTATATCTCTCAGAGTAGAAAGCATAGTCATTCCGCATTAAATACCATATTCCAACGCACGGCCTCAGCTCACACGTTGGTACAGGGACTAGTGCTAAATGCTAGGGGTTGATGAGGGCCAAAGAATTCGTAGGGGATGATTTCTAAATCACCCAGGGAGACATTTGGTTTAGTAGTAGTTCTTCTCCTTGAGTCTTCTCTGGGACTTTGCGGGTGGAATGATCGATTTCCAATCCTTTTCTGCCTCGATGGCCATTCTTTTTTCTTGAGAGTCAGGATAGTCCGCAACATTAAGCCTTGTCTTTGAGCTAACGCTTGGCTCATTTCGAGCCATGTCGCCCCATCATAGTAATCTATGGTGATGGTAGTCGGTATTTCTTGTTGTTGTCTTGTGTTCGATATGTTCCTTAGTGGTATGGGATCTTCATTCATGCCGATTAATTCTTCGTCTGCGAATGGGTCCGTTCCATCCATAAGGAAGAGATGCCGGAGAGCAGTAGAATCTCTAGACTCTAATCTCGGAATTGGGCAAGAACTGCATTAACCCACCAACTGTCATTTGGGATAAATATCCATGCCCAGGAATCCATCTCGGGAAAAGAGTGTAGTTCCTGCCGTTGGTCGGTTCTTATTATTGATACCTTGTGCTCGGTTCGGAATGACATATAGTCCAAGCGTTATATCGATGAGTTGATGTCTTCATCGTTTAAGAGTGGGGTATCGACGTCTCTCGCATTGTCGCGTGGTCTGATTAGTTGCCCTTCGCTTCTTAGACAGGTGTTCAGCACCAACGGCAGCGGTAGTACCAGCACCTTTGCCTTTGGGCTCGGGAGGGGGGGCTTAAACCACTCCGCCGTGGGCTGCGGGACGGGTACTTTGTTGACGTCGAGCCATTCGCCCTGTTCGATAGGGCGCTCTTTGACGTATTTGTCGTACAGATCAAGATTGTTGGGAATCCAGTGTCCCTTTTTCACCGCTTCCGTGTGTATCTGCAGTCCAACGACTGCTCCGTGGGGCCACTTGATTTGCATCCTGTCCTGCTTGGTTAGAACCGGTAAAGTTAAATACGCCGGTTTGGTTATTATTGCCGCCTCCGAATGGCAGAGTAAAAGACATTGTAGTAATAGGTATTGGGAATCTAGGGTATTGCATTGTTGGCCCGAAGGCTTTGCTCGAAGTGGAGCTACCAATTGTAAGACTTGAGAGTGAGTAAGAAGTTGTTCAATACAGACAGGGTTGGACAGATACTTACATAAACCCTCAGGATGTGCTTGGACTGAGCCTTAGTATCAAATAAGTCGTTGAATTCTTATTTAGGGTATTAGAGATATTTTATCGTCGCATAATCTGGTCCTGCATACCCCCCCTGGTGGTATGCCCTATTTCCAACATGGAAACAAACGAGATAATATAATAATATAGTACAAGAGCAGGTCGGAGACTCGTTGCGTTGTTGTTATGATGTTTCTGTTGCATGTTGGCGTTGGCGTTGTTGTTGTGAAGTTATAAAAGGGGCTGGAAACGTCAGGATTGCCTGCCGTCGAGTTCTATTATGAGGCACTTCAGGCGGTTATGCAAGGTGTAAGACATATCGTCCAGGCATTTGAGCCCAACAAGGCGATTTTCGCGCAGAAGCTCCATCTTGTCTTGCATATGATCTAGACCTTGCTAGTATCTCCGATTTGGTTGTGAGTCCGATTCAAGACTATTTTTAAGAGTATGGCTGATTGGAGTTCAAGCACTAGAAAAACAGCGGGTTCAATTGTCGAATATAGCGGCGGAGGCTTGAATCTAATATAGATAGAAAGAAGTAGGGGTAATTGTTTTGTACATTGCTGAAGTTGAGCAGAATAAAACAGGTAGTTGGTAGGTAATAGGTAGAGGGATTTAAAATATTTTAAGGATGTAGTACGATGAAGCTCGAAGAAAGAGAGGCAGGTCTTTATATAGAATCGAGTGTGAACTCTATTGTTAGAAGGTCAACGCGAACCTTAAGATTGAGTCACTTTTAGGTTTTTCTGTATTTCTTGGAGGCGTGCTTGCCCGCCCATATGGGTACCTAAATAAAAAGAAAGGAAAAAGAAGGAGCGAAAGCTACTCGGCGTGGTAACTACCATAGCGGCAGAATGTAGGTTCGTGGAATGGTTCCAACTTATTACAATGATTTCATGTATAATAATGTTTTAATTTAAACCAAATGATTCTATAAGGTTTATAATGATTTTATAAGGCCTATAATAATTCTATAAGGTTTATAATGATTTTAAAAGGGTTGGAATAATTTTAAAAGGTGGAATGCTTTTAAAAAAATCGGAAAAGTGGGTTTAAAAATTAAAAAAACGCTAAAAATTTAAAAAAACTAATCTTTAAACTTATAGCTCCCGCATTTGTGTTACCTTACAATGGAGGTATTTAAACGTTTAAGTTAATGGGATAAAATAGTTAATTTTATCGAATTAATATAAAAGTTTAATTAATTTTTACTTTTATAAGTTTTACATTAGAAAAAACTTAATAATTTTTATTTAAAAAAAAATAAAATGGAATTATTTTATTTTTAAGAACTATTTCGATATTTGCAGAATAGTTTTAAGCTTTAATCTTATCTCAGTAGCTCAGACCTCAATTCGAGGAGCCTACCCCTTCCCCGCCACAGGCGCCACGAATCCTTGGTCTGTGTGTTTGTATCTGTAGGTCGGGGGTGAGGCGTTCCTCGAACTGAGGTCTGAGGTTGCTGTGGAGCCGTACCTCACTAGATGTGAAGATTTGGTGATAAAAAATCAAATATTAGGTCTGCAATAACTTAATATACAACAACAACGTACAAGATGCCTTCTATTTTTATAACTCGGGGCTAGTATTTTGCTTTCTCTACCTCCTCATCTTTTTTGCATACCCATACGGCTTCGCGTTCTTATATACGAGGCCTCAACGTTAAAATTCACTAGATATAAAGCACCATAATCAACACCATAATCAACAATCAACAATCAACAATCAACAATCAACACCACAGTCAACACAGCGTATAAAAATAAAATGCCTTCTATTTCAACCGTATCCTATCCTAATACTATCGCCCAACCCTTCCTGCCTTTATATACCAGGCCTTGACGTCTTGCGGCTACCGTTGTTGCGGTTGACGCGTTGCGACCGGTGTTGTGTAGCTATTGTTAACAACACCCACAACGCCCGCAACAACGCCTACAACCAAATATAAAATGCTATAAGGGCTAATAATTATTGCCCGAGCCTTCCCGTCTTTTTTTTATACCTATACGGTATTATATTCTCGTATATTAAACCTCAACGTCTATTAAGACGCGTCTTGCAACTAACGCGCTACAACCAATATTGCGGCTCCCCCGAAAGGCTTAAACGTATAGATTTAATCGGGAAACCTAATAAAAAGGTTAATACGATTGTATAATCAATTAATACTTATTGTAAAAACGCGTTAATGCTATTGTTTTTAATGATGTTTTTTCATACAACAAGTCAATTTTTCATTAAGTAGTTGTCCACAGTAACCTTAGACCAGAGTTTCGATGTTTTTTTGGGGGGGTTGTACGGGTTGTGATTGGCTGGGGAGTGGTGTGGCTGTGGGGGGTACATCCCCCCGAACTAAACATCGAAGAATCTGGTCTGAGGTCACCTGAGATAACTTTAATCCATTTTTATTACCTATTATTTAATTAAAGGCTTTAAATTGGTAGTGGGTTTTGCATTTTATTAAGCTATTTTAATTTTAGCAATCATTCCACGAAACTACATTTTGCCGCTATGGTACCTATCTAGTAGTTGCCCCGTAATCGCTATTAGATCTACATCTTAAAGCGGCGTAACCATCGTTCTTCTCTTTCTAAAGTTATTACAGGAATGGAAGTCACGATTCCCGTTGCCCCATTTCATTATTCCATCACCTAAAGTTAAAGCTACGCCAGGCAGGTGGTCGTATGATTTTTCCTCGAAGATTGCCTGCATGTAAATATATACATGAGCGGTTTCCAATAGTTAGCTCCTTCTACTCATACCTATAAGGTTAGCCTTTGGAACTTACTATTGTCACATCTCTTAGAAATTATACGAGTATCAAATATGTAGCTGGGAAAGGTGTAGCGGAAAAGCATTCTTCTTTCATATACACATTTCGTATTATAGGATAGATATACCTTAGGTTAGGTACGTAGGTAGACAGGTAAGGGTAGATAGATGTATTTAGTAACAATCTCTAGTAAATGGCAGAATAGGGGCAACCCTCCCCCTAAGACAGCAATTACAAGTGTACATGACCTCAATGACGACGGGCATTAGAGTATATACATACATAAGAATAATATATCTTGCGGGAATAAATCATGTGTAAAGACAATATTCAAACAGCCCAATCGAGAAACTTATGCTAATGAATGCCCGATCTAATGCTAAGATACAATACGCCAACCGAAACTATTCGGATTTTTATCGAACGTGATCCCAACCGTACGCCGTGCATCCCTACCGATGCGAACCTCCTTAACCCAAGTCGCAATGCATTTTTGCACCCGCAATGAATCCGCCTGCTAATTTTACAATCATCTAACCAGCCGGCATTGTCCGTTCGACGAAACTTCGACTCGCCAGCATTGTGTAGTTCGAGAAGTATACACCTGAATGCTGCTATCTGATTTGACTAGCTGTCTGTCCCAACTACTCTATGCAGAGACCTTCAGCGGGGGTCCTAGTACCACTGGCGAAGACTTCTCTGGCGAATCTTTTTGTAGCGTTTCTTCACTGGGTTTAGCAGCCGACGAGGTTTGGTTTGGTTGCGATGTGCTAGTAATATCAGCAATTGCAGAGCTTGCTGATCTACCGAGCCTCTTATTCCCCTTGGCCTTGGTTTGAACATTCTCCTTCGTATCCTTCTCGTTTTCCTGGGAGCTTGAAATGGGTCGTAGCGTTGGTCGCCGGGCAGCTCTTCTACCCCGCCCAAACGAATCTGAACTTCGTAAGTAATATTCTTCGTCCGAAGAGTCAAAATCGGCAGTGGGAATTGGTCGTACTCGACGGCTTTTCTGCTTTGTCGTCGCATCAGAAGCCTCTGAAGACTCTATCGATAGGCTTCTACTCCTTGTCCTTCGATGGCTATGGTGCTTTCTGCTCGATGTATTTTTCCTCGAAACAGTCTTGTGAAGTGTCGAAGTCGATTCAAAATCTGTCGGTAACTCGCCGCTCTTGAGTTTAGCCTCTACCGCCCTTTCATGAACTAGTCGGCTTAAGCTAGGCGCGTCACTCATCGTCGTCTTACGACTGACGTGGCTAGCCATGCTTCCACTTCTACTAACTGGCACTTTACCCTCCATGACCTTCGCAGGCGGTGGCGGTTGCAACATCCACAGAGTGGCGTTTTTGTTCGTAGGCTTCTGTCGCACAATCGGGGGATGATACTCATTGACAGGAGGATTCCTCGGCGCGAAATAGAAGTTATGTCTGTCTTCCTCAGTAACCGGCTTCGGTTCCATCCCTAACCTTGTTTCTAGAAGTCGACCGGCTGATGATCCCGCCTGCTTAATCGCGTCCATCAGCTTATGACCTGTACGGGACAGCTCATGACCCCATAACTCTTCATCTTCCCTTTGGTAACGCTTTCGGTTCCAATCGTCCGATAGGGTAGTTGAGAAACTGAGCTTGCCGTCTTCTGCCACGGCAGTATGACTACTTACCGGGCTCGTGCTGTCGACCTGCGTACTGCTTTCGGCAACGCTTGTAGTTTCTTTGCCGGAACTACCCAGGCGCTTTTGGCTGGCACTCTTACCACTACCGCCAGTATACTTCTTTGACTGTATTCTCGGCCCCATCATTATTTCCTCCGACCAGTACGGATTTGTATTGAAAGGGTCCGGGTGTCGGTATGATTTAGGGTTCTCAGCCTGGAAACGCGCTTTCACCTCACGCTCCTTCTTGGCCAGCGCCTTGGATTGTTGATGATGCCTTGCCTGAAGACATGGTGCACAAGATACGACGTAGAATATGGCAGATTGGACAGCAACGCCGAACGACATGATAGATAGAGGATGTTTTCTCCGTAAGGGGGGAGGGGAGAAGGTGACGATATGTACAGGTGCCCGTTGAGGCTTATATCGTGGACGGGAAAGCTATCTTTAGCAACGGCATTGGCGGAAGTGATTTAAGGTACTTCGTCGGGAGGTGCTCTAGAAATCGTATCGAGAGTTTAAGTTCGGTAATTGGGAAAAGGTTCGCAGAGAACGCAGCGTCACACGTGAAACTGAGTTTAACTAAGAAGACAGGACAAGTTTAATTCTTAGTTTCGTCGAGCTTGAGTCTAAATAGAACACAAGCTTGTCTCTTTAGTATGTCGAGCCGAGGAAAGTTGGTCGGTATGGAGAATAAGTAATAAGTAAGTACGTGGTCATCGACTTCCAAGACGCGGTTGCTCGTAAGATAACTTCGCAAAGAAAAGGGGGTAAAGCTGATTGCTATGTAGAGGGTTCGGTGAGATGTAAAAATCGCTCAATTGGGATATGAGACTTATAAGTTATAGGCTGGACAAGTTGATGCTTGATCTACCCAAGTAGAAATGAACGTGGAAACTAGGTAGTCTAGTAAAGTAATAGAGCAAACAAGTAGCCTAGAAGTCGTTATGCTGTGTCCAGGCGAATAATTAACCAACAATACAATTGAATAATAATAAGCTCGGTCGGCAGACAAAAAGGTCTCGATTTTCAACGATAAAAGTTAAGGAACAAGACTTGAAGCCGCCGCCGGCAACGAACGGGAATAACTAACGAAAGGGAAGTAAATGAGTGGAGGGAATTCGGAAAAGCGAATTCAGGATTCGATGTAAACTGCGTAAACTACAGTTGGCGATGGACAAATGGTGTGGACGATCCCACGCTCTGCTGCATTTCCCTGCATCCTAATGTACCTATGCTACTATATACATAAATATATAATGCAGAGCATATGATGGTTAGCCAATCGTATCGAAGAGAGAAATGGGGATTTGCCTAATTACGCTCATCATGTTTCAACGCCACAGCTTGGCTTCGTTCACAGAGCAGGGATAATGGTAATACAACCCCTGTAAGTGCAGTAGTCACTACATTAGGTACTGTTAGTACCTACTCTAACTAACCCCGTATCCTCTTTTGCCTCTTGCCTCTGTGGTATACCGCTAATTCAACACTGCTAAACCATGCTGAACCACAGAAGGTGGGGTTCATCGCCTGATATGTAGATTGTAGTCTCCGCAGTGTCCGCTAATCCATGCAATCCACGATCCACCATCGTGGCACATTCATTTGCGCATCCGTCGCTGCTAATGGCTGGCCTCGTTTGCTAGGAGCTCTTTCGGATCCAGGCGTTCAGCCCCTCGTTTTGATCCTCGAATTGGAATTTGGATAATCCTTCGCTTAGCGTACATACATAGTTACAACATGCCTGCACAATCTCACGTTTTACCCTTGGTTCTTGGCTTATATATTGGCTTGCATTATAACTCCCCGCACAGCATCTCCAGGAACCATGTAACTCCCGCATCTTGATAATCAACCAAAAAAATGCATAATGACCCGCCATTAAGAACCCAAATTTTTGATCTAAGATCCCTTAATAACTGGGCAAACTCGATGCGGGAGATGCGGGAAGGGGGGAGTATACAAATATGTATTCGCCTATCCTCTATTTACACGTATACACGTGTAATCGAATACGGCCGCCTACCTGGTTAAATAATGGCTCAGCCATGATGACTGGCCATTGATGACCACGATGATCGTAATGGTTATGATGACCACACGTCAGAAGCTTAGTGATCCAACATTTTCCCCTCTATGTACTACCCAAGGATCGCCTACTTCAACGGCAGCCATAATCATGAATTACCAAATATGTGTTGATGCATTTGCCCATGGGATGCCGAGACATACGTACACACAAATTTATAGTTATACCAAACATGTTTCTTTTGACGCCACGTAGCAATAACTTAGTATGTTCGAATCACATAACTGAGTGGAATAGTTTGAGTATACTATGCTAAACACTATTTGTCTACATACAACGGCAGAGTATAACAACGTATGTATATCTAATAGACCTTATTGGTTACGACTTGACTATTTCCTTACATCGTGAGGGGAAAGTTGTCACACGTGAGTTATCAACCATCTTTTATTAACCCTTGAGCCTCTAATATGGTTACACCTTTTTGAATAACACATAATAGTTTTTCTTAGGTAAAGCCAAGAATATATATCTAGTAGTGAGACTGGTATCAGACGTACCGCTCCACCCTATGTCTACCTATACCCATAACAGAAACGAACTAATAAATATCTCTTTTATTATACAGAGAAAACTCCTCTGGAACTCTAACAGTTCACATAATATGCAATCCCTAAACAACTACCTATGTATGTACATCAGTTGTGTAACGAGCCTAATAAAGCCTAGAATGTATGACAAATACCGAAACACCTGTCTTGCCATGTAAGGCAGGAAACAAATAGCCGGGAGGGATACCACTCCGGAACAGTTGATATGATTCTACATGCAGATGTTGAGCACCCACGATGAGAAGAAGCCCTATTCGACGAGATTTCTTGGCAGGGTGCTTTACTTAATATGTTACCGTGACGTACATTCTCTATCACTTATGATAATGATGGGTTGATTGATGTCCCTACATAGGAGTGCTAAGACTATCATATCAGGTACCTAAAGGTCTGTTGAGTAAAACAAAAGTATGGATCTGATGGACTTATAACTTGGAGACCTAAGAAGTTAATTTGAGCAGATTCGAGTAAAGTACGTACATACCTTTGCTTCCCTTACACTCTAGTAGGTCAGGATATTGGTCCGGAATAAGGCATAAGAACAGCAAGTTATTTAGACAACCACCTATACGTGGCAGCAATTCCCCATAATTTCTACCTAAATGAAAGCATGAATATTGGCCTGGCATGCTCTACGACTTTGGGGATGGGGATTCAATTTGTTAAGATAATTAGGTAAAGCAAAGTGCCGGAAAAGACTGGGATTTTCTCTCCCAGAAGCTGACTTATGTTATATCCTGGACTTGGGTCTTCAATCCCCCCGGGGAACACGCCCTGGACTTGCATTGAATTTATTCATACCTAATCTATAAAAGTGGTCGATCAATAGGACAGACATAAACTACCTCACTAACATATATCTTGACATGGAATCAAGGTGATTCCCTCATGCTTTCTACTACGCACAATACAAGCTGCAAGTCACTCTCATTAACAAAGTATTTAGGAGAAGGTCAACAACTGCCGTTCGTCTTCACTCACATAACAACATGAGCACAGAGAAAAGGAAAGCATACGCATTCATTGAGCTATTTGAATCTATAGCTGCTGCAACTAAGAAATGATGACGCCTAGTATCCGTCCCCCTATAGTGGACTTGAAAACATTGGTACAGTCTCCGGCTAACGAGTTGCAGTCGTCAAGCAACGGATGACTCTGTACGTCTGTATAATAATGAGCTGCAATTATCAGGGAAAAAAAAATCATAAGTCACTAATACAAAGCAAGGACGACCAATTCTGCGTTTTCTCAGGGAAACGGCAAGAGGAACGTCCATCTTGCAATCCAAGTCCAAGCCTGTTTTTTCATAAGCGATATTCGATGTCCATGTGCATAATGGGATTCGATACGGTGTGATGTGTCGAGGAGAATACTGTACAACAACAATATTGACTGTGGGTGGGGAAGAAGATGTGGTGGTGGTGGTGGTGGTGGTGGTGGTGATGGTCGAGTCTATGCAATATTCACAGCAGACAAAAATGTATAAAGAAGTGAAGGTGGACGCCCCTGAGACACCCATGACGTGATATTCCTAACATATCATACGTCCCATTCTTTTTCTTCTTCATTATCATCTGTCTCCTCGGGAGTCAGGGCAGCAAAAGAAGAATTGCTGCTGGTCAGGATCGGCTTCTTGGTGCCATTGACCGGAACTGGAGCCTTGACAGTGGGGGTGCTTGTGGCACTACGGCCGTTGGTGGCCGGAGCAGAGGGGGCCGACACATCAGCGGAGGCATCCTTCTTCTTTCCCTTCTTCTTGGTCTTAACCTCATTCCACGAATTCTCTTGACGGAGTAGCTCCATCTGCTCTTCCTCCGAAGGCATGCCGGACAACCAGGGATCAGACTTCTTGGTAGTTCCGGCAGTGTTCACAGTACTCGGCTTTGTGGATTCAACCTTGGGTTGTTGCTCGAAAGTGTCAAGGGGTTGGACCGTGCTGTTGTTGGTGGGTTTTTCATTCCAGGCGTTTTGGGCACTGGCCATGAAGCTAGAGCCGTCCTTAGCAGGTCGTCCCTCGGCAATACGAGCAGTTCGTCTCTGTTGCTCGAGCTTAACCAGGCGCTCCTTTTCCTCTTCCTCACGGGCAGCCTTAGCAGCCTGAGCTTTCTTTCGGTGCTGACGTTGCTTCTTGGTCTCAACAACTTCGGGTGCCTTTTGTTTTCGCTCCTTAGGCTTCACGGAATCTACACCAGTAAGACGTAGGACGGAAGGGCCAGATGCAACAGGCTCTAGCATATCGGATACATCACGGCTGTCGACGGCTTTTACTACAGGAGAGGCTTGGGACGATAGATCGTCATCGGCATCATCTGCGTGTGAGGAAGGGACAGATGCCTTTCCACCTGATGCATCCTGAATCTCTTGAGCTTTGGACTGCTTGACAGACTTTTGCTTCTTATCGTCAGACTTCTTGGTGTTGAATTTGGTTCCTGCGTGGGCATTGGATAATTGACGAGCAAATTCACGGTCGGCTTTCTTGCTAGTAGCTTCGTCCTCGTCTCGATTGAAATTGACGTTAGGTGTAGTGGGTTCGTTCGATGTGGTCGTGGTCGTCGGAGCTTTTGGCTTGGGCTTGGGCTTCGCAACCTTTTCAACCTTCTTCTTGGTATCGCTTACTAGATCGGTATCGGGTTGTCTTCCCGATTGTTTGGTGAAGGAACCACGGCGAACGGTCCTCTGAGTCTTCTTTTGCTGGCTCCGGTACCAGATAGCTCCGCTGATCGCCAAAATGACCACCCATCCGCCAATAGTGGTGAGGGTCGAGTGGCTAGTGGAAATATCCATTGTGAACCGAAATTGTAGAGGATGCTCCTCTGTAAGATTCGCCGACTAGGTGGAAGTAACAGTGGAGGTAAAGGAGATTGATTGATGGCAGCACCAAGTGCCTCGATGCGAAGGTGTCTCAACGATGCTCAATTGTGCGTGGACGTGGACGTGCTTCGCAAGACACTAGTTGTATTGTACGTAGATCTCTGGGGAGCTAAACCAGTGACGGAAGGTAATGCGCCGATTATGTTGAGCAGTGCACTGTATATTTATAATACCAGTTAAGAAAGAGTGTGGAAGTAATGCAGCTGCGGATGAAGGATGAACATTGAACGATGCAAGCTCAGCTGAGCCAGAAACTGACGATTCAATGCCGACTTTATTAAATAACAAGGTATTTCTTTTCTTTTTTCTTGATGGAAGAAAACCTGTTATATAATACAAGTCGGTAAAATAAATGACAAAGTGAATGTGATTTGCACTGCACTGCACAGCACAGAGGTAGTCTGTTCAAGTTTCGTCAATGGGATGAATTGACTGACTGATGGCTGATGGCTGATGGGTTGATGTGGTGTAGGGGAATTTGGATTTGGGGATAAGCTGTCATTAACGGTTATTGACCAATCGGCGTAAAGTACAGGCTTGTACCTAAGGTAAGATATAGTACCTAGAGGTAAGGTATGAGCGCCGCGTACGTAGAAGTATGGAAAGTCTAGAAGCAGAAGGTTATCCCGCCAACCCGTGTAAAGGGGTCAAATGTTGAACAGCTGTCCAATACAAGTACACTAATGTACACTAAGTACAAGTGATAGTGGGTCTCTGCTTTAATGTACAACTGCCCGAGCTCTGCCTCTGTTTTCCGTATCGCCTTATCCCGTTACTGTATTAGCGTCTCATCAAATTGAATTGTACATGTAGGTAGAAAAAGCCCCTTAAAACGCCAAAATAGAATTGAATCTAGGCATTCCAGTCCCTTGGCCGTAAAGTTGCTAAGCCACCTTACGGCTAGCCCAATTCTACTTTTGTACATATGTATGTGCCTGAGCAATTGATAGATTCAATTGATACGCGGTGAAAATATGTGTAAATCATAAGAAACTTCGGTTGGTCAAAAACTCCCGTCTTGCAGCTGCTTCCCTTAAGTACCCTCCTTACTATGAAAAATGTGCCCAGCCTGCAGAAAACATGCAGGTCTAGATCTAATACCAAGATTTATATTTCTTCTTTGTTTAGGTATTTCCGTGAAGTGGCAAGTTCTGGATTTCATATCCAAAGCTGATGCCAACATTTGATTCAGCTGGACCTCATATAAGGCTGACAAGCTGGCAGAAAATTGTTCAGATATCAAGTCTTGCTTGAATATACGAATCAACCAATTATTGCCCCGGTCGACCTGGACTGGTTTCTTGAATCTGCATACATATCTTACGTGCTTAATACACGTGAATATTCAGAAATGATATACTGGGCTTTCAAAGGAGCTGAAACATGCATCGATTTGCAAAACAGTAACACTTGGGCGATGTGTAGGTAGTTTTATATATTTCTTTCTAGGCTAATTTAACTAGTAGATTTGCTACAAGCTGGTTGCTTGTAAAGTTTTAATGAAATTTATATCATCAAGTTTCCCTCCCGTTTTCCTTTAATCTTAAGCCAGGAAAGTATTTCTGTTTGAATATATTTAACGCAATCTATTTGTGAACATATTGCGAGCAACTTTAAATGGGCAACTTCAAGTACATACAAAGTATGCGGAAGTTGACGGGGTGTGTACGTGATCTCCGCTTTCCGGTAGACGGAGACTAGCGGGATCGTCCCCGCCGCAGGTCACCGACGGCAGGAAAACCCTGGGGTCACGTCGCACAGCAGACTTTAGGTATTAAGACATAATATGTACCTAACCTAACTTCCCATTCGTAGCCGCATCTTATCGATAATATCAGTCGTGACTTTCCTTCTTAAACCCGCCCGCCTACGTATCTGGTAAATATTTAATATTTTATCTACCCGAGTTTTGCTCTAGAATTATACCTAGAACTCTGCTTTAGGACTCTCTAAATTTTCGCCGTAGTAGTCATGGCCCCAAGAAAGATTATTATAGATACCGACCCAGGTAAGTAGCAGCAAAGAGAGAGGGAGAGAGATGAAACTTATATCTAAACTGTTTTATAGGCGCCGACGATGTCATAGCTATGCTTCTCGCCCTGGCTTCCCCGGCCGAGGAGCTAGAAGTACTGATGATTTCGGTGACTTACGGCAATGTGGCTCTAGAGAGTTGCCTGCGGAATGTAGTCGGCATGTTCCACGTTCTTGACCAGGAGATGGAGTGGCGCAAGTCTCAAGGGAAGCCTTTAGGCTATGAGGTTCTGCGAACTTACAAACCTATTGTTGCCGTCGGTCCTGAGCATGCCCTAGAAGATGAGATTTTACTGGCAGATAATTTTCGTAGGTTGAGAGAAGTTAGAGTTGCGCTAGCTGAAGATGCTGACGAGGTATTTTCCGGTAGATGGAGCTGACGGCTTGCATGGCGTTCACGAAGCTGTATGTCTTCAACGTAACTCGTGGGTGCGGGATTCAACTAATATATTCTAACAGCACCCTCACCTATCACCGGCTGATACTTGGAAATATCTTTTCAAGGACGGACTTGAGGGAGGTGCCGAGGATCCTTCATATTTAAAATATTTCACGCCGTCGAAAATACCAGCACATAAAGAGATCCTGCGGATCCTGAAGGAGGAGCCTGCTGACACGGTCTCGATATGCGTTCTAGGCCCATTGACTAACCTGGCTCTGGCTGCTTCGGAAGACCCCGAAACCTTTCTCAGGGTCAAGGAGGTGGCTGTTATGGGTGGGGCTGTAGAGTGCGTAGGCAACGTAACGCCGGTTGCTGAATTCAACACCTACGCCGATGCCGTTGCTGCCGCCCGAGTATTCGCTTTGACGTCACCCAACCCGGCTTCCACTATGCCACCCGTACCAAAGGACAAGTCAACTCTACCTCCCTACCCTGAAAAGCTTTCGCGGCCTCTGAACTTGAGTCTCTTCCCACTCGATATTACTACACCTCATCTCCTAAACCTAGGCTTCTTTCTAGAGCAGATCGAACCGCAGCTCGCCGGCAATAGCCCGTTAGCAGTATGGGTTAACACCTTCATGGCTGGCATATTTCGTCAAATCACTTCCATGATTGGTTCCGAAGTGGAACCGGGCCTATCGCTTCACGACCCTCTGACCATTTGGTATATGCTCACAGGATCTGATCCAGCATGGAAGGTAGCCAAGAACGCGCCAGAAGATATCCGCATCGAGACCTCGGGACAGTGGACTCACGGGATGCATGTTTCGGATCGTCGCGGTAGAGTACGACCTGACGGCGTCACGACTGTTGAGGTCCCCGGGGATGACGATGGCTGGCTCAGCTTGGTGAGGGGCAATAGAATAAACAGATACGTTAGCAGTCCGGGCGAAATGGTATTTGCGCCATTCCTAATGGAGCGTCTGTTTGGGTGAAAAGAATAGTAATTAAGGAAGACAACGAGTTGATCACATATATCTGACACGACGAGGACGGTAGATGTCAGCAGGACGTATATGTGGGTATCATTAGACAAGAGCGTACCCTATAGTAAAGCTTCCAGATTCCTCTCATGTAAATGCAATTATTATTTTCTCCCCAACGCCAGAAGTGCAATCTTAAGGTATCAAGAGCATGTGTTTCAGGGCATGATCCGCCGCCGCCGCCCCCCTATATGTGTTTAATACCACCAATTGCCGAACCCTTTACCTGTTGCCAGTTGATGCTATCGTCAAGAGACTCGTCTACCAATCCAACCACGCAGACATTGTCTCCCCGGACAAGGTAAAGGCCCAAGGGGACTTCGGTAGACGGTTCCGTATCGTCGGGTGTTCGGATGACGCGCTCGACGGTTTGACCAAGGACCTGGATACGTGGGATTAGCGGCAGATTCGAATCTAAAAATACAATGCTCCGCCCTTACCAAGTTGGTCATCTGGTCACAGCTCAATAGATTCCCCACCAAGGTTCGAGAGTCGGCTGTAATTATCAGGACCTTCTCTACGCAACTGTTAGATTCCTCGCGTTGTAAGCTTTGCTCGAGCTTCGAGACCAACACGGTCAAAGGGTACCTAATATAGCTTAACTTACTGTTGATATAATTATTCAAGTTGGACATCTTGAAGGCGCTGCCGGTGGGGTTGAAGGCAATCTTACTGGCGATAAGACCACGAGGTTAAGTTAATCAGGTAGTTTAGGAAGTATCTATGCACTGTAGGGATTGCGGGGTGTCTAGAATAAAGTATTGACGATCTGAAAATGCGTAACTTTAGACTTGATGCACTATCCGTCAGGCAGCTTCAACTTTCAAGCCGTACCTCGAGTTTGGAGCTCTCCACCATTTAGATCCATCCGATAGAAAAAGCTCAAGCCACTAAGCCACAGATCTATAAGTACCTAAAAAGATTTTGTGGCTTGTGCGTACCTATCTTTCGGCTCTCCATATCGAGGCCGATCTGGCCGATACAACCGACGAGGCCTAGTTAGGTTAGGTAAAGATGCAAGGACCCATGTACCGTAGCTATACTTACCTAGGTACACAAAAAAAATAGACTAATTATTATTTCGACCTCACAGACGGCCGAGATCCGTGTAAGTGGCTTAAATTAACCCCTTTGAACCCTTTGGGTACCCAAGTATTTGGTGAACTTCCTCATAAGGAAATTTGCTTGTTTTACAGCCCTTAATTTTCTCCCCAAAAAATCCCCCCCAATAAATACGAAGGCAAATGCTAAGCTCCCAAAGGAATCTCGTTGATGGGCTTAAAGGACTGCAGCTTAGAAAGACTGTGCCTCGCCTCTGTTCTAGAACAACGAAAAACCTACGAGTTCCTTTTACATCATAGCTGTGGCCAGTTCCAACGATCCTTATGGCCCAATCAATCAGAGGCGTTTGGTTTGAAACATCACAACCATAGCCGGGATCATTTGTTTTAACTTAAGGCCTCCCAGACCCTTTAGTCACGATGATTGGCTATCACTATTACCCCCTAGCTCACCCCTGCCGTCCTTGTACATCACCACCATTCTCGTACTAGCAAGATATGGGAAGGCAGGAAGGTTCCAAGCACTTTATTCACTATGATCATTCACGGACTCAGGGGCTTCGGGTGGCACCTGCTAGATTGTCGCTCTTCAGCCTGGCCAGTTACATCAGTTACATGTCAGGAGGATCGGCTATTTACAGTAGGTATCTAAGAGATCTCTTTGTCTTATACCCGGACATCTGATATATATCCTACGCTGATCCCGCCCTTATATGTAAGTCCCTCTTCTTTTAATTCACCACCCAACCAAGTCTTGTTCGTGTCTGGCAACATTTCACTCTTTTTTTACTTTTTTCGTATAACGGGTAGTATCCCTTTACTTTCTAAACAATCACTTTCTTTAAACAAAAACGACCCCCAGCGGTTCCATTCTTTCGTTCTATTTTCGTTGCCAAACCACACAAAGTCACCATCTTCAGGCCGAGCCACAGAGACGAAGATACGTGGACCAACACGAACAATCGATCCAGTTTCTCTATAAAACCGAGCATTGTTCTTTTTCACGGGTTGAAAAAGACGTCGATCAATTACCGTTTTTGCAACTCTAAGATAAAAACTTCATATCAACACCAACCACCATCATCATGAAGGTTCAAGTCGCTTCCGCCGCCGGTCTCCTCTTGGCTGGCCAGGCTCTTGCCGCTCCCCGTGTCATCCACGAAACCCGTGATGTGAAGACCGCGGCGGCCATCATCGCCGAGGTCGCACCCAGCACCGTAGACTGTGCTGCCGGGGGCGAGTGCGTCAAGTCCGACGTCATTGGTCCTCTAATGGTGCAAGCTATGCAGCAGTACGGCATCTACAACCCGGCTCAGATGGCCGGTATCATCGCGCTCACGGCATTCGAGTCCGTCGAGTACACTTTCAAGCACAACGTCTCTCCCGGCCGTCCCGGCCAGGGTACCTCGAACATGCAGATGTTCAACTTCAACCTCAAGTACGCGCAATCCATTCCGGAGCTCGCGGACCAGGTTGCCGGCGTCAGCGAGGACGCCCCCGACGACAAGAAGAACGAGGTCCTCGCGCTCGTCAACGACAACAAGTACAACTTCGGCAGCGGCCCTTGGTACTTCAGCACCCAGTGCGCCTCCGATGTCCAGGAAGCCCTCAAGGCGGGCGACGACGCCGGCTTCGCGGCCTACATGGGCTGCGTCGGTGTCACCATCGACGCCAAGCGACAGAGCTACTGGGACGCCGCCAGGAAGGCTTTCGGCCTCATGTAAGCGTGCCATCAGCCGCTTACTTGACACTATGCCATGCAGGAATGATGTATGAGGCATTGAAGTTGTCAGATCATACGGGCGTTTTGGGCATTGCTTTCTTGCATCATCATAGCATCTAGTGGGGGGAAATAGCGACGTTGCTCTTTTAAGTTCGATCTTATTCTATTCTCATGTATATCAATATTTTATAACACTTCATCTGAAAATTCTGTGGTCTGACAATATCCATTGGTCTTTCATGAGTTTCTAATGTGATATGATTTGAATCTGACGTAAATATGTCTTATGTCTTGGAAGCTTGTAATCGTCATTCAGTATCGACACACTCTGTTGATGCTGTATAGGCTAAATGATCTTCACTATTGTTCCTCTATCTTAGGCTGAGGCTATAAAGCGATACGTTAGTAAACGTCGCCTAGGCACACTTGCAGAATCCCTTACTTACACGTTGAAAGCCATTGAAGTCGTGTAACGAGATATGCATATAATCCGAAAAATGGGCACATTTACTTGAGAGGCTGCATTCTATTTATAAATACACAGGCGTGCGTTAGCCACTTGACGTATGTAGTAACTCGTTGTGCGCATGAGAGGCGTAGAACTTTATCTGAATCTACTTTCCTTTCCTGTCTTTATTTTATTTAATAACCCCTGAACGCTAGGAAAGATAGGTCGGCTTCCGATGAGGCTGCTTCAGGTGAAAGTATGCCGGATAATTTCTCAACTAATGTAGCACGAAAAGACGGGAGATCAGAGGTTAAATATAACTTGAGCGTCATCAGTAGCAGTCTATTACTTCGAGGCTTGGACGGTTATACGACATGTATATAAAATAGCTCTGGGTTTTGGAGCCCTTCAGTCTTGCAACTAAAAGCTACGCAAGAAACGCCACCAAATGTCTCTTTCACTAGCAGAGATGATTTACGAGTGGCGTCAGCCATAAACGATAGCCAAGTTTATTTTGGGCACTAATTTGCGCCCGGAGGAGAGTTTTGTAATTGGCCTACGTACCATGGGCATGGTCAAAAAGAGTTATACGTACATATTACGTCCTCCCTCCAACCGCAATTTTCCTTTTTTGTAACACCTAGAATAGACGAGAGTGCCACACTTTAAGTACCTATACCGATATGCAAAGGCTCCTTACCGGGTATCTGACGTTCATACCGACCCATCACAGCCGAGCGCCATCTTCAATATTCACAAAATCAAAGCCGGGAAGGTTATGTGCTAGGCGTGTCCGGATTCAAGAAGGCGAAAGAACCATCAGAAGATCCTTGCTGGGATTGCTGTTCGGGGTTACCCGCGAAGAATTGGAAGGATGTCTGATCCGGACCCCAAGTTGCTGTCTGCGCGTAATTCTCAAATGCATCCTGTGAAGTCATGGTCAGCCTGATCTATACCTACCACCCGAGGGTGAATCGAGTGTGGAAACATACCCAGTCGAAATTATGATCGATAGCCATATTGCCCCCTCCGCCTAGAGTTGTGAACATGGAGAACGGTGACGCGGCATTGTTGATTGTACCAAGATTGTCAGGTTGGAATTCAGGTGTAAGTCCCGTTCTAGCCCCGATACCTCCCACGCCTCCCAAATTAAGGTCTATATTCGGGTAAGTTCCGGGTAACTGGATGGTTGACGTCGAGCCCTCTGAGAGCATACCAAGACTCACGGCCGCGGAATGCTCAGGTAGCATTTCAACACCAAAAGTGAAGGGGTTTTCAGGTTGCGCCGTTGGTCCTCCCGCTCCAGCTCCAGCAGCAGCACCAGCCCCAGCCGGCGCTGAAGGAGGGTTCTTGAGTTTTCCTAGCATGATCTCGAGGATATTTGCAGCCTTGTATGCCTCAACCGATTCGTGGGATAGTGACTTCCAGATTTCTGCAACCGCTTCCAGAGAGCTCATCATCTTCTGCCGTTGCTCCGGCGTCCAAAAGTAAATTGCCTGCGAATCCTGCCGCTTACCAGACGTGGCAGCAATATGATCATGGTGAAGATCAAGGATGACCATCATTGTTGGAAGCAATGTATCCTTAGCGGTAGCCGATACATACCATTTCATAGAACGAAGTCGGCCATTTGGTTGACATTCACGGTGTATCCTTCTCAGATGCCCTAGAATTTCCAGTGAAGCCTCAATTGCACTACGACGAGAATGCGCATATCGCGGATTCTGCCTCGCGCGCAACATGTGCTTCCTGTGCAACATGCACATGATCTTCTGGTATAGGATGTCCAAATTGAATCTCGCAATGATAAGCGTTACAGGGTCGTGCGATCCATCGAGGGGGCGAATCTTTAGATGCGGTGGAAACTCATCCAATATTTCGCGAAGTTTCTTGTCGTGTTGTAAGATATCATCATAGCTCACAGGCTTGCCTACTCGCGAGACTGAATGGAGAACATTTCCTAATTCAATACACAATTTAGTTTTGCTTATCATATAAGCGATCGGGCTCGGCTCCACCATCGGCCTGGAAGGAGGAAGGGTTTTGCTATTGGGTCCGAATTCTTCATCAAAGATGTTATGCGGAAGCTTCGTATCGGTGTCATGTTTGTGGATGCTTGCCGGTAAAGAAATCTTTGAAAATATTAATGCCATGGACTGGTAAAATAGTAGCTGGTATGTAAAGGTAGGTTAGGTAACTTACTTGGTACGAGAATATAATATCAGACATGCGTATCAAAGCCCATGTTCGCCGTCTCATTTCCTGCAACGATAGTATCAGCGATACACTGTTCTACCAAATGAAATTTCGAACTCAGGAGATATTCTATCCTTACCCCTTGGAATGGCGTAACTGACGGAAACCAGTCTGCGTCTCGGTGATAGCCCATTCGAAAAGCCAATTTTGCAATGATACCTGTTATGATCCATAATGAAAAATCTGCGTCCCATCGTGAAGAGTATTCCCCAAATAAGTAAAGAATCAGCGTTTCCACTGTATACTCTACCGGCTTGGTATAATCCGCGACCACCAAGCATTGTACCGTTCGTAATCGATATTCTGCTGCGAGCTCTAGAGACCTACCTTTCCATTCCGGGGGCTCGTCTCCAACCTTATGATAACTGAGCATCGCAAGGCATAGCATGGAATAGAGTAAACCTATCCATGTGATAGTCGACTTAGATGGATCTTGCCAATGCGCCCGCAGTTGTGCTTGAAAAGTAGGCGCGTGAACTATACTAGCAGCAGTATCCAACGAGTTAAAATACCTCGATATTAACGTCATTATGGCCGTCCTCGAGGGTAGTTCCGCTCTCAGTTCGACTTCCACGGCCGGCGGAGCAGAAAGTAAAAAGATTGGGGAGTCTCTAGCAGTTACAGGCTTCGAAGACATAACTCTCTGATAACTGTTTTCAAGTTCTTTCTTGTGAGAGGCAAAGAAATTCTTCACTTCGGCAATATCGAGCAGGAGTAGATGCCAGTGATCTTGCCCAATGTACATGGACTTCCCTTTATCTGCGTCGACTTTAAGCATACCTAAGGACGTAGATAGCCCGTCATCCACGTCACTGCCAGGACCATCGCCATCGGCCTCGTCGTCCCTCATAGCCCCTTCATCGTCTTGATCAAGATTGGGAGAAGAGTTATCAGACGTAGAATGGGCCGGGGGTACGGTACCGGAAGAGTTGGAGACTTCGATATTCGCACCGCCATGCATCAGACTTAGAACTAAACCTTCTAGACGGTCAATACGGTTCTGCATATCATCAGGAGTTGCGGAAGCTCCAGCACTACTTTGATTTTTCCTCCGACTCGTTGGGGTAGCATAGACGCAGGACTGTGTGTCACCACGCTTGATGCAGTTCTCACAATTCGGAGTTCCCCTATTGCATTTCAACCTGTTGAGCAGGTCAGCGGTGCTGTCTTATATAGGAAAACTGCGAAGTGTTGGATTAGGAAATTAGGCTAGCATTTTCAAGGAACAGGATCACTCACTTCCTCGTCCGGCACGGATAGCAGCTAAGCGGCACCCTGTTTCGACGACGAACCACCCTGAAATGCTCCTCGGGCGAATGGCCCGAGGATGATGTCGTAGCGGACGGAGGTGTGGGGGTCATTTTTGGAATAATTCAAATACTGTAGGCAAATAGAAGCTCTTTTCGGGGTGCTCGCTCTTGCGTTCAAGATGTATGCCGGACTTAGGAAATTCGAATGCTATAAGGGAGGCCCAGCCTATTCTTCAATCTACGTAAGCTGCCCTCTAGGATGGCGGCTTAGAGCATCAGAGATCGAGAGATAGGAGGCCAATGAGTAAGCGTCGAGGGCTACTGGGAGATGGTAGGCTGACGTTAAGGATCTCAATAACTCGGAGATAGAGAGCCTCTTGCAGAAAGTTCAGGGGTATAACGATGATAGTGCTGTCGAGAATATTGCGGTATCCGCTAGATCACGGCTTCCACCGGTGATAATAGCCAATTAAACACAGAAACTCTTTATGTAGACCTGGAAATGCGAGGATCACGACTGGGTGATCTCGCTAACGTAAACCTTGTGGTCTGGTCTAAACCAAGGTAATCGGTCTGCTCGAAGTGGAGTAGTGAGGGGCCGAAGTAGATCTGATGCAGTCGATATCCCAATGCGATAGAGATATTGAAGCGGAGCGAACCGCCGGCGAAGTATCTTAGAGTATTACAAATAGCACAGCCCTTCTGATAAATATAAGCCAGTTGGTTAAGCGGTAGACCTCAACTAGATACGACCAGATCTAGTTATTCTGTATATTCGCTCGAATCGGCCAAATCTTAGGTTCAATATTCCAACTAGAAAAAGTACGGCTGGGACTACGGTCGCGTTCTTCCCGTAAGGCGCAGGTCAGGCTGGATCGGGTAAAGCGGTCACGGCGTGCAAACGATTCGGGAATTGGATAGGTATGTGATAATGCTCTATTTTCCTGGTAAGCAGACATGCTACTACTCGCAGTTGATTTATCGGCGATATACAAGAGTTTATGGGTCGACATACAGGAATAGAAGAATTTCGCCACCGCTAGTTTGTATGTAGTTACATTTGGTAATTTATAATATTGCTGCAAATAAGAGAGCACAACCGCTGCATATAATACGGCGGTTTGCACATGGAGTGGCGAAGTATTATCTGCCTTGGTCTGTAATGCTTTTCCTGTCTCTTCTCTACTAAAAACAATATCGAAAGGGGCACGGTATAAGGATAGGGTTGGGGAATAGGAAAGGTGAGAGAGAGAGAGAGAAAGAAGGAGAGAGGTTGTTGTTTAGGTGTTGGTGAGATGGGATGGGATGGTGAGGGTTGCGATGGTAAAGTGGTTTATGGAGGAGGCGCGGGACGAATTACGCTTGAAACTAAACTGAAAATGGATAGTGGGGGAAAGGAAAGAAATGTTATGCCCGTCTAACGAAGCCGGCGGAAAGCTCCTAACCAATCATGATTTGAGTTGACCTGAGATGCTACATTAGGTACCTAGGATTAGTGTAAGAGGTACGGATGCAAGAGGACCTCAACCCTGTCTCATTGATGCAAGGCTACAACTCTAAATTTCTGAATTTTGATAGTGAGTCATCCTCTCGCCAAGTTGTCAGCAGATAATTAGGCGCTTGGCCAGATTGGGTACCGTTGTACGTATGTTCTTGGGCTGCCTATTCTCTATGTATTTCTCCATACGCAAAGACTAATCGCCAAGCTTAACAATTCTTGGGAGATATGTAGTATAGCATACCTAGACCTACCAAGGTAGCATTATTCTTACTATTGTTATCTTTACATCATATATAAATTCGTTCAATTGTATTCGTACCATTATGCAACTGTATATAAATGGATGTTAAACCTTTAACAAGCTAACTCAAGTAGCTTGTAGACTTAAGGTTCCTAATATACTACTGGTCAGCTTCAACTCTAATAACTCTTGGAACCGGCAACTAAAGACATGTAATATACCTATATTATGTAAGCAGCATAGACTAAACTACCCCTTAGTTATAAAGCATTGACTACCTACCTACCTAGCTTCTAGCTGTTTTTAAAAATAGTTCCTTGACAATCAACCTCAACACTATATAAGTATTACTAGTTGCAATTTCAAGGAGTATAACTCATGTTGTCTCCACAAAGCATATATCGCGGGTTCGCAATTGGCAACGCAGTCCGCTCTCTGAGGCGGGTGAGAATGAAAGCCAAAACGTCATCTTAACTCGTCCACAACATCTACTAACTACAAACTACTAATACATCTAATCAGCGCCCCGAAGAGACGGTACCTTCGGCGATTAGCGTGCCGGCCCGATGCATCTGCCGCGGCGAGAACTAATAAGCGTACGTGATGAGGTTACATTTGCATGTGTCGGGATCCAATCATATCGCCGTACTCAGCACATGGGATCTTCAGCCTAGCTTTTCTAAAGATAGCACTCGCTCTCGCCTTGTCACACAACAAACACTACAAGATAGTAATGATGAAAGTCGTTCGTTAAACTCATAGCTTGATTATACATATGAATCGTCTTGCCACTCATGCCGATGAGTTTTTAAGTTCTAGATCGACTTCTTGTCGAGTTGGACCAATTGTCTTATCGCCGTCGGTTGTTTTCATGTCGAGTCGCTTTTTTGTCAGCTGAGTTACGAATCGTCGAGGTCCAAAGCCGCAAGAATAATTCGGCGATAGTTCACGATGCTACTCGAGTAAAGAGACCAACAAGTAGCTCAAGCCTTTAAAAGTTGAAGCTGTTCTCGAAAATTTCTTTTTTTTCGATGTTACGGTAGAAATGGCCATCCACCGCATCTTACATGCCCTATCGCCGACGGGCATGCATCACGATGAGGCAAGAAATCGGCTTTCTAGCATCGAAGAAGGCAAAGAAGACGATGTTGCTTACTATGGGGAAGAAGAAATAGAAGAACAAGACCGCCTACTCACATCTAGTCATGATAACGTCGATGTGACAGCAGAAGCAAAATCAGTCACCCAACGCCAATCACTATGGCCGGTTGCCGCCTTCGCTCTCGCCTGTGTCGGTACCATTTTCTCTTTGGCGTGGGTAGCTCTATCGCTAGATCTCCACCGACAACCAGGACCGTCTCCTCTAGAGATAGCACATACCATTCCTCTTCGCCGTCCAGACAAGGACTATATATTGAATCCCGACTGGGATTTCGAAGCCCCGAACCAAGTGCGAAAGTACGGCTGGCTTATCATCGACAAGGATGGAGAACCGGACGGAATCTTGAAGCGAATGATGACCATAGAAGGCCAATTTCCTGGACCACTGATAGAAGTTAATGAAGGCGATATTATTGAGGTCAATGTCCATAATCATGCTTCTAATGCCACTGCTATCCACTGGCACGGCATTTTTCAGAACGGTACGAACTGGATGGACGGAGCTGTAGGCGTTACTCAATGCCCCATTGCTCCTGGAACTTCATATCTTTATAGGTTCAATGTTACTGGCCAAGCTGGTACTTGTAGGTATTCTCTCCACTAGCGAACCCGAGACCTCGTGAGTCTCTTCGCGTAGTAGGTGTTATATTCCGAGCACGGTACTGACTCCCCATGCAGATTTTTATCATGGTCATCAAGGCGTTCAGGCCTTGAATGGACTCGTAGGACCCCTCGTGATCCATGGCCGAGACGAAGCGACGCATAAACCCGTCCCATATTCGTCAGACCGCGTGGTCTTACTCCAAGACTGGTACTACGATTCAGACAGCGGGCTAATGCGAGACGTGTTATCTCCGGGCGTTGAGGATGCGCCGATACCTAATACAGCTTTGATTAACGGTGTGAACCAAGCTGACTGCTCGGACCATCCCAACAGACGGTGTTCAGAACTGGAGAGGTCTCTCCCCAACTTGGATCTGGTCCCTGGCGAGGGCCATAGGCTACGATTCTTGAACGTTGGTGGGTTTGCCTGGTTCCAGATTGCAGTAGACGAGCATGATTCTCTGCCAATTATCGAAGTGGATGGTACCAACGTTAAGCCTACACCCGAATCTTCGCTAGTAATTGCCCCAGGACAACGGTATAGCACAGTCTTAACGGCAGATCAAACCGGGGACGGGGCTTTCTGGCTTCGTGCTAGGATGATAAGATCTTGCTTTGCAAGCCAAACACTTCCAGAAAACGGCATTGATGAGGCGAAAGCCATTATACGCTATCATACTAATACAGGAAGGGATGGTAGCCACGAACACCCTCCCCTGCCAACCACTACTTCCAGCCTCCAATACCTCCCAACATGTAAAGACATGAGTTCCACGACCTCATTTTCTCCTTCACCAGCACAGCCAGCCCCTATACATGCCGACCATTCATGGTATCTACGCGTCAATCTCGCCATTGGCGACTGGCGGTTACAACGAGGCATTATGAACTCGTCCTCCTTCCGACCGGATCCTACATCGCCGACCTTACACCGGGTCCTCGACGGTCTCGCCCAGAACAACGAATCCTTCGTCCAAGACGGCGTTCTCGACACGGCATTCGACCCCGCCTCCGAGCTCATCATCTCTCACAACGGCGCTGCCGACACCGTCGACATCATCCTGCAGAACATGGACGAGAATAGCCATCCTTTCCACCTCCACGGTTACCAGATGTGGGTTCTCGGTGCCGGACACGGCTACTTCCCCGGCTACGAAGCCCTCGGGCTGAACCCCGAGGGAAAGGGGCTGCTCGACGCTACGAACTCGACCGTCGTCGACAACCCTTTAAAACGAGACACGGTGACGGCCGAGGGCTTCGGATGGGTGCTCCTGCGGTTCGTGGCGGATAATCCCGGCGTCTGGCTTTTCCATTGCCACGTGCTCTGGCACTCGGAAGCCGGCATGGCGATGCAGTTCCTCTCCCGCGCAGATGTAATGAGGGAATGGGAACTGCCCAAGGACGCGAAGCGATTGTGCTCGCTTCCTGAGGTGGAATTGATGAAAGGGGCCCCGCCTAAGGACGAGGTATTCTTCGGCTTCAACAATGAGGATGAAGAATGAGAGAGGTGTGTTGTTTGTAGTACCGATACCTATATGAGACCATAGGCGGTATACAGAGTCGCGCTAGATAGATACCCCGTACATATGTATGCTACATATTCCGTTGTACATTAGTTACTAGCATCGTTTTGAAGTATATAGCGAAATCATCTTATGGGAGAGTTGTAGTGAAGCATATCTAATGTATACCTCTTAAGAAGTATTTAGATCCCATTAAAGTGTCTCTACAACGCGATACGAGAAAACATCGCAGGGAAAGAAGAGCTTTCTCTACAAATAATTCATCATTGCCTTTGCCAATATGCTTCTGTTTGACATTCAATCGACTAGAAGATCGATATTGTGACTGTCACCCCCTATTTTGTCAAGACAACCACCCATGCTCTCCTTGTTTAACGACGAAATATAGGGTGTATTCAGGAACAAATAATATGTGCCATGGAGCTAAAATGAGATCATGTCTTGATAGGTTAACCTTAAATAACTATAGCTTTCTAAAGCTGCTGGTTTAAATTGCCGCGTATTATAGTCGCGTAGATATATCATCGGTTATCTTGGTAGGTATAATATTGGGAAGTTGGACGCAAACGTAGAGGCAAATCATAAAAGACGGTTTCATTTCATGATATTAATACTATATTCAATCACTTATAATTTCGAGATAACTGATAAATATGATTACTGGCTTAATTCATTCGTATTATGGTATGTAGGTCGAGGCACTAGCTATGGTCCCTTGTACGATCATTCGTCATAGCATTGGCATAAGCATATCGACCTCATTAACCCCCTTGCTCCACATGGAAGAGAAACAATGGAACATATCGCATAAGATAGACGTCGAAGCAACTAAAAGAAGCTTTCAGATCCCAAAATCCACCCGGGTACACACCTGGAGACGTAGGTTCCCAACCCACTTCGATATCTGTGTCGGATAGAATCTGTCGTAATCATTCATGGCATGCAATGTTCGGCATACACTTAGATCATAGGTAGTAAGTAGCTACGTAGTCCCTCCATCATCTCAATGTGGGATTCAAGCAGCAGCAGCACCATATCCTTTAGGAACGCTGAATTTCTTGAAGAAATCGGGCTCCTTCTCCAATTCCTCTTTGACCTGCGTTGAAACGACGTATTAGCTAGAATTCCCTTCAGGGGAATACAGTAGAGTTAAAGGAAGAACTCACAATATCTAGACCACCGACCAGCTCGCCCGAAACCCACAGCTGCGGGTATGTCGGCCAGTCCGCAAATTTCTTAAGACCTTGCCGAACATCGTCGTCTGCGAGGATGTTGAAGAACCCGTACTTAACGCTGCGCTCTCGGAGAATGTTAACAAGCTGACGCGAAAATCCACATTTCGGCTCGCTAGGCGTGCCCTTCATGAACAGCATGACAGGCGCCGCGTTGACCAGACCTGTTAATCGTTTGTTAAGCTCCTCCTCAGGGTTCAGCACGTCCCCGCCATTATTTAAGGAGTCCTCCCCTGTGGTATCTGGTTTGTTACCGTTGGTCGCGTCGGGCTTTAGTGGAGCGTGCGTCTCGATGACCTTCCGTAGCGCCGCAGCGTTAGAACCGCTGACGGCATCGAGGACCTGGTCGTTTTGTTGTAGGACGACGTAGGGCACGGCGACGACATCGTAGATCTCGGATACGTCACTGAGCTCCTCGGCATTGATAGAAACCCAGCTCGTGGGGGGCGCACCATTCGCAGAGTAGTCGTTCGCGAGCGTCTCGATAACCTTGGCCATTTGTGCGCATGGTGCGGCCCAGGGGGCATGGAAGAAGATGATGAGGAGGGTTGATTTGGGAAGCGATCCAACGAAGGTTTCCCACTCGTTCTGGGAAGTAATCTCCTTCACCAACCCCATCTTGTCGTTCGCGATGAATTGTTTTCTATGTGAAGTTGTAGTGATTGAACTTTCGTGTCGTGTTTATATGTAGACCTGGCCTTGTATAGTTACAAACAAAACAAGAAGCAGGCGCAAATGGGTACGTATTGATCTAGTAGTTGGCTGTTTTGATGGTGTATTTGGGAATATTTGGGGAACTTAGTTCGCCCCTCCGATCAATGCGCCGGTTAGGAAGTTTAAAGGTTGAAGGTGGGTTAAATGTTAAATGTCCAATGGAGGGGCAGTTGATTACCTTTTCACTTAAGGGATCCTTATCTGTTAGCGCCTTCGAAGTCTCCGGAAACTATTGCGTCATTTTGGGTGATTCCTACCTACCTATATATGGAATATTTCAAAGACAACATCCCTTCCGTTACTATGTACCTTTGTCACTGGCTTAATAATATCACGGTCTGTTCTAACCCTTTTAATATTTCTAAGCTGCATATTCAAATGCTTACCACGATAGACATCTTCGAATCCTTGGTTTTTGCAGGTTAGGACGAAATATTTTTAAAAGGATATTTTACAGGAAATGCGCCTCGCATCTTAAGCTAAAAGATGGTAATTATTGTTCTTTTTACTATGTCTACCTTTATAACTTGAGCTTCGTGGTTTGCTGCTTTCAGTAGAAGTTCAACATTGAAAATGGCTATCAGGTAGACTTTAATGATATTAAGGAGCACTCTGAAATTCAACGGAACAAGGCACCACTAACTTCGCAGCCTGTACAAGGGGTGAAATTACAATTAGTATATTTCACCTAACTAATGACGCCGTCCCTGCTCGATGTATTATTATATTCCCTGGAAGCTTGGGAATACACTCGTGGCAATGCTTAAACCCCCAAGCGCTTCCCTGCGCTGCTATTCGCGATATCTAAAACCTTTCTATAATCCACGAATAGATGTGGACTACATAGCATTGGCTTTTCATAACTGATTTGAAAGGGGTACTTCTCCTTCTTTAGCTCTTTAGTCCGTGAGCTGGCTTAAACTGGCCGCAGTAACCTGCGAGCCGTTGGCGTTATCCTGAGTATCCTCCGGCGCAAGGCTTCCCTCTCCCTTCTTAGCTATTCGAGTATTTGCCTCTGCCTCGAGAACCAACTCGCGTCGTTGCCACCAGTCTTCCTCGATTTGGATGACTTGGTCTAATAGAGCTTCCTTCTCTAGCCATTCCTGCCTATATGCCTCTTCCATCTGTTTGCACTGTCGCTTCAGCGTCTCGCTATCTTTCGTCGCCCACTTGAGATTTGCTACACACAGCTTGTACAGAGACTTCATATCCATGGTAAGCTCCTTGCTGGAGAAGCCCTGTTGCTCCGTCAATGGTGTAAAAAAGTCTGCTATGTCTGAGCCGGTATCCCCATCGTCCACGGCATCGTCTTGACCTGCGGCGTGCGACTGAGGGGTCTTGATTATGATCTTGAGCTTTCCAGATTTAGGGCCGGACTGGGTTTGCATTGACTTGGGTACGGGATCGGATGGACGCAGAGCCTCGGTCTCGTGGACTGTTCGCATATGTTTCGCTAATGCGTCGGACCTTGTAAACGCACGGTCACATTCTACTATTATCAGTTCCTATTCCCCTCGTACGATGGAGCTCGATGATCTTACCGGGCAAATAACAGTAGAATGGCTTCTCCCTCGTGTGGCTTCTCATGTGAGCTTTCAATGCGTAACCACTTGCATGTGGTAAACTCTTCCTGGGGCATCCAATCCATTCGCAAGTATACTTTTTCTGGCGGCTCTCGATATGGTCGTTATGAATATGTTCAACTAGTTTGTCCATATTCCCCAAGTCGCCTACCCTGCATCCGTCCCAGGCGCATACCGTGACCTGCTCCTGGAATTCGTCCTCGTCGAGTTTAGCATTGATGGGGGAATTGGGTATATCACCCGAAGTGTCTGACGAGATATCGCCATCGAGATCATGGTCTGATTCTTGTTCGGGCTCGGGTTCTATATGAATGGAGGAAGAAGCTCTCGACCTGTCGCCTAATTTCTGTCGTTTGAAGGGAGGGGGCGCTGGTTCATCAACGACGCCGGTATCATCGAAATCGTTGTCGGCTTCAGGCGAGTCGGATGATAAAGAGCTGATTGAGGACGAATCTGACAGCAGCACCATCTTGGATCGCGCTCGGCTTTTAAATAATCTAAGCGTAAGAGGGCGTAGACGGAGCGAGCCCGCGCTGCTGCGAGATGGGGAAACGAATAAGTTATAGGCGCAATCTTACGCAATTACTACAATTCGATATTATTATTGAATATTTCGAGGAGAGGAATTAGAGGTTGATGGAAAATGGAATTTAGATTAAGGTAAACCTAGGTAGGTAGGCTAGATGGATGACAAAGGGAGGGAAAGGGAAGTAAATTGTACCTAGTGTTGGAGGTTGGAGGAAGGGAAAAGGCTGATGAGCTGAGACAGCCAGCAATCAACAAGGAATCTCTAAATTATTTCTAGCGATGGGATGCTTCCGCGCGCATTAGCATTGGCGGCCGCGTTTGTTGCGATAAGCGTTTAACAGGTAGAGCTTTTAAATGCCTACCTATGCACAAGATGGATGATGGATAACAGGTTGGAATAAATTTATGCGAATTGTGAGTTATGTTGGGCATTCAAGCAGGGGTAGGTAATGAAATGTATTCACCTCTATGTACAATAACACGTGGGGTATCACAAGCTTTAGGTAAGGTCTGGGCTTCAATTGGAGAAGTTGGGCTGCTCGGTCTGCATAGTGAATGTACCTACTGTACGTACTCTCATACCGGTTAGAAGGCGACCCCGAAGGCCGGGCACCAAAAACCAAACACAGCCCACTTTCATTTCGTAATAAGCTGCGATTGCTCGCCAGGCTGCCAGGCACGAATCGAAACTATCGATAAATTGGAACTACCAAGAACTTCCTCTCTTTCCTTTCTAACTCTAACATGTTAATGTTACTCACGCAATCACCATCGAGACAAGTCTAAGTTACATATCATTTGAATAGGTACTTAGTCCAGGCTGGTCAGATATAACTACCTAAGGTTGGGTTTGAGCAGCGTAAATACTTGAAGCTCTCTCCCCCTGGTTGTTGTGACATCACCCCCACTCACTCGAATTTATTACTCCTTGTGTTACTTACTACCTATTCTACCCAGGTTGTATTCCACCAAGCCTCGACATCGACGATAGACTATAGACGAAACCAACTGTTATAACATATTCCCTCTCCTCCTCTCCAAAAAATGGCTTCGTTAAATCTTTCTATAAATGGTCCCTCGATCAAGAGCAGTTACCAGGGAGTTGTCAATGCACCGCCTCCGCCTTCAGGGAGTTCTTCTACATATGGTCAATGGGCCCTATTCTACGTACAAGCCCCTCTAGCCAATGTTTTCCAAGATACTGGGAACAAGGAAAGTGTTCTGAAAGTTCAGTCAACCGGCTCTGGAGAACTAGAGGATCTTATTGAGGACTTCAGCGAAGGTCGTATCCAATTCGCTTTCCTTAAAGTTAAGGATCCGAATACAGGTCTGCCTAAATATGCTCTAATTGCATGGGTTCGTTTTCTTACTCCTTTTCGACTGAGAATTATAATAAATTAGCTAACAGCTTGTAGTGCGGCGGAGGTGTTCCCGAGAGGACGAAAGGCTACTTCACGAGTCATTTAAATGCCGTTTCTAAAGTTCTTCATGTATGTAATCTAACTTCTTTCCGGTATTAGAACACGATACTGACTACAGCTAGGGATACCATGTTCAAATCACAGCTCGCTCCGACACCGACCTCGAGCCCGCAAATATCCTCCAGAAAATCTCTGATGCGTCTGGTGCCAAGTATACAGCGGGTGGAAGTGCGCCTGTGCAAACTGGAGGAGCACCCCCTCCAGTAAAGTCGAAGCCTGTCTTCTCTACAACTTCGAACTCGTCTAGTAACCCCATAGTCGCTGCACGAAACGCAAGTCTGCGAAAGACAAATGACGACGGCTGGGGGGATGCACCGCAGGTTTCGCGGACCGAGCTTGAAAAGGTGGAATCGGCGTATAAGCCAACCAAAGTCAACCTGGCCGAGTTGACAGGCCAGAAACAAGAGCCCTCAAGGTTTAACGGTTCAAGCCAGCAAGACGACAAGCCTAGGGATACAATCGGGGGAGGATACCAACCCGTTGGGAAGGTCGATATCGCTGCTATTCGAGCTGCAGCGAGGAACAAACAAGACGATCGACCGATACCAGTCAAGGGTGCTTATGAGCCGGTAGGCAAAGTTGACATCGCTGCGATCCGAGCTAAGGCACAGAAGCCAGCGGAACCTGAACCCGCCCCCGAAGCTGAAGAACCACCGAAGTCTCTAGCAGAGCGAACTGCAGCGTTTACGCAAGCCGAGCGTATTACGGAGCTTCCCAAGCCTAAGGTCGCAAAGAAATGGGGTGGCGCATCTACATTCACAGGCACCAAGGCACCTACTCCTGGCGCATTGGGTTTGGGCAGCCCTTCGCCAACACCCGTCGCGCCTCCGGTGGGATCTGCTAGTCGAACCTTCGCCGATCAGGGAGGCAAGACGCCTGCTCAAATCTGGGCCGAGAAGAAGGCACAGCAAGGCTCTGTTTCTGGGATCAACAATCCTCCGGTATCCCCTGTCCAAGCGCAGAAGAGCGGAGGAGGTGGTTGGCAGAGCAGTTATAAGGGGAAAAGTTGGGCACCGGTCCAGACGGGATCATACAGTCGTAGCATTACGGGGCAAAAGACTGGCGAGACCGAGACTAGCCAAGAGGCACCGGCATCTCCAGCGGGAAGCGTTAGTGCCATACGCGACCGTTTCAAGGAAACAACTCAAATAATCTCTCCCGCCCCATCTGCACCGAAAGTTCCATCACCCGCTGAAGATAATGAGCGAGCACCACCTCCGCCGCCTTTGGCCTCCCGGCCTTCGGACGGAGCACCTACCGGTGGTTTTGCACTTCCCGGTATGCCTCCACGCCCACCTCCAGTCACAGATGAGGATGAGGAGCTCGAACGAGAACAAGAACGGGAGCACGTGCGAGAACCATCACCTGTTCGCGTGGCAGTGCCTGTCCCTCGTGGATCTGAGCCTGAGATTGAGCCGGTGCACGAACCTCCCCGATCACTCCCCGTTCGACCTATCGAACAAGAACTCCCTAAAGAAGAACTACCAGCGGAGGAGGAGACTCACGATCCTCGCGCGGCTGCTACTGCCGTTGCTGAATCCCAGTTTGGCCACGAGCAAGTGGCAGAAGCACCAGCGGCTTCCAGCGGAGGCAAACGTGCCCTAATCCAATACGATTACGAGAAAGCTGAAGACAATGAATTGG